CGTCTCTGGGTGCGCCCTGGGCTTGGGGGGGCGCGCGGGCAGCTGGCGGACGGCTTTAGTTGGGTTGGCTGGCCGGCTGGCCGGCTGGTGGTTGGCGCAGGCGCAAGTGAGTACGAGTAGTAGTAGCGGTGGTGTTTTAAGCGGCCGGGGGGGTGCGATATCATGCAAGGTTCCCGCGCGAGGTAAGGTAGGTAAGGTACGAAAGGTAAGTACGGAGTACGAGAAAACGTGCGTACGCAACGGGGTGCAGGCGCGCGCGCGCGTGTGTGCGGTTCGGGGAGGGCTGAGACGAGATGATGCGAGGCTCGTGGTGGCTGACCCGGGAATCAGCAGCAGCGGCGGCGGAGCGTCATGGGAGGCATCGGGACGTCAGCCCGACGGCGGGCGCGGCGTGAGACGGAATAGGAGACAAGCAAGAGTAGGGAGGAGGGAGGAAAGAGGGCGATTTGCCAATTCCGCGCGAGGCTGTTCGGTCTATGGGAGGAAAAACGGCTCGACTGGCCGGACCTCGAGAGAGAGAAGGTGAACTGCCGTCATGCCCATTTGCGCCCGCCGTGTGCGCCCGCGAAAACCGATTGGAAATTGCGGTGCCTCGTCGCCACAGCGAAAGCCGAGCGATCCGCCCACGCCAGCCTCCTCCATCCCATCATCCATTTTGCCTTACGGGCGGGCGGGCAGCAGTGGCAGTAACGTGGACAGCCGGCGGGCAGGTGCAGCGCCGACTGGCACCTAGAACGCCGGAGCGCTAGCCGTTCCTGATGCTAGCGGGAGTGGCCACGGGGCGTGGAGGCGCCAGAGCGCGCCGTCATCAGCGCAGAAGAGGACGCTGGTGGTGGTCTGGGCTGCTGCCCGCCGGTGCAACTTTCCAGGTTGATGAACTGAGGTGCCAGCGAAAGCTACAGCACGGGGCACCACCACCTTGACGCCCCTGTGGCGGGTACCTACCTCCGGGCTACCTTCATCTACGGCACTGCGCTGGAGGCTGCGGTGTGCTCCACTGGTCTGGCTCTTCGAGGCACGCGGGGCCCACTGTAAAATGCACCACGCTCGACGCAGTTGGCGCCCCGGTGGAGCGGCTGCGGTGGGACCCGACGCCGACCTGGGACGTCGTCCGGCATGGCATGGGCATGGGAGACCCTCGCTCGTTCAGGGACGGGGGACCCTCACTCATCAAAGACAGTCCACCGTCGTCGATCGGCTGGGCGAGCGAGAGCAACAAGGGGAGAGCAGAAAAAAAGACAGCGTGCTCGCCAGGTGCGGAGCAACAGGTACTGTAGGAGTCGAGATTGCCTCGCGATTTTTGGCTTCGGTCACTGCCGACCCGGAGCTCATTCTCCCCCTTCTCTCTGCCGAAACCTTGTGCCTCGTACATCGAGGAGAGGAAAGCATGACACTGACGTCGGGCGATTCGGGAGTTGTTGCACGTTGTCCAGCCTCGCCGCCCGGGGCGCCAGGCACGAAGGCGTTTTGTTGCCCTTGGCTCCCCAAAAAAGGCGCCGAGGCGGCTGCTGCTAGCTTCATCAGCTGCTTTCGTTGCTGTCCCTCCTCCTCCTCCTCCACCACCACCACCACCATCACCACCACGGGCATCATCATCAGCCCAGTCCAGTCGAGTCCACTCCAGCCAAGCCAGGCGGCCAGCAGGCCCACGAACCAACGCGACCCCGTCCGCCCGTCCGTCAAATCGTCAATCGTCTGCCCAACCGCCCGCCCCGGCCCAGCCACACGAACCCTTGGCCCCCCCCCTTCCACCCACCCGCAGGGCCTTCGCTCAGGCCTGCCACTGGCCCTGGATTTAAATTAGCAGCACCCCGGCAAGGAGGGTCCGATGCAGGTCATGGGGGGGCTTGTGGAGGGTCGGGGGGGTCTCTGGGGCCTGGCCTGGCATCCTGGCTTCCAGGGACTTGCTTGCCATGCCATGGCAGGCAGGCACCTGGCCGGCCTCCAGTCCCCCTCGGGGTGCCAATCATGACGCCGCCGGGAACCAGGCATTGCCCTATCCAGCACAAGCTCCAAACCCGAGACTCAGCCTCGTGATGCCCGCCCGATGATTGTCATCTCACGGTACAAGGAGCAAAAGGAGGACGGCGAGAGCGGTCAGAGACCGATCGGCAGTTCGCGCGCGAACCGGACCCCCAAATGCCTGGCTGCCCCCCCTCAATTCGTATCGCACGTGCATACTGACTATTACTCGTGCCTCCGTGTTATTCGTTGGCGCCGTGTCGGCGATAGGCCAGCGACGACAAAACAGCGACAGAGAAGCTCAGGGCTCGCATTCCCGCGTCCCTCACGTCCACGTCTGTGGTGACATGCGGACGGACGCTTCTGCAGGTACCGGGTCGAGTCCCGTCCCTCGCCGCCCCCTTGCTTCCGCGCTTGACCTTGACGACGACAATGTTGGGCGGCGGGGGGGCGCCGCCTAACCGCTCCTAGCACATTTGGCGACGACGCACGGCCTCGTGGCACTGGTTTGATGGTTTCTGCGCCAAGATGAGGTTTTCCTTTTCGTGCGTTCGGGTGTTACTGGTAGGGAACAGTGCTCTGTGCTTGACTTGAACGCAACGCCCGCCTGGCCGCGATGGCCTCAATTTCTGCCTCTGCCATGCGGTGGGTCCCGCCGAGGCGTGCGTATACTCGGTGCGAAAATATGCACTCATCGAGTGTAATTCTGCATGCTCTTCACGCACGCTCTTACGCACGGGCCAATCGTGGGAACAAAAGGGAGATATACTCCGTCCCTTGTGGGTCAAGACAGTACAGCAGCAGCAGCAGCAGGTTTTTGTCGTTTTTAATTAACGCGGTTCGCCGTGCGGGCGCTACCTATGCTGGCCGCCCGCATTTCTCAACCCGGGACACCTCACTCTGCCTATCGCTGCAGGCGCCATGTCTAAGTCTCGCCATCATCAAGCGCGCGTGGCGCGAGCGAGCGGAAGGGCGACGTGTCGTTCTGAACCAACCCCAGACCAGATGCAAGCCACGATGCACGAACCGTGTCACTCGACGGCAGTGCGTTCGCCGATGGGCTGCTATTATTAACAGGGCGCACTTGAATATAGATGTAATATTAAAAAAAAAGCCCGGCCCGGCGCCTGAGGAGGGTGGGCGACGGGCGTGAACGTGTGGATGGCAGCGGGGCGACGCTTCATTCCTTGCCAACAGAGCACACATACTACAGTACAAGAGTATCCTGCTCCGAAACCAAGCAAGGCAGCGAGAGCGCGAGGTAACTTATTAACTTAGGTGCTATAACACGTACCAACTTGGGTTCGTGCCTACAGGGCAAATACCGCAACGTGCCAGCACCGACAGATGCGCGTGGTTGACAGCAGCAAGGGAGCCTGCATTCCTGCACCGTCTCCCTCGGTTCCGCTCAATTTCCGTGAAACAGCATCGTCGTACGAAATCTCCTGTTTCGAAAGCTCCCCCGTGCCCAGCTCGTCGAGTCCGTCCGTCATAGGTACTATGTACGTACATACTACGTACGCCGCGCGAACACCCCCCACGGCCGGCCGGTTCTTGTCAAATGCAACGTCTTTTGCCGGTCTTGTCTTGCGGCGGGCACGCGGTCAGCGCGAAAGAGGCAACTGAGCCGGTCCGCAGAGTCATAGTGTGGTGATTTAACAGCCACCAGGCGTGCGATTACATAGACCGAAGTGTGAAGCGCAAAACACGCCTGGGCACCTGCAATTTGCGCTTCCGACCATCGACCAGGCCCAGCGGCGAACACGTGCCCAACAAGGCGGCGTTGCGATAAAGAGCACCAGCATATCGAGTGCCCTTCCCAGGAAGGAAACCCGCCGTGACGATGGAGCCGCCGTGATGGAGCCGCGTGTCGGAACCGTGGCAGATCAACTCAAAAGTCGGACGACGGGCGGCCCAATCACGGTCGCCAGGCCGGCCCTCCACAAAAACTGGCATTCTGGCGGTGTGCGTGTGTCTCTCTGATGGATGGATGGATGGCTGTCTGCAGCGTCATCCGCTAATGAACCCCCTGATCCTCGTCCAATCTCTCTCTCACGTCACGGCGGCGGCACCCTTCGCACGCGCACACAACCGCGTCGCCCAGAGGTGGCCACGAGGGAGGTTTGAGGGTCAGGTGAGGCTTGTGCAGAACGGGAATCGGCCCTGCAGCGTTACGAGGTCACGACCAAGTTTGGCGGCCCCGTCAGCATCTGCCGCCGCCGTGATAACAAGTTCGTAGCTGTGCCTCGTCCGGCCGGCGAAGCTGACACGACCGAGAATCAATTGCCCATGCTCCAGAACAGCCGACAACAAAACTATCCCCTGGCTTCTGTTTGAGGTGTGAAAAAGTCGCTGTTGAAACACGGCTTCTCCGTGCCTTTATCCCGCAAGGCGCGCGCGACACACGAGTCTCCCCGCGCCGCGTTTGGAAACCGAGCACATGACTGACCCCCAATCCCGCCGCCAGCCACGCAGCATGAATGATTCCAGGGACCTCTCCAACGCTGCCGCCCGGGTTCGAAACACCATGATCGGCGGCCGGCAGCTCCTTCGCGCACGCCCTTGGGACGTCTCGACTATTCCTGGCACGGGAACCCAGCCAGCGACGACCACGGGGTAGGGCTGTAGTATTTGTAAAAGAAAAATCGGCTCGCTCGCACGCATCGACGTCCCGCGGCGGTCGGCGTTTCACGATGGCCCCCCGGCCGACGGATGGCCTCGCTGGCGGCGCGTGGCCCAACCGACGCCAGCCGGGGAAATGTGTGCAGCACGACGTCTGATGTTATGAGGCCGTGAAACGCAGACAGACTCGAGGCGAGACGAAGGAACGGCGGGTTGATGATGCCGAGCATTTGCCTCCACGGGCCGAGGCTCCTCCGGGCACACGGTTCGGTGTGGGCAGCCCGACAACAGCGGCGCGGCGCGGCGCGGGGCCTGGGCGGAGGAGACCGGGCTCATGTGGGGCCCGCCCCGGGCTCGGGAGCATCCGAGTGAAGTGCGCGCCTGCCAAAGCTCGCGGCCCAAAGTCACACAGCGAGCCAGCACAAATGCGCCAAATTCAAGGCTGCCGTTGCTACTATACTGCCGAGGAGGGTGAACAGCGTGCCCACCACTCCTGATTTGCCCTTCTCTGCCTGCTCAGGGCACACACTCAGTCTTGGCCATGACGGCTGCGACGACAGCTCGGCACTTTGGCAGCCTCTCGAGTCGAGTATCCCCGGCCAGACCGGACCAGGTCAGACCGCAGCTCGGATCGTGCCCTTCCCGACGTATTGTCCCCCTCTTCGATCCCGTTGGCTTCCCCTTGCCCGCCATCATTGCCGCCGCCGCCGTCGTGTAATGTTTACTTATCATGCGCCCACCTCTTGGGCTCCCGACGACTCCACCGCGCGACGGCCCAACGAGCGACCCAGCGAGCGAGCGACTCAAGCACTCTATTCCGTCTGAGAGCCAGAGCCAAAAAGCTCGCAGCACATGATGACTCGGTACAGCGGCGGCCGCGGCCACGGCATTTGCCGTCGATAACCCTGCTTTCTTTGCTTTCCTTACCTTGGCTTTCTTCTTCGGGCAGCAACATGCCCCACGCGCACGACGCCCATGAGGCTGGCTGCCGCATCGCCAAGCCGATCGGTGCCTCCGAGGGGCTTTCCTTTTCATGCCGTCTGCGCATGGCAACTCGCCCACATGACGAGAATGATGATGCCCCCCTCCCTCCTCTCGGTTCCCGGTCGACGGAGCCCGCCAAGCCGGTTCACCTCACTGTGTTGCAACATGTAGAATGGAACTTGTCCCACAATCAGGCGCACATAGGCCGCGCTCCGCCTCCCATTCCCCCACTTCGCTCGTGGGACCTTTTTCGGTGTTGCGCCTTCCTTCCCTGCTGTCCTCGTGGTGCTATTGTGTGTAGCATCGTGTGCCATGCCTAGGCAGCCGGTGGTGGGCGGCACTTGGGCATCGAACTAGTCATCCGTGCCAAGTCTGTCTTGTCTCCCGTACCTGCCTGATTCCGGGGCCTAGGTAAGGTCCGTTGGTATTAGTGTTTTGTTGTTTGTTCGCAGAAGCCCGAATCGAAGAAGCTTATATTCTCGGGCGGCCCCTGATCCGGCCCGCCCCTCCACTGCCCCCTCCCTCCCTCTGCTGCCCTGGCTGACTCGATTCGATCGTTTCTGCTGCCAACCGAGACGACGGCATCGCGGGACCGTTCGACCAACAACAACACCACCACCTCTTTCGCCTCTCTCTATCTGTCATCCGTGGTTGGCACCCATCCTGCAGGAGGGAGGCAGATCTGCTGACGACCAGTCACATCAGCAAGCCAACCCTGTCCTGTCCCGTCCTGTTTTTTTTCTCCTTCTGCGTCAACAAAACGTTGCTGGTTCGAGACCCAGCCAGATCGCAGCTGCACACCAACCCCAGACCCCTGTCCACCTTGTTCGCTCGGCAGACGGCGCAACACGTACGTCATCGCAGAAACACCCAGCCCACCACCCGCTGCGCCCGCCCCGATAGGCTCGCTGGGTGCGAACCTGCTGCTGCTGCTGCGCCTTGGACTGAGTTCGTGACCGTGACCGTGACCATGGGTTCGTATTCATTCTTCCCTGCTTCTTTTCCCATGCTTCCCCCTTCCTGCGTCTTCCCCGCCTCCTCTCATCATTTCTATCCACCCCTCCGCTCAGGGCCATCGCCATCATCTTCAAAGCCTCACACGGCGCACCCTCACGCATCAAACACACAAAACACAAAACACACACACGCATACATAACACACGCCAACTCTCCCTGAGGGGTTTCACCCACCCAAATCTCATCCACTTCATCGGCCCGCGAAACCCCCTTCCCACCGAACAAACTCAAAACCAAAATCTCTTTTGACTGACGCGCGCGCCCCTCCCCCCTCGCGGCCATGTCGTCGTCAGGCACCACCAGAGAGTACCGCGGCCCTTCCAAGAAGCGCCTCTACCTCGCGCACCCGGAGCCCGACACGTACCTCACCCGTCGGCGCATCACGCGCTTCATCCCGCCATCGCCGCCTCCTCCCCCTCCGCCCGTCATCTGCGAGCCGCCGCCGCCGCCTCCCCCTCCGCCGATCGTCGAGCCGCTCCCGGACCCCATCCCCGAGCCGCCGTGCATCGATCCGGAGCCCCCCATCGAGGTCATCGCCGTCGACGTCGACCCGCCCGAGCGCCGCCGCCGCCGCCACAAGCACCGCTCCCGCTCCCACAGCCACTCCCGCCGCGAGACCCGCGAGAAGGAGGTCTACATTGAGCGCGACCGCTTCGTCCCCGTCCCCGTGCCGGTCCCCGTCTGCGAGCAGCCCCGCTACGAGACGTACCGCTACGTTGAACCACCTCCCAGGCGCCCGGCCCTGCCGCCGCCGCCGCCGCGCCGCAGGTCCCCGGTCGAGGAGGAGCAACAGCGCATAACCATCAACATCGACGACCGCCACCGGTCGCGCGAGTACTACGACCGGTAAATGTGCAGGAAGCTGTAGGACGACGCCTTGTGGGAGCCTGGTGAATGATAATGTATGACTTACGGCCGTTTGTGTTACACTATTGCCGTTGCAAGTGATGGAATTCCATGTCTGATGGGGGTTTTTGATCAGGAGTTCGTTAATGCCATGAGAATTACCATTTGACAGGGTTGAGTGGAAGTAAATTTTTAACAACGATGCCTATACGCATAGACTCGGCCCTGCGGAAACACAACCATTAATGTGATACAAAGGGCGCACAGACATGCATGATGGCGAGGGTGCCAATGAAACCGTCATCCATTTATACAAGTATATTCACGACATGATATCGGCTCATCTACTTCGTGGGCAGCAAATCCCTGCTCATGGAGCTAGGTCAACCGACCGCGTCCGCCGTATGCGACGCCTCGCCCGTATCGGAATGTCGAGATCTTCATCCGATCCGGACGACGAAGATTCTACCAGATATGATGGCAGCTTGCCCTTGGTCCTTCGTACCTGCCTTGACTGACTGTGCAGGCGCCCCGTCATCCACCCGACCATGCTGCCCAGCTCGCCCATCCACCAGAGGCCAATGACGATGATGCCAAACGTAACGGGGAGTGCGACCGCCCAGTAAAGCCACTGCCCTGCGTCTAGGTCGCGGATGTCGCTAGTGTTCATCCCAAAGATGCTGGAGATGGCGCTCAGAGGCAGGAAGACGATCGTGACGATCGTGAAGGCATAGATGGCGCTCTCTTGCTTGTCCTTGGTGAAATCCATCTTGTAGATGACAGCCCGCTCGAGGTCGTCTGCGTACTCGATGTATCGCTTGAAGTCAAAGTCGCGCTGCTCGACGAACCGCGCGCACTCCGTCAGGAATAGTCCGCGGAATCCCAGCGGATCCGTAGGCGAGAGCTTGGATGCAGATTCGAGGTCCTCTGCCACTTGGTCATCAAAATTCATGTAATCATTCGCCCCTTTTCTGTTCGCAAGATCCCACGGCACATTATATCGCACGTTGTCGTAGCGATTATACTCGAGTTTCGGATTGTTCGCCACGTTGCGTTTGTCCGGCCGGCTCCAATGACCCCTCGCGTCGTCGCCAGGACCTGCGAGTATCCCTTGACCCAGATTCGTGATGATGTGACGCTGTCTCGTCAGCGTCCTTTTGACAGCTGCCATCTCCTGCTGGACGAGCTCAATGCTGTGTTGGTAGGAGCGGTCTGATGGCTTCGTGGTTATGTCCGTGTCCTACTCCTGATTAGCGCTTGCTCTTCGCTCCAAACGTCCAAGCGCTATTGCTCACCAGAGAGCTGAGAAACTGAGAATACGTGTCCGCGATATCGTCTGCCTTGCCCACCTGATCTTGCAGCAACTCCATTGTGATCAACGACATGACGTCCATGGGCAAGACTGCAGCCCGGTCCAGGAGGTTCGTGCTCGATATGCTCTGGATAACCTTTCTCATGCCGTCCAAGATCAACATCTTGGCTTTGGTCATGTGCCCAAACCAACTACCGCTCCTATCTCGGGTGCCGATGATCCCAGATGCTATGTGCAGCCATGCCGTCACAAACTCCCGCGGCATGTCGATTTCGGATCGTTCTTTGGTAGAGGCGTTCGATACGATACCTTGAAAGGTGTATATATCCGAGGGCATGCCGCTGAGGAAAGTCTTGAGATCGCCGGCAGGCCCAGTAAGCACTTCTTCGGCGCCGTCGAGATTCGGCATCTACAGGCATAAGTTGTTAGTTAGAGAAACGGGGACGCGAGAGGGTCAAAGCATACCGGTATGATCGCTGCTTTTATAGTCCCCCAAAACTTTCCAGTCGATGGTCCCTCGAAATCCTTCGGAAAGAATAACTGAAAGAGGCTGTCCGCTGTGTTGAAAAGATCAATGCGATCTTGATACATGCGCTGGGCCGAATCACTGCCCTTCGCTTCAACCTTTGAGGCCATGTCTCTCAAGTACGTATAGATGTCTCCTCGAGTAGCGTGGTCACAGACTTTGTACGCGCGCTGCTCGGAGAAGGAAGTCTGCTCCAGGAGATACTTCTCCGCCGCGGCTAGCTGCGTCTTGAGATTCGCCACCAGGGTTTTCGGAGTGGCAGCGGCCGCAGCTGGTTGGTCTGCGGGCCGAAGGCAGAGAAGATGCAGATACTCCGGATCAGTTGGCTGCGTGCCCGGCTTCTTAGGCTCGAGGTGCTCCTGTATTTCAGGCTTCAGAACAGATCTGGGTGGATCTGGAGGGGCGCTACAACAGTGTTAGCTTCCGCGCGAGGTCTTCGCCAGCCCCATGCCTACATCGTCTTGAGAGTCAAAGTCACTCTTCCCTGCGGGCGCGTGGCAAGCTTCAGAATCTTGGGCCACATCGCCGCTGTCACAGTCTCATCTCCATGCTTGAACTGCAAATTTTGTGGCCAAAAAGCCTGAAATTGTGACAGGAATGCCTTTCCTCACGTTAGCGGCATGAACCAAAACTTCATTTACAGGTTACCCACAAACCAAGTCGGGCAATCTTCGACAGCGAGCTCCCAAAGGACTGCATTGCCATAGGAGACGAGGATGCGCCCGGAAGGAATGCTGCTCTTCTCTTTTGAGGGCTGTTGGTTCACAACTAAAGACTCTCCATATAGATCTGACTGTGCCATTGAGCCACATGTCACGAGAAGGCCTGCGAATCCGTTAGTTATCGTACGGGGATGGCATCGAAACGCAAGACCGGCTTACTATTGTCGATTACCAAGCTCCAGAGCTGAGCTATATGGAAGCACTGTCCTCGAGGAACAGACCCGAGCTTGCATACCGCCTGCTGCATGTCCCTCTGCTGGGTCGTTCGCGAATATTGTGACTGAAGCAGCGTCTGTGGGGGAAAGGACGCAAGATTCGACGCCGAGAGCAGCCCAGAATACTGTTTGAGTGTAAAGTACGGCATGCAAATCCAGCGAGCGGAGCCAAGGGGTGTGTCGGGAGTGCGCAGCTGCTTCTTCTGGACTGACTTCAGAGGCACTTCGAAGCAGCGTGGCTCCATGTAGCCGACTTTGCTGCCTTTTGGGTTCTGCCGTGATTTGACTGCATGCTTCTTCACATCCGCTCGCAGTTTTGCAATTGCCGTTCTCTCCAATTCCGAGAAGTGTACCTGGCGTGACACGTCCGCCTGGGCCTTGATCAGTCGTCGCGACTCTCAAAACGTGTTGATTTTACTTACCCAAAACTCACCAAAGTTCATGACGTCTTGTTGGATATGGCTTTTTGCATGGTTAGTAACGAGAGCCACGAAAGCAAATTGAACGACTAGAAGAAATGCAAACAACGACCGGAATGGAAGAGAAGAGTATACATACAGCCAGTTAAACAAGGGGCGTTTGAGCTTCCTCGGGTCGTGAAGCACCGTCAGCGTCGCCACGTGCGTCCCGCCGAACTCTGCGCTGCCCGTGTAGTGAGAAGCGTAGATGGCCGTCGCGTTTGAGTTTCGAAATCCACCGTTAGGCTCGTCCCTTTGCGTAGATTCAGTTTCTACCCCAGGGGACTCTAGATCCGACAAGTCTTTGTCTTTCGAATCACCAGTATGAAAGGTGAAGGCGAAATCGTCAAAAGCATCCAGGTCATCGCCCTGCCAAGGGTCGTCGGGAATGATGAAGACTTCGGGCTCTGCAGTTCGCGGCTGCATGCGCGGCACTTCGTCAAAGTACGCTGATGGCTTCGGAGGGCTGCGTGATCTGTCTCGATCCCTGCTTCGGCTTCGGCTTCTGCTTCGACTTCTCGACCTGCCGGCTTGAAATCGGCGTGGAACTGTGTAAGTCGCCGTCTCCACCCGAGGTACTGGCCTCACAAACTGCTCTGTCCTTGTCTCCACGACGGGCTCGTACGGCTGCGGAGACTCGGCATATCGCACGGGCGGTGATGGGGGTGACGGGGACCGACCCGAGTACGACCGTTTATACCGAGGAATACGCGAAGCAGATGAAGGGTTCGGCTCAACGACGTCGAAGTTGCGCTGAGGCTCCGGTTCGCGCCCCCCCGCAAGGTACATGTACACGGGTTCGCGGCGACGCGTAGCCTGCTTGTAACTGGGCACTGGTTCTGGGACCTGGTTGCGCAGCACCTGAACGTGCTGTCGCCGGTCGACGTCAAGGTCAGACGCCTCACGGCTGCCAGCGAACCCCACCCGTCGAGATGCACGACCGACGATGGCGGGTTGCTGTGGTCTTGGTGGCATCTTTCCTGGAGTGAGCGGAATGGTCGCTGAGTGGCGATGAGAAGGCACGCAAAGCTGAACTCACTGGAACATCGTAGCTGTCCTGGCTGAACCGCACGCGGCGGCGACCGCCGTCGGGAGCGGAGCCATAGTCGTAGGCCATGGCGTTGTCACGACGAGTGCGCTGAGGTTGGGAAACTAATTCTCATCATCCGGCATTGAGTTGAGGACGCGGGGGCTGAGGAGCGAGGGATAGCCGCGTCCCGCTGCTGTCGATCACAACAGAGATGGATGAGCGGCTCACGGCGGTGCTTGGGCCTCATTTTAACTGGGGTTCGTACTGCGTGTAATTATGCACATGTCTGCAGCATCCTGGCCACGATGGCAGCCACACTGACGGGAGCTGAGCTGGGCTGAGCTACGGCAGGCGCTAAGGGGATGGCGCCTGCCTTCCCTGCCCGCTTCGGTCCGTCGCGCCTTCCAAGCCTCGACGGCGCCTCCACCACAAACATCGCGTCCTTGACTCTTCAACAAAAGATGGACGTCATCCCATTTTCCAGATCTCATCATGCCTGTTCGTGAAGCCCAAATCCCATGATCCATTGCCTTGGCATCATGTACACTCTATAATCAGGACCGCCGAACGCCCAAACACCTCGTCCATGCTGTGGTCTGGCCATTGCCCATGGGCATTTTCTTTTCCGAACCTGTCGAGATGTCCTCTCAGATGTTGCCCTCGAGAGAGGGAATGCGAACCATCTCCAGGGGTACGGGGTTTCGCAGGCCTCCCTGTTTCTCGCATTGCTCCCAAAGAGCCTTGATTTTGTCTTCAGCAGAGCGCTGCCCGTCGACCGACTCGCGCTGCTGTCGAGACCGATACATGTCCGTCGTGATCCGTCCGGCATAGAGATGCCACTCGCGCGACGAGAAAAGCCCAATGGCCCTGTGCTGCCGGGCAATGACCGGGAACACGGCGTCGAGGAAGCCGGCAACGGCAATCCGCAGCGGCGCAAGGGCGGCGCTGTCGGCGTAGTTGTACGTAGTGTAGAGCGTGTTTTGAAGGTGAATGCCGAAAGTGTTGGCCTGGTGGTCGGTCCAAAGGCAGTAGTTGAGTGTAGACTCGAAGATGTCTCCCCATTGCGTCGCCATTTCTTCCAGGACCCGGATGACGTGGCCGGCCATCGAGGGAGACCGAAGTCCTTGCGCCTGAATAAAAAACAGAGCGCACATGGGGACGAGGGCAATGTCGTGGTACTGGTCGCGTCGGGGCTTTGCCACCTCCAGCTCTTTGGCGTCTTGTCAACATCCTGCATGAAGGTGGGAGAATCGCCATGTGTTTTCAGAAAGTACTTACGGCCGGTGTAGAGAAATCGCAGGCAGTGGGAGTTGAGCGATCCATGAGTTACCAAGGCGACTTCCACAGGGACGCATGACTGGTTTGCTGGGTCAGTCTTACAGTTCCCTTGACACCAAAGCCTTCCACATACCGAGGTCGGCGGTGGCAGATTGTCGCGGAAGTATCCGGACTCGGCTGTGAGTATCTCGCGGTGACAAAAATACGTCTTGTCGTCGAGATGGAGTATCACGTCCGCGCACGCTCCAGTCTTCCAGAGCCAGTATCTGACGTGTTTGGTGGCAAAACTCGGCGGCGTCTTCAAGTACTCTTGCCAGCCGTCGCGCTTCTCATTCTCGTCTTCAGGCTGGCCATTCCGAAGACCGTGTTCACTCAAGGCCGCCGCTGCTGCTTTCGACGCTTCCAATACCGCGCCGGAAGTCTTGTTCTCGGAATTAGGATTACTAGCAGGCGACTCTTCACGGCAGCGCTCAGCCGGCTCAGTATCTGCCTTTGGCGGCGGTGATTTAGCGGACGGGGGTCCTCGATTGTTGTCTGGGGTCGGCCACAAGGCTGAATCCGGAGTGCCGAGCGTGCTGTCGTTGCTGATGGGTGAGGTTGGCTTGGTGGTGCGGCTCCACGGGTTGGTTTTGGGGGGCGACGCCTCTCGAAGATTGACGGGCTCGCGGCTTTGCAGCAGCTGCGGCCGCGGCCAGTCGTCTTTTCCGACCAGGGTTGCCGGCACCTTTCTATTTCGACCGTCGAGTGAGGGCCGAGGCACTCCGTTGCGGCCGGTCATGATGTGATCGTCTTGGCCGGGGAGTGGTGGTGTGTGGCGCAGAGTAGAGGTGCGGGAAGGAAGTTTGCTTCCTGGCGGGATGGGTTCGGGAACATGGGCTTGGAGGGCCGTGGGCATTGGATTTCCATGAATCGCGGTATGGTGGCCCGTCAAGCCTGTGCTGCCATGGTAAGGCAAGTGTTTGCGTCGAAGGGCCTGTTCAGGGGAACTGCTGTGCGGCTGCGGTACAGCCATCCGTAGGGCCGCCACAGCAACGGCTCTGGCACGCCGGCACTGACAGGTAACTGATAGCCTGGGCAGTGCATGAACGTGCAGCTGGCGAAATGGAAGACCGGCGCGCGGCGGCAACTATACGGTATGGCGGAGGTCTAACACGGCTCTCCGCTGGTAGGGCTGGTGCAACGCAGCTGACAAGGAGCCTGCCGAGGCATTCGCAGGCCGACGTTGGCCGTGATTCAGTGCGATATTTCCGCAGATGGGATCGAAGCAGCAACTAGGCGCGGCGACTGGTGAATCGGGAGCTGTAAGGCCGGTTTGAAGTTGACAAGCGTTAGAGGGACGCTGGACGTGAAAAGTGGCCAACGTGGGCGAGGCAGCGGGACAGTAAGTGTGCCATATAACAGTTCCGCAGCATTCGACAAATTTCCCCATCGAATAGATGAGATGGCGAGACGAAAGAGCGCGTGAGTCGCCGTTTATATGGTCTACAAGAGCATGAATGCTTGCCAAGCCGCGTTATGCCAGTCGAACCATGCGGCAGGGAGGGAGGGGTCACGCAGTCTTTGTCGTGACACGCAATGTACGGTTTCCCCAGGCACGAGCTATCTCTCGTGGTTTTCGTGACTCTCGCGCCTCTCGTCCGTCTCGTACATTTTGCGTCTTCCGCTTCTCTCGCATCCTTTCCCGCCACCTGTGCCCTTCGTGCCGCCCGAGCCACGGGAAGCCAGGGTTGCCGACTAGAGATATAGACAGACGGGCAGTCGGATCATCAGGATTCGGGCATGTAGACAAAAATACCATGACGGCGGCGGCGGAGCGAGTGGCTGCCGGGAACGGCCCTGCGTCCTGAGACGCTGATGTGAACAGGCACTGACACCTGGCGGCAGTCCAGTCCGTTGCAGCGCTGTCGCTATGCAGGGCGATGCAGCGCTAGGTTTGCCTTTGTTACATGTCGCCTAGCAAGCTCGGCCGCGGCGCGTCCGTTACGCATTGATGAGCGGGTTCCGCAAGGTTGGCGGCGGCAGACCCTCCAGTCCGTGGTGGAGCGGCGCGCCTTGTTTGGTTTCCATGCCCGTCGACGTTCCCAGCGGCAATGGGTCCGCGCTGGATGGATGGTCCCTGGCGGACTTGCCGGCAGGTGTTCTGGAAGCTGAGGTGCCTGCCCTGCATCAACGTTTGCCCCACGCTGTCGGGAACCCCACCAGAGCGTCAGCGCTGCGCCTGCCGCACCCGACCGACTGGGTGAGGTGAGGTGTGCAGTCCCCTGGAGGGGCCCGGGGGGCAACAGGGCCGAGTGGCGGAGGGGTAGAGCGCTGGGGCGGGCAGTGGCGTCTCTACCCAGGTGGCTGCTCTGGATGCGCACAGAAGCTGGAAGCTGCCCCGCCCTGCGTCAGCAACACCCAGGCGCGTCTCGCCCGTTGCCTGCCTGCTGGCCTCCACTGCCTCCAGTCAACAACCTCCTCTTGCTCGCCTATCGAACTTCGAAACACCATAGCCGATCCCCAATCCATCCATCCATCCATCCATCCATCCACGATACCAAGCTACACCCGAGCCCGCCCCCTGGGCTAGCATCCGATATCATGTCCAAGTCCCTCGTCGAGATAAGCTCCAAGGAGCAGTTCGACAAGACGCTCAAGGGCTCCAAGATTGTCGTCGCCGACTGTGAGACAACCTGCCCCTCCATCCGACGGGCCAAGAGCCACGGCCAGTTTTCGGTCGGAAGGCCATCCGCCGCCGTGGCGGCAAGACGAATCGTCCGCTGACTCTCCTCGTCTCCTCTAGTCTACGCCGACTGGTGCGCTCCGTGCAAGCAAATCGCACCCCTCTACCAGACGCTCGCCGAGTCGCTCTCGCGCCCCAACGTCGTCACCTTCACCAAGGTCAACAGCGACAACAACGCCGCCCTCGCCCAGGAATACGGCGTCACCGCCCTCCCAACCTTCCTGCTCTTCCGCGACGCCAAGGTCACCCAAAAGATCCAAGGCGCTAACCCCGCCGAACTCAAGAAGGTGGTTCAGGACCTCGCGGCCGAGGTCGAGTCACTTGGCGAGGGCTCCGGCGGAAGCAGCAGCGGAGGCGGCGCTTGGAAGGGCGCCGAGATTCCTCGAGGCTACAGTGACATATCGGACCAGGTCGAGATCCGCAACTGCGAGCTCCTCAACGCCGACGAAGACGCCGGCCCCGTCAAGGTCCTCTTCACCGAGTCGAGGCCCAGTGCCCTCGACAAGGGGAAGGCGGCTGCCAAGGACAAGGACTGGGTGCAGAGCGGCGCCGACGATCAGCTACTTCTCTTTGTTCCTTTCCAGGGTTCCGTCAAGCTGCACACACTACAGGTCCGCGACTACGTTGAGTCGTTCCCACTGTGACGGGCCCAGCGCTAACTCTGATTAGATTACCTCTCTCCCGGCCGATGACCAGGACGACATCACGAGGCCCGAGGTGATCCGCCTGTACATAAACCGCACGCAGAACATGGACTTTTCCGAGGCGGACGAGACGGAACCCACGCAAGAGATCACGCTGAAGCCCGAGAACTGGAACAAGGACGGCACGGCAAACGTCAGCCTGCGGTACGTCAAGTTCCAGAAGACGACGACGCTGGTCATCTACGTCGAAAGAGGCACCGAAGGCGCCGAGGCTGTCCGCATCGACAGGCTCAAGCTCATCGGCGAGGCGGGCCCGAAACGCGAGATGGGTAAGCTGCAAAAGGTGGGCGAGGACGAGTAAGACGGCCCAGGGTTGAAAAGACGGCAATTGGACGTTGCGGTGGGCACTCGTTGTGCTAGGAGATTTGAGGACACGGCCGACGAGACGGACGTGCAGACAAGTCGAGGCTCGACCGGTTCGGGAGCCAGCAACGGAGTTTTGGTAGCATTGGTAGAGAGCATCAAGTGCAGAGCAAACTAAGACACGAATTATGGCATCGCGCATTGACGGGCCAAAATCCGGTATCGAGTTAAAGGGCAGTCGCGAGAAGAGAATCTCGCCAAGCTAGACTACGCAAATTCGGGTTCTTGAAGTGTCCGATCCCCAAACCGCGACAGACGTGCGACGAGCACGAAGTCAATGGTAGGGGTCCGGCGTGCAATTAAAATTGATCTGGGGCATAACTGACGCTGCGATGTTATCCATTGATTGAAGGATTCGAGCAACACGGGAGAAATTTTCAGGTTATGCCAGCCGCACAAAGGGGAAAAAAAGAAGAGGAAGCGTAGCTTCACGCCCGGCGCCCGAGATTTTATTTGCGGCGGTTGGTCCCCGCAAAAAAAATTGTAGTCGGCTTAGTCATGGGTTCCGTCTGCCCGATGCTGCCTACCCGGGACCAAGAGCATGCTGCACAATGAAGCTGCAGCGTCGTCGGGATTGTCGCTGCAGCGTGAAAACGAATGGTAATATGTGTGTCTCTATATTGCTGCCATCGACAGGGATGGGAGGGATGTTCAGGACCGAGCGTCCGAGTTGGTGTCAAGACACCGACTGTGTGAGACTCTCACCCCTCGTTGCTTCCTCTGTCGGGCAGCTGGAGGCTCATAAAAACTGCCGGCAAGTTCCCCCGGCAAGCCGCGCCAATGCTCTTCAGGCTGCTGTGGCTCAATGTAGATTCCCTGCTGGAACTGCCCGTTCCGCCAATCGGAACGTGCTCGCAAGGATTAAGCTCAGGTCTCCAAACAATGTCTCTTAAACGCCTCTTTGCGTTGCGGCTGCCCTTTCGCACCCCAAGCCGCAGTTCTGGCTGCGCATGGCCATCAACTTTCCTGTTCCCCTTTCTCCCGTCTGTGTTCGACGATGGAAGACGTGCGTGATCGGTGCCGGCACGAGACGCAGCTGTCGGTCGCATAGTCGCGTCATTGGAGGGTAGACGAGGCCCCCCCCTCGTTCATGCAACTGTCCGCCGGGAGTCTGGCTCCAACACAACCCGAGGTTGATTGAGTATCTTTGGATCTACCAGCGATGTCTTCACGGTCACTGCCAGTGCTGGCGCCACGAGCCCCGGGCAGCGCCCCCGAGGTGGCCGAGCGGGCCATGTCCAGAGAACACACCGAGGCCGAGTGGAAGTCGATGAGGGGCGTCATCGAACAGCTCTACATCCACGAGAACCGTAAGCTCGTCGAGACCATGGCGATCCTCGAGAGCAAGTATGGCTTCGCCGCGACGTAAGTAACTGCCATTTTTGCCACCATCGAGGGCTGGCTAGCTGACTACATACCCATGGGAAGTGAGCAAATGTACAAGAAGCGCCTGAAGAAGTGGGACATGCGCAAGCGGACTTATCGCAAGACGCAAGACGGCTCCAGCGCCTCGACGCCGGCGCCATCGACGGCCGCCTCAGACGGCGTCGACGCTGTCATGAACGTTCCTGTCGAGGAGGTGTCCCCCTCTCGCGCTGTCGTTCCAAGCGCAAAGCCGCTGGCCATCGAGCGCGTCCGCAGGTCCCCGGGGCCGTACACCGGGCTGGAGCTTGTCCTGGACAGCGTGTTCTCGTGGAGCCTGAGCAAGCTGCAGGCGCATCGGAGCTGCTCCGACCCCATGTCCAGGTATCTCGCGAACCCGAACCAGCCGCCTCTGCAGGACAGCCGGACCATGTACCGTACCTTCGAGCTCGTCTTTGATCTCTGGTACTACGGCAAGGGCCAGCTCGCGGGCATGGCCGCGCGCAAGGCATTTTACGCGCTCGAGTTTGTACTCACCGAGGACCACCCGGACCTCGTGTGGCACATACTGGATACTGTCTACGACATGGTTGACCGCGGGCACATCCAGCTGCTCGGCATGTTCCTCCCGCACGCGACGGTGCTGGCCACGAGGCAGCTACCCGCGAACCACCCGCTTCTGCGGATACTGGAGCAGCTGATGAGGTGCGACTACCAGACCGAGCTCGGCAGACAGCAGGTCTGCTACATGCTGCGACAGGCGTGGCTCCGGAACGTAGACATCCTCACCGAACGCATCGGGTCGCTGGCGCCGCAGCACCTCTGGCTCTACGAGCAGCTTATATGGGACGGCCGGACGCGCCTGCGCAAAGGAGACGAGCTGGCGCGGCGACGAGAGGCCATGCTGGGTGCCTTGGAGGGGCTCCGGGGCCAGCGCGAATCATCACCAGCCGAAGAGGAGGACGATGCGGATTCCGAGGCTCTCCGCGTCCGCGCCCTCATGCTCGAGTACACGCAGATGGACCTCGGCGACCGACAGGCGGCGGAGCAACTCGCGCTGGACCTGCTGGAGCGCACGGCGTCGGACGGCGGCACGCGGTCCAAGGCGCGGTTCCACGCGTACGCGCGCAAGATGCTGGCGCGCCTGCAGCAGGAGCGGCAGGACTGGGCTGGGGCTGAGGCGAACCTCCGGTGGGCGGTGACGAAGCGCGAGGCGGCACACGGCGCCGACTCGAACCTGCGCGTGATCCGCGACCTGTGGGTGCTGGCGGCGCACTTTCAGCGCGCGGGCATGCAGGAGGCGGCGGACCGGACGACGCAGGATGCGCTCGCGCGGGCGGCGCGATATCTGGGCGCAGACGCATGACGACCGACTGTTTTCTTGCTTGATTGACGGACTGACTGACTGGGGACGGGACTTGAGACTGGCTTCTGAAAGGCGGCGTCGACGGGGGGTGTGTGTTATCGTTTCGTGACTGGATATGGATGGCGGTGATACCCCTACTTTTACTCAAAGCACAACTACCAATGATGTCGATATAAATTTTACTCTGTACCACGCGACAGTCTCTGATCGCAAAATGCAGTGCGACTTGCAGGTCGGTCGCCCCCCAGCTAGGTGGTATCGATGGACGGAGGAGGAGCATGGGTCGGAAAAGCCACGCGCAGACGCTGCGCAACGGCGGGGGACCCGCAAAGCGCAACGATGACGTTGCACTCTCGATGCACACACTGTCACACACACAGTTGGATGCCAGACGCACATGCGCGCGCCGCCCATCCCACTTCCCTGTTCCTGGCGCCGCCGCCGCCGCCTGGCTCCAAGTTGCCCCCCCAGTGAACGGCACGAAACATGCATCTGTCCAACTCGAACCTGCATCGTCGTCGTCGCACCGTGCACTTGACATACATCATCCCACGCGAGGCGGCCACTACTTCCCCATCTTCTATTAGCCCCCCGCCCCATCTGTCTCTGATCTGAGCAGCATCCGACCACAATCATGGCGACGGGACCTCCACCCGATTATTGTAAGCTGCCCTCATCGTGGTTCACGGGCTGCCATGTGCCATGCGCCGGGCGAGACTGACTCTTCTCGAACGCAGATGCGATCCTGGGCATACAGGACACGGCGACGGAGCAGCAGGTTCGCGATGCGTACAAGCGGTAAGCCAGCCAGCCACACCGGCCTTCACACATAGGTATAACCATATGAGGATCATCACTGACGGGGCGGTAATCATGCCTCCAGCGCCGCCCTCAAGACGCACCCCGACCGCGTCGCCACCGACTCGCCCGACCGCCCCGCCCGCACGCGCAAGTTCCAGCTCGTAAACGACGCCTACTTCACCCTCTCGGACGCCTCCCGCCGGCGCGAGTACGACACCCAGCGCCGCCTGTTCCCCGGCTCGCGCAGCAGGAAGAAGAAGCCCGCCGCTGCGTCCTCCTCCTCGGGGTCCTCGTACGCGGACCCCTTCGCCGAGTACGACGAGTCCGCCGACGAGGAGATCCCGCCGCAGGGCGGCAACGACACTGCGGGCGCGGGCAACGCCTACTCGTGGGCGTGGAACTTCTTCACCGGCCGCCAGAATGAGCAGCAGCGCCACGGGGCGGCGGGCGACCGCCAGCAGACGGAGGATGCGCAGTTCGAGGACGTGTTCGAGGAGATGATGCGCGAGGAGGGCATGGCCGAGGGGGACGGGTCCAACGCGCCGACGGGCAAGTTCTGGTCGCTGCTCGGCGGCGTCAGCGGCGGGGCCCTCGGCTTCATCGTCGCCAACGTGCCGGGCCTCGTGGCCGGCGCCGTGGCCGGCAACAGGCTCGGTGCCGTGCGCGACGCCAAGGGGAAGAGCGTCTATGCCGTGTTCCAGGTGAGTGTGACCGCGAGTACATAGCATGGCGTCCACCCCCGCCTGCCATCATCCTCGATCGTGTGGCTTCCGATGTTGCCGGCAGTTGGCTGACGACACGCACGTACAGGAGCTGCCGCAGGATGACAGGTCGAGGCTGCTGAGCCAGCTCGCGGCTAGAGTATTCAGTCACGCCGTCGGCGTGTAGGGGTCCCCTTTGAGTGAAAGAGGAGCGGAAGTGAGACGAAGAGGAAGGGGACGAGGAAATATGATGAAAGGTGGCTCTGTCGCAAAACGAGCGGTGTCCGGCGTTTTCATCCATTGGCAAGCCGTTGCAGTTCAATACCTACCGTAGACGCAGTTCTGAATAACAAAACCTTTGAGTCTCGACGAAGACGTGGACCTCGTGTCATGTAGCACTCGCATCGTAGAGCGACACGTACAAAGGCAGCCATTCTATTAAGGGCCTCAACTACCATGTGAGCTTGGGGGTTATCAAGGCCTCCGCGCGAGTCCCAACAGCAGCCCAATTCCAAACCGGCGATTCCTCCCAGCTCGGCCCTGTCGACAGACAAGCCCAACCTCGAGATCGAGTCCCCAACAAGATGACGCTTGCCTCCTCGGTTGGCATAGGCGTGCCTTGACCACGCACGAGGCCCTGTATCTCACAAGTCTTCCGCCAACCCTTGTCAACATCGTCGTCAAAGCGGAGATGTGAAGAAAGTCTCACATACAGTTTCGACCCAGATGACGCACTTTGCAAACTGTCATGCCCCAAGCCGGTGGCGGGGGGACCTCGCTTGTCCCAATTTTATACAGCAAATCCAGGTCTAATGCCTGCTGCAACCGTGTCGTCATGTCTTGCAAATCGCAGCACCGAATTCCAAACCGCCCAGCGCCAAAAGAACAAGAAAGATGCGTCTCCCTTATTTGCGGGGAGGAGGGTTGAAGCCCGGGGGCGCGCCGGGGGGACCGCCAGGAGCGCCGCCGGGGAAGCCAGCGGGAGGGCGGAAGTTGCCCGGGAAGCCAGGGGGAGGAAACTGGCCCGGGAAGCCGGGAGGAGGGCCTGGAGAGGGGTTACCGCTGGTCATCATCAAATCGCAGTTGCAGGGACATCACATACCACCACCGCGTCCGAAGGGAGCGGGAGGCGCGCCGCCTGGGAAGCCAGGGAAACCTGGAGGAGGGGCACCACCACCAACGCCGGCAGCAGGGCCCTGGGTTTTGTTAGCCCCAGATTCGAGGAGTCTGGAGGGGGGGAAAGGTATGGCAATAGGGCGGGTTCTCACAGCCAAGTTGGCGGGAGGAGCACCACGGCCGGCGGGCCGAGCGACGCCGGGGCCAGCACCGAGGGTCGAGGGAATGCCACCCGCGGTGGAACGTCCGAGACGGGCGCTGGGATCGGCGGGGGGAGGAGACTCGACGGAGACGGAAATGATCTGGGCGCCGCGGACGATGGTGAGGCCGAGGGTTCGCTTCTCTTCGTTCTCGATGACCTGCGCGTCGGAGCCGGGAGCACCAGACTTGGCCTGTCTGCGCTTCACGCGGCGGAACTCTTCGGTGTCGGCGAGAACGAGGTTCATGTGCTGCCAGCGACGTCAGCCGCGTTCGGAGTGGGAATTTGCTGGGTAAACATACCTTGTCAAACGCAAGCATCTGGCCCGTCATCTGGCGGCCATCATTGAGAACGATGCGCATGCGCCAGTTGATCTGAGTCCATCGAGTCAGCAATGCCTTCCATCGGTGAACGCCGTGGGGTCGGATCGAGGAGCACGTACGTAGCCAATCTGCCAACACGCGAGCTGTTAGCATCATGTCATCCAAACGCGGCGGGGGTTATCAAGCTCGACGCGGGAGACATACCATCTTTCCCTGCTTGTTCGACGACATCTTGACTGCTGCTTGGCGAGGTTGCCGAACGAGACACGAGAGGATGCGTGGGTAGGAGTGAGGCGTGGGCGGAGGAACGTGTTGCGCGAGAGCGGTGACCTGGAAGCTCTGCGCGTTTGCGGGCGAGGTGATTGCGAGGTCCAAATTTCGCGGAGCCTGATGCAGAAGGCTGAGAAAAGAGGTACAAACCAGATGTACCAACAGGCGGGTTCGCGCTAGTCCGCTTTGGTCGGGCCACCCGCCCCACTTTTTGGCCCGGCTCGGTTGAGGGCAGCAAAACCCTCGAATTTTCAAGCCGCCTCACAAAATTCCTGTCCGTTCAACCTCCCAACCGGCAACTTCGACATCAACCACCCCCGTCGACAACCACCGCAGCAATGGCGTCCGAGAAGGCAAACAACCCCATGCGGGAGCTCAAGATTCAGAAGCTCGTTCTGAACATCTCCGTCGGCGAGTCTGGTGACAGACTTACCCGTGCCGCCAAGGTGCTCGAGCAGCTGTCTGGTCAGACGCCCGTCTACAGTACGTTTTGTCCCCGCGCTTCATTGAGGCATCGCAGCATGGCAGTCGTCTAACTCAATGTGCAGGCAAGGCCCGTTACACCGTCCGTACCTTCGGTATCCGCCGTAACGAGAAGATTGCTGTCCACGTCACCGTCCGCGGCCCCAAGGTAAATATTTTCTTTCCACGGAAGCCGGCGCAGGAACAGTCACCCTAACAGACGACAGGCCGAGGAGATTCTCGAGCGTGGCCTCAAGGTCAAGGAGTACGAGCTGCGCAAGCGCAACTTCTCCGAGACTGGCAACTTCGGCTTCGGTATCAGCGAGCACATCGATCTCGGTATCAAGTACGACCCCTCCATCGGTATCTACGGCATGGACTTCTACTGCTGCATGACCCGCCCCGGTGAGCGCGTCACCCGCCGCCGCCGCATGAAGAGCACCATCGGCTTCAGCCACCGCATCAAGCGCGACGAGACCGTCAAGTGGTTCAAGCAGCGCTTCGATGGCATCGTCCGATAAATCATCTCATTCTCACCACGGGGTTTTGTCTTCACGGATGGTCATGGCGAATTGCTTTTGGGAACAAAATAGGGTCACGCGGTCATGTATTTCCGTTGCCTTTGCATGAGCTCCGACTTGGAATTGAGTCGAGCTACGGCCTCAGAGACCGACCGGCGCCTCAGCCGGCTTCCGTATACTTGCCCACGAATGTGATTAATTGTCGGCACGTACTTCCCGATTGGCGACTTGTATAGGATCCGTCTGCTGTTATGTTGTCGTGGCTGTAACAATTTTGAGACTGTACTTCGTAGATTGTGGCGGAGCAGACGACAGCCGGGCGTTGTGGGTTTGCGCTTCGTGTGCGTGGTGCGGCACAGCGCAGCGTACTTCCCTTTCCGGTCATACCCAGCGCTCTGCGGAGCTGACGCCCCAATATGCGCCACAGCCTCACGCATCGTGGAAGCTGGATCTGCTTGTCGGCGGCCCGACGACCACATCGACATTCTGTCAGCAGGCTTTCGGGCCGGCATCAGGGATAAGGAGTGATGTCACACGAACTGACGCGTCGACGCATATATAGCATCCTCATCCTCGTCCTCAAAGCAACCTGGTAGAACATCTCAATACAATACGTAGAGCATCTTCACACGATTGTCTCCCAACAACTGCTGTTGTCTTGTCTTGTTTTTGTTTTCCACACCTTTGCACCGCTTTCCTGGGCTACACCAGACACCGAATCCCAGATTCCCAAACATCGCTGTCACCAAGATGGGTTCGACCGAGTCCAAAGTGGTCGGCACTCGCATGACCCAGTCCAAGCTCGCCAACATCAACCTGCCGAACAAGTTTGGCCTTTGGTACAAGGGCAAGGCGCATATCAGGCTCATCATCGGCGCGGACAAAAACAGCACAACACATCTCATCACCCTCCCTGATGGCTGGCACGGAGATCTCATCTTCTACAACGGGCCTACAAACGAATCAGACCCGATGGCCGTGGTGACGTACGGGAGCAAGATGGGCTGGCACGACAAGATCCGCCTCGCGGCGCAGCCCGGGCGAGCACCGATCGAGGAGGAGGTTCGCGTCCGAGGCAACGGCTGGTCGATGATCTACGCCTTTACCGTCGCCATCGACAGCACCTCGCTGCCCGAGAGATTCGAATGGCGCAGCAGCAGGAGCGACGAGGTCAAGGAGCTTGGCGAGGGCTCCCATGGCTACAAGCTGGTGCGGCTTGGACCTGAGGAGGAGATTGTCGCCATCGCAGGCAATGCGAAGTGGACCAAGTCGTGGACCAAGGCGGGCGCGTTCCAATTCAGAGGACGAGGCGCGACTGGGGAGCTCGGAGAGGCGTGGGCCATCATGGCCGTGGTGTCGTTTGTGAGGATTGTGCAGCGGAACATGCAGGCTGCCGTTGCGGCGAGCGCGGCGGCTTGAGATGCGGGCTTAATGGATTTGTGAACGATACCCTAGCGTAGCGGCACTGTTGTGCTGATTTGATCAGTCGAATATGAAAGATCTGGAAATACTCACACTGAAGCACGTTGATCAGGATTAAACCTTGAAAGGCTTGATCTCGCCCTTTCCGAGGAAGCTATGCTGGTAGAAGCTGCAATGCCTGGATTGTGAGCCGCTACTCATCTTGACTTGAGCGGCAAGGGCGCGAGATGTCAAGTCAATGGGAGCTACAAGAGGCACGCATGGTTGGAAAAGGCCGATCAATTCGAGAGAGGTTCGAACAGCTCGTCAGTGACGAACGGTTCGACAGGTTCGGCATTTCGAGAAGGGCGAACAGCTCGAACAGTTTGAGAGGTTCGCGCAGTTTGAGCGGTTCGACGAGACACTCGACATGAGGTGTTCGAACGAGAGCAACGAGAGCAACGAGAGCAACGAGAGCAAGGGAACATGCATGGCATTCCCGGGACTTGATCGTGAGGCACGTTAGCAGGCGCGAGCCCCAGTTGCCACGGCGCCAAAGGCACACTGTCATTCAGTGGTTGTGCCGCCGCTCCTCCAGCGCATGGCCCCAGCGGAGGAGGTCGGGTCCGGGCGCAATGCAGCGGGCGGCCGGGGCGGCTGACAGAGACGGGACGGGAGCTGATGCCTCAGGAAGCAGCCGCCTCAGGCACGGCTGGCCTGGCCCGGGGCAAAAATTGTCTAAGGCATCCAGCATGCGCAGCGACGGAGACGGGGGGCCTCGGAATTTGCAGGCAAAACCGCGCAACGGCCGCTGATTGGGCGGCGGGCGGCTGCGCGGGTCCACCTCCTCCCTCCACAGACTCTGTTTCCCCGTCACTGTCTGTTCCTCCCGAAAATCTCCATTTGCTCTCCTGCAAAGGCAGCATCGCAACCCCCAATCTCCCCTCTCCCCAATTGCACGGTGCTGCAATTGCTCTCCTTCCATCTACGCCTCCCAGCCACCGCCCTCACCATGTTCCGGAACGCCCTCCGACAGTCCACGCGTGCCGTGGGCGCCGTCTCTGCCGCCGGCAGGGTCGCCGCGGTGAGTGTCCTCTAGCCAGCACCCAAGCCGACCACCAATGCCATCCACCGACGCCCGCCGCCATCAGAAAATCGCCTGCAGAGCTCAATTGGATCTTCGGACGGGGCCTGGGCGTCGTTGGATGCATTTTTGGAGGCGTGCACACGCGCTGCGTCGCCTCGAGTCGCCGCAGTCAGGTTCTGTCGTCGGGGCTTCGGCTAACTTGTTTTTCTGCCCCAGGTCCGAAATGCCGCACCCGCCGCCGTGGCCGTGCAGGCCCGAACCTACGCCGCCGACACCAAGGCCTCGCCGACCGAGGTCTCCTCCATTCTCGAGCAGCGAATTCGCGGTGTCCAGGAGGAGTCTGGCCTCGCTGAGACTGGCCGCGTCCTTTCCGTCGGGTATGTGGAGCTCCGCAGGCTGGGAGAGATGCCGACCCGCCTCCCCGAAGTCAATTCGCATCGCCATTTGCGGCACAACTGCCGCCATCGGCACTGCGCTCGCGTCGCTGGCACCGCAAAATTGCCGATAGCACACTCGACGAGAACGAAATGGCTGACATTTGCGATCTAGTGACGGTATTGCCCGTGTCCACGGCCTGTCCAACGTCCAGGCTGAGGAGCTGGTCGAGTGAGTCCCCAATGCGACGGCAAGTCTCAAAAGACGCATCTAATCATTGTTTCCCAGGTTCTCCTCTGGCGTCAAGGGCATGTGCATGAACCTCGAGGCCGGCCAGGTCGGTGTCGTGCTGTTCGGTTCTGACCGTCTCGTCCGTGAGGGCCAGACTGTCAAGCGTACCGGCGAGATTGTAAGTCTTTTCGCCTTTCTCGACAACATCTCGTCGTCCGCGAAAAGTACTGACCAGGCTCTAGGTCGACGTCCCCGTCGGCCCTGAGATGCTTGGCCGTGTCGTCGATGCCCTGGGTAACCCCATCGACGGCAAGGGCCCCATCAACACCAAGGAGAAGCGTCGTGCCCAGCTCAAGGCTCCCGGCATTCTGCCCCGCAAGTCTGTCAACCAGCCCGTGCAGACCGGTTTCAAGTCCGTCGACGCCATGGTTCCCATCGGCCGTGGTCAGCGTGAGTTGATCATCGGTGACCGTCAGACCGGCAAGACCGCCGTCGGCCTCGACACCATCCTCAACCAGAAGCGCTGGAACGACGGCAACGACGAGACCAAGAAGCTTTACTGCGTCTACGTCGCCGTTGGCCAGAAGCGATCTACCGTTGCCCAGCTCGTCAAGACCCTCGAGGAGAACGACGCCATGAAGTACTCCATCGTCGTCGCCGCTACCGCCTCCGAGGCCGCTCCCCTGCAGTACATTGCTCCTTTCACTGGTAAGAGTTACCCTTTCTGAACCGCTTCTCTCTTATATACTTACCATTTGCGTGACTAGGCGCTTCTCTCGGTGAATGGTTCCGCGACAATGGCAAGCACTCTCTGGTTATCTACGACGATCTGTCGAAGCAGGCCGTTGCCTACCGCCAGATGTCTCTGCTGCTCCGTCGTCCTCCCGGCCGTGAGGCTTACCCCGGTGACGTCTTCTATCTGCACTCCCGTCTGCTGGAGCGTGCCGCCAAGCTCAACAACGACCACGGTGGCGGCTCCATGACTGCCCTGCCCATCATCGAGACCCAGGGTGGTGACGTGTCTGCCTACATTCCCACCAACGTCATTTCCATTACCGACGGCCAGATTTTCCTCGAGTCCGAGCTCTTCTACAAGGGTGTCCGCCCCGCCATCAACGTCGGTCTGTCCGTCTCGCGTGTCGGCTCCGCCGCGCAGCTCAAGGCCATGAAGCAGGTCGCTGGTTCCCTGAAGCTCTTCTTGGCCCAGTACCGTGAGGTCGCCGCCTTCGCCCAGTTCGGTTCCGACCTGGACGCCGCCACCAAGCAGACGCTGGCCCGTGGTGAGCGCCTGACGGAGCTCCTGAAGCAGAAGCAGTACTCGCCCATGGCCGTCAACGAGATGGTTCCCCTCATCTTCGCCGGTGTCAACGGCTACCTCGACACCGTCCCCGTCGACAAGATCCTGCAGTGGGAGTCTGACTACCTCGCCCACCTCAAGGCCAACGAGTCCGACCTGCTGGCCACGCTCGAGAAGGAGGGCGCCATCAGCAAGGAGCTGGAGGGCCGCCTCAAGGAGGTCACGACGTCCTTCATCAAGAGCTTCCTCGGCTAAGCATTTAATCACGCGCCATCTTGAGCGACATAGAGAAAGGGCCGTTGGGGATGCTGCTGTCTATACCGAATTTTGTAGTTGATCTCGCTTGAAGCGGAGGGAGAGCCGAGGGGTGTACCTGATGGAGCGTTGGGGACTTGGGAGACTCGCCAATCGTACCATCACATGTAAAAATAGAGCTCATAACTCAATGAACGCCCTCAATTTCCTTTGTTCTATAAACTATTACTCTATCGCGCTGATGACCGTATTTGTGAATAGTTGCGATTTATGTGTCGTTGGGGAGCTGATTTCCTGAGAGACTTTGGGAGCTCCTTCCCGTGACATCATGCGTATGTAAGGCGGACTGGCCTCATGCGATCTCGACCTCACTCCTCACCTCTTTTCAACTGCCTACTGGACCTATGCTCTCATTTGTTTACACGTCCAAGGCCACCAATTCGTGACATTGCCACGTAAGTCCGTGACGCTTGCATTTCCGTTCTGGTTGAGGATTACTTATTGGTCAAAGCGAGTCGTACGACGCTGCCCGCGGTTCCCCTCATCCGCACGCGCATCCGGCCGTCGACGGCCAGCCTGAGAGCGTCCCGACGACGACAGTCTCGCTCGCAATGACGGCGGATTTTGAAGCACCCGCAATGTCTGCAGCCACGAGAAGCACTCTGGCCAAGGTGCGGCGCATGGTGCCCCCGATGCTGGACAAGTTTCACAAGGGTTGGTGGCTCCAGCCGACCATTCCTGGCATGGCCTCGGGCTCTTTAGCCTTTGCTTCACGACCTCGCAAGGCTGACGTTCCTGCACAGGACAGCTTGGGCGCGTGGCAGTCATTGGGGGCAGCGAGGACTACACGGGCGCGCCGTACTTTTCAGCCATGGCCAGCGCGAGGCTGGGTTGCGACATGGTGAGTGAAGAGGCTCGCACGCGGAGAGATGGACCACTGGACTTGAGGAGCAACGGCTGACGGAGTCATTGCGATCGCGGGATGGCAGTCTCACGTTATTTGCACACCCGGCGCTGCGGCAGTCATAAAGACGTACTCGCCCAACCTCATGGTCCACCCGCTCATGCGGCAGTCTCCTCCCGAGAGTAGCCAGCAGCAGCAGCAGCGCGGCTCGGACTCGGACGCGGAGCACGTTGCCGCGCGCATCGTCGAGATGCTCCCGCGGCTGCACGTCCTCGTCGTCGGGCCCGGGCTGGGCCGCGACCCTCTCATGCAGGCGACGGTCGCGCGCGTTGTCCGTGCGGCCCGCGAACGGGAGATGCCCGTTGTCCTAGACGCCGACGCTCTGCAGCTCGTGCAGCAGGACCCGGGCCTCGTCAAGGGATACGCCGGCGCGGTGCTGACGCCCAATGTGGTCGAGTTCAAGCGTCTGTGGGAGTCCCTAGGCCTCGACGATCCGGGCGAAGGCGCCGGCGAGACGGGCAAGGTCGAGGCCCTGGCCAAGGCGCTGGGAGGCGTCACCGTGATACAGAAAGGCGGCAGCGACTTCATCTCCAATGGGAAGACAACACTGACGGACGATCTGACGGGCGGCAAAAAGAGGAGCGGCGGCCAAGGTGACACGCTCACCGGCTCGGTGGCGACGTTCCTCGCCTGGAGGAAGGCCTACATGGACAGGCTCTGGGATGTGGGCGACAAGCCACTCTCGGCGGACGAGATGATGGGACTGGCGGCTTTTGGAGGAAGCGCCGTCACGAGAGTACGTCTAATCAACCCTTTCCCTTCTCTGGCCTCCCTTCCCGCTGTTCTATGCGCCGCTCCGATGTGCGGACGGTGCAGGGGATGAGTTCTAGACCCTGCTCCACACAATTGTCATGCAGAAAGGTGATGACGACGGATGGGATTGACTCGGAGCCGCTAACGTCGGCCAAAGGAGTGTTCGCGACTAGCGTTCCTGAAAAAGGGCCGAAGCCTTCAAGCGAGTGACCTGACGGACGAGATTCACAACGCCTTCATGGGGCTGTTTGGGGAGGTAGACGGTGGGGAGTCAGACTCTAAGTTATAGAGCGATAGAGTGGCGCCGCATACTATAGGGGATATACGATCTAGGAGAGATTAGGTTCCGAAACTACAGCTAGCTTACAGGGAAACATTCAAGAATCAGGTTCACCTACCTACCATTCGTCGCTAGTAAGTACCTAGTAGGTAAGCCTCGTTCGTCTCGTTCGCCTCGTCCCTCCCGTCCCTCCCGTTCCTCCCGTTCCTCTCGTTCCTCCCGTTCCTCTCGTTCCTCCCGTTCCTCCCGTTCCTCCCGTTCCTCCCGTTCCTTTCGTTTCTTTCGTTCCTCTCGTTGCTCCCGTTCCTTTCGCTTCTTTCGTTTTTCTCGTTGCTCCCGTTGCTCCCGTTTCTTTCGTAGCTCCCGTTTCTTTCGTTCCTCCTCTTTCTTTCGTCTCGTTCGTTCCTCTTAGATCGAATCTCCCGTTTCTGGTGGCTTTCGTTCTTCTCATAGCGTTCGTTCCTGTCGGTTCGAATCTCCCCTAGTATAGGGACCGATCGTGGCTCGCGCTTACGCCCATCTACCTTGGTAGTCTAACAACGACGCACCCCAATTACGTCAAGGAACGTGGGCTGACCCTGTGCAGCTACCTTGCAAACCGACAAGCTCGAGCTTGCAAATAGCTACCTTCAATTGCATATGCCCGGAGAATCCCAGCCGCGCCAGTAGGGTGACATGGAGCGCCGTTCGAGCCACTCCCGCAGCAAGGCCGGCCATAATGCGGCGAATTCGTGCAGATCGCCTCGTGGCCGGCCCGGGCAAGCGCGCTGACCGGGCCGAATGCATCGCGCAAGCGTGCCCGTGGTCGGATCCGATCTCTTTGACGCAAAATGGCCATGTCGACATATAAGAAAGCAACATGAACCTGAGCCGGATATCCGAGATCAGATCGCCCTGCGGCTCCCCCAGTCTTGTCTGTCGTACATATCCTGTGGTGTCGTCCAGATATGCGCGTCAACAGCATCGCCGGCCTCGCCACCGCGGCGGCGGCAGCGATACTCGTGCCAGCGATTGCCGCGATCCATGTCCCTCACGTCAATGTCCCTGCGTGCGGCAGCGGCATCCCGCCCCCCAAGCTCACCTACAACAAGGCCCTGCCGGGCCAGCCCACGCACGACTTTCCCCTCACACAAGCCGAGCTCTGCTACACTGGCACCTCGGTCGACTTCGTGCTGACGGCATTCAACGAGACGTCCTTCTTCTACAACGCCTCGCAGGGCACCAACGACCTCATCTTCGAGTACGAGGTCATGGAGGTCTTCATCTCGCGCGGCGACATCGACCCCATCACCTACTTCGAGATCGAAGTCAACCCCGCCAACGTCACCCTGCAGACGTTCGTCTTCAACCCCTCGCGGCGCCGCACGCCGGGGACGCCCTTTGACCACTTCCCCGTCTTGGACCCATTCGGCGACGGCATAGCCACCACGACGACGCTGGATCGGCCGGGGCACACCTGGCGGAGCACCGTGCGCATTCCCCTGGGGTACTTCAACATCGACGACGGTTGTGCGAGGGGCACGACCTGGCGGATGAACTTCTTCCGGACTGTGACCGATCCCCAGATGTTTCCGAACCAGACGCTTGGAGCGTGGAGCCCGGCCGACGTGGCAGACTTCCATGTCACGCGGCCTTTTGGACGCTTCACCTTTGTGTAGGCATGGCGCTTGAAGATTGGGGGGTGTACTAGGCACACCAAGTCGATGCCTTGCATGGGACTATACCGGCGCACGGTTGAGCCTGGCATCTGGTGAATTGATGTTCCTCGTTTTCTGCCCCTCCTCGTCTCCGGCGTGTTGTTCTGGCGTATCTTGTACCTGAGCTTTGGTCTTAGATCCTTGATGGACCGAAAACGCTCGTCTAAGCTATCGCGTTAAAGCTCCTCATTCGTCTTTGCGTGGAGTATTATTGTAAAATACCTATCGCTTCTAGATTCTGCTATGCCTCTCGTTGGCGTCGTTGGTGTCGTTGCTGTTGTCGCTGTCGTTGCTGTCGTTGCTGTTGTCGCTGTCGTTGCTCTCGTTGCTCTCGTTGCTCTCGTCAGCCTTAAGCATTGTTAATTCTTGCTTCATCCCCCTTGAAGCGTTCTGCTTCCAGTGGCACTTCAAATTGGACCTGTCGAAGGGTTCATTCGCGCATGATTTGCTTTTCATTTCTGGCCTACTTGTGTATTGCCATGGCAAAGCTCATGCCATCTATCTACAGTGGTTGTCTCTGCAACCACGCGGGCTAGAATGTGACACCCGCGTCCGCGAGGTACCCAATAGCCTGCAGACCTTCCTGTCGTGGTCCCGTCCAAACCTCCTTGTCCCTGCCCAGCGGTCCGAGCCTGGTTCTCGTTCCTTTGAGAGGGTAAATGACAGACAATCATATCTGTAAAAACCAAACGCACTTGTGCCACCGAGATTTGTGTCAAAGAAGCTCGCAACGCCACTCATAATCATAATTTTCGTTCCGTAGTCTTTTCAAATCGAGAATAGCCGCCCTTGGAGGTATCTTGCAAACATGTTGCAGTGTGAAGACGCAAAGTTGTGATGCCACGCCCACAACTCCGTTGATGCTGAGATCGATCAAAGTACAAAGAAAAAAGGTTGCTGTCGCAACATGCTGTCGTAACGGTTGTGCTGATTCCGATGGCTCTCGTGTAGTCACAGTGGACGTGAGCCGGATTGCACCATTGCTTAAGAGCCCATTGGCTGCTGCACCGGCATCGGACCAGTCTCGTCGGGAATGGAGGTCCGTGCCGGAGGTTGACGAAGGCGGTTCGCGACATGAATGTCGATGAGCATCTCAACTAGCGCCTCTGCGTCCCTGTGCAGCTCGCCCAGCTCCTCCTCGTTGAAAGCTCGGCCGAGTTTTTCTGTCCCAGCTCTCGGCTTGCGGTATGCGGCGAACACAATTCCCCGATCAATTCGTTCCGAGAGTAAAACTCCCGAGACTGGGCTGTTCTTGCCCGATGTAGACTTGGCGAACTGGCCAGTGTAGAATGCACAGGCGTACCCGCGAGCCAGGTCGTGACTTGACGCCTGTTGGTTGCGATATTCGATCCAACCATCAGAGCGCAGAATGGTAGTATGAACGAGGGAAGATATTTGAAGCGGCGACGGAACGTGCTGGAGACCATGAGCCGCAAGAAGTCGCCCGACCATTGGCTTGGGGCCAGTGCTGATCTCCTCAGTCGCAGTGCCTGATATCCGAGCCGCAACGTTGTCAGGCCAAAGATTGACCACGTAGACGAGGTCAAAGTCATAACGCCGGGCAATTCGGGCTGCTTCGAACGCCGCCACGGCAGCAGGGCGACTTGCTCGCGGCGGGCTCAAGGTGAGCAGCGAGGAACCCAGAGGCTCCATCGACGAGATGGAGAGATCCATCGGCGGAAGCGCCGGCTCGTTGCAACCCTCCACCGGCGGAAGAATGGGGCTTTCGGGCGTGGACTCGGCAATGTCGTCGTCGCTCAGGTTAAGAAACTCATTGAAGTCGGGCTCTCGCAGTGTCGAGCTGCAGAAGGAGATTTGCGCTGAAGGCGCAATGCTTGACTGACTGTACGATCTGTGCAGCGATGCCTGGTCGGAGTCGTTTCCTGCCTGGTTGACCTTGAAGGCTACGTAGTCCACGGTTTCCGCAGGCTTCGGCCCTTGGAGACGTGACTCCCGCGTAGGGCTGACCTCTGGGGACTCCCGGGGAGTGGGAGGTGGCATCCGGCGAGGCACTTCTGGGACAGGTTTGATTCGCAGGCTTTGCGTGCAAGAGTCGTTGTCCTCGGGATCCGAAGCCGGTGGAGTGTCCAGTCTGCTATGAGGGATCGTCACCTGAAGTGGCGAGCGGCATCGAGGGCTTGGGAGCTGAGGAGCTTCCGACGAAGTCCTCTTCACCGCGAAGGAGGCCGGAGAGGCCTCCTCGTCATTGCGGCTGGGGGGCTTTGGAAACTGGAACTGGCGCAGGCCCGTAACAACGCGCTGGTCGGTTTGTCCAGGTCTGACGAACGACGGGGAGCGGAAAAGCCTGCGGTGGTGTTGGAGTGAACCGTCTGTCGATCCGGGCTTGTCGGCGTAGGATGGCTGCGTGCGATGTGCCGCGGCGATATCGGGCACAGAAGGCGAACGACCAACCTGGCGAAGACGGATTTCGTCGCGGGCGGCCATACGAAGGGCTTTGGGCCTGATAAAAGAAGGCGAAGGAAACTGAGGCTCCGAGGGCTGCACCACGGGACTGACCCGTTCGCTCGAGGCGGGCGATGCCTTCCGTTTGTAGGTGAAGAGCCGCTCAAGGCGGTCCAGGCCGTTGGCCATGGTCGTTGTTCCTTGGTGCGTGTGAAGCGGTACTCGAAAGGAACGGCTGCACTGAGCGGGCGGGCGAAATCCGCGAAATATGTGCACGAGGCGGCGGGTGAAGGGAACGCAATGGAAGAGTGGTGGTCGATCAGTATCAAGGTGTGCGTGGGTAGAAGGTTGTGTGTGAGAAGGTCATGTCAGGGCAAACGGGAGCTTGGGCCAGTGAATCACCGCTCGAAGCTGAAGAACGTTGACCGTTGGGTGGCAGGTTTTTCCACGCGGTGGCCCGACGAATGGTGTTCGCGACGGGATCAGACGAACAGAAGCACGGTTGCGCGTGCGGACCAGGCGTGCATGTCGTTGGAGAGCAGCGAACGTCGTTCGGGCGAGAGCGCGGCTGCACGGTGCCACTGAGTGTCGCGTGCTTCTGCAGGCGCGGTGTGCTGCTGTGGGCGTTGGCCGTCACCGCCGCGGAAGCTGGATGGGATGGATGGATGCGTCGTGGGACCTTTTTGTCGCGAGACTGTCGGCCAACGTCAGTGTCCCAAATAGATGGTCGGTCGAGGCGCCAGGCGATTCTCCTTAAGAAGAAGACGAGCGGACGCAATGGTGAGTAGCAGGGGCAGGCTGATGAGTTCGAGGTTCCTGGAGGGAGGAGTTGGTCCAGAGGAGAACCTGAAACCAACTGGGCAGGCGCGGCCGTTCGTGTAAGTGGCGCGAGGCAGGAACGGGGCTCCTCCACGCAAGGACAACAACAACAACGAGGCAGGAGCGGCAGCTGGAGCGGAAGGCGGGGCGGGCACAATGGGAAGGAGCAGCAGAGGGAGGCCTTTTTTTGAGAATCTTTGGCGAGATGGCAAGTGCAGGTGCAGGGTCGGGCAGGTGCGAGGCGGCAGGTTGCAAACGGGTGTCCCGAGAAGCATCCCTCGTCAACAGCGGCTGGGGGGCGCCAGGGAGTCTTTTAAACAGCAGGGAGAGACGACGAGAGGGTCAAGGGTCGAGGGCGAGGGTCGAGGGCGAGGGTCGAGGGACGAGGGCCCAGACGAACCGACGCACCCACTCCCGCCCATCGGCTCTTGGGACTGTGGCAAGTGGCTCCTCCTCCTCCTCCTCCTCCTCCCCCGTCAGCTCCCATTGCAACAATCACCACGATTGCGGCGCGCATGTGCACAGCACTGACGGTCATTACCAGGTCCAAAAGCAAGGAAGCCTGCCAGCTGCTCCGCTCCCGAGCGTCGTCGGCTGGCGACGAGATGGAGGGAGGGCCGCCCGAGCCACTCGCCGCTGGCAATTCAGCAGGACCGGCCCAGCAAGCAGGCAGCTTCTTTTCGCCCCATTTCAAGCCGCGAAAACAAGATTCGTCGCACGTCGCATGCCGCGTATGTACAGACAGACAGAGCAGAAGAAACAAGATGCACACCACCACCGGCGCCAGCACCATGGGAAAAGCACACAACCGTGCCACACCCATCCGCCGTGCTGGGCCACCCAATGCCACCACGCTACTCATGGTCGGCCGACGACAGGGGTCGACCGGCCAGCCCGGGCTCTCGGACGCCAGGCCGCTGGGTACCGTAGCTTGGTGGCAGTCCGGATCGCTCCCGCGGAGGCGGAGGCGGCGACGCGGGACGCTGTCCATCCCGTTTCTCGCATAGCGGCCTCCACAGCAACAGCGTTCCCCCTCCCTCACGCCGCTCTGCCGGTCGTCTCCTACACTCGACGCCGAGCGCAGCACAGTAATACTGCAGGCTGCTTTTCTTGACTGCTCCGCCCGAATGTCTGGGCGGCCGACCGAGACAAGCCTAGCTCTCTCCCGACTCTGCCAAATCTGCGAGAATCGCGCCACAATGATGAGGTTCGCAAGGCCAGAGACCGGGGCCAGAGACACACGACTGCCGCTCCATGCCAGCCGCAAGAGCATCCGAACGGCCTCGAAGCATTTAGAGCACCTCTTCGCCTTGCCACCACCTCGTGCCTGCTGCACTTGTGAGAGGGCAGTGTGGTACACCAGCAGCTGAGCTTCTGTGGTCCAGCGTGTCCAGACTCGCGGCACAAAAGGAAGGACAGGTATTGTCGACACATGGCATGTGCGCAGAAGCAGCTATTTTGGCGTTCTGTCCACGGTGCCACCCTAATGGGTGGCTTGTTTCCACGGCCCTTCGAGTCCGTCATGGTGGCTGCGGTGCTTGCTTTTTCAGCCGCATCGTGTCGTCTCCCCTCCCAGCGCCGACACGAGGGAGAGTGTTCGCGAATGACGAAGCGCACGAGGGAGAGGCGTCAGCATACCAGGCCCCCGGATCCCCAGCCAATATCTCATCTCTCACATTTTCCCTGGGCCACCCCAAGGCTGAGGCCACCCCCTGCTTTGAAAGGTTCCCCCCCATGGCTCCCCCTCCTCCCCGCTCGAGATCTCTCTGGCAGCCCTTCATCAGAATTCGACAAAGCCGTTGTTGGTCGCCCGCATCCATCGATCGTGAGATGGCTGGAACGGCTCAATTGTGGTCCGCGCGAGCAGTGGTGAAGAGCCGCAATGAGGCGGCGGTGGTATCTGCGGTTTGTGGAATTACCCCGTCATCGTCATCCAGTCGCTGTGGCCACAACGCGCCTCAGACCGATGTTGAGACATGTGGTACGGGATGCTCGTGGCAGCCCTGACTGAGGCGGATGTGCATGGGATGAAATCGACACATCGACTTGCTCGAGAGTTTGATCCGGTGCGGCATCCAAAGGTGACACAATCGCAGCTTGTACAAGATCAGGGCGCCGGCGCCAGCCATGTCAAGTTGTCAACACACTTCGCGTAGGCTGCCCCTCACCCCGTCGCTCTCCTCACGTCGGCAAAAAGACGTGCCACTGCCACCCATCACCAGGCCAGTCCGCCTCTCAAGCGACCCGGGCGATAATAGTCTGTGCGGGGCATATGTATGGCAGCCGGTTGAGGCCAATAGGGGCCGTCGGACGCGACGGAAGAAGCAAATGCGGCGCCCTCACGATGAGAGTCTCCGGCAGTAGCCAGTCATCGCCGAGCCCCCCCAAGCCACCCCAGCAAGGAAGCAGGATGGCAGAGCAGATCCTCTGACGAACCAAGGTGCCGGATCCATGGTTGCAGCGTTGAACGATGAGACAAAGACGGCGATGCCGCGCAGGAGCAATCAGACAAGTCCAGATTGCGCTGTTTCGCCTGCAGGGCCCAAACAACGCGATGAGGCAGTGTCCTGCGCGCCGGCCTTTCGTTTCAATCGGGCTCGTAATCCAGACCAAAAAGGACGGACGGGCTTCGAAGCCGTTGAGCGACGTGGACAAGGCGGAGCATAACCTTCGTGCTTGCAGGGCCGGCTGGCCGGGCCTGCCTGCAAGGGGGCCGTGCGCGCACGTCAGCCGTCGGTACACGAGCACGATGGAGTCATCCGAAAAGTCGGCTCGAGTCTGTGAAGATTTCGTTTTCTGCACGTGAGAGCTACTGTACTCCTCTCACACAGCATCCTATCGCGCAACTCCGTGTTCCTGGGACCTGCTGTGCCGTGGCTCTGTTGGGTCATGATTCCCACGTTCTCGGGGAAGCACGTTGCCTCGCTGCAGGATCTCCTGCCCCGCCGTCTGCAGAAAATCCATGGGCCTGGTCACTGGCGACGCGAGGCGACGCTGGAGTCCTGGAACCACGGTTATGCGTGCGGAGGAGCAAGGGAAGCCGACCAACTGGCCAGCGGCTCCTTGTTTACGGCCGGCGTGACGACGGTCCAAGCGGCCATGGGCCTGCACTTGGTCAGCCTGTCGAGCGAAATGACAGCTCGCACGCAGGGCGGCTTTGCTTCTTTGCGAATCCTAAGGCGTCTCGCGTCCCCACCTAGTTAGGACTCGCGTCATTCACCCGACTCTTACAGGGCGAGGAGGGTCGTCTCCTCTTGCTGCGGCGCTGTGGGCGGCCGCTGCTCAGCTTGCCCAAGTGGTGCTTACAAGCCTCTTGCACACATGCTTGGACAGGCGGAGGCCGCGCCTGTCACCCTCTGGGAAGACTGAATGCTCCACATTGGCACCATAGGAAAAGGTCGTCCTTAATATTATCTACAATAGGTAGCAACGGTAGCCACTCCAGCAGCGGCAGCGGCGAGAGCAACGGCGGTAACGACGGCAACGACAGTAGCGATAGCAACGGCGGCAACGACAGTGACAGCAGCAACGGCAGCAACCATAGTAAAGATAGTAACGACAGCAATAGCAGACACATTATAGCAGCGGCCGCAGCGGTGGTAGTCAGCTAGAAACGGACTGGTGTCCAAATACTGTCGCTTCTCTCCATTGACGGACCTCATCAGCCATAGCGAGACGACACTTCCAGGTTGTTACGGGACTCCGTGGGACGCCAGGCGGATCACAGTACAGAGCCGACCGCGTCAAGCTATGCCCCAGCCCAAGACAGCTGAATATAATTAGTGATTGCTCGGATGTCTCTGACTGCCTTGCCTCAGAGCTGGGCAAAAGAATGAAGCGACTAGCAAGTGGAGCGCAACCGGGGCGTTCAAGCAGGCGGGCTGTCCTTGCATACCCGTTAGTACTGCTAGGGTCAGAGCCGTTCGCCACCGGCTTTCCAGAGCTTCCAACAGATCTTCAGACAGTCGACCGGCGAACGTCGGACCCTGCAGATCGCTCTTTTGAATGTGTCAATGGCAAGCCTGTCCGTACGCATATTCATCACGACGATGCAGGGACTCTGAAAGACCCTTTTCGAACATGGCTTAATGATATTGTTCCCCGGGTTTGTTAAGTCTTGACAGTGCCGGTTTGGATCGGGCCCGCGTTGACGTGTACAACTCAACCCCAGACACCATCCGGGTCGATGTCCTTGGTAAAATGACTGCCGAGATATAGAATTGATCACATTCATCACATCTCGCAGGCATACGAACTGCACCAGATCTATCACCTCAGGGATCTCGCATGCTTGCTGCCAGCTCCAATGGGCTGGGCGGCTGCGACCACGACGACAGGACAACATGATGCAAGGGAGACCGAAGCGTTGCCGGGAGCCCCACGATCTGGGGCGGCACCCTTTACCTGGAAAGCAGATGGCCATGGGGACATGGGCAATCTCCCCACAACATTCAATCTCCCTGCATCGAGACGCCGGGCCGGCTCTCTGATGCCCTCTGTCGACCTGCCGGCCGTCCAGCACTAGTGCCGATAAGTCTCAAACATGCTGCCGTCCCAGGCCTGGCCGGTCCCTGCCCGAAGCCTAGGGGGCGATGCTCCGGGCACCGGGCTTTGGGGGCGACTGCACGGCCCGAGGGTGACGATAAGGAGGCAGGACGGCGCTTCAATTCCGCGAATTGCAGTATCATCCGCCTCCTTATTGATACGGACGAAGCAAAGAGGATTATTGCCTTCAGTTGAGCTGTGCAACCGTCTTCATTCAAGGAGTCCGGACGACAGACCTTCCAGATGCGATGGAATCGAACCATGAACCCGAAGCTGGAGTCCATCTCCATGAATGGATGCAACGAGGTTCAAGTCAGGTGGAACTATAGCCTCATGCACTTCGGTCGCCGCCCGACCAACATTGATTGACACGGGTGTCGCAGGATCCATACGAGTTGAATTTGGCGTGGCAATTGCCCTGATCCAGACATAACTCTGTGTGGCACCCAGCTGAACCACGCGATAGTAGGGAGGCCGTATATCCGTTCTGCCGTGCGCCTTGTAGTCGTGCGTGAAGGTCCCTATACATGTCGTCGAAGGAAGGTATCATCGCCAATATCTCGTCCAGTTCTTGAGGCGACGACACCAACGGGTGTTTGGATAACGGGACCCTCTCGACATGGACTCCGCCGTGCTCCTTGTCGTAGGCCGCCGCCTCATCCGCAATGGTTTGAGCATGACGAAGCACTCGCTTTCCCCCAATGACCTTCCAGTCCTGGCCATTGTCAAACTTGACAATCATCCCAGCAAGGTCGACGTGCTTGATTTGGTCGAGAGTATACTCGTTTGGTACGGCAACGTACTTGAGCTGCGGCTCCGGCGCGTTGGGCGGCTGGTATAGAATGTCCCGGGTTCCGGGGTAGTCGGGGTTGGGGGCTTCGGGACTAGGCGGGCAAGATGTCTCTCCTCGGGAGGACATTGCGAAACAGGCGATGAACAGAATTTGCGAGAGTATCATGATCAATCGGGTTTTGGTGCCGAGAGTGACATGGAGCGGACTGACAGAGGAGAGAGAGGTGGCCAGGAGACACAGGACGGGCATCGATACTTAAAGATGGCATTACCGCTGTTAATACCCCGACAGTGGTGTAACATGTGAATTGGGATCCGTGTGCAGTTGGTCCGCAGCTAGCTTCCAGAACAGGCACGGCCACCGGTACAGTTGCATCACCGCACAGTGCCATTTGAGTTATGGGATCGTGACTGCAGCCAACGCCATGTAAATCCTGTGGTATCACCACACGTGCTTGAGCCCCATTGCCCTCTATGGAGCCTTGCGTTCAGCCAACAAGGGTACATTACTTCTGTATCGTTGCAAATGTCTAACCCACGAAACAAGGTATCCATATGTATGAACCCACTGCTTGAACGGCGGCCAGTGCCTTGCGTAACTTGTGCGTTTGTGAATCCAAAGGACAAGCGCTATTTGAGCACCAGCCCTTTGCTATTTGGCAACGACAGCAACGACAGCAACGACAGCAACGACAGCACATGCAATGACAGCAATACGAGTGGCGAAAGGAGCAATTTAGAACTGGCCGGTACCTTGCAAGAAACTCCCATTCGAGCCCATGCTTCGATGAACCGATTCTCCGCAGTTAGTTATAACCGTACCAAAACTGGCCAATGCCTTCCGAAAAACTCCCCTTTGCGCCTGTGCTCTGCCGAATCCATCCCCCAAAGTCCATCCCCCATAACCCATTTGGCGGTGGTTCGAGCGTTTGCCCTGCTGGCTTAGATGGCGTCATGCTCACTGCCTTCACCAGGGTCCGAAGCTTCGTTCGACGGATTCTGCTCGCCGGACTCCTGAGGAACGCTGGCGGCTTTAATCATGCCAATAGCGGTATCTAGGTTGTGAAGCACTTGGCGTTGGCCCGCCTGGAATCCGTAGTGAGCAGCACGCCGGATGTGTTCTTGGATTGCTTTTGCCACGGCTTCGTTAACCGCGGCTTTCCGGCGGCGCAACATGTGATCGAGCTGTAGTCGACTCGCATCATCTAGGGATGCTCCGAGCTCCATCTGTTGATCTGGCGAGATGCTTGCAAGGACGGTCTGGGCCATGTCCAGCGCCAAATGGTCTTGCTCTGCAGAAGCAGCCCAGCGTTGGCATTCTTTTCTGGCGTCGGCCGCGCTTTTCTCGGCCGATTCCAACTTGTTCTGCATGAGCCTGAGCTCGTCGGCGTGCTCCTGCTTCATTTCCCTCATCTTCTTGGCCAAATTGCACTCGAACGGTTCAACAGAGTCGACATCGGATTCGTTCTCGCTTCCATTGCCTGCCTCGCCCGAGACAACATCTGCGACCTTTCTCTTGGGGGGCATGGCTTCGGTTTGGTTCGGCGAGTAGAGTCACAGAGAATTCGAAGCTGCCACGGGCCCGTTCGATCAGCGCTCTGTAAAGCGATATCGCTTGTTCGATGTTCGATGAGAGGGTGTGGACCAACCTTGTAGGTTCGCGCAGGCAGCTGCTGTTGTACGTAGGTAGCTCACCTCTGCTGGCGGGGAAACTCGTGTGTGTGGTGAGGGTGGAAGGGGAAGGAACGCGAAGGTGAAGGAAGAAGAAAAGCGAAGAGGAAGGAGGGAGAGGGAGAAGATTTATAAGGAATGCGAGAGATGGGACGAAAGAGAGTGAAGGCCTGTGCCCGTTTGCGCCGATGTTGTGCCATGGCCTGCCTGTTCAGTTGTGACCGTGGTTACCATCTAATCCTCAGGCACAAAGTGTGCGGACACTGCGAGCAGGAGCTTGAGAGGAGTCAGAGGAGTTGGGACTCAGAAGATCAGAAGCAAGTTCATATCTAATAGCATGGCTCCTGTGATTGGAGGCAAGCATCCGCTTCGACCCTCTCGTGCCTCTCGTATCTCTCGTTCGAGAGTTATCATGCTTACAGGATCACCTCTACAGCTGATGCCATTCCGTGTTCTACAAGGTCACGAATAGCCAACTGCCGTCAACACTTGTGCTGTCACCAGCACTGGAGCTCTCTATTCAGCATGGTACTTTTGGGTATAATTATATCATATCTAGGGGCTCGCAGGCATGGCCACGCTACTGGGGTCTGGCAAAGTCCGACAGACCACGCGGCGTATTTCATCAATCAAAGGGGATCCTGCGCAAGGTGTCCCCCTTGGCATGCTTCTTCATCTCCTGCGCCGCCGCAATGCTGCTGGGCACCTTGATGCCGCAGCAGTTGCCCCAACCAGTGCCGTCGTGGGCATGCTCTTCGTCGCCGTCGTGCCCAATATGCTCCTCATCGCTATCTTCCGCAGCAGCGCCTCCATCCGCGCTCATGCCGTCAGCCGCAGAAATCAGCGAGCCGAACAAAAAGTGCTGCATCACAGGCAACTTGCCAAGCACCTCGGAAACGAACATGCGGCGCATCCCGCCATCGATCTTGCTCCACGACTTGGCAGAGGAGATGTCATCGAGCATCGGGCTATGCCACCGCAGGCCTTTGACCGTCTTGGTGCTGTTGACAAAGTTGACCTGGCCTAGATACAGATAGTCGTGGCCAAACTCTTCGATGATGAGCTCTTGGTGTATTGAGCGAGGCGTGATGTACGGGTGGTGCAGCAGCTGCGACGCGCCAAAGAGGAATGGCAGGAACTGGTAGTCGTCCAAGCCCCAGACTCCATGTGACCCGGCAGGCTCCAGGTAGTATGTGATCTGAACGTTGCGCATCAGGGTGAGGTACCGAGCAAAGACCCGGAGCACGAGGGCCTTGAAGTCAGACCGTTGGAGACGGCCGAGCTGGTATAGGCAAAGAAGCCACATCATAAAGTTGAGTTCGTGGCCAGAGCCATAGTCTATCCGGTTCCGGTTCCCGAATGACTGGTTGAGATATGTGGATGCCTCAGCGATGGCGCCCTCGTCCTCCACTTTCAAGCTCAGATGCCACTTGGGGGAGTTGTCCCTCGCGAGGTCGAGGAACCCCCGGAAGGCTTTGTTTCCGAACCGCGAGCCCCCTTGCTCGTTCGGGGGAGACTTGTTGATGAGCTCTTCGCACTCATCAAGTATGGCCAAGATGGCTTTGACGGTGTCGCTTAGATCATCGTCCTTGACTGCTGAGCACGGTGTGTCGACGACGGCCTCCGCCAACCCAAACACCCAAGCCTTGATCAACGCGTATGCGGGCGAGGACTGGAAGATCTCGTGGTCCTGGCGCGATAGTATGCGCCGCGTCGGTATCTTGTACGTCCAGCCGGTCGTGTCGGGCGGTGACGGCAGGGCGGGGGTCTCGGGGACGGGTATCGAGCTTGAGGGAGGCGATCGACGGCGGCGGGGTTCCAGCTTGGGGAGCCGGTCCTTGAGGTTGGGTATTGACGGGGCCGCGGTTCCCGATAGCGGCGCAGACGATGCGGGCGTGTTGGAGTTCATGATTTATAGCTGTCGGTTCCTGGAGATGTGTGGATGTCGCGTAGTGGCAGAACGTCCAGCTCGGAATCTGAGGATTCAAGGTTGAAGCTCTAGCGGTTGCTGGTGCTGGAGGGGCGATGGATTACATGAGCGTGCGTCACTGCCCAAACGGGATGGAAGCCCTCCACTGCCCGACAGGCAGGGTCGCCCGCGCTAGCGCGGCAAATACAGTGGGCTCCAGCTCTGGAGGTGCTCCATCCGCACCACCCAACGCATCCACTGAATCGACAAGCTCAAGCTGAGTCGAGTCCGTCTCACTCTGAAAGGTGCAAAATTTCAACGACACAGGACACCGTCCACATCGCGACATCGCGACATCAGACAGCCCGCTGCCACACAAACGCCCAGAACCCCAACATGGCCCCCGCTGCTGAGCCTGTCGCGCAGCTGTCTCACCTGCCCAAGGCAGACGGCTCGGCGACATTCTCATACTGCGGCTTCACCGTCACTGCCGCTGTCAACGGACCAGTCGAAGCCCCCCGGCGAGATGAAAACGCCTTCGAGGCCCTCGTCGACGTCGTCGTGCGACCGGCTGCGGGTGTTGGAGGTATGGCTGCTCTCGTAGGCTCACCCTTGCGCATGACGAAGTCTCTGACGCGGATACCCAGGGACTGCGGAGCGACAGCTTGAGTCGCTGCTCCAACCTGCTCTTCGCCAGCTCATCCCCGTCCGCAACTTCCCCCGTTGCATGATCCAGATCACTCTCCAGGTCATGGAGATGCCGGAGAACGCGTATGTGAACGCAAAGATTCTCCAAGCACAGCTGGTGAGCTCGCCGCCCCTGCCCAAACATGTGGCGCCTCCTACTCACCATCCAGCGCAGAACCTGGCCATCATCCCAGCCCTGATACACGCCGCCATCCTGGGTCTCCTTACCGCCGCAGTCCCACTCAAGACAATCGCGACGGCCGTGACCTTGGCGATTGGGCCAGACGAGGCGTCTGGCCTCGTTGTCGATCCAACCATGGTACAGGTTGACAATGCAAAGTCAGTCCATGTTCTGGGTTTCACCGCCGACGACGAGCTGCTCTTGGCTGAAAGCTACGGCTCGTTCTCCACCGAGGAATGGGACCAGGTCCTGGAAACCGGACAGCGCATATGCTGCCAGGGGCGCAGCTCGGAACTGGACACGGACATGACAGATGGCCCAGCCGGGTCGGCAAGCATTCGACGATTCATCCGATCCGTCATGGAGACCAAGACTGCTGCAGATCTCCACTGGAAATGAATGCGAGCATACGCGCCCCTTGAACCCGGCGTCTCGTGCCCGAATGCTGGTTTCCGCTACGCATGATCGTGGGAAATCGAGCGAAGCGCATAGGTTGGCAAACGCCACACCTGCAGGGCTTCCAAGATTAATTAGGCTATACGAAGTAAGTGAGACGGGACTGCCGCAGCCTCGCGCCTTCAATCAAGGCAGCGCAAGACGGGAGCTAGGCCCGCGAGTGGTCGATCAAAACACATGGAGAAGATCGATGCATTGCCCCCGTGCAGCTCAAGCTCAAGCTCGGAATGCCTGTGGAAGATTGCGCCGCTTGGGCTCTGGAGCGTGGAGGAGAGTGGCGGGGCGCCTCGGTTTCATCTCGACGTCAGGGCTGGCCCCGAGCGTGTTACACGACACCGTGGTTCGGCGAGGGCACCGGCAGGAGTCCGTTGACGAAAAGAGACGGCTGCGCGAACCGATGACTTGGCTCGGTATGCCGAATTGGTTGGCCGTGCGCGGCTTCGCGCATGGTCGTCCTTTGTACGTTGGCCGTGACGAGCCGACACCACCAGCTTTGGTGCCATGCAAGGGTAGTGGAGATGGGCGGGCAGGATTGGGAGGCACGGATGCTTGCGGGGCGGCACTGGCCGGATCGCCATCAGCCAGGCTAGATGAAAGAGATCAATTCGACTAGACGGGCCTTTGCTCTGCATGAGGCATCAGGAGAAAGGGGTCGGCGACGACGAGCTCAGGCATAATGGCAGGGCAAGTATAACGGCACCGTAGCTTTGTAGGAAGTAGCTCGGCTAATGTCAAGGTGCGACGCCCAAGACGCCGCACCAAAGAGCACCGTCTCCTGTGGCCGTCAGCGTCTCACGAACCGGCGACGGCGACTCGAGTTTGATGTGATTGATTGCAGACATTCTGCCCGATGGCTCGCCCGCATGTGGATGCTGTCAAGGGGCGAGCGGGGATGCGCCGGGGATGCGTCGAGCCAAAAGAGACGACTCGCGTCTCAGGTTGCCAGAAAGCGGCTCCGTGGCCAACGGCACCAAGCTGATACCCTGCCTGCGCCCACGCCATAGCTGGGAATCCCACCAGCGAGACGACGACGCCGCCGCCAACGACGACGACGACGAGACGCAGCGGCCCGAGGGAGTGAGTGGGGAGCATGGGCCATGGCCCGTCGGAGCTTCACCCTGGTCTGCCTCGACCTGGTGGAAGGAAGACCTCAAACAGGGTGGCTCCTGTCTCTTATACACATCTAGATGTGTATAAGAGACAGGCCCGAGGGAGTGAGTGGGGAGCATGGGCCATGGCCCGTCGGAGCTTCACCCTGGTCTGCCTCGACCTGGTGGAAGGAAGACCTCAAACAGGGTGGCTCTTGTCAGATGCCATACCCATGCGCGGGCGAAGTAAAACGCACCTGGCGGGCCGTCGCGGGCGAGCGAGCTGAACGAGCTTAAAGCTCGAGCTGCCTTCGTTCCATGTCGAAAGCTGCGGAGGCTTGCTGGCCGTGTGTCTTGTCTGTATATTTTGTTGAGTCTTGTGTGTGTTTTGGGCTTGGAGCTTGTCAGTGCAGCGCCCTGACAGGTCTCTCTCGTTACAGTACCTGCTGTATTCTTTATCGTTGCGTTCTTTGTTGCTTGTCTACATCGTCCGTCTTTCCCTCGTTGGAGTGGTCCGCAGCACTTGACAGACCGTCTTTTCCCCTGCCCGTCGCCTCTGCATTCTCGTCTGCTGGTCCGAAGCTGCGCTTTGCCTTGCCCGTTGTTGTTGCCCCCTTCATCCTCCTTCATCTTTGGCAGGGGCCGTTGAGTCGCTCTGGTTGGTAGCTCTTTCCATACATTTCACATACCAGTTTCACGCCCTGCGGCAGGAGCAACCAGTCGCCGCTCCCTCCCTCGCTCCTCCCTCGTCAACGGGCCGCCATTCGACTGCCGCCGTCTACTTCATAACTCGTCCCCAACTTCGCACTTTCGCACCGCCTCGAATCACGACTTCTCGTCCTTCCCGCGTCGTCACATCGCGACGCCGCCTCTCTTCAGCATTGGTTTGCTGCAGGTGCGCCACGTGCCGTTGGCTTGCTGTGGCAGCGCGCCGCCCATCAGTCATCACCGCCAACATCGTGCCGGGCCGCCAATCACCGCGAGATCCCTCCCTTCCGGCTCGGGCCAACTCCGCCTGCCGAGTCATCCACGTTACCGTGCTGTAATTACTGATCCCCGTGCCGAGAGCAGGTTCCCTGCGCGGGGCTGCGAACACCGCGGGACTGCGGGTGAGCATGCTCCCCCCTCACTCCCTCATTTGCCTGCCCTCTGCCCTCGGCGTCCAGCGCGGGAGCCGCCGCCTCGGTCGGCCAGGCCCAGCGCCCCCTGCCACAGCCGGGCAGGTGTGACGACGTCTTGCATCCAGCCGGGCGACGAGAGTCGTGTCGAGCTTCAAGCCCGGCATATATCTTGGCAAAGACGTCAGCTGTTGACTCGTTGTTTCTGTGCAACCTAGGCATTGTCTCAACTTGTCAACTCTCCGACACCGAGTCGGAACCGTTACACTCGCTTCCGCAGGGCCACGGAAGCACCTGGCAAGGCCATTCGTTCATCACCAGTTCCGTCAACACGACACACCACCACGGTCACGTCAGTCCCTCCGGCCGACGTCAGTTCTGCATCCCCCCCACGCGTGGTAGCCCGTGGCGCGGCCTCGGACCTTCAAAGTTCGGCGCCCCGTCGTCCCCTCGGGGCTTCGCCCAGCTCGGCCGTTGGCGTCGGACACTAATTGCCATTACCCCTGCCAACCTGGCTCGCCGCCACGCCGCGCTTCACCCCTTTGGCCCTCATTTAAGCTGGCTGTCGCAATGGCCTCCGGTGCCTCTGTCCCGCCGCCCACGGCCACCTCTCTCCACCCGGCTCTTACCCCATCCTCACTGGAGCGAAATAATAAAAGCAGTGCGCCCGACCGCCCCAGCACCTCCGGTTCTGGTCCCCGGCTTTGCGTCAACACGGCCAAGGCCACGAGAAGCGCAGATGACCCGCGCACGCCGTCCTCCGCCGTTCCCGCTCTAGGTGGAACTCACTCCTCGGCCTCTGATTCCACCTGGCCATCGCATCCGCGAGCCGCCGGCGTCGCATCTTATCAGGGCCACCACCGCCGCAGCGCCCCGTCCCACGACTCGATCCCCCGCCAAACCATCATAAAGGCCCTCGCCTCGGTCGCCCGGAACAACAAGCCAGAGGCGCTCTCCCTCAACAACATGCTCGCGTCTCAGAGCAACAACGGCGCCGTTCCGCCGGGTTCCGCCGCCTCGTCGCAGATGCTGGCCGATGCGCTGCAGGACCTGGCCCGGCGACAGTCCACTCCCACCACGGCGCTCACTGCGCTGCAGTCGCCTTGCTTCTACCACCAGCGCTTTGACGATGCCGTCGACATCGCCAAGGTTCTCGAGGAAATCAAGAATGACGAGTCCATGTCACATTCACGCCTCGTCCAGACTGCGACGGGAGTTCGCGAAGTTTCCAAGCAGCTCCAGCGCCGACCAATCAAGCGCGCAGTCCGCAGCGTCATGATTGTCACCAAGGCCCGAGACAACCAACTGGTTCACCTCACCCGCGAGCTCGCCTCGTGGCTCCTTCGCACACCCCGATACGGCTCGGATGTCGGCGTCAACGTCTACGTCGATGCCAAGTTGCGCAGCTCGAAACGCTTCAACTGCGCGAGCATAGTTGCCGAGGACCCGCGGTTCGAACACATGCTCAAGTACTGGACCCCCGACTTATGCTGGAACCAGCCAGACAAGTTTGATCTTGTCCTTACCCTTGGAGGCGACGGCACGGTGCTCTTCACGTCGTGGCTCTTCCAGCGAGTCGTCCCGCCCGTTCTCTCCTTCAGCCTCGGCAGCCTAGGCTTCATGACGACGTTCGAGTTCGAAAAGTACAAGGAGCACCTCACCCGCGTCATGGGCGACGACGGCATGAAGATTAATCTTCGCATGCGATTCACCTGCACGGTCTGGCGGCACGATGCCCGAGGCCATCAAATGGACGAAGGCGAGCAATTCGAAGTGCTCAATGAGCTAGTCATCGACCGCGGCCCATCGCCATACGTGTCAAACCTTGAGCTGTACGGCGACGACGAGCTCCTCACCGTGGTTCAGGCCGACGGCTGCATCTTCTCCACACCCACAGGCTCGACAGCCTACTCACTGTCGGCAGGGGGCTCTCTCGTGCATCCGGACATTCCGGCTATTCTCCTCACGCCAATCTGCCCGCATACCCTGTCCTTCCGCCCGATGGTGCTCTCGGACACCATGGCACTTCGCGTCGCCGTGCCTCGGAATTCGCGGGCAACTGCCTACTGCGCGTTCGACGGAAAAGGCCGCATTGAGCTCCGCCAGGGGGACCATGTCACCATCACCGCTTCTCAATACCCGTTCCCCACTGTTACCCGCACCGACACCGAATGGTTCGACAGCGTCAGCCGGACCCTGCGATGGAACGTCCGCGCCGCAGCCCAGAAGCCGTTCGATGCGGGCTCGGTTGCCGACGGCGTTCCGCCCAATGAGGAGGGCGAGGACAGCTGCTGGGACATTGACACTGACAGCGCATACTACCCGAGCGAGGAGGGCAGCGTGAGCGCGAGCCCCATTAGACGCCAGATGAGCATGTTGGGCCTATGAGCGTGGCCCGTGATGACGGCCATGACGCATGACGAATTAGATCTTTTTCACAGCATATGGAGTTTGTAGGAGTTTGAGCTGCGCAACAGGTACTTGGGCAGTTGTTTTTTTGTGGCGAGCATCTTGGGTTGGCTCTCCTGTTTTGGACATACTAGGCATGGATAGAGATGGAGGCATCCCACGCGCAGGCTTAGCGACCGACTATTCTGCCTCTCTATACTCTGAGAGAATATACACTTTCACTAGTCCTTCAACTTGTTGCGTTGACATCCCGACTATCCCGTGAAAAGTGCATCTAATGGCAGCGTTGCGACTTATAGAGTAGTGCTATTTGTAGAGCCAACTTTTGCTAGTTGTAGAGCCCATAGGAGCAACAGCAACGACAGCAACGACGGCAACGACGGCAACAACGGCAACGAAAGCAACGAAAGCAACGAAAGCAACGAAGGCAACGAAAGCAACGAAGGCAACGAGAGCAACGAAGGCAACGAGAGCAACGAAAGCAACGAAAGCAACGAAAGCAACGAAAGCAACGAAAGCAACGAAAGCAACGAAAGCAACGAAAGCAACGAAAGCAACGAAAGCAANACGAAAGCAACGAAAGCAACGAAAGCAACGAAAGCAACGAAAGCAACGAAAGCAACGAAAGCAACGAAAGCAACGAAAGCAACGAAAGCAACGAAGGCAACGAAAGCAACGAAAGCAACGAAAGCAATAAGCGGCGCGCCGCTACCGTCCCATGCCTACGCCTATACGCAGTAAAATTTACTTGGCCGGCATGGGGGTAGGGCGCGGCCGAGAAACGAAAAATGTAGGGGGGCTCTACAACTAGCAAAAGTTGGCTCTACGAATAGCACTCCTCGACTTATATTACCGCCCAACGGCCTGTCGGTGGCGTATTCGCGCTCTCCATGCGGGTCGAGCAATAGGATGGAATTCACGGCAGACACCAGGACGCGATAGAGAGAGAAAAAGACGGGTGAGGTGTCAAACATTTCAATTGCCAGTTTTTGCCCCTCCTTCCCATCCCATATAGGTGCACCTAATCTGCGCCAACCATACCTAAGGCGAAAAGACGACTATGACTTCGCAACATAAAAGCCGGACAAGAAGCCAGCCAGCAGGTCCAGAAACCCCCCCCCCCAAAAACGGACTGTGCCTGCCACCCGCGCGGCGAATCTTCGAGACAGAACACCGTACAAAAAAGTCAGTAGAGGCAGTAGTAGTAGTAGTATGTCCAAACACCTCGTTCGGGGCAGCCGCCGCCGCGGCAGGTGGTGATGTATCGGTAGACGATTGAATGAGGAACAGATGGAGACAAGGAACCCAAAGGCCGTTCAGGGGCTCGGTGACCAAACAAAGTTCGTGTCCAAGGAGGTGTCCAACGAAGGGAACCTGTCGATCGCGACTGCTTCACATCCCCAACAGCAGAGCAGGCTCAGTTCCAAAGCTGGCCGAGACAAGATCCAGGCGTCAGAGCCAGTCTCACCTCCATGCCCCTTGACTCAAGGACAAGAGGCCTGCCACGCAGTCCATGTCACCCTTTTTGCTTGGGCTCACCTCACCACGCATGAACCTCTCCACCTCGTCCTCGCGCGACCGCGGGGTCGGCCGGTCCGCGTCGTCGAATATCTCAATGGCACCGCCCTTGGATAGCGCGTGCGGCCGCGACGGCGCCGTGTTTGCTCTGCTGCTCAGGAACGCTGGACCCTTGTGCTCACCGAGCGCGGGCATCCGGCGGGAATTCTGAGGCTTGGTCGCCGGGCCGGCCGGTAAGGGCCGTCGACGCGGGTTGCCCTGCGAGCTCCCGTCCTCATCCGGGCTCCAGTTCTCCTTGTCAGAGTCTGTGGGCGACACGAGCATGGCGACCTTGACCTTGCCGCCTGAGCTCTCGCGAGGCTCCTCCAGGTCTGTTGTCCCAATGTTCTCGAGGCGAGCATATGTAGACGACGTCCTGCCAAACTTGGCCTTCTTACTCTGACGCGGCTGCGTTGATCGTGTCAGGGAAGCGTTCCGCTTGGCGGCACTCGGTTGCAGGACGCCACTGGAAGATCGCAGCAAGCTAATGGCCGCAATGGCAGAACCGTTTGACTCGTTCTCGGCCTGGGCCGTGAGCTCGTCACGCCTCTCTGCGTCTGCGCAGGACTCCCAGGCATGAACATCCCTAGACCGACCTCGGGGAAGTCGCGGTGGCAGAGACTTCGTCAGGGCTGAGATTGGCGGCAGTGTGATGGATGGCAGCGCGCTATGGCTACGCTGAAGGCCACGGCGGGCAGGAGGAAGGCCGGGCAGTGTGCTCGACGGCCGAGGGGGTGGAGCACGTGTGGGTGAAGCTTGGTTGGAAACAAGCTCAGCCTTGCCCTCAAGGGACAAGGACAATCTGAAGTGGGAGGTGGACTTGGCCGCGTTGTGCGTCGTGTCAGACGAGCAAGACGACGGCTGGAAAGGCTCAAGCCTGGCGGTCATGTTAGTATCGACGCGTACCTGGGTCGTGTTTGGTCTCACCTTAACGAATCGTCACCGCCACGTCCCAGCGTGGACGGCGTCGAGAAAGAGCTCCCGAGGTTCCATCTGTTGGCAAGATAGCCAACAGAGCTCGAGAATGAGGGAATCGGCGCGTCAGAGCCCTCCTGGGAGCGCTGTGAAGACGGGGCTTCCTGACTCTGGGGCGGCGTCGTCTGGGATTGGCCCTTGGGATTGCTGTCTTGGCTCCCGGTCCTCGGTGTTGACGCGTCCACGAAGGAGTGCTCTGGGCTGTGCTCCTCAGCCGTAGGAGACGCAGGCCCGCGTTCTACCCTCAGAGGGCCAACGGAATCCAAGTCCTGCCCTAAGCCAGCAATGAAGCTTCGTGACGCGGTACCGTCCGAAAGACCATGAACGCCGCCGTACCTAAGGGCGGCGAGTTCCTCTGGTGTCAACGGACGCGACTTGCGGCGGTCGTTTTGTCGTCGGTTCTGGAACCATATCTAGATGGAACATGTTAGTAGGCGGCTCGGTACGCGAAGAAACGCCAGTCGACGCGTTCTCTAGGCTTGCGGGGCGATGTGGTTGGTAAACTCACTTGTACCTCCTTCTCGTTGAGGGAGACGCGGTCCACGATTTCGAGACGCGCCTGCTTGTCAGGCTTGGGGTTGTTCTTGTACGCCTCTTCCAGAATCATCTTGTCCTTGGCACTACATCATCCGCAATTAGCTCGGTCGCGTCGACGGGGTCTATTTGTTGACGGGGACCAAACATACGCGGTACGTTTCCTCTTGCCCTTGGGATGCTTCTCCCCGTCCTGGATGGAGGAGCCATTGGAGATTTCTGAGAGTATGGAGGAGTCGTTGTGGCCGGCGGAGGGGCTGGCGTCGCGCAGCACGGGCGAAACAGTGGTCGGGTCGTCGGACATGTTGGGCGGGAGGTAGGGTCGGACGAGTCGAGGAGAGATGGGAGCGGGTGGTCGTATCACGTAAGTGTATGCATTACTGAGGTCCGTACGACGCGAGAGCCGATGCGAGACGAGAGGTAGATTGACGAGGATGGTCGACTGCTCTCGTGTGAGAGGACGCGGAGGTGGTGGTGGTGGTGGTGGAGGAAGCGTAGGTGCAGAGGCCAAGGCGTGTAGTATGGGAAGTACACGACACGACGGGACGGGGATGGCGTCGAGCGTGGAGCCGCGGACGGAAGACTAAATGGGATGGGCCGGCAAAGCCAAAAGCGCGTGCAGCGAGCCAAATCGCGATGCGAGTACGTACAGGGACGTACAAGAAAATAGTAGAGCGAGAAAGAGAGAGAGAGAGAGAAAGCGGCGGAGAGGAGAACGAGGATGGGATGTGAGTTCGCATACGCCCCTCCAGAGGATGCCTTATGGAGCCCACCTACCGTGCACTGCGCTGAGGTGCGCTGCGCTGCCACCACTAACGCATCCCGCGTTGTGCCCCCATACTGGAGCAAATCACGTCGCGCCTCAGCGCTGTAGGCGGCTTAGCTTGTCAACACGCGTTGCACGTGCCCGCGACGGCGGTCTCATCCGGCGCCCGCCCGCCCGCCCGCCCGCCACGGTCTGGTCTGGTCTGCCTCCAGGGTCCACCGAGTCCGCTGCTCCAGGCGCTCCTCCACTGGCGGCCAGGCCTGGCTCCATAGGTTGGATGTTGTGCTCACCCCCGACCGCCACCAGTTCGCAGCTCCGGTCCGCCGCTGCAGCAGCACCAGCAACACCACCACCACCACCACCACCACCACCACCACCACCACCGACCGCCATTGAAGCTCCCGTCCAGCTGCTTCCCTCCCGACGCCCCCCAGGCACGAACCAACAACACGCCCGCCCCCAGCCTCCTCGTTTCCATTTGGCTCAATGCTGTGCTACAGTGCTGCACGGGACCCCGTATTGACATGGGATGAAATAGGAAAACTTCTCGTGCCCCGTTCAGACGAAAATCCGGGCCCTGTTTACGAGTCTGTCCGTCTTGAAAACAAGAGTAATAGTTATGGCTGGGCGGCGCGCCCTTGGACCACCACCACCACGCAAAATCCAAGACCCCCCCGGTGTTAGTTGGCTGCGGCACATGAAGCGCGCGCGTTCAGAACCCGCTTCCCTTTCCCCAACCCCATGCAAAACGCGGTGGGTTACGTGCGTACGCATGTCCAGAACCAGCTCCATCGTTCACCTGCCCATACGTACCCCGGTCCTCATCCGCCCTTGCCTCGCTCCATCACATCACACCGATCTTTTCCGGCCCCGCCGCGGAACCGTCACGACACGCGCCAGACGCGCCCAACCCGCTTGCTTGCCCGCCTGCGTCAGTGAGATTCTTAGTGTGCAGGCATGGGACGACAGCGGCGCTCTGCCGATTGCAAGTAATTTGCTATTGTTATGGCTGTTGCTGTCGTTGCTGCCGTTGCTGCTGCGGTAGGGCGGGCTATACAACTAGCAAAAGTTAGCTCTACGCATAGCACTACTCAATGTGAATGATCAGGTCCTCGTTCGCCTCCATCCGCCAGTAGAATAGCGGTCTTTGATTGCATCGAGAGACGCCACTTTAACTTCCATACCTGCTCCGTGCCTCTAGACGTTGTTCCAGTCTCGACGCACCTACGGGTCCCAAGTCAGCAAGGAATTTTCTGGAATTGGTGGCTTCGCCCGCGTCTACGGCGCCTCATATTAGACTACACGCGTCTTGGCCGTAATTTAATTGTGTGCCATCTTTAGAGCCATATCGTTGACTAGCACGTAAAGCTCCTATTAAGTGTGCTGCCTTTAGATTTGCCATCTGACCACTACGTTTGTATCAGGGTGCAAGCTGTTCTGTGATTGTAAACAAGCCCGAGCGTGCTCAACTGTACGCGCTATTGCCGCAGAGGTGAGCCTCGGACTGCCCAAGCAAGGAAAAGCTCCGTCGAAATCGGCACTGCCGCAGAAGTGTGTCTCAACAATGACGAGGCTGACCTATGCCCGAGCTCCAGCTCGCAGATGACAAGGAACATGGCCGGGGCGGCAGAAAATGGAAGCCACCACAGACAGTCACACGTTTTCCTGTGATCTAGGGTAGGACCGCCGCAAACGTCACACCATCGTCACCGCACGTCGCAGCGAAGAGGAGCTCGTGCAACGTTGGCGAAGGTAGTTTTAATGGTTAGTCTAGCTATCTGATTGCTGCTCACTTTTTTTTGGTGCAGCGACGTCGTCATGTCTACCCCAAGCCAGGGCTCGACGGGTAGAGGTTCCGCCGCCCTCCATTCACGCTCTCGTAAACCCCAACGAATCTCATCCTGTATCATCAATGATCATGCCGCCCACGTGCCGCAAAGCGACCTAGTCCCGTCACAGCGGCCAATGCTCTCTCAAGCCCATGCTCCTGCGCGTGGCAAATCGTTTACAGGTCGTCGTCAGACTGCTCATCAGGCAGGGGCTGGGCAGCGGCGGCGTCCATCTCCTTCTCGTACTCCTTGAGGAGAGCCTCGTCGACCTGGGCGGTGGGAGGAGCCAGGGCGGGGGCGGCGACGAACTCCTATGCGGCGGGTCAGCATACGTCACAGTGCCGGGCCGTGTCATGCGGTGGGGGTTAGACGGGACTGACCAGCTGGGGGTTGCCAACGAGCTTGCGGGCGAGCCACAGGAAGGGCTTCTCGAAGTTATAGTTGGACTTGGCCGAAATGTCGTAGTACTGGAGGTTCTTCTTGCGGTGGAAGGTGATGGTCTTGGCCTTGACTTTTCGCTCCTTGACGTCGACCTTGTTGCCGCAAAGGACGATGGGGATGTTCTCGCAAACGCGGACGAGGTCACCTGCAGTAAATCGCCGTTAGTAGCTGCGCCGTGCACGCGGGCGAACATGGGCTCGGGGACATACGGTGCCAGTTGGGGACGTTCTTGTACGTGATGCGGGAGGTGACGTCGAACATGATGATGCCGCACTGGCCGTTGATGTAGTAGCCATCGCGGAGACCGCCGAACTTCTCCTGGCCGGCAGTGTCCCAGACGTCGAACTGGATCTGGCCGAAGTTCTGCGATGACAGGTCAGCGCGTTTGCCCCACCATGGGCGGAAGTTGGGCACGCCCGGCACTTACGGTGGTGAAGCCAAGAGGGTGAACCTCAACACCGAGGGTGGCCATGTACTTCTTCTCGAACTCGCCAGTCAAGTGACGCTTGACGAAGGTGGTCTACACAGGCAACGGCCGTCTGTTAGCATGGGAGCGTGAGGTCCGAGGTCGCGAGCTGCGCTGCGCTGGCCGGCGGAGGCGGGGTAGCAGTTCGGCGGGCGGTCGATAAAGACACAGCGAGGCTCGGAGGAAGGCAATCTCGACGTACCTTGCCGGTACCACCGTCGCCGACAAGCACGAGCTTGAAGGTGGGAGTCTGCTGCTCAGCCATCTTTGCGGTCCGATTCGATGTCGTAGCCAAGATTCTTCCGGTGATGTAAACAAGCGGGGTGCACTGATCGTGGCGTTAGCCTGGGGACGGCGGACGCGGGACGTAGGCTCGCTTCGATGGGCCAAAAAAAACGGAAGCGAGGACGGAGGAGGGCGCACGCTCGTTGTGCTGATGTTGTCGGATGCGAGGGGAGGATGCGTAGCGGCGGAGGGGGGAGAGGACCGTACCTGTGTGTTGAGGGCCTCCCTGGGGGTGCGAAATTGTGCAGTGGAAAGGCAAACTTGCACAAGACGAGACAGGCCTGCTTGGGTGTTTTGAAAGGCGGCGGGGAAAGCTGGGCTGGGCCAGGGCAGCCTCATCAAAGCGAAAAATTCAATCTGCTGGGGGGCGGGCGCCCGGTGGGCTCCTGCACGTGATGTCAGTGAAGCGCCTCCCAATCAGCGGACAGGGGTTGGTGGCCAGCCCGTGGCACAAACAACGTCACCGCCTGCTCCACAGGCTGGGCTGCAGGCGCTGTGAGCTCGAGGCTGGAAGAGCCCAGAGCACCGAAGCAAGCTCCAGCCCCTAGCGGCCCTAGGCGGTGCTGGCCATGCCTAATCTGCCAAGCGGTCTAGTGAACCAGCTCCTCGCTACTAGAGCTGAAACCTCTGGAGGCATTTGTTGTGCGTTTCGCTGCTCAACTGCAATAATGGATTGCGTCTGGTGCTCTTCTCGTGTAAGGCAGTGCATCAGGCTCGCACGAATGAATGGAGACACCCCGCCGCCCGGCTGCCCGCGGTAGTCGCTGAGCATCCGTCTGGTTTGTGCCTATCACCCACCCTGAAATCATGGGGCAGGCACCCGCCAGACACCAGCCAGGCACCCGTGGCAAACGAATGTTCAAGAGTTGCTGCCGTTGCTGCCGTTGCTATCGTTGCTGCCGCTGCTGCTGCGGTAGGGCGGGCTCTACAACTACCTAGCAAAGGGTGGCTCTACGAATAGCACCAATGCCTTGAAGCGTCACTCCTTGGGGATGGCGACGCCCGAACCCGTCGTTAGGTTGCGCCTGTGCCCAACCAGCACACTGCCTGGGGATCCGCCCGGCGCCCGACATGACCGCCTTGGGATCACAAATCTCACGTTGCCTAGCTCGTGGCGTGATGTTTGCCTCAGCTGCCCTGACTCCTTGACTGTCTGACTCTCAGTGAAGCGAGCTGCCTGGATGAGCTGTCACCCCCTTGCAGCCCGACGGCTCAGTGCCCATAAGCTCCTGCGAGGTAGCTCTGTAGAAGCTGATAACGGACGATAGACTTCCTGTTGGTAGAGGTGTTTAGCCTACAAATAGTAACCTCCAATCTCGCAAATCCCAACGATGCGTGCTTCCTTCCAAACATCCCCTCGGGCGCGAAAAGTCAGCCAGCTCAAAGTTCATGCGCTGTCATGACAAAATCAGGTAACCGTTGCCTGACCATTCCCGTCTACAGCGGAAGAATATGGCAGCCCAACATGCCTCTGCCACCCCAATCTCTCGTCGGAGTCAACGTCAGCCGGAGCTCCTCCCGCTGTGATACGCCCGTTGTTCGGGATACTCTGATAAAGATGTTGCCCTGCGACCAAGGTTAGCGAGACAATACTTGTCAGGGCCGATCGTAACCTACCCCTTCGTTGCCCTGCACGCATTCGGCCACTTTCTTGAGGTTGTCGTGGTTCGACTTGTTGACGTAGCCGAAGACGCGAATCTCATCTCCTGCCTTCAAGCCGGCTCGCTCCGCTGGGCTGCCGGGAGCGACCGAGTTTACCCTAGCAAACGGTTCCTCGGCGGCCGTTGGCAAGGAGTCGGGCAGGATCGGCTGCTGCGAGCTGCCGGCTGGAACGGGTTCGGCGTCATCAACGTTGGCAAAGTGCTCGTGAAGGAACTTCTCTATGTTCGACATGAGATCCTTGTAGTCGTTTCGGAGCCTGATGATCCGAGCTCGCGTGGTTCGGACTACAAACAGTCAGTGCCCGTGCCTGACCTCATTTCGCCTGCAGCAGGTCCTCTTACTCTGGGCCACGTCGATATCTGCTCGCGGGAACCCATCTCTAGTGAGGAGAGGCGTCTCCATGTCCACTCCGTGCTGGCGTCTGGTTAGCACGCGCGAAGCCGTGGCGATGTCATGATGATGAACTGTACCGAGTCGAGCACTGCACCGAGAGCCTTCAGCTCTGCCTCCGTGTCGTCCTTCTTGCGTTGCAGCTCGGCGAAGCTCAGATGCCCCGCCTGACCATTTGTCCTTGCAGCGCTCGTAGGCCCCGAGGGCACAGTGGGTGCGTGGAGAGTGTTCATCCTGAGGGGTAGTCCCATGCTACGGACCCTCTCTGCTTGGGAACCTGAATTCTCTTGGCCTGATCCAGGAAGAGCCGCCGACAATAAAAAGGGCGATGCACTACTCCGTATCGCCCACGTGAGGTGATGATGTTGCGGTCGCCATCTGGAGCTTACACCACCTTCGTTACGTAGAGCTTCGTAGCCTTGGAGGGGCTTCCTGTAGGTCTGTGGCGCAGCGGTCTGAACATCTGTGGCGCACGCCAGCTCAGGCCAATCATGGGCCCAGTCGCTCACCCTGTCGGTGGGGAGCCAGGCTCGCCTGTGCAGGCTGGGCTGGCGGGCTGGGATGCTGCAGTGGGCTGCCAGCACCTGCAACCACCTGGCACCAGACTAGCGTGTGTCGGAGGGACCAACAAAGACCTGGTGCCCTGCGAGCTGCCGACGTCACTTTCCACCCTGCACAACACCTCGAGCCGCGTGTCTCGCCCGCAACCACCATCGCTAGCAGCTCACCACCTCCCCTTGCCGCGACGACGGTGACCAGTCGCCGGCATGGCGTCCAAGGTGGATGCCCGGCTCTTGAAGTCGACAAAGTTTCCACCCGAGTTCAACCAGAGGGTCGATATGAAGAAGGTCAACGAGCAGGTCATGAAAAAGTTCGTCTCCCACTCCCGGCCTGTCGCCAACGCGTGGAGCTCGCATGCTGACTGGACTCTGCACAGATGGATTCACAAAAGGATCGGCGAGATTCTCAACGGCGAGGACGACGTTCTCAGTGATCTCTGCATGAACCTGCTCAAGGCCCGTCAATTCGTATGTTCCCCCCTCCTCCACACACCCAAGCTTGTGCAACCAGCTAATTCCTCAGCAGCCTGACATCAAATCGATCCAAATCCAGCTTACCGGCTTTCTCGACAAAGACACTGCTTCGTTCTGCAAAGAGCTCTGGAATATGTTGCTCAGCGCTCAGTCCAACAAGTCAGGAGTGCCTCAGGAGCTTCTCGAAGCGAAGAAGCTTGAACTCATGCAGAAAACGGTTTGTTTGAGTCCCTCGATGGGAAAGGAGCCGTAGCTAACTTGGAACCTGCAGTTCGATGCCGACAAAACCGCAGAGGTTGCGCGACGAAGCCATAGCAACGACGACCGTGATACCCGAGATCGTCGGCCTGGCGGCGACAGTTGGCAGGCTGCCCCAAGACGCGGTGATCGTGCCTTTTCGAACCGTGGACGGGGAGGATATGGTCGTGGTCGCCCGCGATCCCCTTCCCCCGGCCCGCGTGGTCGTGGTTCTCGAGACGCGTATGGACGTGACAGCTACGTCCCACAGGCGAGACGTGGCCGTGATCAGGTCTCGAGACGTGGCCCAAGCGGTAGATCACTGTCTCGTTCACGCTCGCGCTCGCGCTCGCGTGGTTCCGTCACACCCCGTCGACGCTCTGCGACTCCGCCTCGACCGCGGGACTCACGAAAGAGATCGCGATCTCCTCGCCGCCCTAGCGATCGACGACGTCGTTCTAGGTATAGCAGCTCCCCGCTTAGCTCGCCTGAGCGGAGGTCGCCCTCACCGAAGCGAAGGCGGCGGTCCCCCTCGTCCAACCTGTCGGCGGATCGTGGTCGACGCCGTTATTCCTCGTCGCGTTCCTTGAGCCCAAGGTCTGACACTCGCAGCCGCAGCCGTAGCCGCGGACGAAGTGTTTCCCGCAGTCGCAGTCGATCCCGCCGCGACAGCCGCAGCCGCAGCCGCAGCCGCAGCCGAAGCCGAAGCTACAGCAGCGATCGCAGCCGGTCGCGTAGCCGCAGTCGGAGCCGCAGTCGCAGTCGAAGCCGCAGCCCAGACAGACGACCCTCTGCACACAGCCGCCACCGGGATGAGGGACGCGGCAAAAGTCGCCGGGAGCGCAGCTACAGCCGCCGTTCGGACCATAGCCGCTCCCCACGCGGCCAAGGTCGACGCGATGGAGGTTCTCGACACGGAGACCGCTGGACCCCTGGAAACAAAGGCAGACATGGTCGGAGGCGTAACAGTTCATCCGAATCTTCACCCGCAAGCGGCCGTGGGAGCCCAGCTGATGTTTTGGAAGATAAACGACGCACAGCCCCGCGCAAACCGATGGCGTCCATTGAGAAGGACCACGAGGTGGGTGGCTCCGCTTGAGAGCGCCGGAGAGAATTTACGTCTCGAGGGCATTGCACTGACCTACGGGGCGTCTCAGCTCAATCGAGCCCAAATCGACCAGGGCTTACTCAAAGATAAGCTCTTGCGAGAGAAGACCCTCTTGCTAAAGAAGAACAAGGAAGAGGACACCGTTTGATTGAACGCGGCGTTGCCGCTTGAGGCCAAGGCTAACTGTATTGCTTGCAAGACAATGCCTCGATTTGACACGGGCGTCTGGCCTGTGGTTATTTCTGTAAGGCGCACGCGGCGCTGGGCTTGGGATGGGAGGCTGGATGCACCCACTACACTTGTGTATGAAGTATGACTACCGAGCTAGCAAATCATGTAGAACAAACAAGCCAAATCAACGGCCCTTCACTCGGCGAGGTCATTGATATATGTGCTCAACCCGGGACCTAACCGGTCTCCACCAATTGATGGTCACTGACTCAGATGCAAGCTTAACACAACTATGGAGTTGTAATTCGGCAGGAGAAAATGTGGCATTAAGAGGGGGAAGCCCGACATGAAGTCCGGCGTGTCGGACCTGGCAGTCCCGTCCCCATGTCGACGAAGTTCAGTAGCCCCCGTGCTTTCCAGCATACTGCCTGCCTGCCTGCCTGCCTGCCCACGCAAACCCATCTATCTGACCGTTCCATACTGCGACAGTAGCCAGGGTCGTACAGAACGTATCCGGAAACCATGAAAAGGAAAAAAAAAACCCTTCACCGAAACAAACTCCATCGCTATGCACTATATCGAATGACCCCCTGTCTCTGAAAGTGGTGGCGACGCGAGGGCACGCCCCCGTCACTCATCGCCAAAAAACTTCTTGGGTCGCCTGGCTCTGCCGGATCGTCGCGACGTGAGGCTTGCAGACTCCTCTCGCTGTGGTGGCTCCCCGTCGTGGTCTGGCTGGCCCCTACCGATGGCAGCAAGGGTCTCGCTGCGCGGTGGGCGGGAGGTGCCGCCGCTTCGCTGCTTCGTCGTCTTCTTCACCGTCCGCGTTTGCGCGTTGATCGTGATTCTAGGCCGCTTCGTCCTCTGGCCCGACTCCTACGTCAGGTCCATCTTCTCGTCCTCGGGGCCGTCGTCGAGTCTGTCGCCGACCGAGCTCAGGCCTGAGCTGGCTGCGGACGGGGACGACGCATGGTGGTGGCCGTTTGTCTGCGCTCCAGCTCCGGCATGGTGACCTGTCTCGGCGTCATCGTCGTGCGGCGGTGTAAAGTACGCGCGGCTGCGCTGCATGACCCAGTCGTCGATGCTCGTGATGGGTCCGCCCTCGACCTGAATCTCCGCGACCGTGTCGAGCGGCTTCCCGATGAGGGTGCCGTTCCATTTCGAGTCCTCGCCCGTCTTGCTGTGCTTCATCTTAAGAGCTGTGTTCTCCGTCAGCGGGTGTGCGTGTTCAGCGCGACACCTGGTCGCAGCCGGCCCGTCGTCGACGACCGAGGAATGTGCTTGACCTACCGCTCAGATAGTCGGTCGCGTCAGACTCGCCGTCGCCCTTGCCCATCTCCATCAGCTCCTTCATGACGGGGCCCGAGAACCACTCGAGGAACTCGTCCACGCCGCGCAGGTCCTCGTCGTCTCGCCAGTGCTCGTCCGTGGGCGTCCGCTCCGGCTGCAGCGCGCCCACATCCTGCAGCGCCATGCGCAGCTCCACCACCGTGTAGTCGCCCGCGTCGTCGCGCGCGTGCACCGCATGCGCGGCCGTCTTCTCGCACAGAGTCTGCATGTATCGCGCCGCCAGGTCGGTCAGGGAGTCGAGCACTGCGCCCCGCGTCGCGTGGTAGCCCGCCGCGCGGAGCACCTGCAGGATCACGGGCCGCAGCAGGGCGTGGAAAATCGCCGGCTGCCCGGCCATGTCGAGGGTGGTTTGGTTAAGCTAGCTGTCGTGTGTGTGTGTTTGGAGGAGCGTGGTGTTGATGGCTGCTTGTCTAGTTTGATGGCCGCGAGAGTTGCTCGAACCGGTGCCGTCGCAGTCTGGGCTTCATCGGGTAGGTCGATGCTGGCATACGAGGCGCATGCTTTATAGAGTGCAAGGACGGGTTCTGCAGGCGGCAGGGCTCGGTGTCGGCTTCGTGCGTTGGATGCAGTGTCAAGGTTCAAAGGTCTGGCAAGCACGTTTGGAGCACCGTTCACCAGGCCAGGCGTACAGTGTCACTCAGGCAGTGTTCGCACTAAGCACTGTACACACACCCAAGTCAACTGTCGATCCTTAGTCCTCAGTCCTCGTGATGCCACGATAGCCACGATGTAAATTGACAAATATTTGATTAGGTGTTTGGGACAATTCAGTTCATCATTGGAATCCGCTGCTATTGGTTCATTGCAGTTTGCGTTACCTCTCGAGATTACATCCGCGCCGTGCGTTTGCGCATCCAACCTGATAGCGATTCAACTCCAAGGCGATTCAATCACATGGCGATTCAATCATATGGCGATTCAATCATATGGCGATTCAATCATACGGCGATTCAATTACATGGCGATTGATTCATATGGCTATTCAATCATATGGCTATTCAATCATATGGCGATTCAATCATATGGCGATTCAACCACATGGCAATTCAACCATATGACGATTCAAACTCATGGCGATCCAGCCCTATGGCAATCCAGCAGTGGACTGCAGTGGCTCATTCATGCCGTCTGCTAGTCCTTAACGCCGCTGTACTTGTTGATCCAGTCAATCACCTCGCGGTGCCATACCAGCGAGTTTTCCGGCCTCAGCACCCACTAGTGCCGTCAGTCACTTCATCTTCCGAATCATTGCACTGTGATTGTACTCACATGGTTCTCGTCGGGGAACATGACCAGCTTGCTGGGAACGTTCCGAGCCTGCAGCACGTTGAACATGGCCAGACCCTCAGACACTGGCAGACGGTAGTCGAGTTCGTTGTGAATTACCTATATCACGGTCAGCAGCCCATCGGTGATTCGAGGGGCAACTCTGCTCACCAGCTGCGGCGTCGCCCAATTTTGAGTGTAGAGCGAGGGATCCCATTTTGCGTAAATGTCTCTGCTCTCCCAAAGGGTGCCGCCAAAGTCGTGCTCTGGGAAGAAGAGCTCCTCGGTGGACCACTGGTTCTGTGTCGAAAACACACCGTCGTGGCACACAAGGGCCTTGAACTTCCGCCCCAAATCATGGCCTTGTACCCAGTCTATCCTGTTGTCAGTGCCTGATCCTGGACTCAAAAGCGGGGGATCTGCAACTCACTGATCATATACCCTCCATACGACGCACCAAGAGCCACAGCACGTGAAGTGTCAATGTAGCTCACCTCCTTCTCCAGATACTCGAAGCACTTGACAAGGTCGTCGTATGGGTTGCCGCCCCAGTTCCGAGTAATAGCATCAGTGTGCTTTTGACCGTAGCCGGTGCTACCTGTTGGGTTAGGTGACACAGCCACGTAGCCCTGTTCAGCGAAGATGGCCGGGTTCCAGCGGGTGCTCCAGTCATCGACCCAAGCGGACTGTGGACCACCATGGATCAGGAACGCCAGAGGGTACTTCTTCGACGGGTCAAAGTTGGACGGCTTCGTGATGAGAGCGTGGTTGTCGTATCCAGCCGAGCCCGGATACCAGATCTCGTCGCATTGAGACTTGTGGAGGCCAAATGACTTGCCGTTCTTCGAACTCGACGATACCTCGGTGGTCTTCTTAGTCGAGGGATCCAGGATGGCGTAGCTGGAGCTCTCGATGCGAGAACGCGTGGAAATGAGCAAAGACGGGCCATTCCCCAGCAGCTTAGCCTCGGCAACGGAGCCGTCTTCGTGTATGGCGACCGGAGTCTTGGTCGCCTCCTTGGGTGATGAAGGTAGCTTCCACAGCTTGACTCTGCCATGCATCTCTGCCGCGACATACAGCTCCTTCCCATCATCGCTCCAGATAATCCAATCTGGCTTCAAGTCCCAGCCTCCTTCTCCATCAGCCGTTTCATAGAACTCTTGCACGTTGCTCAGGTCGGTGACGTCTGGGATCAGCAGCAACCTCGTCTTATCGGCTTCGTACTGGTCGTGCTTCATTCTGGCAAAGGCAATTTGCTTGCCATCCCTCGAGAAGGTCGGTGCGATGCTGTAGCCTCGCAGCTTGCCTGTCTGGACAATTTGGGGCTGCGAGGGCTTCTCAACAAACGACTTGATGGGCACATAGTACAGGTCTGTCTTGGTATACCGCGCCGGATTCAGCTCAGGATCTTTGGCGACAAAGCAGATGCCGTGGGTAGCGATGTCAAAGTCTCCGGTGCCGCCAAAGGGAGGAACCGGGGAGCTTAGGCCCGTGCCTGCGAGCAGGTTGGTGAAGCCGGGGGTCTCCAAGGACCATTTGCCATCAATCTTGGCAAGCTCGCCGTACCAAAGCGAGTTCTGGTTCTCCGTCGACCAGGCATCCCAATGGCGGACGAAGAGCGAGGTGTAGATCTTGGCCGTGGAGTGGGACTTGGCCTCGGCGGGCGGCCAGTACATTTCGCCCTTGGGCGTGGTCAAGGCGGCGCAGCAGATGGCGACCTTGCCTGAGGACAGCTGCTTGGCTTTGGGGCTGGAGATGCTACCTGCGAGGTAGTGAATCATGTGTGGCCTGTCCAGGGTCAGCAGCCTCGTCGGGGATTCCGATGCTTCCTTGAACGGCCAACCTACTCGGACTTGTCGCCCAGCTGCTGGGACATGATCATGGTGCATCCATTCTCGCCAGGCTTGAGGTACAAGACCTCCTTCTCGCCAATCCAGATGGGTTCGCTGGCCCCGGGGTCCTCGGAGACCAGGTGGGAGCTGCCGTCCTTGATGTTGAGGACGCGAATCGACGACGACTTGGAGTGCGTCTCGAACGAGTAGGACGACACCTGTTGGCGGAGTTCTCATCAGCGATTGGGTCCCCCATGAGGCATCCTGCAGCCATCCACCGTCTCATGACCGTCTACGTCGTGTGCAACGCGAACATGTACATACCGTGTAGAGCGCGAGCTCTCCAGTGGAGTTGGGGACGCCAGCGGACCGCCGCGGGGCCGAGAGGAGCACCTCGGGGGTAAAGTGGGCAGCCTGGACGGTCATCTTGACACGGACGCGGGCTGATGAGCTTGGTGTTGATGCTACGGGTTGGGAGAAAGCCAGGAACGGCAAACAGACGGGTGCCCCTCTCGGTACTCTGGGCGAGGGGCCTTATATAATTGAGTTGCGAGCTGGCCCGGAAGCTTCCTGGTAGCTTTGCGGTCAGTGCAGCGACGGCGGCAACGGCAGCAGCACAGGTCAGGTCAGTGGCACCTGCCACCTTCCCAATGCCGTCAAATGGACTGACGCCTCCCGCTTTCCAATTGATCATGGAGCGTGGAGCTTCCCCCCCCATCTTCAACCCCGCACCCCGCCTGGCCTTCGGTCATTGTCCACTCATCACCACCGCTCTGCTCACCTTGACCGGTGTTGGCCTGCAGCTGGAGCCAATAATGGCTTGTCCCTCCTTCTGCACGGCTCGTCACTGGCGTCCACGGTCATCCATGCCAGGCACCCAAAGCAGAACCTCGCGCGCCATCACGACATCCTTTCCGTCATTTGCTTCGCTTGCTCTGCCGTCCAAGGCGCGGCTACGGTAGCCGACGGCCCTCTACCGTCGTCCTCTGTACACCGAGTGACCGGACGGGTCTTGTGGACCATCAAGGTGGGTTCCGTTTCTCTCCTAACATTTCCGGTTTAAGCGGCCGATTAATGCCACACACTGCTGTGCTCCTCGTATGCTGCCCGGGAGTCTGGGACCACGCTCGTGTCGACACCGGGCGTGCGACGAGTACGTAAACATGACTGTTGCGCCGTGCAGGGACTTTTGTCTCCCGGCTCGAACCGCTTCTCTGTATTCCACGTAGCATTCACGCGCGAATGCGTCTGAGAAGCCGCTTTGCCTGCCCTGCAAACGCATTGCTCGAGTGGCTCTAACGTACTAAGTGTGTGTGAAGTTCTAGCATCATGTCGCCGTGACCCACGCCTCGAGGTCTTGATACCTGCAAACCGGCCAGCCAAACGCCATCCTGCTCGCATTCGAGCCCATTGAGTGACCCCTATAAGTCATGCCATGCCATTATCAACGCCAAAAAAGCATCATCGCTATTCCGAGAGGATAAGTACCAACAGGTCGTCTACTTTCTCGACGCGCCAAAGTTGGTCCTCTTCTTGCCCATCTGCGAGTCTCCCTCGCTCTCCTCCGTCTCCTTCTCCTTCTTCTTCGACTTGGAGTTCTTGCCAGTCCCCGACGACGGCGTCGGATGCGCTGACCCGCTATCACGGAACGATGCAGACACTGGCGTTGGGGCGTGCGACGCGGGCGTAGATCCCGGTGTTGAGTCCTATACGGGTCGCCGTGTTGTCAGTTTCCAGAGATTCTCTTGATCGCACGCGAGGGGCCATTGCGCAAGGCCTGCTCCTCCCCAAGAAGATGCGCGTATGCCACTCACCCCGTTGTTCGGCCTGTACGACACCGACGACCGCGAAAACACGCGGTTCTGCTCCGCCGGGCCCGCCTTGCGCCGCTGCGCCGCCGCACCGCTCTGTCCCTTCATATAGTTGTCGAAGCCCGTGATGATGTTGCCAGCAGGCGTGCTGTCCAGGTACGCGGCCTCCTTGCTCGCGATGCTGTCCTCGACCGCCGCCTAGCGCACGTTGTCAGCACAACACGAATAGTCTCCTCGTATCCAGATCCCAAAGGCCTTACGAGTTTCCGCTCCTGGGCTCTGCGCCGCTCGACCAGCTCCCGCACCCTCGCCTGGGCCTTCTTGTATTCTGACAGGCTCGCTGGCGCGTTGCCGGCCGCGCCGCCTTTGTTGTCTGCCATCGGCTCGGATGTCGCTGCGATGGATGGGGAATGCGCCCCTATCAAGATTCGGAATGATGAGGGCCCGCGGGCTCAGAGCGCGCGACGTCGTTGAGCGTGGCCGAGCCGAGTCGCGGTTGATGTCGGAGCCAGAATTGGCGGACCGCAGGACAATGCTGTCGCCAGACTTATGGCGGGCGGGCGGCAGTGGTGGGGCGCATGTCCACCACCACCACCTTAACCTGGGTATACTTTACAATGATTGCGCTTTGCAACGATGCCTTAACGACATAATGTGCAGTTCTGTAAATTCAATATCACTGACACATTGGCATAGTTGTGATATGCTAGCGCAACGCGAGATGAAAGAAACGAGGCGCGCGAACTGCATAGCAGTGATAGAAGGCCATACCGGCCCCGGAATATGAGAACCGATCTGTAAGAGCAGCAATGCCTCTACGTAGTTGTATTATCGGACCCTTAACATGTACGAAGTAGGCTACCTTCAGATCGATATCCTCAATTACTCATCCGCCCACCATCGCGCGTATACATCGTCACGATACATGCTTGTAGCGAATCGGTAGTCTTTAAATGCTCTTAACAGATGGCATGCAGTGGAGTTGGTATACAAGATGTGCCTGTCTGATCGTCTAATGTACAAGCCGCCACTCCAGCCTTGCCCTCAGGCTGGGGCATGCTTTCCCTCTGTTCTTACAGTATCATAGTATACACGATCGCTATGCCTTGCGCCTGCTCTTTGGCGCTAGAAGCTCGTAAACGCCCATCTCCTTGGCCACCTCGACGAGGACCCTCCTCTTGTCCTCGTAGGCGCCCTCGTCGGGCCAGTATTTCTTCTGGAGGTACTCGTAGAGGGCCTCGCCGCGGCGGGCGTCACCCTCGAGGCGCTCCGCGTCGCCGTCGGCCCACGCCAGGAGCGCCCTGTCGAGGTCGCGCTTGGCGAGCATGAGGCGCCTGCGCTGCGAGGGCGTATCCCACGCGAGCTTGGTGGTGCCGAGGAGGAGCTCCATCGCGAGCGTCTCGGGCGGCAGGAAGCCAAAGACATCCTTGAGGGCGGTCAGGGCGACGAGGAGACCAGCATTGTCCTTGAGCCGGCGGAAGGTGTGGAGCATCTTGCGGGCGAGTTGTCCGTCGATGCCGTCGGGCTGGAACACCTGCTTGAACTTGAGCGTCTCCTTGAAGAGGGCGCGAGTTGCTTCGGTCTCCTCCTGGAGGGCGTCAGGGGCCACGACGTGGAGTCGGTTCACGGCCAGCGTCTTCCACAGCGCGCTGAAGGTGTACGGGTCAGGGGCGAGCCCGCGCTCGGCCACAAAGGAGTGGTACAGCGTCATGGCCTCCTTCGGCTGACCGGCCTGGATGTAAGACTCGAGCAGCTGGTTCATCATGAACGCGTCGGGGCTGATTTCGGAGTCGCGGAACGCATCCCAGAGCGACTCGAGCTTTCCGTGCAGGTCGCGCAGGCGGTAGTTCTCCGCCAGCAGAGAGAACGTCTCCAACGTCGCCCTTGGCCACGGTGCTGTGCCTGATGAGAGGCTCTGTTGCTGTTTGCTACCAGCCTGTCGTGCGCGCACAAAGTTGGTGCGCGACTCAATCATGTCCCAGGCTAGCTTGTCCGCCTTAACGAGGTCATCGGCACCGCCTGACCTCTGCCACGCACCGATCAAGCCGTTGAGGTGTATCGGTGCAGCCTCGACGCCTTTTGATCGCATAAACTCGACCACGCTGAAGGCGCCGTCGAGGTCGCCAGCGCCAATTAGCCGCTTGAGCCATTTGCCGAGGAAGAACTTGTTTGCGACCACCGAGGGCATGTATCTTTGCCGCTTAAGGTCAATCTGGCCGTCGCTCATCATATCGACAAAGGCGTACAGGGCGTTTTCGGTCTGATTGGTGGTGAGAAAGTACGACACCACCTGGTCGTAGTCCGCAAGCTTCATCTCCTTGCCCAAGAGGTCCCTCATCTGGCGGTAAGTCGCCCAGGCCCGCTCTTGACTCTCCGAGGTACCCTGCTCGGAGAGCGTCCGGATCAGAGGCATGAGTATGCGCGCATCCATGTGCCTTTCCAGGAGCTTGGCTGTAGCTCGCTCCGCCTGCTCCATGTCCCCCACTCGGCAGTACATGCGTACGCCGAGCTCCCAAAACTGCTGAAAGGTCTCTGATTTCTCATCACCCAGAGTGCTCATGCATCGCTTCCAGTTGTCGATAGCCTTGGACTCCCATCCGTCGACAAAGACGGCCTCGATAGTCAGCAGTTGCTGTGATGGAGCGAGAGTGATCTTGGCCTCGCTCATGTCCCTCGCCAGCATGGAGACATGGGCTAGCCTGTGCGTGTTGATGGATTCATCCGCGGAGAATATCGTCCATAGGAGATCCCAGACGTCAATCGGGACGTTGCTCCAACCCCGCGCCAGAGGAAGTCGAGCTGCATGGTACGCTTTGTAGACAGACGACACGCTCTTCTTTGTAAGGCCAGGATCTCGACGCAAATCTCGAAAGACACGGGCGAGGATGGAGTTGAGCCTGGTGATCTTCTTTCGCTGATTGGGCGTCCACGGCCGTTCGGGAATCTGCGGCGGGGCGGCCTGTCGTCGTCCGGACTCGTCGAGAAGTGGCAGATCCGGCAAGTCCTGTCGCAGTTCATCCAGGATCTCCTTTGGCAGACCAGCGCCGGCTTCTTCTATCTCCGCGTCAATCGAGTCCGTGTACGCCTGCATCTTGGCCATCATCTTCTCCAGATCGTCGGCCGATGCCACCTTGTCCACATCGCCGCCCATCTCTCGCATGACCGTCTGGAACGCATCGCGCTCTTCTTGAGTCGCTAGAGCGCTCCTAAGGTCGAATAGCGCATCTTTGAGTTCTGAGCCATCGAGCCTGCTCAGCGAGGTGCCGAATTCGTCCTCGTCGAGCTCCGTGCGGCTCTTGTCGTTCTGCTCGAAGAACCGGACCGAAAAGCCTTCCTTGTCGCCATTTTTCGGGGCCCCTTGCAGCTCCTGAATACCCTGGAGGTACTGTCGCAGCTCATTCTGGTCCGGCTGACGGCTGATGGCGCCAGATGTTCGGGATTGCGGCTTCGACCTCCTCCGCGACGCCTGGGAGCTGTAAGCGGCGGCCGACGGTTGCGCGGCCTGCCGTCGGATGCTAGAAAGACATGCTCGGCATATAGGACCGCTTCGGCTGCCGAGATCGAGGAGCAGCGGCCGGCCGGGCATGCTTTGACGGTGCTGCGAGGGAGAGGGGACTCGAATCCGGTCTTGGTGCTCGACGAGATGCAGGTGAAGTCGAGGAAGAAAGTCCCCTGTCGGACTTGCTGCGACTTCCTCGGCCTTATCGATAAGGAAGCCTCCATCAACTTTCCAGGTTCTTAGCGTGCTGGAGCCACTGTAACGAGCAGGCGGTGACCTGTCGCGCCGCCCAGCAGGTGGTGCACGGACCGGCAGAATTTTATTTTTCGAGGAGCGGCCATCCATCCGCCTGGCATTCTTCCTTTGCGCCTCAAGATACCCTCCAACAGTCTGGACGTAAAAAATGTCCAATTCAACGCCCGAGTACCTGCGCTTCACAGGGCACCGGTCCTTTGCCCGGCGGCTCACCATCTCGACCCTCACCGGCCGGCCCATCCACATCTCCAAGATCCGCAGCTCGTCACCAACCAACCCCGGTCTCGCCTCCCATGAGATCTCCTTCCTGCGGCTGCTCGAGGCCGTCACCAACGGCTCCTCGATGCAAATATCCTACACGGGCACGACGATAACGTACCACCCGGGCCTCATCTCCGGCACCATCGCGGGCCAGGGCGCTGTCGAGGGCGACGTCATAGAGCACCATATCCCGGACTCGTGTACCCGCGGCGTCACCTACTTCCTGCTGCCGCTGTGCCTGCTGGCGCCCTTCTCCAAGGCGCACATGAACGTCCGCTTCTCCGGCCCCGGCGTCATCACCGCCGCGACGGAGACGGGTGACGTCTCTGTCGACACGTTCCGAACGGCCGTCCTCCCGCTCTTTGGCCTCTTCGGCATCCCTCCCGCGCGCATCGAGCTGCGCGTGCTGTCAAGGTCGTGTGCCGGGCCCGGCGGCAAGGGCGGCGGCGGGTGCGTCGAGCTGCGCTTCGCGAGCCAGGTCCGACTGCCCAAGACGTTGCACCTGAACCGCAGTCCCGGCAGGATAAAGCGCATCCGCGGCGTCGCGTACTGCACTGGCGTATCGGCGTCCAACAACGCCCGCATGATTCACTCGGCGCGCGAGATCCTCAACCCGCTCGTGTCGGACATTCACGTCGCGGCGCAGTACGACCAGGCGCCGCTGGTGCCCACGGACAAGGCCGGGAACAAGCGTCGGTTGGGCATCGGGTTCGGCCTCAGCCTCGTCGCCGAGTCGAGCTCCACGGGCGTGCTGTACTCGGCGGATGTGGTCGTGCCGCCGTCGGGTGGTGTCGTCCCTGAGGATATCGGCAAGCGGTGCGCGTACCAGCTGCTGGAGCAGATTGAGCAGGGCGGTTGTGTGAGCCAGGTGTCTGCGGGCACCGTGCTGATACTCATGGCTATGGGGTCAGAAGACGTGGGTCGGCTACGGATAGGGAGGGAAGTCATTGGGACGGAGGACCTGGTAGGGCTGGCGAGAGATCTCAAGACGTTTGGCGCGAGCAGCTGGGGTTTGCGAGACGTTGAGGACGAGTCGAGAGACTTGGTCGTTTCAGTAAAGGGTTCCGGCGTCGGCAACGTGGGAAGGAAAATAGCGTAAATTCACAAGACAAGAATCAAGTCACACGACACACCAGAGACGACGAAAAGGCTGTGCGCGTGAGATCATACATGCATTTACATTCGTTGTTGGTATCGACGGCCTATCTATTGGGATGCTGCGTCGCCGTTGGAGCCGCGGCACCTTGTCTCCTCGCCCGCAGAGCTGCCAAAGTCGCACCGTAGCCAATAGTCTGGAGCGAGTTGGCTGCGGAGCGTTCGAGATCAATCGCCGCGGAGGCGAGCGAGCGGATGATGTGGTACTCGCCGAGGACCGCGTTGCCCGAGTTCATAATATCCGATAGTTGGGATCTCGAGCTGGCTTCAGTCGCGACTGGCCGCAGCAGTGAGCCCGACGCTTCCATGCGTTCACTCCCCTCGCCTTCCTGCCCGTTTGGATTCAACGTCCGAAGCTCCACATCGCCGTCTTCGACGTCATCTATGTCGACGCCCGGTGCGTGCCGCAGCACACCGCGTTCCTCCGCATCCAAATCCTCGGCGGACCGTGCAGTCGCCAGCTCCTGCGCAATGTCCGGCACCAGCGGCCTAAACGTCTTGAGGGCGACGCGCAGCTTCTCCCTTTGTGTATGCACCGTGAGCATCAGGCACTGCACGGCAAGTATGACTACGTCTGCTAGAACGTAGTATAGTCGGTAGGTCGGGGGCCGCTGCCCGACAAAGTCGATGATGAGCCCGCCGTGCTGGTATCCCCTGTGGAAGCCAGGCCCGTGTGGCAGACGGCCGAATAGGTGTAGTAGCATGCAAACGAGGTTGGGTATTACGACGAGCAGGACGTGTAGACGGCTGGCGGGCATGAAGAATGGAAAGGAGTTGTCCTTGGGCGTCAGGTAGGTGTACTGGCCGGCAGCGCGCAGCAGGAAGCGAAACATGGAGCATCTTGAGGGGAGCGAGGTCAGCGGGTGCCTTCTGCCAGTCTGGGGAACTTGGCCGCATACTCCATATAGTACAGGGCGCTCAGCTCGGCAAAGACGACGAGGTCGAGCGTCTTGAGGAGGTGTGTGATGAATGTGAGCTTCTTGGCGAGGCCGGGGTTTCGCTTCTTGCGGCTCCTCTTCTTGCGCCGGGGCCGCGACTCGGAGCGCGACCGGGACGGGGACCGCGCGGCATCGCCCACGTCGCCGTTGTCGTCGGCTTCGTCGTCTTCTCTATCGACGGGCGGCGGCGGCGCGCTCGGGGCTCCCGCGGCACGTGGCGATGTCTCGTCGCCGCGCGCCGTCCAGCGGGGGGAGGCGTCATCGCTCATGGTATTTGGCTGTCGTCATCGGCGCTGGCTGAGCCGGTTCTGCATCGGAGCAGCTCGAGCTCAAGCGGAGCGCGTCATGGATATCGTGGTCATGGACGGTGGAGGGCGTGGCCGCAGGAAAGTCGCGAAACGCTGACGTTGGCCTGACTGGGGGTTTGGAGGTGGTGGTGCTTGAGCTTGTGCAGGGATGAACGGCCTGCAACGGGTGGGCTGGCGGGTGCAGGTGCTTGTGGTTGGAGCTCTGGCCGGGCTGGTTGCGGCGCGCGCGCCTGGAAGTGGTGTGGTTTGGGCTCAGCCTGTCAGTTGGCTCCCGCTGTTGCGGCGCCAAGGTGGGCGGGCCAGGCGGGTCACTCAGCGTGCCGCCTCGCATCAAGGTAAATCCGATAGCGGAGGGCTCACCCATCGCCCACCGCTTACCGCAGTGGAGGTGACCAGCTCCCAGCGGACGAGACAGAGCCTGAGGGACAGGACCCCGCCATCCGAGGTGGGATGCCAACTAAAAAGTCACCATCGCAAAGTGACTCAGCCAGGCACAACGTCCACATCCCCCCCATCGACCGCCCAACCCAACGACAGCACCAAGGGGAGAGCGAGCGAGCGCGCGCAATCGACATGACGACCTCGAGCTCCGCCCCGTCGGGCGACCTCACAAGTCAGATCCTGCTGGCCCTGTCCAAGGCGAGCCCGATCCAAACCGCCGATGCCTTCCCCGATGCCCAGTTCCAGGACGTCAAGGCCGCCCTCGACCGGCTGGGGTCCCGGTCAATGATCACGTACGAGACGATTGAGCGCGAGGAGGCCCTCCTGGAGCCCGAGGCCGAGCAGATTGCCGAGCACGGCTCGCACGAGGCCCGTGTCTTTGAGGCGCTGAAGCAGGCCATGGAAGGCCTGACGGTCCAGGAGCTGGAAAAGGCCATTGGCGACAAGAACGTCACCAAGCTGGGTCAGGGCAAGGCCTTTAGAGAGAAGTGGATCTCCAAGAGCAAGGACGGCAAGCTGGTGGCCACGGTATGTTTTCCGAAGGAGTTGGGGCTCGGAGGGCCCCTAAAGGTATCCGTCCAAGCATACAACGGCTGACCAGGCGGACAACAGGCCGATTCCATCCAGGACGTCACCCGGGCACAGCTGCAAAAGATCAAGGAGACGCGGACGGGCGACGCCAAGGTCATCGCCGACCTGAAGAAGCGCAAGCTCATCCGCATGCAAAAGATCATCACCTTCAAGGCGGACAAGGGCCCCAAGTTCGCGCTCGAGATTCAAAAGGAAGAGACGGACCTGACGGCCGACATGATTGCGTCGGGGGCGTGGAAGTCGGCGACCTTCAAGCCGTACAACTTCAAGGCGCTGGGGTCGGACCAGAATGCTGGCGCGCTGCACCCGCTCAACAAGGTGCGGCACGAGTTCCGGCAAATTTTCTTCGAGATGGGCTTCGAGGAGATGCCGACCAACAAGTTCGTGGAGACGGGCTTCTGGAACTTTGACGCGCTCTTCGTGCCGCAGCAGCACCCGGCGCGCGACCTGCAGGACACGTTCTACATCTCGGACCCCAAGGTGGCGGAGAAGCCGCGGCCGCAGGGCGAGGGCCAGGACACGGAGGCGTACTGGAACAACGTCAAGGAGGTGCACCAGAACGGCAAGTATGGGTCGATCGGATACCGGTACCCGTGGTCGGCGGATGAGTCTCTCAAGCTGGTGCTGCGGACGCACACGACGTCCATCTCGGCGGCGATGCTGCACAAGCTGGCGGCGACCAAGGGCCCGGACGGGCGGCCGAAGCCGGCACGGTACTTTTCCATCGACCGCGTGTTCCGCAACGAGACGGTGGACGCGACGCACTTGGCCGAGTTCCACCAGGTGGAGGGCGTCATCGCCGACTACGGGCTGTCGCTGGGCGGGCTGATGGAGTTTATGGAGATCTTCTTCACCAAGATGGGCATCACGGACCTCAAGTTCAAGCCGGCGTACAACCCGTACACGGAGCCGAGCATGGAGATCTTCTCGTACCACAAGGGGCTCAACAAGCTGGTGGAGATTGGCAACAGCGGCATGTTCCGGCCCGAGATGCTCGAGGCCATGGGCCTGCCCAAGGACATGCGCGTCTTCGGCTGGGGACTGAGTCTGGAGCGGCCGACCATGATCAAGTACAAAATCTCCAACATCCGCGAGCTGCTGGGGCACAAGGTGGACCTGGGCTTCATTGAGCGGAACCCGGCGGTGAGACTAGAGAAGGAGTAGATGTTGGAAATCGAAGAGAGAGCGAGAGAGCGCGAGAGACAGAGAGATGCGGTAGACTTGCACGCCGTGGGGCGCGCTAGAGCGAGATGTCTGAATGAGATACAGATTTGCATCCGTGATGCCATGATGTCCCAGGGGCATCAGGACCTTGCTCAAGCCAATCTTCTGGCGCAGCAACGAGACATGCCACACCCTTATGGGTTCTGAGAGCGATCCGCCCCACAACTTGGAAGCCATCCGTCCATCCGCCTCTGGCAGGTGGAGCACCAGCGACACCCAGCACATATGGGGGGTTTCGATGAGTTCAGTCAGGCAGTCAGTCAAGTAGAGTAAACCTTTTCGGCCAACAAAATGGTCAACGTCACGACCCTGCCATGACGCCGCCCCGTGTATGGTGGTCCCGCCCTGATGCGGGCCAACGTGCCACCCAAAAAGGAGGGAGCCGGCGATCGCCACGGGGGGCGTTCCTGTCGCGCGGCTCCCCATGTCTCGCGATCGGGAAAGACGCACTAACAGAGATGCAAGCAAGCAGGCGCAAAAGGGAGCTGTCCATGTGCGTAATCAATCGCTACGTTGATGCTGCTACTAAGTTAGTGAACAAGGACCGATTGCCGGGGCCCGTGGGGCCGGACCCGCGCATCGCCGCCAACTGCCGCCGTCACCGAGCGAGCGCTCGCGAGTCACCGATCCAGAGCCCAGACCCTCCTCGACTCTGCTTGCTCGCGTGCTCCTCCCGATCCCTTAGTACGTAGTCGTCCTGCAGCTGCAGCAGCAGCAACACGGGAGAGCGTAGAGGTGGGGTTGTGGGCGTTTTCGGCCATGCCACGCCCTGCACATCGCCTGCCGTTCGCCAGCCAGCTCCCTATCTATACTTGCTGGGCCGGGAATGGAGCAGCAGCAGCAGCGAGAGGACGAGGGGAAGAGGAGGCAGCATCACTGAGGAGGAGGAGGGAAAGGAAGGGTGCCGGTGAAACGTCATTGGGTCACGCCACACGCCGGCCGGGGAAAGCTTGTCCGCCCGCGCGCCCCCAAAACGCTCTGCCTGCCACCACCCACACGCCCTCCCCATTGGTAATCCGGCGAGCGAGCCCGGGAGTCGTGGATGGGGGAGCTGTGTGCGGGATGCGGGAGTGTTGCTGTTGGAGGAGAAAGAGGAGGAGGGATGGGGAGGGGGACCCCTCACTTTCTGCCGTTCGAGTGATGAAGCTCCTCTCCTCCCCCCGTCCATATAAGACGACGAGGCGCTCTCCCTCCCCCCCCTCCATCACGGTTCCTGCCTTGCCCTGCCCATCCTTTCCATTGGCATACACACCCCAAGCTACTGTTCCTCCTCCTTCTGCGCCTGGGAATCACCAACCCATCGGTATTATACCAGCCATCTCCACCAGTCATCGACTGTGTCCCAATCCAACGACCTGCTCGACGTCGCTCTCATCATGAGCGAGCCCCAGAACCAAAAGGCCGCCGAGCCCTCATCCACCGGCACCCGCCGCAGGGTTAGTCCTCTGCTTCCTTCCTCCGTCCCGCCCCCTCATCGTCGTCGCGACTCCCGACGTCACTGTCACTGTCCAAACAAGCGACAGCAAGCTAACACATATTGCCCGTCCCACACAGAGCTCCGGCCTTATGCCCGCCTTCGAGAGCCTCCAGCAGCAAAAGAACAAGCAGGACGCCGCCCGCCGCCAGAGCTTGTCGGACCAGCAGGCCAAGGGTGGCGTCTTCAGCCAGCTCTTCCACAAGTATGTTGGCTCAAATCTCCCGTTCGCTGCTTGGCTTGTAGCAGCCGCAAATGAAGCTGCGCAAGATGCTAACATGCGACCTGCAGCAACCTCGGCCGCAACGCCAAGTAATGCAAATTACCTACACGCCCCAACTATAGCTCGCTGGCCTGTACCCTCAGCGAGAGGGCTTCACACTTGTCTCATCACTTTGTTGTATATTAGTGCGATGCGGAATGGCCGGGATTGAGAACATGGGAGTTTTAGCCGCAACAGATGGTGCTTTGGAGTCTGCCGGAGGGGCCAAGCATGTAAAGACTGAATCATGATATCTGTTTATACCGCGTATATGCTGCTTCCCACACAATCCTTCCCGTGATCATTTGGCTGGGCGACGACATTCCCCAAAGTTCACAGCCACACGTGCCAGTCTATCCGTGGTAGCTTCACCCAACTCACCGGTAATAGCTGCGATTGGGGCCGTTTGTATGGGGACAAGGTCAGGCTTGAATTCATCGAGTCCAGCTATGTACAATGGGAATCAATCGTCATCCCGCTTGAACTGAATCCCCCACCTGATGTCCCCTCTTGTCAACCTCAACCTTCCCACCCCTGACCACCCACCACTGTCCATACCCATGCTCAAAGGTGAACGGGCGCTATGGCTAAGCCATTGGGAGGCGCGACCAGCCCACGCCCGGTAGGATTCTCCCTCGTTGCTTGGCAACCTGTGAAGGTTTCTTCTCGAGATGGACACCCAGCTAAGCTAGGCGTGACGCTCGAGGGCCAACAGGCGTCCTCGGCCGAGTCCGAGATGCTGGCTCCGGGGCAAAGTTGCTTCTGCCGCGCTGTCGTGCTTGTCCATATCCGGCATATTGCTCTTACTATCGCGCTTGTCCCCTTCAGAAACGCCCCGAGAGAGAATCGCAGCTGCTTGACCGAGGTCGCTCGCCACGGGGCCGCTGGGGAGCACCCAAACGTCCCTGCAGGGCGTTATCCCGAAAGCAAACAGCTGCCCAAGTGCAGAAGGGGAAAACCCAGCGTACAGTTGGCCATGTCACACCTTCAGAGCACGAGCCGTCACCGTGGCCGTATATACGTAGGCCAAGGAGCTTCATTCTAGGTCTCCAATTATCAGGCCGTGGCCAGGATAATGTATCACGCAAGAGAGAGCGTGGTAGCGACAAAATCCGATCGTTGGAGCACTACTGCTGCAGATCTGGGTTAGTGGGAGTTGGCACAGCATCGAAAAAGACTCACAATGACAGAGATCGTGCATCGTCCTCGCGAAGTTGGGCCCTTTTTCATCATGCCCAGGATGTTGCTGATCCGGCAACGACGGTATTTGGCTCAATACTTGAGACCGACACGTTAGAGACGTCTGTTACTGTTCCACGCCGTGGGCTGACTTACCACAAGGGACGAACCTGCGGGGCAGTATCCGTGGCGGGTTGCTGGCTGCGTTGGGCCTTTTATATCATGCCCAGGATGACACCAATTCGGCAACCATGGTGCATGGCCATTTCGTTCAGCCTGAGATGTTAGAATAACCCGTTACTGTGCGAACCGGTCAGTTTGCTTACCACGAAGAACGACCTCGCTGAGCGAAGTCGCAGCGGTCGCCGGCGGCGTTAGGCCTTTTCAGATCGTGCCCAGGACTCGCCAAACCAGCAACCAGAGTGCTCGACTCGATAATTGAGCCTGAGAAGTTAGCCCAAGATATTCTTCCCTGATTCAATGCCATCACTTACCGCAGAGGACGGACCTGCTTGGCAGAATCCGCGACGGTTGCCGGCTGCGCGTGGGCCTTTTAACGTCCTGCCCAGGACGAAGCAGCAGATGCGTTTTGACCAGGCTTGCGACGCTTCCAGATGCCACAGCAGTGATTGGTTGCCTTGTTGACCGGGACGCTCCAGGAATGAGAGCAGTATTCTATTGAGTGTGTTCTCTGCAGGTGACCGGGGTGAGCTCATGACACCTACAGCAAGAGGCAGGGGAATCACTCATGAATAGCAATCCTTGAGAGGGCCAGAAATGCCAAGGCGCAGGAAGAAGGCCATTTGGACCCTTTCAGGCTCGGAATGTGTCAAAGAGCTTTGCATGTCGCGCAGCCTGACGTGACAGAAGGGCTGCTTCATTCTGTGGACATGGGGCGCCGTTTGCAACGCCAAACGCCCTTCATTGCCACAAAACCTGACAGATGTGCATGAGCAAGGAGATCAAGGAGGAGGCAAATGAGCGAGACAAAGGCCCAAAGATGGCCAGCACCCCATCATTTCGGAGACTGGAAGCAAAGGAAGATGTGGTGTGCGGCGCGAAACGCGTTGGGAAGGGTGAGGACTCGAGAAGTTGGAGTGCCAAACACAGAGATGGAGATGAAAAGGTGAGGAAGTTGGGAGGACCAAGCACGGAGTTGGAGGGGGAGAAGGTGGGAGAGGTGGGAGAGAGAAGGAAGGAAAGGGAAGGAAAGGAAGGAGGGAGGGGGACGGGGGGCAGCAGGTTTTGTATGCCGGGAAGGAGGACCTGAACAGCTGGCTGCCCGGGTCGGACCTGCGAGGCAGCTGGCAGCAGCACGTGACGCCTTGTCTGTCTGTTCACGCGTCGCTCCAGATTCTGTTCATTTCATCCGATGGGGGCCGTGGCAAGTAGAAGTGGTGTGCTTGCGGCCGCGGCGCATGTTCAACTTCGCACTGGGCCCCTGGCTGGGCCGAACGTTCTGGGGCCGAACATTCTGGTGCCAAAGGGATGCCACTTTGCACTGTCGCATGGCACTGTCGAAAGAACAACAGAAATGCGGCGATACAGTCATTCGAGGACTCATTAGCGATGTTTGAAAGCTGTTTGACTTTTATGCCTCTATCTTGAGAGATCTAGTGTCCACTCGCACAACCACGATGACCACGGCAGGCCGCCAGTCGGACATGACACGAACCACGCTAACCAGCGCAACGCCTTTCCCAGAATTCGCTAAATCAATGCTCATGATTCTATGTGTGTGCGCGTTGTTCCCTGCCCCTATGTCTTGACCATGAAGATCTGAGATACTGTCAGCGAATGATCTCACGGCGTCTTGCAGCACATCTCCATGAAAACGTACCTGGTTCAGAGCCTTGGTATCCAACATCGCTTGCCGCTTGGCTGCGATAAACCTGGACCGAACAAAATTGCGGGTCCCTCTCGGCGTGGACGTGCCAGTGCCGCTTCCCGAGGGCGTCGAGACGCCTGTCGGCACTGCCGAGTCGTCCGCGCTTCCCTCGGAAGATTCGTCCGCCCCAGCCTTCATCCGCTTCTTCTTCTCCTTCTTCTCCTTCTTGTCCTTCTTCGACTTCTTGGGCTCATCGGCGGCGCTGTCCTCTGGTGACGACTTCTTGTCCTTGGACTTGCGCTTTTTGTCTGCCTTGGCGTCGTCCGTATCGGGCGAAGTCCTCTCCTTTTTGGACTTCTTCTTGTTCTTCTCGTCAGCTCGGGCGCTGTCGTCGCCGTCGTCGGTTGTTGATTCGGCCGCGGCTCTCTTTGCGCGCCGCTCCTCTTTTCGGCGGCGTTTCTCCTTCTTGGACTCGCTCTCGTCGTCATCGTCGGCGCCCTCAACATCAGAAGCCTTCCGCTTCTTGCTCTTCTTCTCCTTCTTCGTCGCATTCGAGGCTTCCTCGGCGGGCGTCTCCTCCCCCATCAACTCCTTCATGGAATCGCCAATCAGGAACCCGCCTCGGACGAACCGCATCGGTCCGTACTTTTGCTCGACGTACTGGTTCGTCTTCATGATCAAGCGCGCCTGCCTCTCCCCTTCGAGGGACTCCTCCGACTTGCCATTCAGCCGGCTCAGCAGGTCTGAGAAGACGTCCAGGCCCGTCACCTCGTCCTCCTTGGACTTGCTCCACCCCAGGCCCTTAACGTCGTCCTTGACGGACACGCGAATGTAGGAGGCGTTGGCCGCAGTATGTAGGCCGGAGTGCGCTGCGTCCTGGGCTCCCAGGAACTGACCGGGCTGCCAGCCGTGTGCTCGCAGCATCTTCTGGCCGAAGGTCGTTGTGTCGCGGGTCCATTTTGTGTTATTGGGATCCTTGTTGATTTTGCCCCGACTATACAATCACGCATTAGCATGCATCCGACAACCCTCGTGTGGGCAAGCCTATACCTCTTGGACTCTGCGAGAAGTCCCATTGTGACGGCGGTGCGACACGGCGCTGGCTTGAATGTGTGTTGCAAGATTGAGAGGGTCAAAAAAATCCAGGGCGGTGGGGTTTCGAGGTTGGGGAGCGCACTTATCGCGTCCTGCAATTGGCTCGGGTGGGAATCGGAGGACCCACCCACCCGTGCCGCCGCCGACAGACCGAGCCACACCGAGAACTATAATCTGGGGCAGGGCCGCATCACGAAGTCACCGTCGACACTTGATGCTGTCCCTCTTGAACATCGGTGCTCATGAAAGTCCCTTTTCAACAATTATACATGCCTCGTACGCCTATTGTACACCGGAGCTAAACCCCGATTTTGTGGTTCGTCCCTCGTCCTCGCTCTGCTGGCTGATCCGCATACTTTGCCTCGTGTCTAATAGTTGAGCTCGCCGCCCCCGCCGCCAGACACCTGGTCGAGATCCTCGTAACTCTTCAAGCTCCGGCCTTGGACAGCCTCTCGTGGTCCTCCGGCTGCGCCGCCGGCACCGTCTCCCCACCGAGACCCGCCCACTCTGTTGCGGCCGCCGTCCCAGCGATTGCCTCCTCGCCTGTCGTATGGGCCAGACCGAAACTGTCCCCGGCCGCCGCCCATGCCACCTCGACGTATCGGGCCGCCCGAGCGATCATCGCCCGCAGCGTTCCATCCTCCCGCGCCTTGCATGCCGGCGAACATGGGCGGGAAGCCGCCTGGAGGCATTGGGAAGCCGGGCATCCCCATGACGCCGTTGACAGAGAAGTTTTGAAGGTTGAATCCTCTTGGAGTTCCGGCGGCCGATTGACCGTTGGGCGTCGGAAAGTGGCCGTTGGAGTTGGGGTCAGTCCTCGACGGAGCAATATGAGAAGGGTCGATGACGTAGGAGTTGATGAGCTCGAACTGAGCAGGCCGTCAGTCGCACGATCCGATTTGCCAGGGTGTTAGTCACGTACCTCATTCCTCATCGCGTCCAGCCACTCTGCGTGCCTCTTTTCGACGTGCTTCTTCCAGAAGTGCTCTTCCTTGAACAGTTTGGTACACTCGGGGACCTTGCATCGCCACTTATGCTCGTCTTCCTGCTTCACGAATTTGGCGCATTCCTCGTCAACGGCTTCGTCGACCGGCCGCCCTCCCAACTTCCTTAGGTTGACGGACAGCGGATCCAGTATCTGTGTGAGCTTGTCCTCAAAAGTCTTCACCCAGTTGTAGGCCCTGAGAAGTTGCTGTTCAGTCTTCGTTGATGTGTTGCGGAACTTCTTTTCGCCCTCTGGGGCGTCTGCCTCGCCCTCTTCGCCGGGTTCTGTGCGCTTCTTGTCAGGGAACGGATCGCCGTTGGCACTGGCTCTGGCCACTTCCCTCGCCGTCGAGGAGAGCGTGCTTCGAGGTCGGCGGAGGTGACCGCCTGGGCATTTCCGAGTGAGCTCATGGATGGAGTCGCTCTCGAAGACGCAGAAGAAGCAAAAGTTGAAAACCCGACGAAGGTACTCGGTCAGAAGATCGAGCTGCTTCTTTTTAATAAGAAGGTCTTCGTCGTCTGTCTCGTCGTCGTCGATGGCACCATCCTCTTCCTCCTCCTCGTCGACCATACCGTCCTCGTCGTCCATGGCGACGTCCATGTCCCGCGCTTTCTTGGCCTTTTTGGGAGCCTGGGCAGATGCAGCAGGCTTGAGGTTTCCGGACTGCCGAAGCTCCTCCGTTTTCTCCTCAACCTTGAGGACGGCCGAGAAATCGGACCCAAAGTCCTCTTCAAATTTGTTGACCAGCCTCTGGACCAGAAGCAAATCCTTCTCGATGCGCTCGGGCGCCGAGAACAGGTCCCAGAGGGCCTTCTTTCTCGGGTTCGAGGGAGGATTATGAACTCCGACGTGGCAGACAAAATCACCGCGGACCTCGTCCTTAACCGTCTTCCCGTTGACGGCGTCCAACGCCTTCTCTGCCGTGGATACCGGCTGAGGCGATTTTATCGTCTCGTCGCCGTCCTCGTCCTTGAAGTCGGCCCGATCGGCGGGAATCGCGGTTTCGGACGAAGGATGCAGCATCACCCAGCCAATTCTGTGGTAGCGCTTGCTGGGGTTGGGGTCCGAGAGTGAGAGCCATTTGAATCCGCCCTCTTCTTCGCCCAGATTCTCCTTGCAAAACACTTCCAGATTATGGCGACTGACGTGAGGAGCGATGGTCTTGATGAGCAGCGTCGGCTGGAACTGGTTCTCGTCGCGAATGTCGGCACCGCTGGCAGGCACAAGGTCGCCGACACCGAGGATCTCATTACTGGCGGTGGCTTCGCCCTCCTCCTTCTCCACAACGCCACCAGCGCCGTTGCTCTCGCTCTTCGGGAGGCCTTCAAGTGAAAAGTTGTCGAACGTGCCAGACTCGAGATCCTGCTCCCATTGACTGTAGGCACCTCGGCGCATTTCGTTGAGTTTGGCCCGGAGCTCGTCCTTGACCTCGGCGACATATCTCTCTCTGAACCATTGCTCCTTCTTGTGTTCAGAGACAAATTGCCGTGCCATCTTGGCTTGGAGCTCCTCCTTGTAGGCGTCGTAGGCGGCTTGGATCTTGGCCTTTTCTTTGTCGCGCTCTTCCTGCGCCTCGCGGGTGCCCCGGGGGCGTTCAGGTTCCCTTCTGCGACCAGTTCGGGCTCGTTCCTTCTCGTCCTTGATCCGTTCATTCATCCTCCACCATTCGCCAAAGTAGGAGAACCCAACCTGATAGGGAAGCCGGGCAGGGTCGGTCAAAGGGTTCATGGTGATGGCAGGAGTCGAGGTGTCCTGACCCGGGACGTAGCGATCGATGTTTGCGGGTGGCTCGGCAATGCGGCGTCGATCGTCTCTGTCGCGGTCATCGCGGCGAGATCGGGGTTCGTAACGGTCGACAGGTCCCGGGGAACGAGAGCGCCGGCGTTCTCGTCGATCGTTACCTGCATCGCGGGGGAAAGTTAGTTCAAGCTCGGCGAGCCACGGGTGGATGCGGCGGTGGTCTATACCGGGTGATCTGGCACGGTAAAAGTTGTCGCCTCGGTCACCCCGGTCCTCTCGGTCGTCGCGGCCCCAGGTTCGGTCGTTGGGAGACCGCGCCGACGAGTCCCGGTAGGACGACGTGTACGAGTCCATGTCGGTGGTTGCGACGCGACTCGAGGCTCAGGTGACGGTTGGCGGCAGGCGTGTCAACGTCAGGGGCGTCGCGCGAGGCGCTTGAACATCAGTTGGTACCGTAGTCTCCGACGCGACGGCAAAGTGGCTTTACCTGTTGACGAGCGGCGCAAAGGCTGTTAGAGCAAACATTCTGAAGAGAGAAGCGAGATTGACGTGTTGAGGCAGAGGAGAAAGAATTGAAGAAGGCAGCACGCGGCAAAGATGCGGAGACGTGGCGAGCTCCGAGGCGCGATTCATGGGACAAGCAACGAGAGAGACATTTCCCGGCACAAAGAATGCCCACAGGGCTAAGGAGACGGCGATGGAAGAGAACAGCACGATGGCTGGAAGAGGGTTCGGGAGGATGGGATAAGCGGCGACTGACGACACGCGTGAGGGTATGCGGAGGGAGCAGACGCGGGCAGGACTGAGCGGAGGAGATGCGGAGTCGACGCGATATGAAGAAAAGGGGAGACGAACTGAGGATCGACGAGACAAGGCGAAACACGGCTTTCGCAGTGGCAGCAGGGAAGCGAGGCTGCGCGGGATGGGGCCTTGATTGACCAGACCATGCAAGAGGTGAGTGGTGGTGAGGTGAGCGAAGGGACGGCGTTGGCCAGAATGAGGAGGCTGAATCCAAGCGGGCAGGCAGTGGAGGCCGGGCGATCCAGGGTGTGGAGCCACAGTGTGCCTGCTCGCCGGGCTGGTGCAGCTCTTTGGGGGGTATGGGGGCCTCTGCCGAGTCGCCGGCCTGAGGTCCAGTGGGCCTACTCGTACAGCTGCGCCAGCTGCCAGCCGTTATGTCAGCCAACCGAGGCGCGCTTGACATGCCCGTTGCAGTAGGCAAGAAGCCACCTGGCGCAAGGGCTACGGCAGGGGCATCTGACTGTACCGGTGGGGGCCCCTGCACCGTCTCTCCAGCCAGGCTCTAAAAGCTCGCCGCTGCGGGGAAGTGCAGGGCGGCGAGAGCGCACTGTGCCGTTGGGGTACACAACGTGTGAAGCACCGCGCCATGCGCTCGCACTCTTACAGTGCGCTGTTCCATATTCAGTTGCCGACACTGTGCGCCTGCCCCGTTGGCCTCTGCGCACCAATGAGGGCGGCAGTGATTGCGCCGCTGGCGTGGGCGCTGTCGACTCGCTGGAGGGTGGCGATCTCCGGCGCGGCGGCGGCGACCGACAAAGCCCAGAACCACATACCTAACGGTCACGATAACGAGCAAGCGAACCTCCCCTCCCCTCTCCTCCACTTCGAGGTCAAATACAGCCCAGTCCCACCCGACAATGTCGCATCCCTGGGACTTGCTGATTCCCAGACTAGCACAGCAGGACTGGGGCTGACCGCTATTGCACTTGTGCTCTTCGACTTCGTATCCGACGAGTCGCACAGTGGCACGGCCGTCGCGACGGGCAGTGGCTAGCGCTTCGACGCGCATTCATCAATGGGCCGCGCCTGGTTGACACCGAGACGGCCTCATCCTTGTTCAAGCCCTATCACATCATGGCCAGCAACCTGACGCCCGCATACAATGCGGCCGTGGACGAGTTTCGCCATCGGGAGTTCCCTATGCTCCGGGGTAAGTTATCCTCATGCATCCCCCGCTGTGTCCCCATGCTCAACAAAGGCGAAAGACTCTGTATACCTTGACCATGCAGGGTCCACAGTATGCGCCAAGTCCTTGATGGACTCGTTTGCTGCCGAAATGTCGTCTGTTCTGTACGGCAATCCTCACTCCGCCTCTTGGCCGTCTCAGCTCTCCACTACTCGCATTGAAGATGTACGGCTCAGGCTCCTCAGCTTCTTCAAAGCCGACCCGACCGAGTACGACCTTGTCTTCGTCGCCAACGCCACGGCCGGCGTGAAGCTGGTCGTGGAGGCGATGCGGTCACTGCCACACGGCTACGTCTACGCGCACCACCAGGCGTGTCACACGAGCCTGGTGGGGGCACGCGAGGACGCACGACACGCCACTTGCCTCGACGACGATGGAGTCCAGTCGTGGATCCAAGGGCAAGACCCGTTCCGTGACGTGGCAGCCGACTCGGCGGCGTTGTTCTCCTTCTCGGCCCAGTCTCACATGAATGGGCGACGCTATCCATTATCTTGGGCCAAAGGCCTCAAGGACCAGGCCGCGGCTGGCCCGCGGCAACTATATACTCTGCTCGATGCAGCTTCACTGAGCGCAACCTCGCAGCTGGACCTGGGAGCCCCCGAATTCGCCGCCGACTTCATTGTTCTCAGCCTGTACAAGATCTTTGGGTTTCCGGATGTTGGCGCCCTAATCGTGCGACGCTCCGCCGAAGCTGTCTTTGATCATCGCCGATACTTTGGTGGTGGTACCGTCGACATGGTGGTCTGTGTCAAAGAGCAGTGGCATGCTCGGAAAACACAGTTCCTCCACGAGCGCTTGGAAGACGGCACGCTACCGTTTCATAACATCATGGCGGTTGATGCCGCGATGACGGTGCATAAGCAACTCTTCGGCTCAATGGACCAAGTCAGCGCGCACACGCGCTATCTGGCGTCGAGAATGTATCGGGGGCTGCGCGGCCTACGGCACGGAAACGGTGTTGCGGTCTGCGCCTTATACACCGATGCTCCAGATGCGGCGGAGTCGCGGCCCGCAGGACCGGTCGTGTCGTTTAACCTTGTCAACAGCGATGGGGGCTGGGTAAGCCTGGCCGAGTTTGACAAGTTGGCCATCATGAAGGGGATGCACGTTCGGACTGGTGGTTTATGCAGCCCCGGATCGATAGCCACCGCCCTCGGACTAGAACCATGGGAGATGCGGAGAAACCTCTCTGCAGGATTCCGTTGCGGAACCGATAACGACATCATGGCCGGCAAACCCACAGGAGTCATCCGAGCCAGCTTGGGTGCCATGAGCACCAGGTCCGACGTCGACAAGTTTGTCGACTTCGTGTCGGAATATTTTGTGGAGGAGTCTGTGCAGATAGCCCCCATTGTGTCTCCGAAGCGCTCATCCGGGTATGAGGCTGCCCTACGAGTCAAAGCGATTACGGTCTACCCGATCAAAAGCTGTGCAGGATTCGCCGTGCCGCAGGGTACGCGGTGGGAGGTTAGGCCCGAGGGTTTGGCTTGGGACCGCGAATGGTGCTTGGTGCATCGAGGGTCGGGCCAGGCTCTCAGTCAGAAGCGGTATCCGAGGATGGCGCTTTTGCGGCCGTATCTGGATTTCCAGCGTGGGGTCTTGCGCGTCGAACATGGGATATCTGGACAAAGAGGGGCCCTCCACTTCGTCGAGATTCCGCTCTCGGCGAAGCCAGACCTGTTCGACAAGAAATCCCACCAGACGTCGTCACGGGTTTGCGGGGAGGAGATCTCAGCCCAGTCATACAGCTCAAGCGAGATCAACGACTTCTTTACCGACGCTCTGGGCGTGCCTTGCGTATTAGCGAGGTTTCCAGCCGGAGGCAGGGGGCTGAGCAGTCGGACGACCAAGGCTCGCATGCAGAAGCACCAACGCCTCGGCAAGACTAGGCAGCCCCTGCCTGGCGCGTTCCCCGATATACCGTCGCCACCGGACTCGGATTCGGAGCAGCAGGAGCACGGGAGAATCCTTTTAGCCAACGAAAGCCCAATGCTGCTGGTGCACAGCTCGAGTGTCGCTGCGTTGAACCAAGAGATTGAGAGTCGCGGCGGTGAGGCAGTTCCGGACTCGACGTTTCGGCCAAACGTGGTGGTTGAGAGCCTACCGGATCAGCCAGGCGAGCCAGCATATTCGGAAGATTCCTGGGGCGGCGTCCGGATCGGCGACCAGGATTTCAAGTTCTTGGGCGCCTGCAGGAGATGCCACATGGTTTGCGTCGACCAGGTAACGGCTGAGAGGAGACAGGAGCCCTTCTCGACACTGGCCAAGACGAGGAGATTCGACGGCAAGGTGTACTTTGGTTCACACATGCGGCATGAGGCGGCCAAGGGGCATGGCATGGCGAGTCAGCTACCAACAATTGAGGTTGGAGACTCGGTCAGCGTGTACGATGAAGGACTTGTATAAACTTGTCAATGGTCGCAAGGCCTTATCAATACGAATGATGACAGATGAACCTTGCGCCCTCGCTACGAAACCCTGGCGCACGAGAGGCACGAGAGGCAAGCGCCTTCCGACCGGCCGGCGCAAAACATTCAAGAATACCGGATACTCATCATTCAGGAAGGACACTTCCACTGGGCTGTGGCGCGGCGACTGCCACCACGTGGATTACGCTTCGCGCCTGCCAAAATATCCACGAACCGCGCCCAGTATCCTTGTCTTGCCGACAAACTTTCTTGACAGCTACTGATGGGCCAGCTAACTTCGTCCTGTATATGAGGAGCAGTTTTGCGAACCCTCCCTGCCTTTGCACTCTCCTCCTCCATCTCATCTCAACCTTTCCCTCTCCACCTCATCTCAACTAGCCACAACATGTCTTCGGACTCAGGACCCAAAACCGCGCCAGCCGCAAGGCCAAACGCCTTCCACACGATTGGCGGTGGCCGCTGCGGTGCGGTCTTTCACATCGAGGGCAGCTCGAAGATCGTCATGGTTGCTAAGGATACGGATTCGCTCGCTATCCGACGGGAATTCAGTACGCAGATGGCGACACACCAACTTCTTAAACACTATCAGGTCGGCAACGTCGAGATACCTCATCCCGCCGCATACTTCCCTACAGGGTGCATGGAGCATGCTCAATTCCATGCAATATGGCCTCAGCTCGCCAACGCCATCAAACGCGAGGGCCTGCCGTCCAATGCGCAGTTCCTCCTCGCCGAACGCATCTTGCCCCTCAGAGAGCCGATTCGCGAGGCCCTCATCCGGAGATTTTGCCCCGAGAAATTCCGGGCGAGCACACGCACCTCTCCTCTCAACAAAGACTGCCTCGTCCCCGCCTACCTGGGAAGCGCCACCCGCCGCGATGAAGACCGCGAATCGTTCTCGTTGCGCGACTTTCCGCTCCATCTTAACAAGCTCGGTGAGGCTGGCATGGGCGTCGAGAACATTGCTAGGGGCATGCGCCGCGCCATGGCGGTGATGCATTGGGCGGTTCGGTACGACGGCGGTGGCGTCAAGTTTGTCTTCGGCAGCAAGAAAGTGCCTCATAAACTGCCCGACATCGATAAGTACGACTCAGATCCCGAAGTCGACAGCTATATTGGACCCAACGTACCCTTTAAGGCAGTCGAAGACCTCAACGCCCATGAGACGCGGCTCTTCCTGATCGATTTCGACCAGGCGAAGCCAATTAGCATGGACGAGGATGGTGTTCGGCAGGCGGTTGCGGCAATCAAGGAGAACGGGCTGTACTTTCCCAAGGCGTGCCGAAAGACCAAACGCGAGTGCGATACATGGAAGGCATTCGAGGGGAGTTACGTGGTGAAGTCTTGGGAGATCATCAACAAAGAGAGGCTTGGAATCAACGTACAGCGGCTTCCGCTCCTAGTCATGCGCGGACTGATTGACTGGGCGGAGTGCGAGGCGGCGGCGCGAGGCGAAGCTTAGGCGCTGGCTGGCTTGGTTGATCTCAATATATTTAACACGCGTGTCTCTTGTGATTTTCGTGCTTGCGCTACTTCTCGCGCCTCTCATGCTGCCGAACTCAGAGCATCCTGGCGATGGGCTGTGATATCAAGCAGACGGATGTAAAACGCGGCAGCTGAACAAGATACAACAGAGGCGGTCGAGGCAACTGGCTTTCAGGACCCCTTTTCCGCGTTCCACTTTCACCTTTGGCGAGAAGGCGCCGTGCTGCTGTGCACTTCCCGTTTCCAAGTACATAGTACCGCCTCCCCTGTCTGTGGCAGCTACTCATCGCGAACGACAATCTCAGATATCTTGGGCAGCGCCAATCCGTTTGCACAACGAGGGACTTTTGTGAGAAGCCGCAGCTTGATAAACGATCTCTTCCTACGTTGGTGACAGCCGCGGCAAAGATATCTCACGTGGCTTCACGCAATGTGAGTCGAGGCAAACTGTTTGTCTCGGCTTGCTTAGCAGTGGCGTGACCAGTGTCAACCGCAACGAGTAGTGCATTGTCTCGAAGGATTTGGCGCTCAGGAGTCAGCACCGCGTGACGGCGTTTGCACCATCCAAACAACGTCAAGGAAATGTGTTCCGGCCATGGACAATCCCATGTAACACTGCCGATCAGCACCAGTAAACGGGTACTGGATGACGGGTATGCTTGAACTTTCGTTATCCAAAGTTTGGCGAGCAAACGATACTTGATCCTGTTGAGTTGCGATGCCATCATGTTCGCCGAAACTTGGATATCATGGCACACCCGAGCGAGTCCCCTGCAGCCGACATAGGATTGCGGAACAAGAACGGTCGACCGCCGGAGAGCTGAACCACGGGCCAAAACTTGACCGTCCGTCCGTGGCAATCGCGAGCCATGCAATTGGCGATGGGCTGATCCGAGCTGTGGGATTTCGGGAGGCTGGTCTCAGCCTAGCTGGAAGCGCACAGGGCTGGCCGCGGGAGTGGCTCCCCCATCGGACGGCGTCCCATCGTTGACCATCAGCAGGGTTCCTGGTGCGAATGTTGGAAGAGAGAATCGCACACATGCAGTCCGAGTTTGCCGAGTTGATCCCGTGACCCGTAACCCAGCGGGGATCTTCGTGCTCGCGAGTGGCAGGAAGGGAGAGGAAGGAGCGACCTCCACGCATGTCTCTCCCTTTTTTTAGGCACAGCCGCATCGCCGCCGCACGCACATGGCCCAGACCGAGACCCTTCACGACTGCATTCCTCACGACGCGCTCTCACGGCGTGTCATTCCATTGCCCGCATGGCGCACCGACCCTGCACACAACTCTATCAGGCACGACACGACAATACGGCGCGCGGATGGGCGCTGCCGCGGGCTTCCAGCAATGTCGGCTCGATATCGACAGTCTCTTCTGGCGGCGCAATTCAAGGGATGGTGGTGGCATCCCAAGGGCAGCGTGATGCACTGCAGAGAAGGATCGCTATCTCAATAGGCTGAATTCTCCCCTCTACGACTATCGACCGTTGCAGTCGTTTGGCGGCCGTCGACGAACCCCCGCTGCCCACCTCTACACATCGTCAGTTATCCACACCCGAGCTAGACGAGGCTCAGCGTCCCAGCCGCTTGCTGCTATGCCATGCCATGTGAGTTCAGGCACACCCGTGTCCCTCAATCAGCTCGGTGTTCCCTGAGGAATCGTTGAGTGACAGCAAATACCGCCATGGCATGATTCACACGCGCGGTCGCTGCTGCGAGTGCGTCAGGGTCCGGCACCACGACCTCAATAAGTAGCCCTCGCTTCCCGCCTCCTGCGAGCGTTCCCTGCGTTCCCTTCCCTTTCAGTTTCAGTTCCCAGCCTCGCCCTTTCCCATAGCGTTATCCCGGAGGTCTCACCGAGCAAGATGCGTGCGATTTTGACACTCGCCGCCCTGCCGCTGCTGGCTCAGACGGCCTTGGGCGATGCCGTTGATAGCTGCTTGCAGCAAGCAACCGTCACCGTGTTCCGGCCAGTTACGAGCACTGTCTATGTCACCGCAACTGCGAACGATCCCAGTCCCCCTCCTTCGAAGTCTTCAGGGGTCCAGCGTCCCGTCGACCCTATCCAGTCTGACGATGATGACTCTTGCGACGAACTCGAGACCGGAGGCACGGGCGCGCCGCAGACACAGGCGCCAGGTGCTCCCTCATATACCACCACAACCGCTTACGTCGTGCAAGAGCCTTCAGCGACGGCACGATTTTCTGCTTCTTCCAGCTTGAAATGGAGGAACAATACCGGACTCGCAAACTCGACTTCTGAGGGCTTTCAGAAGCCGTCCACCGTCTTTAGGCCGTCTCAGATTGGTCACGGAACACAGAGCTACCTAGGGACAGGAGTCACGAAGGCTTCCCAGGCTTTGAGCACAAATAGGAATGTCAGGCCAACCCAGGACGCCAAATCCTCCCAAGGTGCGGCCAATGCCACGACATCTAGCTCAAGCAATTCGCTCGGTGCTTCCCCGCCACCAGCATCCAAGCCCGCCAAGGCGCTCAGGAACGTCCTTTACTTCACCAACTGGTGAGTAATCCATGCATGCTCTTCGCCTCCAGTTTCTGTTGCTAACAATGTCCAGGGGCATCTACCAAGCCAATTACCAGCCGCAAATGTTGCCGGCGGATCGGGTCACTCACGTTCTGTACGCATTTGCAGCTTTTGGCCAAGACGGGACTGTGTAAGCCTTATCACGGATGGCCCTGCGGACCATGCTAACACTGCAGCAGTAAGCCCTTCGACTCGTACGCGGACGTGGAGAAGCACTATCCAGACGACTCGTGGAACGACCAGGGCAAGAATGCATACGGATGTGTCAAGCAGCTCTACAAGTTGAAGCAGAAGAACCGCAACCTCAAGACTCTCATTTCAATCGGCGGCTGGACCGCCTCCCAGGATGGAAAGTTTGCCAATTCTGTCGCCACGGACGCGCAAAAACAGCAATTCGCCTCAACCGCGGTCAAAATGATGGGAGACTGGGGAATGGATGGCCTCGACATCGACTGGGAGTATCCGACCAACGAACAGGAAGCCAAGAGCTTCGTTGGCCTCCTCAAGGCTTGCCGAGACGCCCTGGACGCTTATGCTGAGAAGAATGCACCAGGATACCATTTCCTTCTCACTGTCGCCACTGCGGCTGGGCCGGACCATTATCGGCAGCTAGACATGAAGGGCATGGACCAATATCTTGACGCGTGGCATCTCATGGCCTACGACTATGCTGGTTCCTGGGACAAGACAACGGGCCACCAGGCAAATATCAACAAGAGCTCCAGCAACGCCGAGGCCACAAAGTTCAGCACGGTGCAAGCTGTCGACGATTATATCCAGGCTGGTATCGCCCCCGACAAGATCGTCTTGGGCCTTCCGCTGTATGGACGTTCGTTCGCAAACACCGATGGCTTGGGCAAGGCGTTTACTGGCGTCGGCGGTGGGACCTTGGAAAAGGGAATCTGGCTCTACAAGGACCTGCCCCGGACCGGCGCAAAGGAAGAGGTCGACGAGGCTGTTGGTGCCGCCTGGAGCTATGACGCAGCTGCAAAGGAGCTGGTGTCGTATGACAACCCGCAGAGCGCCAAGCTCAAGGTGGACTACCTCAAGAGCAAGGGCCTCGGAGGTGCTCTCTTCTGGGAGGCAAGCGGGGACAAGACTGGCGACGACAGCATTGTCGGTGCGGTTGCTTCGTCTCTGGGCGAGCTGGAGAACTCGCAAAACCAGCTGAGCTATCCGGGCAGCCAGTACGACAACATCAAGAACGGCATGAAGTGAAGGTTTGTAATGGGCGTAGGGGGATGTTTAGTTCGCGGGCCGAACCGGGCGGTATTCTGACGCATAGATTGCAGCTTTGCATACCACGTCTGCATTTTAGAGGCATCTGGGTTGGCGCATCATGCATTTCAATCTAATATGGGGTAGAACATAGAAGATGATGACGATACTTGAAAATTCCCAATGCCGCAGCACCAGCTGCCTGCTCTAAGTCATCCTTCCATTTATCCAGTCGTAACTAAGCAAAGTCCATGGCGCCCTCCCTCTTTGGTATCCAAGCGATGCCCCGCGTCGGGTTATTCAAAAACGTTTCCCAAGTTTCACATCATCGTCATGACTCCCACGACGAGTGCCAGCCCCGCGAGGACATCCGACCGGACCCCGACCGCGCCGCGCCCGGCGGCGGATTTCTCCGACTTGGAATTGTTGTTGGTCAGCCCGGAGTTGCGGCCCGAATCGGGCGTCGCCGCGGCGGACAGGCTGATGTCCACGTCGGTCAGCGTCGTGTAGATGGGCCGCGGCGTGACTCTCGTGCCGCCGCCGCTGCCGCTGCCGGGCCGGGACAGGGTGCGCAGCGGCGGGTTCGAGTCGTCGTCGCCGTTGTCGTCGCCGCCACGTCCCAGGCCGCTGGCAGCAGTGTCCGCGGGGGCGGACTCGGCGGCGAAGGCGCGCTCTGACACGGCGGCGAGGGGCGTGAGGGTGGCGACGGGCTGTTTCTCGCAAACTTGTCAGTCGCCGTTGTTCAGAGCGATGCTGGCCCCCTTTTCATGGGCAAAGGGGGTGCGTGGGACGTAGACGGTGTCATATCGTGGGGTCAACATACCTGTTCGCCTGCCGGTGCGGACTCGGCGGGAGGGGGCGTCGCTTCCGCGCCGGGCGTGGAGGAGGCGGCTGGCGAGGCGGCCTCTCCTGCGGGTGCTGAAGTTGTGCTGGCTGGCGGTGCCTCGGGTGCTGGTGCGGGAGAGGACGGGGCTTCGGCCTCGGCGGCGGAGGAAGAGGGAGATGCCGCGGCTGTCGTTGTTGTTGTTGCCGCTGGCTGCTGCTCCTCGGTCTTTGACGCTTCCGGCTGGCTGGACGCGGGCTGGGCTGTGCCGGCCGGGGCGTTGGGGAGCGGCTTGAGCGAGATGCTGGTGTTGGCGTCGCCGGCGTTGTTGTCCTTGTCGTTGTTCTTGTCCTGGTTCTTGTTGCCGCCCTTGTTGTTCCCCTGGTTGTTGCCGTTGCCGTTATTGTCGTTATCATTGCCCTTCTGATTCTTCCCATTCTTGCCGTTACCCTGGTTGTTGTTGTTGTTATTCTTCTTTCCACCCTGCTGCTGATTCTTCTTCCCGTCATCGCCGTTGTTGTTGTTGTTGTTGTTGTTCCCATCCGCAACGTTGGGCAACGGCTTCAGCCCAGCCTTGCCGTCATCGCCCACGACACCCGTCGCCTCTATCCTATCGACGGAACGCGTCCGGCCAGCTCCTCCACCACCGCGGCGCTTCGTCGCCGTCGCTTGCTGCTTCTGCTGCTGCTGCTTCTGTTTCTGATTCTGCTGCTGCTGCCCGCGCTGCTTGGTGAGCGAGGCGATGACAAAGGGCTGCGAGGTGAGGACCACGGCGCCGCGCGAGTCGAGGATGACCATGGCGAAGGAGGGGAGGGCGACGATGGAGGCGTCGGGCGTCCATGTGAGGGAGCCCGAGTTGGGGATGTTGACTGTGCGTGCCATTGTCAGCCAGGCTTGTCATATTTTCTCTTTAGGTGCTAGAGTCGCGAGGTCATCCTCCTTCTCCATTCCTCCCTCAACTCTCGCCATAGCGAGGCAAGAGTACACAGAGCGCTTCATTTGTGAGGTAGGTGTGCGAGAAGGAAAGAAAAGTCATACCCGCAATCTTCTCCGTGACGGCATTACCGCCGCCGCCGCCATTCGCCCCATCGACGCCGCCGGGCACGAGGTTGATGGACAGAGGCGCCTGCAGCCCGTCCGTGTTCCAGCGGATGGTGCACTGCTCCCGGGCGTTGAGCCGCGTCGAGCCCGTCGGGAAGACGAACTGCCCGGCGGCGAGGCCAGCGCCAGCCAGCGCCACGGCAGCAAAGCCGCTGAGGATCGAACGCATCACCACGGCACGGCGTTGGGTGATGTCTGGTGGGCGCACTGAGAGCCTCTCTCTCCCTCTCTCTCTCTCGTGGAGTAGTGAGGTTTACTTGGGAGAAGCAAGCACTCGAGCCGTGTCGTCGAAAAGACGGAAGACGATATCGAAAAGAAAAAGGAAACGTAAAGGACAGACGATGAAGGGATTAGCGAGGAAGAGAAAAGTTACCAGCACAGAAGGGACGGAGGGAGGAAGTGAGGGAAAGCGAATGGCGTGGATGCGATCAGACGACGACGGAGGGAGGAGGATGAACATGAGACGAGCTTAAACGACGATGGCCGTTCTTCACGGCCTTGACCTTTGACGGGGGCCGGCCGGCAGACAGACAGCCGCAGCATCGTCATCGCGGCTCCCCTCCCCCCTCCGTCTTCTCGGAGATCTGAGAGGCGAGCCATCCGAAGTATGATCACCGTCCCCCGTCCCCCCCATCCACCCGATCCGTCTGAAGATGTCTTCTTTTTCTCCTTGGTCTCGTGTAAGTCCCCCGTCTCTCACTCACTGGGCCAAGCCAAGCCAAGGCCAAGGCCAAGCGCTGTGTCAGGACCTCAGGACAGGCTGTGAGTCTGCGACACGCTCGCCCCAGACCGTTCGCGGGGCATCGACATCCCCCTCCCCCCATCGTCGTCGTCGTCGTCGATGCAGGAAACAAGGCTCGTCAGCGCAGCTCCTGGCCTAGCCCCAAACCATTCAGCTATCCTGTTGGCCAGACGCCGCCTAGCTGTAGACCAAGGGGCCAGTTCGACTACAGCATTGGGCTGCAGGTTTCGCAGGGCGCTAACACGCCACACCACGTCGAGGTCATCCATACTCCCCAAAGGGCATGAGGTGCAGTTACAGAGTGCAGCTCGCCAGCACAGAAAGAGAGCGCTGGAGAGGGCATGACGGAGGGGCCGCCGGCGTCGTCGCGGCGCAGGGGTTCCTGTAACCGGGGGGCCTGTCGATGAAACCGCTTCGCGCAGGTGCCGCGACCGCCCCCCTCTTCTCCTCTCCTCATCAGTCCTCACCATCTTCACCAAGCGCGTCCCTGACACGATGTTTCAGACATCGGCGTCCCCCAAACCCCCTCCCCCCATCTGCGTGGCGACCTAAAGCCAGTCGCTTGGCGCCTGTTTCGGCTGTCAGTCAGCCTCAGCCTTAAGGCCTTTTTTCGCTGCGCCCCAAACCAAACCGTCATCTGGTCTTGGGCTGGCTGTTGGCGAGCGGCTCATTGGGCTGCTGCGACCAAGGCACACACAGGACTACGTCTCACCCACTGACGTGTGCGCGCAGAGGGTGAAGCCTCACTGCTCACCTGCAGAGAAATCAATCATTCGGAATCCTCATTGCAGATTTACCTGTCCCCCAGTCTACACAGCCTAGCCCCCAGTCCGTAGGCGAGGTAGGTGGAATAATACAAGTTTCGGCGTACACAAAACTCCAGCAACAAAAACACACCCGTCCCGCTAGCCGCGGGATACACGCCGTTATCCGTCTGAAGAGCCTGTTCCCTTCCCATGCCTTTGGAGCAAACCATGGGTGTGAGAACTTACCCTTGCTTCTCCATTGATCTGATCCGCCAACGTCTTCGTGTCCTTCATGCACTCTACATATCTTGTCCCTGTCCCTCGCCACCCGGCGTGTTGGAGGCGTCCACGCCGTGGAACGCGTCGCCAAAGGCAGAGTCCTCCATGTCCATCTGCAGATCCAGGCCATCACCAAGCTCGCCCGCGGAGCCGTCCAGATCCGGCGCGTCGTAGCCCGCTAGGGCATCGCCCGCCGTGTCCAGATCGCCGAGGGAGCTGAAATCGTTCTGGTCAAACGTCGCCGAGCCGCCGTCCGTGACAGCGGGCGTCGCGGCCGCCGACGGGGGCTTCGCAGCGGCTTGCGCGGCCGCGTCGGGCTTTGGTGCCTCCTCCTCAGCTGCCGCCGTAGTCGCTGGCGCCTCTTGGCCAGCGCTCGTCGCCTCGGGTGTCGCGCCGCCCTTGGGCACCATGACCCAGTCGCCACTGCCGGTGCCCTGGTCAGGAGCCGTGGTTGCAGCTGGCTCCGCTGCCTTGGCAGGAGACTCTGTTCCGCCCATGTCCACGTCGGCATTCGGCTGCGGGGGTGCCGCTGCGCTGTCCTGGGCCTCCGGTGCCGCCGAGCTTTGCGCCGGGGCCGGTGATGGAGCATTGTTGGCGTTGGATGGCGTCGGCGCGTTGGACTGGGCAGCCGACATTTGTGCCTGGGGAGTGGGAAAGTTGTTGACTGGCGTGGACATGGACGAGAAGCCCGTGTGCATCTGGTCCAGCAGGCCAGCCGCCGTGCCGCCCATGTCGATGTCAGACTCGCCGCCGAGCATCAACCCGCTGGCCTGCGAACCGGCTTGCGAGGGCTGCCGCGACATCTGCGCATCCTCTGCAGGTGGCGCTTGCGGTTCGGGTGCTGGAGCTTGGTACCCTCCCTCCTGAACGCGCTTGACCGCCGGGTGACTCTCAATCTTTCGCCCGACAGCCTGCTCAAGCTCCTCGATCACCTCATCCACCGTCTTCTTGGGAGGGTGCCGCGGCTTTCCGTCGCCTTTGGCCGCGCCATCCGTGTGGCTGTCATTCTGACCGAATCCAGTGACATCGTCGTCGAGGGCTCTGAGCTCCGTCTCCTTAGTCACGAACAAGGAGCTCTCCTTGAGCTTGGCCATGGCGTCGGCATGCGCTTCCTGCATCTTCTTGATCTCGGCTTGCGTCGACTCGATGTGGTTGTTGACCCGTTTGCGGAACTCATCGGCCAATCCGCTGTCCAGACGTCCAACATAAGGCTTCTCGACCGCAATGGCCTCGCCTCCCTGCGCCGTAAAGATGCCCTCGGTCAGCGAAGCCAACTCGCCCTTGAGACCGAGACCGAGGTCCGTGGGAGTAATCTGGTTCATCCTGTATGCCGACGACAGGATCTCCTCCATCCACTCGTGGTTCTGCTTGTATCGGCTGAGCGAGATCTCGCGCTGCGTCAAGTGATCAAACATGTCGCCCCTCGTGATGTCCTCGTCGTCGTCAAAAGCGGGATCTACGGCGGGCATGCCAGGAACGCCCGCCACGGCCGGCTGTTGTCCTTGGTTTTGCGCGTGCCTGGCTCTCTTGGCGGGAGGACCGGGCGTGGGCTGGGTAGGGTACGCCATCTGCTGAGGGACACCCCGCGGGACCATCTGAGGGCCCATCTGCTGCCGGGTGAGCTCTGGAAGCGACGGCCAGTTAACCCGATCCGACAGCATAAACTCCTTGCGGCGGATCTGGCCAGCACGCAGCAGGTAGTGGCGCTGCTGCATGATGGCGTTGACGCGCTCGTCATACGGCACCATCTGCGCGGGGATCCGATCGTTGGGTTCGGACGGGCCATAGTGCACGATGAAGAGGCTCATGTCCGGCTGCGGAGGATTCGGGTGGCCAGGTACGGGCACCAGTCGGAATCGTCGTCGCGCGTGCATGGCAAACTGCTCGCCCGGAATGTAGCCGGCCTTGAGGTAGTAGATTTCCAGCATCTTGGATCGCGTTAGATATAGAACAAGAAAGCCATCCAAGAGAGAGCGCATACCAGCCCATTACCCAGGTCGTGCTTATAGACCTGCTCGGGTGGCGCCCAGACGAAGCCATCCGTCGCAAAGTTTGTGCCCAGTCTCTGGAGGGGCTGCCACGTCAGGAGGATCGTGCCGTCGGCGGGCTTGTCGAGATATGTCCAGAAGAAAGGCGCCCGGTCGCGCGCGACCTGGGGGGCGTTCATGAGCCACTTTGCGACCTCGTTGGTGTCGATGCGAGGCATCGTCGGGTATCGGAACGAGGAGATGAGGTGGACATGGGAGATCTGCCCGGCATCGTCAGCATCCTCCACCAACAAACACGGCCCTTCGACGGAGCCCCGGAGTCAACCACGTACCAGGTCCTGAGGGACGCTGTGGCTAGGATCGGGTTGCGCCATCTTGGCGGTCGACGAGGCGTCCTCGTGCGTGGTGACTTGATCTGTCGCGGGATGAGGCTGCGGCAGGGCGCTCGTCTGCCAATTGGGCGGCTCGCGATACGCCCGCTCCAATCAGGCTGGGTCTGCCCACGAGGTTTGCCAGTAGATGCTGTGATTGGGCGACGCGCGGGCGCAACGACGATGAAGCCGCGATGGGAGGCGATGGGATGCGGTGGGTGGTCTGGAGTTGGATGAGCTGCCGTCGCCTGTCCCTGGCTCCGAGACCAGGTTGCGCGAGCGCGCCGCCCCAAAATTCGTCGCGACGAGGCTGGCCGGCGCCGTCCAATCACGTGCATCACCCGTGAGAAAAAGTGGGCAAGGGGAACGACGCCCATGGCACCTTGGGCCTCCGTGACCGGTACGTACCGCTCAACCGTCTCTTGACTTCTTGAGCTTCATCCTTGACTTCTGCAGCGCGATAGCAGGCCAGGTCCAGCTTCCCAACGCAGCAACTTCAATTGTCACGTCTGGCGCCATCATCACACCAAGTACGCGTGTTGTCAATCAATGTCTTTTGCTCAGTACATTGCTACTTCCTGCACTACGCACGTGATTTTTCCACCGTCGGCTCCATCACAGCAGTCCCGTCCGCCTCCCGCCATCCGGGCAGCGGGTACATACACACGCCACGGAGACTGCGGCCCCTCTGCCTCGCCTGCATGGCCCATTAAGGCGTATTCAAAAGTGTGCCCGGGCCGACATGCGGGCCCGCCATTTGCATCGCGCAGCTTGCAGTAATTTTGCGTCCTGTCCTCCTCTCACTTCCTGTCCCTCGCGCACCGACTTAAGCCTGGTACGTCGAGGCAGAGACGTTGCCGCCACGGCCGGTCCAGTTGACGTGGATGTCCTGGCCCTCGGGGTACTTGCTGCTGGCAAACTCGGGCTTGATGCGGAAGGTGTGGGCACCAAAGTAGTCACGCTGGGCCTGGAGCAGGTTGGCGGGCAGGTCCTTGGTGCGGTAGCCGTCAAACCACGACAGCGCCGTCGAGAAGGCGGGTGTCGGGATACCCAGCTGAGCAGACTGGGCGACCACGTCTCTCCAGCCGGGCTGGGCCTTGTGGATGGCCTTGTTGAAGAAGTCGTCGAACAGCAGGTTCGTCAGCTCGGGCTGCTTGCGGTAAGCGGCCGTGATGTCCTTGAGGAAGACGGAGCGGATGATGCAGCCACCACGCCACATGAGGGCGATGGAGGGCTTGTTGAGCTTCCACTTGTACTCGCGGGCGGCCTGGTAACGACAATGTCAGCAACAGCGCATCTGGCGAGCGTCGCGATATCTGCACTCACCTCCTGCATGAGCATGAAGCCCTGGGCGTACGAGATAATCTTGGAGGCGTAGAGGGCCTGCTCGAGGTCCTCGAGGAACTGCGCCTTGTCGCCAGAGAACTTGCCGTTGTTGCGGCTGACGAACTCGAGCTTGGACGAGGCCTGGACGCGCTCGTCCTTGATGGCGGACAGGCAGCGGGACAGGACGGCCTCGGCAATCAGGGTGACGGGCATGCCGAGATCCAGGGCGTTGACGGCGGTCCACTTGCCGGTACCCTTCTGGCCGGCCTTGTCCAGGATCTTGTCGACGAGGGGCTTGCCATCGTCGTCATTGTAGTACATGATGTCGCGGGTGATCTCGATGAGGAACGAGTCCAGAACGCCCTTGTTCCACTTGGCGAAGACGTCACCAATCTCCTTGCTGGAGAGACCGAGGCCACGCTTCATGATGTCGTAGGCCTGTGCGACGCACGTCAGCATTGGTGACTTCAAGTCTGACTTTGGAACGGTGGCCGGCTTACCTCGCAGATGAGCTGCATGTCACCGTACTCGATGCCGTTGTGAACCATCTTGACGTAGTGACCAGCACCCTCGTCACCGACCCACTCGCAGCAGGCCTCACCGTCGCTCTTGGCGGCGATGCTCTGGAAGATGTCCTTGATGTGCGGCCAGGCCTCCTCATTACCGCCGGGCATGAGGGAGGGGCCGTAGCGGGCACCCTCCTCACCACCGGAGACACCGGAGCCGACGAAGCGGATGCCCTTGGCCAGGAGCTCCTGGGTGCGGCGGTTGGAGTCGGGGAAGTGGGAGTTGCCACCATCGATGATGATGTCTCCCTTGGACAGGAGAGGGACGAGCTTGGCAATCCAGTCGTCGACGGCAGCGCCGGCCTGGACGAGCAGCATGACGCGGCGGGGAGACTTGAGCTTGCTGACGAACTCCTCGACAGTGTGGGCGCCGACAATGGACTTGCCCTTGGCCTCGTTCTCCAGGAACCGGTCGACCTTGGAGACGGTTCGGTTGAAGGCGCAGATGGTGAAACCGTGGTCGGCCATGTTCATGATGAGGTTCTGTCCCCTGCGCGGGGCGTCAGCACCCGGCGTCACCGGCAGAGCGCAGTCTGAGGAGCGGGAGGAGAGATACTCACATGACAGCAAGGCCGATGAGGCCCAGATCAGCGCTGGCGGCATTGTCAGCATTACTTGACGCGTTGACGAAGGGCGAGCTGTGAGGTGCGGAGGAGGGTTCGGCGCCGCCAAGCTTGAGGTTTGCAAGGCGGGCGCTGTGCGGCAGGACCATCAATCATCAATGAGCTGTTGTCTTTCCCAGAGCAAAGGAACGGGGGGCCCGACGAGGGCGGGACGGGCTGGACGCCCGCTGCTCCCCGGCCTGGACTCGCAGGCCACTCAAACCACCAAGAATTGTCGCGATGGCAGCTCTCGAGGTGCGCGAATTGAGGTCATGGAAGCTCAACAGAGTTTGGGGCGGGGTGGTGGGGTAGCAGCGTGGGAGGTGATAACGATGACGATGGAGGGGCTCGGGGGGGTTGTGTTTTTTTTCCGCTGGGGACTTACACGGGGCCAGACATGATGGCGGTGCTGGGTTTGGTTCTCTGGAGGTGGTCTGTTCTGGAGGGAAGAGGCTCGCGGGAGAGGACAAAGCTCTGGTTGTCGTTGGTGATGAGATGAGAAGAGGATTGGAAAGGAAGAGTCGACGGGGGAGGGAGGGGAGAAAGAAGTAGTCGGTAGGCAGACGGGAGGGACGGAAGGCAAGTGGGAGGTGGAAGCTTGTTAAGCTCAGATTTGATGGCCTCCGGCACCTGAGTGTCCCAGCAGCGGCGGCCCTGGAGGGGCGGGCAGCAACATCTCCAGTGCCCGGCCAGCGGTGCGCAGCGGTGCCAGCGGCCTCACCAGCAGGCTATCCAGCGGGTTATCTGGGTAAAAGCGGGCACGTTGGGTGGCCCCGGCGCGGCGTGATTGGCGGCGCGGAGCTTGCTGGGGAGCGCTTCATCGTCATGGCGCTGCCCAGATGCGACGCGGACGCCCGCCGAATCCGTTCCCGGCCAGCCAGCCAGCCTGCCTGCGGCAAAAAATGCATTACGGTGCTGTACACATAACAATGGCAAATGGGCCGCGATACCGTGGATATGGGTATGGTCATGATGAGATGCTGCTGACACCCGTTACGTTGCAGGTCTGCAGCCCGCATCCCGGCCCTGCCGCGCCCGCGTTTGCGCGCTGGACGACGAGTCCCCGCCGGGTTGCCGATGGTGCGAAGCTTCGGTCAATGCGCATCGCATCGCATCACGCCCTTTGTCGTGTTGTTCCTGCTCTTCTTCTTCTTTCCGCCGTCGTCCTGTCTCCCTCTCCCTTTGTCGCGCAAAACCCATCTGCAGTCAACCCACATCTGCCCCGTGGAGAAATCCCACGTCCTCCGTCCGTCCCCATCTCCTTTTTCACGGTGCTTGCCCCTCCGTGGCGCCGCGCTGCGCTCCTCCCAAGGTCGTCCTCCCTCACGGCCGCAGGGCCTGCGGGCGGGCTGCGGGCTGCGGGACCTCCGGACGACTCCAGTCCGTGAATCAAACCGCCCCGTTTCGCCTCGCCCGTTGGGGCCCGTCTCGCCGAGCGCCCGCCCAGCCAAAAAGCGGCTTATTACTGCACGAATCAGGACTCCGGCCGCCGCTGCTGTTGCTGGGTGCCTGGGCTGGGCCTCTGTCCAGTTTTCTCTTTGTCGATGGCCCCGATAGCGTCACCCATCGTTCATTCATTTACACTCAACACCATGGGCCTCGATCGGTGGACCCGCCGTAAAGCAAGTGCCGCAGTCCGGTCCGGCCTCTGCTCCGTCCGCCGTTGCGCGCAGAAAGTATGGCATCATGGCGACCGTGGCGCCGCATTTTTGCCTTTGCAACGAACAAAGGAAGCTCCGTTGAAAATTGAAAGACATGACAAACTGTTCTATAGAGGTGGTATGGCACGTCCATGCAGTGCTTCAAGATAAAGCATGCCACAATCATCCGCGCTGCGTGAAATCGCGGACGAGACGGGGCCAGCATCGGCGTGATCAGCGCCCTGCAGCCGCCCGACATCCGGGTTCTGACCTGCAGCAAACCGCTCATCCGCCATCGGCCCTCGCGCGCACTATGTACGTATAAACTGAGCCCCCACGCACGCCAGTCGCCGAACCCAGTCGCCGAGCTCAGTCGCCGCCGCTGCGGCTAAAGCGAGGACTTGGCAAGTCGCAGCGGCAACTGATAGGTAGCTTCTGAGTGAGTTTGGTATCGCCGAATGCACCGCCAGGGCAAGGCTCAGCAATTGCCTTCCATATTTCTTACATCAATAGCCAGTCATGTTTGCTCTTGTACTCATCATTGCTCCTTCTCCCCGTGCTCCCCTGCCTCCTGCCGCTCCGAGGTTGTGTCACGTGACGTGACGTCTCCACGTTTTCGCCGACGCCGACGACGACATGTTCAGGCACTTCGCCCCAGAGGCAACGACATACCCAGCGCGACCACGACCATCCGCCAGCTGGCAACCCGCGCCCACGTCCCCAGCAACCCAGAAATCCAGCAGCCGTCCACCCGAACGACCGCACCACGTCCCGTGACCTGCCTGCTGCGTTTCCCGCTGTGCAGACGACAGACGAACAACTTTTGAGCGGCCCGGCTCAAAAGGTACGTTTTTCTTCACACACCACATCACATCACAAAGACCACACAAACCACCCACCCAAGCCGCGTCTGCCGGGCTCTTTGTTCATCATGGCCTACCGGGCGCCTCCAGGCACCTCGTCCTCCTCCAACTCTCTTCCTGCGAGACCCCCCGCCCCCGCGGGGGGCAGCGGCTTCAAGCCCGCGTTTGGCACGGCCGGCGCAAACGGTGGCGGCGCGAACGCCTACTCCAACGCCACCCAGTACGGCCCCTCGAGCCACTACTCTTCGCAGACGCAGTATGGCGCTTCCGCGAGCGGCCGATACGCCCCCAGCACGGGCCAGTATGGCTCGTCGTCGTCCTATCCGAGCTATCCCGGCGCGCCAGGCACCGGAGTGAGCTCCGGCTCGCAGGGCGGCTACTCGTCGTACCCCGGACACACGCAGCAGCAGGCTCCGAGCTACGGCATCCAGGCCCCCGCGTACGGGGCGTCATACGCAGCCGCGCCCCAGATTCAGAATCCCTTCCCCGCGCCCGGCACCGGCTTCGACGTGTCCGAGGCCGCGCAGATTGCCGAATGGCAGAGCGCCTACGGCGCGGCGCCGCAGCTTGGCAAGGATGGCAAGCCCGTTGCGACCAACGCGACCGACTCTCCCAGGCCCGACGCCGCGGCCGCCGCGGCCGCTGCCAACACCAACCCCGACAAGAAGAAGACTGTCGTGCGCTCCGGCGGTGGCAAGACGTGGACGGACGATTCCCTCCTCGAGTGGGACCCGAATCACATGCGCATCTTTGTCGGCAACCTCGCCGGCGAGACCACGGACGAGTCCCTCCTCAAGGCCTTTTCGCGCTGGAAGTCGGTCCAGAAGGCCCGCGTCATCCGCGACAAGCGCAGCACAAAATCCAAGGGCTACGGCTTCGTCAGCTTCGCCGACGCCGACGACTTCTTCCAGGCCGCCAAGGAGATGAACGGCAAGTACATCCAGAGCCACCCCGTTGTCGTCAAGAAGGCAAACACGGACATCAAGGCCACCAGCGCCCGCGATCGCGGCAAGGGCGGCTACCACAACAACAAGGGCGGCAAGAACAACAAGAACAAGTCGGGCAACCAGTCGGGCGGAGGCGGCGGCGGATACGAGCCCAGCCTCGGCCCCGTGCCGGGCGCCGGTGTCACCAAGCCTGGACAGAAGACCAAGAACGGCCTCCGCCTACTTGGCTGAACGGCCCCAGCAAGGTCATGCATGCGCTGGCACCCGCTGGCGCTTCCAGAAATCATTTCGCTGCCAGACTTGGCATTTGAGCAGGCGATGTCTTACCCGGCGTTGATGGTGTTCAAAGAGGGTACATATACCACCACGAGAACTGCAGAGGCTCGGCGCAGTCTGCACAAAGGTACTTGAACACACATGGCTTCCTCTATCCCTTGGACATCCTCATTGAGACTTATTTTTTGGGTAGCAGCATAGGATGAAGCAATTAATCAACATTAAATGCATTGATTCCCGTCCGACCGATAATCCGTGATTTCTTTTGGGGTATCTCATGGCCTCGCCACTATATGATGATAATCGAGCATGCCTCCCGATTCCGGTGAACGCAGCGCGCCGTGTGCTCACGGCGCTGCTGGTACCGTGTGTGCCTCCTCTAAGCTGTAGACGGCCACCTGCCCATCCGTAGACATGATTTCATGTTCCTCTCGCGCGGGGACTCCCACCGCTCTGCGATACGTCTCGCATCTCCAGTCGTCTAATCCCCGCCGACGCACCCCCCTTGATGGTACACTATGACTATGTCCTGCCGCGGCGGGCGGCCTCCAATAACTGTCATTATACAAAACCCTAAAAAGACTCAAGAAAAAAGAAAACCGCTCAAAAGGACTGCATGTGCTCGTGCCTGCCCACACGCGAATGTCACTCGTTATGCTCCGACCTGTGATCCCTGCGTTCGTCTGTCGGCTTGGACAAGTTGGGCTGGATGTCGCCGTCCGACGTGATGATGGTCGGCCTCGAGACGGCGCCGCCGTGCAGCAGACCGGCCGTCTCCTCCGCGCTGTCGTCGTCGCCCTCGCTGTCGAGTCCGCTGTTGCTGGTCGGCGACGACGGGGAGGAGTCGCCGTGGCGGCCGTGGGCGACCTGCTGCGCCTTCTCGCGCATCTTGGTGATCTTGATGTAGTTGTAGGCGACAATGGCGGATATGGTGGTGATGAGGCCGAAGAAGTTGATGAGGGTGAGCTTGTCGCCAAAGACGAGGGCGGCGGCGGAAATGGTAACGACCTCCTTGAAGATGCCAGCAATGGACAGCGTGACTACCGAGGTGCGCTGGAGCAATGCAAACTCGGATGCTGTCATACAGAAAGCGATGCATCCAGGAAACAGCAGGAAGAGCGGCGTCATGACGACACCCCACTCGTTGGTCAGGGTCTTGAGTCCCTCCCACAGGGCGCTCACGCCCTCTACCGGGATGGCGAGAGAGATGAGAGTCACAAACATGACGGGAGTCAGAAAGAAGATGCTAGAGAAGGGGTTCGATGTCGCGGGATTCCGGAGCAGTAGGATTTGGGTCAGCGCCCATCGGAATCCTGAAAAGAAGGCGGCCGATATGACGAGAAAAAAGCCGCCCAGCTTGAATTCGACTTCGCCAAATACCATGAGGACAACGCCAGCAGTCATGGTCGCAATGATGGCAACGAGGCGCCAGGTCGGTGTCTCGAGGCGGAAGACGAACGCAAAGAGAAGCACAAACGCCAGAGAAGACGATTTGCACATTGCTGGAGGAGCGGTTAGTCCGGAAGCTCGGCGTTCCCATGAAGGAAAGAAGACGTACTGTAGAAGGTCAGGCTGATGAATTTGAGCGAGGCATTGCCCAGCCCAATATCGAGTCCCGTCGAAATACCGCAGGGGCCGATTCGTGTTAAATAGAAGAGTTTTGTCATGAGAGGGCTGCTGTTTGGCTCGGTCTCGTGCCGCGACCGGCCGCCGTCGGAGTTGTGGCCATTGTGCGGCCGTAATGATGGTATGAAGTAGAGAACGGTGCCGGAGAGGAAGAATTGCACCAGCATGTGGAAAGAGGTTGTAAAGAGCGGAAAGGCGAAGTTGAGGTTGTTTTTGTCGAACATCCACTTGTTGTACTATTGGGGGCAGGTCAGCGTGGGCCATCCAGCAGTGGAAACAGAGAGGGCAGGGAGAAGGAGACTCACGAGTGATATGGACAAGGAGAAGATGTACCACAGCAAGATGAACAAGAGAATGACTGCTACGTCTTTCACGACGAGCTTGTCCGCCTCCCTCGCCTCGTCGGCCGAAATCTTTTCCCGAGCAACGCGGTTGTCCAGCCTCGTATTCCGCCTCCGCTTCTTTTGCTTTCGACTGCGATCCTTGCTCGTGAGGCCCATCTCCTCGTCATCGTGGAGGTCTTCGTCACTGGAGCTATCGTTGCCCGGGTCGTCCTTGGACGACTCGCCCGTCCTCGGCGGGGCGCCGTCTTCAAAGATCTTGGACTCTTGGGGGATGCTGATGGACGGGTGGGAGCGGTGGCCGTGGGCCGAGCCGCCAGCCTGAGCGCCGACGGGGTTCATCAGGCTGCTCTTGCGCCGGCGGTGTCCGGCGATGGGCTCCATCTCGATGTCGTCGCCGGCAGAGCCGCCTTGACGAGCAGAGGAGGCAGCGAGCGGTGCGGCGGAGGATCGAGCGTCGTCGGCGAAGATGGGCGACTCGGGGACGGGAACGGGGGCGGGAGCGGGATCGGAACCCGGGAGAGCAGAAGAGGCAGAAAGAGAGGGAAAGGGAGAAAGGGAAGGAAAGGGTTTCGAGGAGGAGGAGGCGGCAGAAGAAGAGGACGCTGTGGGCATGATATTGACGGGGCCGCTCACGGGTCTCAATCGACGGCAGGGTGGGCGCGCGCGCTCGACGGACCAACTTGATCTAACATGGGCCGAGGAGTCGTCGCTGGGTGGGCGGGCGGCTGGGTCTGATCTGGGTCTGGGGTTGGGCAGCAGCTGGATGGAGCTCGTGGGACGGCGGCGGCCAGGAGTCCAGGACGACGGGACGGCCGCGCAGGCAGGGGAGGCCGAGCGGCAGGGCAGGGCAGGGCAGGACAGGACGGAGCGGGCAGATCACCCAGGTTCGCCCTCAGGTCAGGTCAGATGCCAGACGCCAGACGGCCAGGGGACCAGCAGCCCTGGTGGAGATGGGGGGCCAGCGGCGGAGGGGAGTGGAGAGGGAGGAGCCGGTCCAGGTGCTGCTCGGCAGGGCCTGGCCAGCCTGGGCTTGCTGGGTGCCTCCTCTTGGGTGCGGTGCTTGCCCAGCTGTGCCTTTAGCGGCACACCTCCTGGGGGGCCGTGGACTGGCACCGTTGCCTGTGTCCGAGACTCCGAGGGGGGTCCGTCCCGTCGCCGCCGTCGCGGTGCCCGAATCACGCTGGGCGGGCGGTGCAGCGAGACGATGCCACCACGGCGGGTTCAGAGGGCCCGAGAGCTGCAGGAGGGTGCTCGTGCTGTTACTACCGCGAGCGAGAAATCGTGCAATCTCCCATTGCGCCCATGAGGCTGATCGTGATCGAAGTCATTTTGAGTCCTCCGGGCATCTTACGCTTGCGGAGATGCTCGATTACGGCAATACCATAGTTACAGTGGAAAGTGCTCTTTCCTGCGGCACCAACTGCTGCTGCATGTCTCGCGCAGGCGCAGGCGCCTCTTCCCGCAGCAATCTGCCCGTGAGTGGCAGATGAAATGTGGGGGGTGAGCTTGGCAATCGGTGGCGCCCTCGGGCCCCTTTTGGCGCCCTCCGGGAGGTTGGCCGTTCAGCGGGCTCGCGCTCGTTGTGGCAGCGGCCGTCCAGTGGCAGCGCCCCTCTGGCCCGTCAATGGATGGGGTCAATGGCAGCTTAGCGCCCGCTAGACAGGGTCACAGGGCAGAGGCGGCGTTGGCGCTCCCATCCGTGGACGGCCACCCCCGGCAAGCGCAGGCATCCCGCGGCGATACAAGGCCGCTGGGCTCGGTCGAGTTCCAGGCTGGCCGGTCCCAGTGTTGGGTTCTCAGGCTGCGTTGCCAGGTTCCCTGAGGGAGAGCCAGAGCCTGAGTCGCACGCCGGGTTCCAGGGGTCCATCCCGTCTGGCTCCCCTCTCTTGCCTCTCGCGCCTCTCAAGCCAGTGCGGTGCTGCTTGCGCTGCGCAAGGATGACGTTCGAGACCCCCCTGCAGCGAATCAGGGTCTTTCGCGACGGCGACTGTTGACAGACATCATCAGTCATCGACAGGGCGGCGATCGTCGCAACCGTTCTCAACGGGAGCAGGATCAGCCCGTCATCAGGAACGATTCCATCGGCGCAGCAGACGCATCGCGATGACCGTCGTGCCGCCTCTCGCAATCCTCAACCGTCATTGAGAAGCCGGGCGCTCGATTCAATGTGGCACCCCTAACTGTCCGGAGCTCAAGGTCCATGCCCATGCCCCCCTGGCAGTCAGTCAGTCACCAGCCCCGTCCACCTGCGCGCCATGCCGAGCGAGGGTGGGTGAGCGGGCTGCTTGGCAATCCAAGGGATCCTGCAGGGCGGAAGCGAGACACAGCCAGTCGAGTCTGGTCCGTCGCGGACCCTTGCCGGGCAGCAGCCTGGGCGAGGCCGCCAGGAACCAGCTTTCGTGCCGGTGTCGCGTGCTCCCCCGACTGGCCCTGTGCCGTCCCGCAAGCAGCAGACGGGCAGCTCATGACCCGCGAATAGTTGTCACGACTGGCTCTTGTTGTTGGCCGTCTCGACGTCCTCTGCCAGCACACCACGGGCGTTACTGTCACACGCCACGTCGTGCGCAGAGCCAACGCCCGCGCTCGCCCCTCCCGCGCGTTGACATGGTCGCCAATCTTCATTCGCGGATCCGAATGGGCCCAGCCCGTCTTCAGTGCCATCTGCAAGTGGGCGGTCGTTCACCGCCAGCGATCCCCTCGTGGCTTGATGCGCGACCCGAAAACCTTGCGCCAACCCCGCATTGCTGGCTGTCTCCCCTGCAAGGCATCAAAGTGTTCGGACAATCCTCCTGGCCATCGCAAAGCCATCCACGACCTGTCTGGGCGGGGAGTTGAACACGTGCAACTCCGAGGCTGCTGCTGATGCTTCTGCTCCAGGGCGCAATCGTCGTCGCCGACGCAGTGCATCCCCATCGCCCCAGCCACGAACGGGTGCGCAGTCGCTCCGCTTTGTCGTGACGCGGCAACGGCCCAGTGCTCGTTCGAGGTGACGAAGCAGCCGCAAAAACGGGTCGATGCCTGGTGTCTCGTTATCTCGTGCACTGGCCCGTGTTCCACTGGAGCGGAGACAGCAAGCCCATCAGCTTGACATCATCGTGTTCCAACCGACACGTTTGATGTCACAACTGACACCGCCGATTTGCATGTCTTGCCTCTCCTGTACCCCGGGCCAGTCCCCGCCCAGCATGGCGCGAGAGGTGTCTGAGGTTGAAGCGCGTTGGTGACGGCATAGCAACAGACAAAACTCCCTTGATGTCGAATATCCCTTGCTATGGATTGGGCAGGCACCAGCCCTTTGTCGCGGGCCAATTGATACCCTTGCCGGAAGGTTCCCACGGTCGGGGATATTTCTCGGGCCTGCCCTGAAAGAGTACTTTAGCTGGCGAAGGGGGCCCGGAGACTTGGGTTTGAGTTTTGCCTGCAGGCCGGCGGGTCGTCCGGAGACCCGGCGGCCGGTAGTAACTATCTGCCTGTCGCCAAGGTGGTGTGTCGCTTCCGGTCCGGTGCGGCTGCGCGCCGGAAGCTCCGGCTGCGCGGTTGAGTTTGCGGGACGCAGACTGGTAACAAGGTAGGTAGGGTTGCACTCTGGAAGTGCCCCTGGACGGCCGCATCGGTTCTTGACGCAATTCATTTCCAGCGTGCTGTCGGCGGGTCGTGATGCGACGTGAGGGACGAACCTTGCCCAGGTTTGTCTGCGGCGTGTGAGCACTTTCAAACTGACCTGGCCGCCGTGTGTTCTGAATGGAGCATCTCCCGCCAGCCCCGTCAGCTGTGCGACGAAGCTCCATGGCCACGGGCAGCTTGCAAACCTTACCCAGTGCGGGGTGCCCAATGAAGGCAACGCGGGGTGCAACTCTGGGCTCGGTGAGGTGGAGGGGTCACGTCCAGCAGCATGTCCAGCAGCAGCTACGTTCAGTTCTTCACCACCCGCAGGAGAGCTCCATTGCCCTAGGCCACCGCTCTACGGCGACGAGGTGCCGACTACGCAGCAAGATGGCTTGTAGAACCGCTGCATCCAAAGAGATCCACGTAAGCAGGCTCATCCTTAGCCGGACCTGCCTTCCCACTGCCAGTGCACTGCCCAGTATTCCCAGCATTCCGTGAACGGCAGGCACGGAAGAACTCCATCCGTCCATCCATCCACGGATCCCGAGAGGCTGCAAATATTGGGGAAGGAGCTATTGGGACGGGCAAGACGGGCTAGCTCATAGCTCAGCGACTTACACTGGCAGTCACGAGGCCCATCATCCAGCCATGACGGCCAAGGTATAAGTGACTTCAACATGACGGCACATCACGCCTCGACCACCGTCCACGCTACTTGGCATCGTAGATGGCAACCAACTCGGCGAATCTGAGCCATGAGCAGCACCAGCAATAAGCTCCAGCTCAGACGGACCATCCGGCGAGCTGTCCAACGCTCACTCTGTCTCATCATCACCACCCGCTTCAATGGCTTCGCATGGATCTACGACGCACCAAGGCTCGACTCGTCGCTCTCAGACGGGGGGCTATCTGCCCATCGAGGACTATGGCTTGATCGGCAATATGCACACGTGCGCCCTCGTCGGCATCGATGGCAGTGTCGACTTCATGTGCTGGTGCGTTGCCCGTGTGCTTGCTGTGGCATCTGTGACTGCATGGCTGAACAAGGCGCAGGCCCGACTTTGACTCTCCGTCCATCTTCTGCCGCCTTCTGGACAAGAACATTGGCGGCCACTTCAGCATCGCGCCCCCTGACGGAGTCAACTGCACCACCAAGCAGCAGTATCTGCCGACTTCTTGCATCCTTCAAACCAGGTATATCCATGAGGATGGTGTCGTGGACCTGCTCGACTTCTTCCCGCGTCCCAAGGAGGCCCAAGTCGCCACCAAGGACTACAAGCAAAGTGCCTGGCGAGAGGCTATCCGCGTGCCCGAGGAGCTGAAGAAATGGCTCGTCCGGCGCGTCGAGTGCATCAGGGGCACCATGACCCTAGGTGAGCCCCTGAATATCTGCGTGTGAGATTTTGAGTGCTGACATTTGTAGACATTGAGCTATTTCCTGCCTTTGGCTATGGGCTGGTACCCCATGTGACTACCTTACGAAAGGATACTCACACTATGCATGACCATGTCAGCAAGGTCGCGACCTTTCATTCAGCTGGCGAGAAGCTTCAGCTTGATGTTGCTCTCCAGAATGGCGACGACAAGAGGAGCTGCCCGCGGGTCTCATTCAAGAAGACTACAAGACCGGGTATGCAGGGTGATGGACTGCAGGCGACAATTGTGATAAATGAAGGCGAGAGCATCTCTTTTGTCCTGAGAAACGACTCAAACCAACATGTAACTGAGCACATCACATCTTCCGTCCTGGACAACCAGCAGCACGACACGCAGCAGTACTGGTTCAACTTTATTTCGCAATGCCGGTACAAGGGGCGATGGAGAGAGGTTGTGACGCGCAGCCTCATGATCCTAAAGCTCTTGACATACGGTAAAGCATGCACTGTGAACCTGTGGATGCAATGAGCTGATAGGTCTCTAGAACCAACTGGCGCAATTGTTGCCGCTCCCACTTTTTCGGTCCCTGAGAACATTGGAGGCGCCAGAAACTGGGACTACCGATACTCGTGGGTCAGAGACTCCAGCTTCAGCATCTACATATTGCTTCGCTTGGGCTTCAGAGCCGAGGCCCATGCGTACATGGACTTCATCATGAAGCGATTCGTGGGATCTCGGGGGCCGGATGGCGCCTTGCCCATCATGTTCACGATTCACGGGGAGACTGACATCCCAGAAGTTACGCTCGACCATTTTGAGGGCTATCGCGGAAGCTCACCGGTGCGCATCGGCAACGGCGCTGCTTTCCATCAACAATTTGACATTTACGGCGAGCTCATGGATGCCATCTACCTCTATAACAAGTACGGCAAGCCAGTGCCGTGGGATGTTTGGCGAGCCGTCCGCGAGATTCTCGGTACGCAATCGCTCATCACCTGAGTCTTGACTGGAGCTGACCAAGCTGTTTCACGCGCGCCCCAGATTACGTTTTGACCATCGTCAACGGTATGCAATGCTTCTGCGTTGTTGTGCCATGCTAATCTGTTTCTATCGCAGACCCCGACATGTCCATCTGGGAGGTGCGAAATGCCAAGCAAAACTTCACATACTCCAAGATCATGCTATGGGTTGCCTTTGATCGTGGTCTCCGGCTCGCCGACAAAAGGTGCTTCCCCTGCCCTAACCGTGTCAAGTGGCTGGCGGCGAGAGACACGCTCTACGAGGAAATCATGGAGAAGGGATACAACCCGGAGATGAACAGCTTTGTCCAGAGCTACGAGAACAACACTGTCCTCGATTCGTCCATTCTGATTGCACCTCTGGTCTTCTTTATCTCGCCGTGCGACCCGCGCTTCACGAGCACCTTGGACCGCATCCTGCTGCCGCCTGAAAAGGGCGGCCTTACGAGCACGGGCCTGGTGTATCGATACGACACCGAACTCTCCGACGATGGTAGGCAGATGTCAAGTCACCTCCTGTGTTCCATTGGCTGACGATTGTTTATAGGCGTCGGGGGACGAGACGGCGCATTCAGCATGTGTACATTTTGGCTGGTGGAGGCCATGACGCGTGCGGGAGTTTACGAGCACAAATACCTCGTGCGGGCAGTCAACATATTCGAGAACATGTTGAGCTTTTCCAACCATCTGTCCATGTTTTCGGAGGAGATTGCCCGCAGCGGTGACCAGCTCGGCAACACGCCGCAAGCTTTCAGTCACCTTGCTCTCATCAGTGCGGCTTTCAACCTGGACCGGGCGGCCGAGGGTTGGAGGGGCCCTTCGTGAGAATGGATGTGTCGTTGGCAGTGTCGGACTAGGTGGCTAGCTCTGATTTACGCTTGGGCTCTGTTCGAAAAGTGTCTGTTATCAGTTGCTGTACACTAGTGAACAAGACTTTTGCTCTCGGAGCTGTCGAGGTCCTGTTGAGTGTACCATCGACGGAGTCGATCAAGAGGTCGCCGTGGGTGCAAGCAGGTGTCCAAGGAGATCTCCGAAAGCTCCCGATATCCCTTAGAAGCAGAAAATTATCATTCAGTCATTATCTATACGCCATGACCGCTCACCGCACCTCGGTTGTTGTTCATGATGATGCTGCCGAGATGTTGAAAGCGATGGAAGTTGCGGGCGGCGTGGCGGGTAGTTCACTCAAGTATATTGCGGCAGGGCCACTCGTCTACGTGAAATGCAGCACACTTCTACCTTGTAGGCTCAGGAACGTGACCAAGAGAGAAAATAGTTGTACCAAAGAGGATGGTCCGAGAAAGGAAAATACATGACATACAAGGCATAAGTCACTCCCGAGAACCGTGCTCCCAACTCCCCATATGTATGTTAACCATCGCAACAACAAAAGGAAACTCGTCACACTCCGCCATCACCCCCCGCCGTCGCCTCGTCTGCCCTCTGCTCAAAAGTGGCAGGTCGCCGAGAAGAAAGGCACGGCCATAAGGCCCCTGTTCAGGAGCCAGGCGGCGGCGTGGTGGTGCCGCTGGACGCACGCTTGACAGTCCAGCTCGTCAAGCTCCAGGCGCGAGCCGCAGATGGTGCACGTGTCATACTTCGTGAATTGTGGCGAGCGCCGAGCTGAACCGGGGCTGGCTACGGAGCGGCCCGTCGCTGTGCCGAGTGTTTGTCTTCAGCTTTGTGCGGTCGAAGAGCTTGATGTGATGGTGGTGGTGGTGCTTACCGTCCGAGCCTGGCCTGTCCGAGTCACTTTCGTCCTTCTCCTCATCTTCCGAGCTCTCGACCGAGTCTACAATCTTTTCGAGGCTCCCGAGCACCTCTTCCTTAGTCTCCTCGCGCGTGGCGCCCGCGCCGGTGCATGCTGTGTATGAGGGCCACCGCTTGAGGAACTGGGCACGGCACTCGTCGAGTTTCGCGCGGAGGAGCGCCACCTTGCCGTCTAGCGAGCGGCACCTGTCGCAGCGGCTCGGGACGCGGCGCGACTGCAGGCCATGGGGGCGGCGGAGGCAGCAGTCGCTGGGGAGGTATCCGTCGCGAAAGTCCTCGCCGATGGTGCAGAGCTTTAGCCGGCGTCCCCAAGTCTGGTGCGCGCATTCGAAGACGGTGCGTGCGTAGGTACACATGTGCGCGGGATTTTCCTCCTCTCGTAAGGGTTGAACGACAGTCGATTAAAGATTGACCGGATGACGGCGGTACGAAGGCGGCAAGTCATGAACGAGGGACAGGCTAGGCGACGCGCTCATGATCATGAGTACTCAACCACGTTTGGAGTCGTTTGCCACGGGGAAAGAGAAACAAAAACGCCCCTGGACATGTTTTCTGATTCTCGCGGGAGTCTGCCGTGGTCTTGCAAGCGGGGGGCGGGTTCCTCGGGGTCGCCTCTGGATTGGAATGTGACGCCGCGCCCACTCGGATCACAAGTCGTTAACCCGCCACCCTCAGCGCCTCTGTGTGGGCCGCGGATAGGACGACCACACGATAGTGTGAGACCATTTAACGCGATTCATCCGTGTCCCTGAAAAGATGACTGGCCAGGACCTCGTTGAAGTCGCGCGCCCAGGACGTGTAGTTGTTTGCTTGACTCTCCTGATGCGGCGGCGGCGGCGTGCCAACGTGCGCCACGGGGTGATCGACGCGGCGCAACGTTTGCAAAAGAGATGACTGATCTTCACTTGAAGCGAGGACGACGCCCCGCCGCGCGTGCAGGAGGCACTCGAGATCCGTCGTGGAGTCCCCAAAGTAGACGACGTGTTGGGTGTCGTCGCCGTGGCCGGCGAGGAGGTGCCTCATGGCGCGGAACTTATCGGCCGAGGTGGTTAGGCGAGTGCCGAGGAATGAGGGGCCGGATATCTGACCGCCGAGGGGATCCGTTTCGTTGGCGATGATGCGGGTTGGCTGGTCCTGGTGTTGCTGGCGGGTGGTGCCGAGGACGCCGCTGATGAAGGCGCAAGACCAGTTGACGGAGACGATGTCCGTCTTCCAGCCCCTCTGGCGGGCCAGGTCGAGCAGCTCGCCGAAGCCGTCCCGCACGACGACGTCTCCCGCGGCGACGGCATCGGCGCCCAGCTGGCGCAGGTCGGCCTCCGAGAGTCCCGCGAAGATGCCGGCTCGGCTCACCCGGTCAAGGGACGCATCCTCGAGGCCCTTGAGGCCCTTGAGGAAGCGCGCCTCCTGGCCGACACAGGTCCTGCGCTGCTCCTCCGGCACGTACGCGTCCTTGTACGCGGCGAGCTCAGCCCAGTACTCGCGCGCGACGGCGTCCCATTCAGGCCCAAGTTCGCGGCCGGTACGGGAGCGCTGCAAGGCGACGGCAGACGTGGCCAGCGTGTTGATGGTGTCGGCGCGCGTGATGGTGCCGTCAAAGTCGAAAATGAGATGCAGCATGGTGGGCACGGCAATGGGTTTTCGAATTGAGGCTGCGGAGAGGAGGCGGGTGAGAGAGTGCATGTCGGAGTGAAGGGAGCGAGTGAGCCGGTGGCCAAGGTTTGACTTTGCATTGACTGACGACAGGGTGAGTGAGCGAGCTTGTGATTGACGCTGATTTTCTGCGGCGGCGCTCGCCTCATCCGGCAGGCGCGGCCCGCTGCTGCTTGCAAGCACGAGATACACGGCACGACTCCATTATCACGCCCCAAACTTGGGTCCAATTGGTGCTTTTTATATTCGCAGCATATCCGTTTGGGTCACGTCGGTTTTACAAGGGAGTGTTTGTTGGTGTTTCCATTAAACCCCCTTACGATCGCCAAGATGCCCTTTGCAACTGCCATTTCCCTAGCTGCTTCAATGACCAAGACAGCTCATGTATACGCCAAGGATGGAGCCCTTGATCGACACAGAAGAGGCGACCTCGCCCCGTGTCGAGGACGTATGCATGACCCGATAAATCTCGCCGCGTGTGCTGTGGCTCAAGCTCGAGGCCCAGGACGCCATAGTCCGGGTTAACACTGCGGCGGCACCTGTGGGCAGAAGCGGCGTCGGACACCGACTCTGTGAGCAAGGTCTGGCAAGGGCCAGGTTCAAACAGTCTTCATGCGCAAAGCTACATGTACAGATGCATGCCCTGCTCGGTTCCAATGTTACTGTGAAAACTGTCTAAGCCCCTCCCGGTCATCTATGAAATCGGGTATCCGTGCTCATTGTCGAGCTCAACGCCAAAAACGCCTCCCGTGTCTTCCATTTTGCTTCCAGCTGCGGCCAGCTTTGCCCGTCGTGCGAGGCACATCACAAAGTGGGGAGCACATCCTCCATCTCCTCGGGCTCGTCGTCGTCGCCGTCGTCGGCCGCCTCGGCCGCCTCTTCCTTGGCCTCGCTGCCCGCCTTGTCCTTGTACGCGTCGCTGAGGCCATAATGGTTGGCGAAGCGGCCGCTCTTGTGCAAAACGGCAACCTCCTCCAATACCTGTCGCAAGTACGAGTCGGGCTGCTGCAGCTTCTGGCGCAAAGCCTTCATGGACCAGTACTGATACTGGCGGAAGCAGTCGAAAATAAGATCCAGAAGCTGGTTCTTGGGGATACGCGCCGCCTTGAACACCTCGCCCTTCTTGGGTTTGACGACCTGCGGAGCATTTTTCTGTGCCGACGGGTTAGCAGGGCCCAAGCAACGCACGAGTCGGCCGGGCAATGGCAATGGCTTACGATAAAGTTGCCGCTCCACTGAGCGGCCGTGGCAGTGCCCGGGTTGATGATAGCAGACGCGCTGTTGCGGCTGATGATGCGGAGCTTCGACTTGGAGTTTTCGGCATCAAACAGACGCTGGGCCAGCAGCCGCTCTTCCTCTTGGATGTTGCGCGGCTCTACGCGCACGTCGTAGTGGATCTTGCCAAAGATTTTGGTCCTCTCTGCGCCGACGTTAGCGCTGCAATGAATCACCGTGAACGGCCATAGCAGGAAACTCACTCGGGATGGCCTTGCGATAGTAGGGCTGGTAGCGACTCCTGCGGTCGTACGAATTGCGCTGGGGCCCCGAGGACTGGCCGGCCTGCGCCTCAGCGGCCTGCCTCTGGCGCAGCAGCGACATGGGGATGCCGGCGGCGGCGGCGTCGGCGCGCTCCTTGTTCTTGGCCTTGTAGCTCTCGAGGTCCTGCTCGCTGAAGACGAAGTGGTTGTGCACGTCGCGGTCGAGGACCTCGAGATCGTACTCGCGCGGGAGCATCTGGTGCTCGGGGCAGTTGGCGTCGAGCAGCATGCGCAGCTTGGTGACGTCGCGCGTGCCGCCCTCGACGGTGGCGTCGGGGACGGGCTCGTTCCAGGTGCGCAGCGTGCCGATCTGGATCTCGTCGTCGTCGCCGAGGCGGTCCGTCATCTTGAGCCATGCGTCCCACATGTAGCGCGGCACGCGGGCCAGGTAGAGCGTCTCGAATTGCCGGCCGGCGGCGCTCTTGTCGTAGAACTCGAGGTCGCCGGCGTCCTCGTAGAGGTCATCGTCGTCGAGGGCGGCGAGGGGCTTCTTTTCCTCGTCCTCCGGGTCGGGCTTAACGAAGGGGGAGGCGTCCGCCATGATGGCAACCTTGGCGGCGGCAGCGACGTCTGCGCTCGCCAGCGAGGTCCGAAAGTGTCTGGCAGGTGCGCAATCGGAAAAGGATGCAGATGCGGCGGAGGCGCTGGGCAGGTCGTGCCGGGCAGCGCAGTCGTTGGACGTTGAGCTGGGGCGAAGAAGGTTGGCGATGGCAGCTCGGGAGTGACGAAATGGGCATGCGAGAAAGCGCTTTTGGGTGGTGGTTGTCGGGAGGCAGACGCGCCGCCACAGCGTCGAGGCCGAGCTCCACCTGCCGCCTCACCTCAGCCAGGGAACATGGAAGCAGCCTCACCACCGGGCAGGAGCTGTGAGCCGCTAAACTGGAGCTCCGGGCGCTCTCCAGCTGTTCCAGGTTACCTAAGGCGGGCACAAAGGCACAGCGGCACGGGGAGCGGGCACGGGCCAGAGGGCGCTAAGCCCAGCAGCAGCCTTAGCGCAAAACTTCCAGTTGGAAGTCTGCCCAGGTGGCTTAGGTAGGTACCAGACCGGGATGCAAGGTTGGCCTCGCTACAGCGCTTAAATAGGTGGCCGCCCCCCCACTGCTAACCCGGGCGTGGAGGTACCAACCCGTGAACGTGGTACCCGCTGCACCGCTGGCCACCGCAGCTGTAAGACCTTCGGCCAGAGTTGCATCGTCAACCTCGTTTCACTCACTCACTCACTCTCCATGGTTCGCGCTCCATAAACGCCCGACGCAAGCCCAGCCACAACACCTCGCAAGGTAGTCTCCCATCCCTCCCCGCTGGCTTGTGTGCAAGTAACTTCGTAGCCTCGCCTCTCTACCTCTTTGAATGAAAACCAAGCTCACACGGCCCCTCGTAGCACCGTCAACAACGCCATATCCACGCCAGCAGTGGCGCCGGCGGCATCTACTCTGAAAGTTTGACGACGGCTTCCTCTAGCTGGCTCTGGCAAAAAGCTATCCGCCTATCCAGCACGCGGACTATGAACCTTGTTGTTGTTGGCAACCGCCGCATCAACAGTCCCCCAGACGCGTCCATATAAACTCCCGCTCCTCGGGTCGTCGCCTCTTCCTCTTGCCCATCATGTCACACGTCAAATCCCTAATGGAGCTCGCCACCATGGCCGTCATCAAAAACATCAGGTTCCTCGAAAGCGTCGGCGACTACCTCCCCTATGAGGCGGTGCGCTCCATCCTCCTTCGCGTTGAGAACGCCCACCAGCTCCGCCGCATCGAGCTCAGCTCGCCCCAGATCCAGGGCCACACCGGCGAGATCTGGATCAAGATCATCGAGAATGAGTTCCCCATGGAGTACAAGGCCACTGCCTACAAGCCCTCCTCCCCGGAAAAGTGGTACAAGGTCTGGGAAAAGTACAAGCACGAGCACGACGTCGCCCTGGCCGAGAGCGAGGCCAAGCTCAAGAGGGCGCTCGCCGGCCTGCAGGAGGACAAGCAGCGCAACACCAGCCAGATTGTCGAGCGCAAATATCTCCCTCGCGCGGGACGCGTCGGCCCCAAGCAGCGTCACTGGTCCCAGCGAGACACGGGCTCCAGTACCCTTTCCTTCGCCGGAGGTAGCCGCACCAAGACCAACACAGGCGCCAGCGTCATGAAGAAGGTTCGCCGCGAGGCCCGCGAGATTGCAAGCATCAAGGGGCAGCTCTCCAAGCCCATCCGCGCGCCCATCCGCGCCCCGACCTTGAACAAGGCCCCTGCCGCCATGGTTAACGACCATCGACGCGCCGCCCTGCCTCAGTACCGCGTCACGGGCTCTTCTATGGAACAATACGAACAGCGAGCCACCTTTCTCTCGGACTCAGATGATGACGATTTGGACAACAAGCCCGTCCTCCCCACAGCTTCCGCCAGAAAGACCGTCTCCGACGCGGCGAAGGTCTCCCTCCTCAAGAAGAGGCCCGGCACGGCCCCTTCCACCAAGCCCGTCGTCAAGCAGATTCCGGCCAGGGCGAAGAGTTCCTCATCTCCCCAGAAGGATGGAGTCTCTGGCTCCACGTCCAGAAGCACTGCGAGCGCAGTAAAGCCCTCCGGGGCGGCCAACAAGAGCGCGTCCGCCGGGGGCTCGGGCCTGGCTGGCAAGCTCAACCGCTCGGCGACCATCAACAAGGCCAAGCCAGCCAGCGACAAGCCTCGCGCTAGACAAGACGAAGACGCTTCGGACAATGACCCGCCCGCTCGGCTGCCGACCAGCACGACGGTCTCTTCACCTCCTGGCGAGGCCGGCCCATCGTCGCCCGAGGAGATTGTCGCCTCACTCAGCGCAGCGCCTGCGCCAGGCCCCCCGAGGAAGCGCAAGGCCCCTAACGTCTTCATGAAGCCCAAGAAGAGAGTGCACTAGAGGACGAGGCATTTGGCTTCACTCTAGCTCTGCTTCTCCCTCCTCACACGCACGCAGACATATACATACATGCACTTGCGCTCTCGCGAATGCAATCCTCCTGTCGATACCCCCGATCATAGTTTGCGCAGCACTATTGCATCTGCACGTGGTCACTTGCGAGGCCACGCAGCACACAAACATGGAACCGCATCAGCATCTGGCTTTACGAGACGTTAATTGATTTGAACACACGGCGCTGGAAAGATCGGAAGGCGGCACTTGAGTGCCCTGCATCACGGCGCATCGGAGCGTTGGAATTTGGGAAGCTCCCGGCGAGGAACGACGGAACTGGAATTTCCAAGGGAAAAGACACGGGAACTCGGGATTTGTCTGTTATTACACATGATCTGGTAGTCATCGCAATCGATGCCTTTCCCTCAGTTCGGGACCATCTTGGCGCATCCCTCGCCGAGGCAGATAAGGCCCGGGGACCCAGTGCGCTTCGACTGGCAGTTGGCAGGCCCACCAGGGTTCGAAACCCAAGTGCAGGGGGCGCCATGCGTCAAGCACTGTATCGTTTGTAAAAGCCAATGGTCAGCCTTTCGTCTTCGTAGCGGCGTGTGTTGGGTAGTCAGTCTGTGCTGGGAACGGGGGGAGAAGACGTACCTGCTGGGTCGCGCCACCGCAGATAATCTGGAACTTCTTGGGCATGCCCACTTCGAACAGGGGGGCAAGACGCTCGGTCTCGTTGCTGACGTCCATGGCGCACGTGTTGGTCTGCGAGTTGCAGGTCTATGGTAGGGGAGAGCAAGTAAGTATCTTCTGCCATTGATAAGTGACTTACGCCCATGCCTTGGTCAGAGGGTTCATGGTTCCCCTTCCCAAGGCATAGACTGGAGGCTGTATGTAAGTGGCAACTTACTCCGCGGAGGAGAGCGTGGAGCCTGTTCGTCGCGACCGGCGACATCCAGTTGTTTGCAGCGGCAGGCATCTTGAACGTGTAAGCGGTGAGGTCGTTGTTGTTGTTTCGGTTCGAAGAAGTCTTGTGGGAAAGAATAAGAAGAGACTGTTGTGTTGCGTTGGTTGGTAGCGAAGCTGGACAGATTGGGGAGACGAAGTTGAAGCTTTATGTACCCCGGAGCCCCTGGTCTTGTTACTTTATCATTTCACTACGGTTACTTGATCCTTCGCTGCCTTGGACAGGTCGAGATGTTTCGCGTGCGTAAAGGCCGAAAGGCCATGATGAGCATGGTCCTGGGATAGACAGCAGCAAAGCACAGAACAGAGCTAGCTCAGCACAGACTGACGCCCGCGCGGCCAGCTCTGTGCTCCCTCCGGCCAGCATTTGTCTGCCACAGATGTTACAGGGTGCCCGAAGCATAGCAGTTTTGGCAAGCATAGTGCAGGTCTTGCCACGTTTCTGCTGAGCGTGCCGGTCATTCAAAACATCCGATCGAATTCTCTAGGCTAATCTTCAAGGCGCGGTGAAGGTGCGCCATACGGTCAAAGACCGGGTTCGATTCAAGGGGCGCAATTGGGACTGAGTGGTGGCTGGCCGTACCCAGAAGAAAAGCATCTACCCAATTGGCAGCGCTCACTGGCAGGTTTGACGAGGGGGGGGCATCATGAGCATGTTATGCTGGCATTGTCTATATACCTCGGCGGCTCAATCTTCTGGTCTCTCCCCATGTGAGAAGGCAAAGAGAACTTTGCGCGATTCCCCTTCCCCACCTGGCAGCATCAACGGCTTGTTTCTTTAGCAAGATCACCCAGCTTTTCAGCCACCACATCGTCCCTGAGGATCCTGTACCCCATGTTCGGGTAGGACAGCCACCGGAGGCCCTGACGCTCTGGAATCGACGTCTGGCAATGCGCGTGCTGCACGGGCCTGTTGGTCCAGGCGCACTGCTGGCCGTCGGCGCCGCACTGCAGGTTTCGCTGTCAGCAGTCTTTTCCGCATTCTGCCTGGCAAAAGCCCTCCAGGCTCCAACCAAACAAGGAAAAGACCCTCTGAGGTCCGGTCGTCTTCGAGGGGTGGTAGTTCACGGACGGACAACTTACGATTTTCTGAGGCTCAGTGGAGCAGGTGATGCTGAAGACGTGCGGCATGCCCAGCTCGAATAGGCTGGCCAGCTCTGGCGCGTCCTGCGTGTCGCATATGTTGGCCGCGTGGTTGACGTCTATGCGGCACGAGTTGCTCGCCACGTCGCACCTCTGCGGAACGCGTGATTACCATCAGCCACGAACAACACCCCCTTTCCTAACCTGGGGGCAACACATGTAAGGCGGGAAAGAGAACAGGGGATGGGGATTCTGGCGCATTTACCCCGAGGAAGATGCCACTGTGCTCTGCCAGCCCGAGCGTGAGCTGCCACGCAGGGGCGGAGACTCGGGGCATGATGGGCGCTCAACGCAGGGACGTTGCGCTTGGTTCTTTGCGGCTTCAGCCAGCCGCGGCGTATGGTGTCGTGTCGAAGGCTTGTAACTTGCGTGGGTTCTTGAGAGCGCTCGAGGTGCAGTGAGCGGTAACCGTGGAAGTGAAAGTAAGGGGCAGATAGGCATCTTTTAACATCAATACGTACAAAGTACGTGATGAAGCAGTATACGCGCGGCTGCCTCGGGCAGCACGGCCACGAGTAATACGTATCTTCCTGTTTCGCATCCTATTTTTGCTCGGCCACGCGTGATAAATCTATGATTAGAGCGGGCATAACAAGGAACGACTTTCGATCTGCAACACGCAGCACGGACTGTCAACGTCCTCACTCGACGCAGCAACCGTAAAGCAAAGGTGAAGATATGAGTCATGAGCCGAGAGTTAGAGAGCACCTTGCTTAGCCATCTGGGAATCAAAGCTGGCACCAAGAAAACGAAGTAAACTTTGTCTACCGGGCGTATCTGCAAAGCCTCCTTAGTTCAAGAAAGTCACGGCATGCCGCTTCACAATGGCACCCCATCTACCTTTTCAAGCCCTCCTACCCTTGTTCCGGAAACTCAGCAACTCAACTTCAAGTATCCCCGTTCCCGCGCCCCCCTCCCNCCTCCCCCCCTCCCTTTTTCTTTTTCCATTCTCTCCAGCCTCGGGTACAACGACGGGCCGCAAGGACAGCAAGAGAAAAGAAGTGTGGGGGAGCCCATGCTCTTCAAGTTCGTCCAGCATTCTTGGCGAGCCAACTGAGCTTCGCCATCGAAACACCGCTCTCCTCGACGAGGAACCCGATGTTGCCGCGCGTAAGAAAGGGAAACCCTTCCCAGTTCCCTCGGATCTTGGTGCGGCAGTGCGCGCGCTGCACGGGCCTGTTGGTCCAGCTGCACTCGTGGCCGTCCCACGGGCACTGCATGCGTACGTACGTTAGCCCCTCGAGGTCAGCCCTTGCCCGCCGTAACTTTTCAAGGTTTTGGACGTTCTCTTCTTCGTATGCGCAGCACGACGCCAACGGTGCCTTCCATTGCTGGAGAAGGGCCCCGGGGAAGGGGGCAGGCGGGTTCCGACTTACAGCTTTGGCGGGCTCCGTGGAGCAGGTGACGTTGAAGACGCGCGGCAGGCCGAGCTTGAACAAGTTGGCTACATCTTCGGCGATGTCTGCCCGGCAGTCTTGATGTTCTCGGGTGATGTCGATGAAGCAAGTGCCGCTCGCCCGATCGCATGTCTGCGCAAATCGTATACCGTCAGTCACTCACTCACTCACTTTCTCGCTCGCTCACTCAGCACGAGCCCTCCTCCTCGTCTCCCAGTTTGCGACTCCACGACAATGAAGAGAAGGGGGATTTACCCCGATGAAGGCGCCGCTGGATTCGGCCAACCCCAGCGTGAGCTGCCACGAGGGGGCTGAGAGCGCGGACATGTGTTGTCGGGGGAGTATGGACGGGTTGCGTTAAGCCCAACGCTTTGTCGCTTGAACGGCCCTTTGGCGGTGTTTGCTGCACGATGAGGACGGCTGTGGCCTGTCTATCTGTATGATTTTTGCTGGAGTGTTGTCGTCGAGGGCACTCAGGATGGATGTCAACGTAAGTAGTGGTGCGAGAGAAAAGTCGAGCAGATAGGCAACTCTTTTTATTACACCTACGTAAAGTGCATGGTCCTCGTAGCAGCCCCAGACGCGAGCAGCACGTCTCTCACTGTTTCGCATCCTCAGTTTCGCCCGACAACGTAAGTGAGAGTTGGCGTAGTCAGGGACCGTTGGCAACATGCATCACGGGCCCGAAACACCCACGAGTCGACATACCACGGCAAGGCGAGGTCGCTGCGCGTCTCTGCCAACCGGCACGAGGCACGGCACCGTCCCCAAGACGCTCACGGCGGTTCAGGGGAGTTGGCTGTCGAAGACTGAGCACGGAAAAACGGTGAGGTAGGGAAAACGTGAAGAACGGTGTATTGGCGCGTACTTATGCAACCTGCGGGACGCGCGGCGGAACCGTCGGTTGCGGCAGCGCTCGCATGTCCCCAAGAGAAATCAATCCCCCGCGTCTAATGGACAGAGACACGAGGATACCGCCGAGTATGGAAGGTCTACCACCCATGACTCTCTCGCGGCCTCGCCCGTGTCCACCTCATGCTTCCAATGTCGCAAGCATCCCTCTCCCTGGTCTTTTGGCGCAACGCCCGAATGATTCCGCTCTCGCTTTGGTCTCGTCTCGCGTCGTTTGTTCGTTCGTTTGGTTGTTTGTTTGGTTGCTGGTTCGTTTGCTCGCTCCCTAGCAGTGTCCGCCGCGGAGCGCGAGCACCAGATGCAGCGTGTCGCCTGCCGAGAGGTTGTACTCTGCCGCCGTCTTGTCGTCGGTCCTGTGCGCCCAGCCACCTGTCGTCAGCGTCCACGCTTCTTCCAATCGTAGCGAGAGGTGGGAATTCAAGGGAGGTAACGCACATCTGCTTGCCGCCGTGGATGAGGCGCTGCTGCACGGGCGGGATGCCCTCCTTCTCCTCCACCTTTTCCTTGATCTGCGAGACCTGTACCGTTGGCGCGTCCAGTTAGCGGGAGCTCGTGACATCTCGCCCGTCGAGTTCTGGGCCGAGAAACAGACGACAGGAAGCGGATAGCGGGGTATGTTCTTCGTCCGGAACAGAGAAAATGTACCTTGTAGTCCATCTCGATGTCGAGCTCAATCTCCTTGCCCGTCAACGTTCGCACCCTGCGGGGTCGTGCATGTTAGCTTCTTCGCGGGCTCGCGGGGCGGGACAGCAGGGCAAAGTGGCCGAGTACACGTACTTGATCAACATGTTGGCGGCTAAGCGGTGTCGTAGGGTCGGGCGAGGCTGGCGGGGTTTTGGAGGTGAGAGGAGGAGTGGTGGGCAGCTGGCGGCGAGGCTGATGATGACGGAGCAAGAGGTGGTGGCATGCGGCAGTGGCGGTTGGTGGGGGTGGGTTTATGAACTGCGGGCAGTTGGATGGAGCTGCCTGCTCTCCACCGCGGCGCAAACGAACGACATTTCAAACGCCTGCATCCACAGCAAGGCTTCATCTTGCACAAAGTAGCTCATTGAATTGGGGACAGTTGATGTTCCGTGTCATGGCCTCTTTCTCTTCGCTTCAGCTTGCTCCCACGCCATCACTCTCCGGAGGCGCATGAGCCATCAGACCCATCTATACAGCACATCACTTCGCCTTGGCTGGAGCAAGATTACATTCCTACCGTGATTCCTATCATATAGTACAACGCCCTGCCCCATGGCACGCAGTGGAGAGCTTTCCCATCATCCTCGTCTTCCGCGTCCCCCGTCTCGTCGCCTACTTCTTCTCCGACGTCGTCTCAAACACGTTGAGACCCAGGCCCTCGGCGTCCAGCATCAGCCTGTTCTTGGCGCCCGCCTCCTGCATCTGCTGCGCAATCAGGCGCGCGTTCTCAATCTTCTTGAGCTCCAGGTAGGCCTTGTTCTTCTTGATGGCCTCGCCGACCAGCTCGGCCGACCGCGCCTCACCCTGCGCCTTGACCACCATAGCCTGCTTCTCCTGTCGTGCCTTGTCTACGACGAAGGCGGCTCGCTGGGCATCCTGCTGCGCCACCTGCTTGGCCTCGACCGCGGCCGTGAACTCTGGAGAGAAGGCAAGATGCTATCGAGTCGTCAGCCGGCATTCTAGGGTAGCCATGGTAGAAAGTGATGAAGCAGAATAAAACTCACCGTCAGAGACACATCGTCCAGCAGAATGTTGAACCGCGCCGCTCGGCGGGACAGGTTCTCGCGCACCAGCCTCGCCACGTTCTCACGCTGCGTGATGAGCTGGCTGGCGTTGAACTGCGCCACTACGCTCTTGAGCACCTCGTTGACAATGGACGGCAGCACGCGCTCGTCGTAGTCGGCGCCCAGCGTCCGGTAGATCTGCGGCAGGGCGTCGACCTGCGGCCGCGAGAGCACACGGCAGGTGATGTTGACCATCTGCAGGTCCTTGGTGCCCGTCAGGGACGCCACGTTGCGCGGCTTCGCTCGAACGTCGTACACAATCGGCGTCTCGAACCAGGGGATGTTGATGTGCGTTCCTGGGTGACGCACCTCCGTCAGCTTTGCGTCCTTCTGAGTCGGCGGCAACGCGACGGGCATGCCGTCCCGTTCTTTTCGTGCTTACCTTCGCTGTAAATCTCCTTGCTCACGCCGCTTATCCTCCGGTACTTGATGGCCCGGTGGCCACCGTCGACGTTGAAGAGCGAGTTGGACAGCAGCAGCGCGCCGCCGGCGAGGAGCGCGCCGCCGATGATGGCGCCGCCCGTTCCCCTCGGCATCTGGGGGCCGCCGCCCCGGCCGCCGGGGTAGCCGCCTCGCGACTGCATCTGGCGCAGGCGCCGCATCGCCTCCTCCTGCCAGTTGTTCTGGCCCGACATGGTTTTGGCGCTTTTCAGAGGTGCCCGGTGATTCCGGGAATGCCGAGGCTGGAAGGGGGGTCGATGGTTGCTTCGTGGCCGTGCGGTGCGTGAGCTGCAGATGGAGGAGGCGCTGATCGGAAGGGTCGTCGACGGATGGAGCTCTCGAGGTCGATGGACGACGCAGCTCTGCTGCTGACTGATCCGAAATTTTGGCGGCGCTAGCTCGTTGATGACCTGCTGACTTCCCCGGATTTTGGGCCTTTCAACTTGCCTACACTGTACCTCGACCGTCTTGCGACGTCGTTCACAGTTGTCAGTGCTTCAGTCATTGTCCTTGCTTGGTCTGTGTTTGATTGCCGATCTGCATTCGATGCGAACTGTAGCACGCAGAAAATATGTTTTCCCCGGGATTTCCCGTGGGCATAAAGTTTGGCGGTGTTTACACGCCAACAGGTGCTAGTCGCTCTAAGTGCAAGAACGCTCTGTGCAACATCACATCGTGACCTTCATCACACTATATGCCAACGACTAGCTAACTATGTACCATCATATACACGCATACACCCACCTTGCATCGATGTCGCTCACGCGACAATCTTGAGACAAAAGAAATCCACCAAGTCACCATCCAAGGCATCACGTCGCCAGGGCGATGCTAATTGTCTCGGTACCAGCCTTGGGCTTGCGCGCGTAGCCGTTGAGCATGCGGAACCCGGCCTTGCACTCCCTTCCCTCTTCCATGATGGCGTGAACTCCATCCAGGCACTTGCCTGCCTCCATCATCGCCGCCCCCGTTGTCACCGTGTCGGCGAGTCTCATCTCGCCCGCCACCTTCTCCATCTCGCATCGGAGGAGCCATCGCTCCCAGCTCCACCCGCCGACGATGCTGCACACACTGGCAATGTTGTCGCTGCTTCCCATGACCATGGCGTCCAACTGATGAACCTTGATTTCTCGGCTGTTCGCGTCTCTGATCGCCGGAATGGGAGGCATATACATTCGCCTCTTCGCACCAACGGGAAGGCACATCCATACTCGGCGAATATCGTCGAACCCGGCGCGGGCAAGGCGTCCGAGCCACATCTTTGAAGGACTGGGGTCGTATCCGAGCGTCTTGAGCGCAAAGCCAAACTCGACGCTCTTTGCCAGCCCCAGAGGGCCTGCGTTCATCATGTCCGAGTCTAGGATCGAGAACTCCAGGTAGCCGCCGGGCTTGAGGACCCGCATACACTCTCGAATGCAACTCTCCCACTCATCCTGGCCGTTCTCGCCCACAAACTTGAGAACACTGTGGAGTTCGCGCGCGGAGATGAGGTCAAACTGGCCGTTGGCAAACGGCAGCCGGGTGAGTCTCTCCACGGCGACCTGACGATGGTTGGGGGGACCACGAATATTGGAGTTGGACAGCTGGCGAATTGCCTTTGTGGTGACCGAGTAGATCTTGGCGTTGGGGTACTGGAGCGCGCAGTGCCACGCCCAGTCGCAAGTCGATTGCCCACCGAGGTCCAAGATCCTCGCGCGTTCCCGAGAGGCCCCGGTCTTTGCTGACGACAGGTAGGAGAGTCGAACCAACCTGTTCGTCACTGGTGCCGAGATTAAACGCCCGCCATTGAGAAACTTGAGGGCCGCGACATGCCAGGTGGGCATGGCCATCTGGCTCGCGGCTTCAGACTCCTTTTCCATGCGCAGCTTTTCCGGGTCGTCCGTCAAGACATGGTCTCCGCGAGCCACATTGGCACTGAGGCGCTTCTTAGCCGACTGAGGGACAACACTTAGTTGGTATTTGCCGAGGAGTTGGTTGCGGTGTGTCTCTCGCAAGGCGACTCTCTGCGCCTGCAGGGCCTCGAAACGGGTGAGCTGATGAACAAAGACATCGCGGAGTTGAGTTCGAACGATGTAGTCTTGGAATGCTCGGTAATACGCCGACTCTTGTCGCAGAAGCTTGGATGGGAGGCGCTTCGGCTGCGCAGTCGTCGGAATAACATCCGAGAATCGCACGACCTTCTTCTTGGGCGCCACTGCTTGTTCGGGTTGGAACTTGGGCGTTACCTTGCCCCCCTGCTCCTCTTCCTCGTCTGGGGCCTCCTCAATAGTCTTGAGCCCGTTCTCATCGTGGGTATCGTTGACGCCCTTCAGATAAGCTCGCTGGGCCAACAGCCAGAGTTCGGTGCGGTCGAGGTTCTCGAGTGCCTCCTTTTGCTGCTTCCGAGCATAGCTCGCATCGTAGCCGACGACAATCTCGGCTGGAACATCCTCAGCCACGGGAGACGCTGGTGGCTTGACAGTTTCGCCAGAGGAGTTGGAATCCTGGTGTTGAATGACCGGCCGGGCGGTGGGAATGCCGTCGGAAACGTCGTCATCACGAACTTCGACTATTTGCTCCACAGGGGCCGAGGATGATGACGCATCAAAACTCCTATAGAATCCTTCTGCAGAATCAGGACGCTTCGGCACTGGAGGCGCAGAGGGATCGTTCCAGGGGCATCGATAGAACTGCTCGGCGGTCGTCGAGGTTGGAGGTGGCAGGTCCTCAGGAGTCTTGGCATGCGTGTGCCAGGTGGTCCGCGTTCGCGGAGACAGCCCGGAGAAGAATCCGCCAGGGGACGGAATCTCCAATCGCGTCAGCTCCGCCAAAGACTGGCGCTGCAAGGGCGAAAGAACCGCGCCGTTGGTTGCCTGCAGACGAAGATTCGTAATCAGTCGAAGCGGTTGCTGTCGCATCTCTGTGGCAGGCTGAGGCAACGCCTGGGCAACTTCAATAACTTGCGACGGCTGCTCCTGGATATCCTCTTCACTCGTGCTAGACAAGGCGTGAAGGGTTGCCAGGGCGCCAGGCTGTAGGTGCACGCCGGCCCACGCCGCTTCTGGAGTGGTTTCCTCATCTCCAATCACGGGGGTCGGAGGCGCACTCATGGCGGCGAGCTGCTCCGATGAGAGACTGCCGTCGAGTGACGGCGGTGCCGAGATGGTTGGGACCTCGAGAGCCTGCTGCTTGCCCATAAAGTCCATCTGGGCCGGCGACATGGGCAACTGGGTCGCCGGCGTCAGGGGAACAGGAGAAGTAATCTTCTTGAGCTCGTCCACAGCAGACCAGACGTCGTCGGCGGCCGCGCGATCCGTCGGTATGATCAGGCGAGCTGGTTGCTTCGCGGACGGGGCGCGAACGTCCTGAACCCTGTTTCCTCTAACCGAAGATGACCGTCGCAGGCCGCGCGGCAGGTCGTCTTGCTCCTCCTCAGAGACATCATAGAGATCCTCAAACTCGGTGTTGTCGGTAGCGACGCTGGCTCGGTTCCAGGGGTTGGACGAGGTGGTGGGGGAGCTACCACCGCCAGAGACGGTGGATGGCGACGAGGGCAGGACGGGGGCGGCGAGATAATGCACTCCCCGGGGTGTTGGGAAGTGATCGCTCATCGGAGACAACCAGGCCTCTATCTTGAGATGCGAAGTATCCGCACGCCTCCCCTGGTGACCTGCGGCGGTGCGCCGAGCCTGGCCATCGTCGCTGTCCTCCTCTATTATCGGATTAAGTGACCTCTTCGGTCTTCGACCCAGCGAAGACTCCGGAGGCGGGTATCTGACTTGTTGTGACCGTAGCGTGTCGGCCATCGTGCCCGCACAGCTGAACGAATATCCAGATATCGGACTGCAGCACGAGGCACAACGGAGAGGCTCGCAGCAACAAAAGGGCAATGAAAATACTGTATTAGCGTAACGAGTCGGCGTTCGACGACCAGCGTCGAGAGTCGTAGCGAAGAATAAACGATAGGCTGCCTCGGTCAACGAAACATCTCTATAGATAGCTCTACAACGGCAAACAATGCAACGACAACGGGGGGAGGAGAATCGAATGTGGAGGGAACGAAAGCAGGTCACGGCCCCCAGGCGGCCAGGGGAGTACAGCCTCTTAAGAGGCTTGCGGGCGACGAAGGGCGACGAACGCAGCGGCGGCTATCGACTGGGGAGTCGATCCGTCACTGGACGGACGCCATGGGCCAGATGGGGCAATGCATCATGGGACGAAGTCGCATTCTGGCTCTCGAACGGGTGACTGGGGCTGCATCGGGACCCGAGGCGACGCAGCCATTGGAGAGAAGCAAAGGGCCAGACGCAGCGACGAGGCAGGACAGCATCGTGGTGGTGGTGGCAGCTTGACAATGGAGAGGCAGGCCGCATCGCAACCTTGAGCGCCTGGGCATCCCCGGACTGTCGACGCATCAGTAAGCCACCCAATCACATCGACGGTCGACGATGCTAATTCAGGACGACAGGGGATCATGGACGGTGTGGCAGAGCAGCTACTGGCTGCCGCGCGCGAAGCGGGACGGTGATGCCTCGTTGGAGTTGCGGCTGCAACGGGACAGCCAATGGCGCCGTGTCGTGCAGGAAGCTCGGCGGCTAACTGCACGGGAGGGCATCCGCCATTGGAGGGGCCGATCCGGATCGTGATGCGCGGGGACACGGCGGCAGGCCGACATGGTCGTCACAGGAAACAATGGGCGGCGCGGGAAGCCGTGTTTCTGATGGCAGAAACAGGGCCGTTGATGGCGACCGCGTGCGTGCGGGAGATGCAGCGGCAGTCGAGGCGGATGACGCTTCGAGGCCGTCTTTGGCGGCCGCCGCGATAAGTGAGAGGCAGTTTGGTGTAAGCCAGCCAAGGGTTGAGGAGGCCGCCGAAGGATAATGAAACGCCTGCGGACCGAGTAGACAGGTAGTCAGTCGGTCAGTGCTTCGTGTTGAAGAAGTTTCGACGGCGTGAAGTCGGCGGCTACGAGGACAGGACAGCAGCCTTCCAAGGTTCGTTCAAGAGGAGCCGGAGGAGGAGGTGATGGCCCAAACAGGCAGTCGCAGTGGCTTCTGCGCTTGCCTGCAGGGCCAGCGGTGCCATCCCGTGCCTCAGGCCGCCACAGCGGCTGCACCAGCCACGCCAGGCTGTCGATGCCCGGCCTCACCACGCCGCTGCCCAGGCCGCTCATCAGCCGCCCACCAGACGGGAGCCAGAGCGGAGCAGGCCAGCCACTGCAACCCACTGTACTTTGTGTGAGGCCAGTGGCCACGGCTGCCCGGCCCACGCACAAGGCACACTGGGTGGGTAAGGTACGTACCGGCCGCTGCCCCTCCATCGCCCGTCGCGGAATTGACGACGATTTTACCCCGCCATCATGGCAGCAGTTGCGAGATAGCATCACGCGTCTCGCCAAACAACCCCGTCGCACCCGCACCCAGCCTCTCCCGTCTGCAGTAATGGCAGACACTGAGCAGCCCGATGTCCCGGCGGAGCCTCAAAGCAGGCACATAATATACTGCGGTGGTGCGTTTCTCGACACCCTCTCCCCTCATCCCCTTGCCGCGAGGAAGAGCTTCGCCCAGCTGACGTCTTTCCTCGTTCCTCGATCTAGTCTGCACGCTGCCTCCAGAGGTGTGAACCACCCCCCTGGATCCCTCGCAAGCGCCCGCTCGCTATGCGCAACGCGCCCCCAGGAAGCTGACCAATACCCCTCGTCGGGCTTGCAGTACTGCGAATATGGCGGCACCGTGAGGAAGTGCCAGGAATGGCTCGAGAGCCACCACAAGGAGATGTACGATCGGATCTGGTCGGCCGGTTCGTCGCGCCCCCCCTTTCTTCACCCCGAGACTCCCACAGCATATCAGAGAGCATGTCTGTCTGACCAAAGACCGAAATATCACAGAGGCCCTCGAAGCCGCCACCGCTTCCCTCTCCGTCGAGGCACAAAAGCGCGCCGCCAAGGACGCCCAGAAGAAGACGGCCAAGGCCGAGGCCGCCGAGGCGAAACAGGCCGACAAGCTCGCAAAGAGCGTCGTCACCATCAAGCGCATCGAGCGCAACAAGAAGAAGTTTGTCACGGCCGTCATCGGCCTCGAGGCCTTTGGACTGGAGCTGAAGAAGGTGAGTGGGGCAGTCGCGTGCCTCCCGGACGGCAAGCACAAACGATGTTCCGGCACTGACAAGCATGCAGGTTGCAAAGGACCTCGGCAAGAAGTTTGCTACGGGCTCGTCCGTCACCAAGGTTCCCAGCGGCGGAGAGGAGATTGTCGTCCAGGGCGACGTCAGCGAGGAGGTGGAAGAGTTCCTCTTGGAGAAGTACAAGGAGATACCCGAGGACAACATCGAGCTTGTCGACGACAAGAAGAAGAAGAAGGCGGCCGCGGCTTAGGGGCGCCGCTCATGATCCTCTAAAGTGCTAGGTAAGGTAGTTCACAGCGCATCATGTACTCGGTATGAAAAAGCGTCGATTATGCCGACAAATGCCAATGCCCCAAAACTCCTAATTTGTGTACAAAGCTCTGCCCCCTGACAGTTGCGACCCATCCTTGGAGTGCCATCCAAGATGCTGTACCGTTCTTCCCTATGTGGGCCAGTCCAACGCCAATGTCGTTCAATTATCATCATCATGAGAGGCGGCGCGACTGCGTCTAGCCTCGTTTCCGTAAGACACGACCGCTGGAACTCGTCGGCGCAGCGGCAGCGGGCGCCTTTGCCGTTGTTGTCTTCTTCGTCCCTGCGCCCGTGACGCCCTTCCTGATGGTTCCCATGGTCGTCTTCTTGGTTGCAGCTGGGGGCCTGCCAGCCCCAGTCTTTCTTACCACCGTGCCCGTGCTTGCCTCGCTGGTCTCGCTCGTGCCGCTAGCTCTGCGGCCAGCGCGGGTTGCCGGTCTCGATGGAGGGCCAGCTTTCGGTGCCGCGCCAGGCGCTGCCTTGCGACCTCGTGTCCCCGCAGTGGTGCTAGTTGAGGCCGAGCTGACCTCTGATGCTGTGGTGAGTTTCCGCCCGTGACGCGTCGCCTTTGCCCTCTCCACCATGCTAGAGAGGACGCTTGTCATGGCAGCAGAGCGGCTGGCCCCGGTGGATTTGAGGGGCGAACCGGGTCGAGCGATCTGCGATTTCGTCGGGGAGGCTGGTCGGTCTCGGTTGAGTCGCGAGTTTGAGGAAGTGGGCGACAGGATTTGGGCCGGGCGGACGTGGCCAGCATCTGTTCCCTGTGCAGCGCGTACCCGGCGCTTTTGGTCCATGTTCTCCAGCTCGTTTTCCTTGTCTCCGGCCAGCGCGTTGCTGGAAATTGAGTTAGAGCGACTTGATATTGAACACTGGAGGATACTGTTGTAGCTTACCCTCTCCCGTTGTAGGCTCGACCTGCGGCTTGCGGCCGTGTTGTGCTTTGTACGGGTTTGTGTGGGCTCACGCGAGGAGTATCCTTAGCTGGAACTGGTGGTGGTCGGTTCGCCGCAGCAAGCCGCTGCTTCTCCTGCTCGGCGTACTTGACGAGCAAGTCGCCCATCTTGACCTTGCGCAGAGACATGGGAATTCGGTTGATTCTAATCTCTATCCGCGATCGTAGCCCTTGTGCTTGGATGTTGTATTGCGCCCGTAATCGGCGAGCGCGTTCTGTGACTGTGCGACGCGGTTAGCAGGGGCGCGATTGTAGGGGCGCGCGGGCGTAGAATTCGGTAGTCCTACTTTCGAGCTGCAGATTATCAATCAGAGCCTGCTTCTGATGCAGGCTAATGCCCTTCCTCTGTTTCCTGATCGGACTCCGATGTTGCGGTGTCGTAGGGCTCGCCTTGAGCGGCACCTTGCTACCTCCCGTCGCCCCTGGCGGCCTCGACGAGGCGGTCGACTGGTCAGAGTCCCGTTTCTTCTGCCGTACGGGAGCCATGATGAAGTGCTATTGGTGGTGCAAATGCGACTCGGCCTGCGTGTGTTTGTACCGAGAATCATGAGACTGAATGCTGGAGTCCGGGTGGTAGATGAGGGAGCTTCGATGAGGATGGTTTGAGCGCGCGCCATGAGTGGCTGCCGCCATGGAAAGTAAACAAACGGGGCAAGGGAGATATTAGGTAAGCTATCTTTTGGCGCTTGACGCAGCACGGTGCGACTTTCAATCGCAAAGTAGCGCTACTTTTTTCTACCCAATGACAGCGCTTCGCCTGCTGTACCGCTACTTTTGGGAGCTTGCAGCGGACGGACAGCGACGACACCGACCAGGCTGAACCGCCTGACGACTGCAGTTAGAGCTTCCACCTGCATCTCCGACGAGCTCCAGCCTCGTTCTGCATCCAACTCTGCATCCAACCACGACTTGTCCAACGCACCGAACGAAACGAAGCGCCTCGCACCCTTGCTGTCGCTGCAATATCCGCGCATTACTACGGTCTAACCCCTACTGCACACAGCACCACCGCCCAAGATGGTCCTCGAGGCGGTGATGGTTGTCGTGGACAACAGCGAGAGCAGCAGAAATGGCGACTACCAACCGACCCGGTTCGACTCACAAGTCGATGCCGTCAACGTCCTCTTCCAAAGCATCACGCAAGGCAACCCGGAGTCGTCGGTCGGCCTGATGAGCATGGGCGGCAAGGGCCCGGAGGTCCTGGTGACGCTCACCACCGAGCAGGGCAAGATCCTTGAGGGCCTGCACCGGACCAAGAAGAAGATTGGCGGATCGTCGCACCTGAAGACGGGAATCCAGGTGGCCACGGTATGTGATCGCCCTCGGGATCTCTCCCAGTGTCTGCCGCGGATGGACGGGTTATGCTGACAGACGTGCTCCAGCTCGCCCTCAAGCACCGCCAGAACCGATCCCAACGACAGCGGATAATAGTCTTCATCTGCTCGCCGATCGAGGAGGACGAGAAGGAGCTCACACAGCTCGCCAAGAAGATGAAGAAGGGCAACATCTCGGTCGACTTTATCCTGTTTGGAGACCTCGACGACGACGACACGCAGACGAAACTGCAGGCCTTCAACGACGCCGTCAAGGGCAGCGAGGGCTCGCACCTCGTCGTCATCCCGCCGAGCAGCAAGCTACTTAGCGACCAGCTCGTCGCGACGCCGATCCTCCTGGGCGAGAATGCTTCTGGTGCCGGCGGCGCTGGCGGCTCTGGCGGCGGCGGTGAGGAATTCGAGTTCGGCTTCGACCCGGCGCTGGAGCCCGAGCTGGCGCTGGCCCTGCGCATGAGCATGGAGGAAGAGAAGGCACGCCAGGAGAAGCGGGCACGTGAGGAGGAGGAGGCGGCCAAGAAGGCGTCGTTGGAGGGCGTCAAGGAAGAGGACGAGGCCGGCGGTAGCGGCAGCGGCAGCGGTGCGCAGAACGGAGACAAGAAGGACAGTGGCGACAAGATGGACACGACGTAAGGCAGTCCACTGCGATAGAGTTGCATCTAGCTGTACAATAGATGGCGGGAGCACTTCACCAATGGAGATAGATATACAGTATGCCATGACGACCACCAGACATGCCACCTGGAGTCGTAAGACATGTTTGATGACGCCTGTTGTGATAGTGCTGAACCGCGTTCTATTACCGGTTGTTTATCTCTCTAATATACGACAACAACTTGCGATCAAAAAAGTCGCAACGCACAGGCATCTCAAGCGAGTAGAAGGGGTTCTTCATGACGTAGTCGGAGTAGAGGTCGTAAATGCGCCGCAGCGTCACGTCAACGTTTGTCTGCGTGGTATCGGTGAAGAGGAGGAACTTTGTGCCGGTGAGGGTGGTGAAGCACTGCATGCGAAAGTTTTCCGTCTCGAGCACCTCGAGGCCCGACGACGGCTCGGGGCGGCTGGGGAGCATGTTGGCGCCGGGCGGGTGCGTCGGCGGGAGGGGCGCCTGCTTGACGGGGTTGAGGCGGGCTGTGATGGCGTGGACGCTGCTGGGGGGTCAGTACGCAGTTGGGCAATGATGCCTGGTGGCTCGCTTGCCGGGGCCGGCGATGGCGCTCGAGACGTACCCGTGAAAGGTGCCCGCGAGGACGAGGTAATCGTTTGTGCTAATCTTTTGCAGGCCGGCATCGTGAAAGGTCTTGTTGTAGATTAAGCCGCCGGCCTTGTTGATGATGATGAGGGCGAAGACGGTCCTTGCAGGGATAACTCTGTCAGGCGCGGCGACCACGAGGAGAGAGAGGAGAAGAGGTGATCGGCACATACATGGCGTCGAGTCGTGAGCCGTCAATCGGCCTCCATCAACGTTGTGAGCTCGAATCCGACCCGAGTCGCGAGATGCCGCTGCCCCTTGTGAGGCTTCCCCTGTCACTGAGGGTGAACCATGGACCCGTGAGACACAACGTGTGAGATGCGGCGGGGCCTTTGCTGTCTGCGATGTACGGCACGCAAGATCTGGCGCAACGACGGGTAGACGGGGGGTTTGCCAGGCGCAGGGCGTCGCGGCCGTTGACGGGATGCCTTGACGGGGGAGGAGGGTTGAGCGAAGCGAGGTGAGTGAGTGAGCGAGTACGTTGTCAGTATGCGAGTGCTCAGTCGCCGGATGTGGTGCAGGAGCTCAGGCAGTCACAGTGGACAGGTAGTGGGCTCAGCGGACACAGCGAGCGCATGGGGTGCTGAGGTGAGCCCGGCTGCCACCCCACGCGACCTGACCTGGGCAGGTTCCGTCTGTTCAGTGCCTTTCGGGGAGCCTCGCTGCCCGCCCCACTAAATTGCATTTGTGCAGGGGCTCCCGGCCCAGGCAGGCTGCGACTCTCCAACCTCCGACCTCGAGCCTCATTCCACCATCGCCCGCCGTTTCGCTCCATCGTCGACGCATTTCTCTCCTTCCGTCCATCCCTTTGCCCGTCCCGCGCTTTCACTTTACCGCCTCGACTTTTCGCGGCGCGCTCCCTCCGCCTATCGCACGCCGCTGGCTCTGCGCCCATTCCCACTGTTGGGCAGCAAAGAAGGCGCTTCCTACCGCGTACGACGACGCACGACGAAGACGACGACAATCGCGACGAGAGCCAAGGCCACGCACGCACGCGCACGCAGGGGCAGACGCTCTCTGCTCCTCTCCACTCGCCCAGCATGTCCAACAAGATGTCGCGCCCGAAGCCGCCCCCTCCCGGCACGGAGGAGGCCTCGGCGAACCTGAACCTGGGCGAGTTCCAAAACGTCGACACCCTGACGCTGTCCGAGGCGGCGCTCGTGCTCAACGCCCTGGTGGCCAAGCGCCGAAACGACCGCAAGAACGTCAACGAGACCGAGTACGTGCGCCTGCTTTGCCCTTGCGCAGAGACGCTTCCGGCCATGGATCGAGGGAAGCTGGGGGTTGACGCGGAGGACTTGGGCTGACTGCTTTGACTCGCGCAGGATGTTGAACCAGACGCTCAACTACCTGGATCACTTTGCACGCTTCACGCAAAAGGAAAACGTCGAGGCTGTGGAGCGGCTGCTGAGCTCTCACAAAGACCTGGCCAAGTTTGAGCGCGCGCAGCTCGGTGAGTTTTCCTTTGCGGCGTTGTCATTTCTCCTTGAGCAGAACGAGGGTGGAGAGGCATGGCACCTCGTAGGATGCGGATGGCTAACAAACATCCGCCTAGGATCCTTGTGCTGCGAAAACGCCGACGAGGCCAAGACGCTGATCCCGTCGTTGCAAGACAAGATCAAGGACGAGGATCTGCAAGACCTGCTCGACGAGATCTCGAAGCTCCAGAACCGATGATCGGACGCTCTCTCCGAAGCTATCTATATAGTCTTCCACCACCTCGTTTCCTTCTTGGACCTGTCACAATTACACAGAATCGGTTGTTCAGATGAAAAAGAACATGGGGATAAACTAGGGCGCGCAAAATGAGAGAAGGCCGCGGCTTGACGACGCCGGCCTGCCGTGGGCTTCTGGCTCTCTATAGGATTGCGGACTCGGGCACTTGCATTTCAGGGCGCACGGACAAACGACACAAGGGAGTGGTTTCTCTTTTTTTCTGTCTTGTGATTTTTATCTTTCGTACAGCGCGGAGAAAGACTGGGGTTGCCGCACATCGAGTACGAGAAAAAGCGAGAATACCCCCCAATAAATTGGAAAATGGGAATGTTGGCCAGTGTTTAGGCTCGTTTCGCGATTCCCCGTGTCTCCCTCTCGGTTCCCCATCTCTGTCTTGTCTCTCTGATATCAAGCTTACATGACTAGGCGGCCGATTTGTCTGCGGCTGCCCACCAGCCCTTGACATCTCCTCGTCGAAGCCACTCAACTCCTGTATTGGATTACAGGAACCAGGGGATTTCAGCTCAGTCATAGCTCAAGCAAGTGCCCTCCGACGCGACCACTGTTTCACGACCGTCCGTCTCCTGCAGTATCGGATGCTCTGCCGTTTCCACACCCGGAACCACCTGTACCGAGGGCGCGCCACTGGTCCCACTGGTTGACGTACCCAGCGCGTCCGCTCTCCGTCCTGATCGAGCTGAGGTTGGCGCGCGGGTCTTTTGCGGGCGAGTTTGGCACGCAGCCGGGTGAATATGGATGATATGAATGCGGTCGCGCGGCGCCACCAACTGCGTGGCGGGTTCTCGCGGGCGACATCGGTGTGGCGGGCTCGGCGGGCAGTTCGGCTGGCAGTTCGGCGGGTGCGGCGCCTCTGCCATCCATCTCGACGGGCGAAGAAACGGCGATACCGCTCATCTCGTATTCGCCGGGTCCTGAAGGGTGTCGGTTTCGCGGGCGGTCTACCCTTCCTGCGACGCTGGGTGTTAATATGAGTGGAACGGGGGACGGTGAGCCTCGAGGGCTCAACGCTAGGCGATTCACCTCCAAACGGGGCAAAAGGATCGGCGTTGGCTGGCCTGCCCATTCCGTGGGAAGGCATGTGCTGGGACGGGCGTGTGTACTTTTCAGCCGCGGAACCGTCGTCTCGACTAGGCCCATGGCCGCTGCTTGCCACGCTCAGGACGAAGTCCGGGGGAGTCTGCGCCTCGCCAAGGAGTCTCTGTTTGCGCCGCCGCTGGAGCATGCCCCATATGAGGACGATGATGATGGCTGCGCAAGCCGCGCCGCCCACGGACACGGCGACGATGGTTCCGGAAGAGACGCTGCCAGCTGTACCGTCGGCCGCGGGCGGGGACGAGCTCGCGGCGGGTGTGGCGGTCGTGGTGTCGTATGCGATGCCCGTGGACTGGTCGGCGGGCAGCGTGGTGAAGGAAGGGGGTTCACTAAAAAGCAGAGTCTCGGTCGAAGACGGAGTCTCAGTCGAAGAGGGCGCCTCGGAGAAGATTGTGGTGTGGCGCGTCACGGTAACGACCGACGAGTTGGGAATGGTGTGCGTGATGCCCGAGTCTGTGCGCTTCGACGTCGACGCCGTGATTGTGCTCGTGGGAGTGTCTTTCGCGGCCGCCGAAGAGGTGGACGATGCTTCCTCGGTGCTCGTGCTCTTCTCGGTCGTCTTGGAGGTGTGCTTGGTGGTCGACTTGGTGGTGGTACTGGTCAGGAGGTTCGGCAACGTGACTGGCGCCGACGCCGACGCTTCGTCGCCGTCCGGGCAGGTTCGCAGGTCGCACGGGTCGACAGAGCAGCAGCCGGAGAAGTCGTTGCCGTCGCACTTGTAGAGCGAGGTGCCCTTGGGACAGGTCGCGCCGTCGGCGGCGCGCGGGGCGAGTGCCTTGCTGGCTGGGTCCATGGCTTAGCTGTTGCGCCGTCGCGGAGCTGGAACGAAGGTATGTTTGCCTTGGCTGGACGATGGTGATGATGAGGAGCCTTGCAGTCGGCTTGCAGGGTGAGAGAAGGAGCGTGAGGAGAAACGAGCGCAGAGAGAGAGGGAGCGTGGTGGTGTGGTGGTGTGGTGTGGAGGACAAGAAGACCAACAGGATAGGCACCGAAGAAGGTGAAGAATAAGGACAAGAGGAGGCAAGCTCCGCACAGCTGCGCAGAGATAAGGCGTGCGGCACACCTGGCAGCGCCCTAGGGAGGTGTTCGCAGCTGTCAGGCACTCGGGCGGCGCGGGCACACGGCCAGCAGTCTGAACAGAAACCAACCTCGCCCAGCCGTCGCCGTCGACTTTACCGCATACCCCCCCTTTTTACCCGCCGGGCCGCCCACCGAAAGCTGCCAGCCAGTCAGCTAGACAGACCGCCTGTCTAGATGCTTTCCCACCAGCAGTCTTGGAGCAGCGGCGAAAGGGGCCGAGGAGGGGGCAAGATCGTCGGCACAGGGAAAGGGGGGCTTCGCACTGACCCAGAGAAGGGGTGGGGGAGGGGTTCGTCGGTTTGAGTGAGGGGGGCGGTGAAGCGGTGCGATGAGGAGTCGCAGATGAGCTGGAGATGGGATGAGGAGGAGGGAACGAGAGGAGGCAGGGTTGTGTTTGTCGGCTGGGGCTGCTCTGAGTTGAGGTGAGGTGAGGTGAGGTGAACAGGGTGCGTCTGAGAGAAGGACAACTAGCCAGCCAGCCAGCCAGCTGCTCACCGGTGGTGGCATTGCGCGAGCCAAGGACTTTCATGCCATTCGACTGCACGAAGCCCTCTCCCTCTTCCTCGGTGTGCGATGCTCTGCTCAGTGTGCGACGCGGGGACAGGCGTTGCGTCGGACCGACCTCATTCTCCCCGTCCAGTCCAGTCCAGTCTAGTCCAGTCCGCTTGCTTGCTTGCCTGTCGGCCTACCTACCTACCTCCTCACTGGGCATTCATTGCGAACGTCGTGCCATCCGTTGTATCTCCCTTCCCTCGTCTCGTCGCCTTCAAAGGACGCCCACCCGCCCGCGCTGTGCTGTGCTGCGCTGTACAGAGCGCTGCTACTCCTCCCGCTACTATGCTATTGCATAGCATTGACAGACATGTTGTAGTCGTGCCGCAGGCGAGTTATAGCCGGATACCCTGCATCTTCTGTCCCTCCTTCCTCCCTCCCTCCCTCTCTTCCTTCCAATCCGCCCCCGCAAGTTGAATGACTGAACCTGGATGAGGAGCGGGGAGCACATGGCACGTTCGTTGCGGACCGACACGTAGCCGTTCTAACGTTACTATCCAGAATATCTTGATCTCTTGGTGCTTCACTCAGGTTGCTGTCTATGCCTTGACGGGAACGGCCTAAAGTGTATGCCCCTGTGTCGACAAGTTGCGGAACATCAACCGCTCAGTGCATGCTTGACATACATGTCCCCCGGCCGGCATGCCTGCCTATCTGTGCACCTCACCCAAGGTCGAACGGCCAGGAGTGCTATGCTAGTCAGGGCGAGCGAAAGGGGGCATTGAGGAGAGGAGCAACCCACCGCGTCAGGACCCGGGCACCACGTTGAATGTAGCAAACAAACATGGATCAAAAGGGAGAGGGGCGGCGGGAACGGGAGCCGCGAACGAACGTCCTTCTGTGCGACGCGCAGCGAAACGTTCCATCTAGACGGAACGCCGAGACGGGCCGTCGAAACACAGACACAAACCACACAAGACGGCTCAAGCAGACCATGCCATTTGTGAAAATCCGAGACGCCGTTTCATTGATGCTCAAATAGATGTGTCTCTGCACATGCTTCTCTCTCTATATCACAACCCACCGCATAACAGAGTCCCAAGCCAGTCCTAGAGCTTCTCGAGCAGAATCTTGCTGCCCGCGTTGCCTACCGGCGCCTCCGTCTTCTTCTTGTTGCCCTTCTTGCCGCCCTTGTCCGCCTTGTCCGTCTTCTCCGCCTTGGCCTCCTTGGCCGCGGCCTGCTCCGGCGTCATCTCCGTGGCCGCCTTCTCCAGGGCCTTCTTGTTCTTCTTGAGCGTCTTCTTCAGCTCGCCCGACTCGCCAAAGTCGGCCGCCTCCACCATGGCGACGACGACGAACGAGCTCGGGCCCGTGGCCCAGTCCACCACGTAGTCCTTGATGACAGGGTACAGGTAGTTGGCAAACTCCAGCGGCGGCTCGACCTGCACGACCTTGCCGGCCGCCTTGTCGAACCGACCTCCCTGGATCAGGGACTTGAGCATGCGCCCGCCGAACGGCGTCCGCGAGATGTGCGGGGGCGCAGCCAACTCGTCCTCCGCCGGCTCCTCCTTGGGGTCGCCCTTGGCAGATTGCGCGATGGCTTCGAGCGCCGCCTCCTTGCCCTCCACCTCAGAGAGGAGAACGTCGGCGACGAACTGGCAACCGAAAGCCGTCGACGTCAGCTCTGATGATCCGGCGGCGATCACCGACAGCAGCTGAGGAGCAAAGGCGGTGATGAGCTCCTTGCGGCGCACATCATCATCCTTCTTACTCGTCGTCTTTCGGATCTCGTGTACCTCCTGCAGAATCTCCCAGTCAAAGGAGTGGCTGGCAGGAAATAGAGACTTGGAGAGTCCCTCAAACAGGTAGAGCAGCGTCAACCTCGCGTTGGGGTTGTTGACCGCACCGACGACATTTTGCACAACCTCGTCTTCCTTGTCGCCGAGCAGCTCGGGGAATACCGACTTGGCAACGAGTTTGGTGTCGTCGATGACGTCGAAGGCAGTCAGGATGACAAGATGAGCGTAGCTGTCGCCGGCCATGAGAACAAGCGTGTCCTTGTACGTCTTGAGCAGCTGTTTTCGGTCCTTGGACGTTCCGTGCGCGAGCAGCAGGCACGACAGGCGCGCTCCAGACTTGGTGAACGCCATGTTCTTCAACAGGTCGCCGCCCTCGTCGCCCTTGATGAGCTCAATGAACTCGGTAAACTCCTCGGTCCCGGGCGTAGTATTGGAGTAGTATTGGAACATGGCGTCGTGCAGCATGGTGAAGCCCGTCATCTTCTTCTGGATCAGGGTGTTGATCATGTCCACCAAGCTCTTCATGATGGGTCCGCGCTTGCTGGGCTCCTTGGTGAGAATCTCCTTGAGGTCGGCCGTGGGCGTCGTGTCCTTGGTCAACTCGCGCAGAGAAAACTCCGGGCCGTACCACTCGCGCAGCAGGCTCGCCTTTTGCTCCTTGGTGGCCACCGTCCGGTAGATGTCGTCGAGGATCCAGGACGCCTCAGCGTGGTTGATGAGCTTGCGAACCTTGCCGTAGAAGTTGGGAATGACCAGGTCGCGGATCTCGTCGTCGTTTTGCACCAGGAGCTTGCCGATGAGGAACTTGGCGTAGCGGCTCTCGGCGAGCTGGGCGTAGCTGCCCTCGAGCTCGTGGGCGATTTGCTTGCGCTGCTCGGGGGTCGAGTACTTGATGGCCGTCTGGACCGCCCGGACGGCGTCGTGCTTGAGCACAAAGTCCTTGCAGCGGCCGGTGATGATGGTGAAGAGCTCCTCGACGAGCTTCTGGCGCTCGTCCTTGGGCACGTGCGACTTTCTCCTCAGGCGCTCCCAGATCTTCTTGGTGCGGTGGACTTCGTCGGCGAGGGGCTTGGCGGCCTTGCGCTCCTGGGCCAGCTGCTTCTGCTTTGCGTGCGATTCGCGAGACGTCATGCCGGCTGTGAGGAAGTCTGTTAGTTGATGCTGCGCTTCGTGAGGTGGACGCTGGGTCGCAAAACGTACATCGGTCAAAGGCATTGGCCTTGTCGCCGCCGGCCTTGGGCGCATTACCCGACTTGCCGTCGAGCTTGACGCCGCCATCCTCGTCCTCGTCGGAGAAGCTCTCAAAGTCGTCCGACTCCTCCTTGGCCGGTCGCTTGGACGGCTTGGAGTCGTCCATCCGGGGCTTCTTGGCCTTGCCGTCCGCCTTGGCCTTGGTCCCGGACGAGGACTTTCTCTTATCGCCGACCTTGGCGTCTTTGGAGGCCATGTTTGTCTTCGAACCGCCGTTTGCTGTTGTACGGTGGTGCGGGTGTCTTGTGGATGGACAATGAGAGTGCCTCGTCGCAGACGTTTCACAGGCGAGACAGAGCGTCGCCAATTGCGCCGGCTACCAATTCTGCGGCCCTGCGAATCCCAAAAAATTTTGGCCCCGTCCATTTACTGCCGAGCGGTCAACGCCGACTAGGCCTGTTTGGGCGTCGCCGGGACCCCGCCATGGCGTCCCTGCGCGCCAGACTGCCAGACTCCCCACATTCGCTGTGGCGCCTGGCTAAGGAAGGTAGCAGAAGTTGGAACAGGCCTCATCGCGGCCAACCGTCGAGCACATTTCCACGTCCATATCCTATCTTGTCCGTCTGGCAATCGGTCTTGCCAAACCTTCAAGATGGGCCGCGAAGAGCAGGTGGAAGAGCGCGAGGTGCTCGAGTCCATTTTCCCCGACGAAATCACAGGTCAGTTCCCCCGGTCCTCGTGGCGCGGCAGCGGCTTGCTCGAGCATCGCTGACCTGCTCCGCGACAGACATATCCGAGACCGAGTACAGGATATCCGTCACGTTAGACCCCCCCAATGACGCCCCCGACCAAGAACCCCCGCAGTTCTTCCTGCAGGTCCGCTACCCGGCCGACTACCCGGACTCGGCGCCGCACCTCGACATGATCGCGCCGCCCAACGCCGCCACGCACCCGGCCTTCAGCGTCGCCGACGACCGCGAGCAACTCCTCGCGGGTCTCACCGACACTATCCAGGAGAACCTCGGCATGGCCATGGTCTTCACCCTCGTCTCCACCCTCAAGGAAGCCGCCGAGCAGCTCATTCAGGACCGCCGCGACGCCGCCGCCAAGGTCAAGGAGGAGGAGCTCCTCGCCGCCGAGCGCGAGGAGAACAAGAAGTTCCACGGCACCCCTGTCACCCCCGAGACCTTCCTTAAGTGGCGCGAGGACTTTCTCCGCGAGATGGCCGAGAAGGAGCAGCGCGAAGAGGAGGAGCGCCTCGCCGAGCTGAAGAAGGCAAAGATCAAGGAGCCCGTCAAGCTCACAGGGAGGCAGCTCTGGGAGCGTGGACTCGCCGGCAAGGTCGACGAGGATGCCGAGGAGGAAGACGGCATGCCGACAGAGGGCATGGAGAAGCTTCAGGTCGAGGCGGCCTGAGCTGCAGACGGGGCGGGGGCGCATATCAAGGAGTTGGACAGATTATGATGGCATTTTCTGTCCTAACATTTTGGCCTTTCGGGTCCACCATCACGGCCAGTGGCTTGACTGTAGAGCGAGATATCTCATATACGGACGCAATGGGCCAAGAGACGCTCTGCGTATATACAGCTTCAGATTCGAAGCCGATTAAATCCAGAATCTACATGCCAACGGCTTTGATATCCGTCCAGTGAAGCGTGCCACCTTTTTGTCGTAGTTGTACCCCAACGCCGTCTAATGCCGTCATCAATCCCGTTCACACCCTAAAGTTGTGTCGCTCAGCCCTGCATCTCCTCGTCCTCATCATCCTCGCCGTCTTCATCGCCACTGTCGTCCCAATTGTCCTCCTCGCCCTCGGGGAGCTCTCCCAGCTCCTTGTTGATAGAGTTGAACAGCTCCACGGCGTGCTCGCCCAGCCGCTCGTCCTCGTACTCGAGCATGGCGTACAGCTTGAGGCATCGTACGAGCCACTTGCGCGACGTGGACCATGTCGACTTCCACTCCTCTTCCTTGTGCTCCTTGGCGTCGCCCGCATTGCCGTTGGGCGCTGCCGCCGGCTTGGCTCCGCCCTCGCGCTGCTTTTCGCCTGCAATGTACAGGCCCCAGCCGCCGAGGTACCACGCTTCGACGCTGTGGTCGTCGTCTGTGACTAGACGCTCCAGAACGCTCAGCGCCTCGTCCTCCATCTCCGTCTCGAGCAGCAGCCGCGCCAGGCCGACTCGCGTGGGAAATTCGGGGACCAGGGGGTGCTCGGGCGGCAGGTCCTGCCACAGCTCGAGGCTGCGCCGCAGCGCGCCTTTCGCCTCGTCGACGCGCGTCTGCGAGATGCGCACATTGGCGACCGTCTGCCACGTCTCGGGGGAGCCAGGGGCGATCAGCATAGCCTCGGTGATGAGGGCTTCGCAGCGCTGCTCGGCGTCCTCCTCCCACGACAAGTCGGTCATGTACACCTCGGCGACGGCGCACAGCACGCCTCCCAGCTTGTTCTGCTTCTCGTCGAGGCTGGCCTGCTGGGTCGGCGTCCGAGACGGCAGGTCGGACAGGGCCTGGATCTGTTTCCGCAGGGTCGCGGCGCCGCGCTCGAACCACCCGACGCTGTCCTGGCCGCCATCTTCGCTGAGCTGTGCCAGGAGCAAGAACTTTTCAGGCCCGCCGCCGACCTTTTCGTCGACCATGCCATCCTCGTCGAGCTTGACGGCGCGTTCGAAGAAGGACCGCGCCTCGTCGACGTCGCCCGACTCGACGTGCAGGATGCCCAGCAGATTGAGGGCGCGCAGCTCAAAGTCGCCGCCGGAGCCGGTCACCTCGAGTGCCCGGGTGGCGAGGACTATGGCCTCGTCGAGATTGCCGACGTCGAGCTGTGTCTCGGCGTCGGTGAGGATCGCGCCGGGGCTGGGCTCCTTTTTGTCGCTGGGCCGACTCGGCGCCATCTCGGAGTGTGCGTGTGTGAGGAGGTCGGTGCACCTGCTGTTGAGACGATCGATGCGATTGACTACTCTCTCGAGTGTGTGCGGGTATTTGTGAGGTGGATGAAGTGTTGTGGTTCTTGGGATGAGGACGAGGATGAAATGGTAGATTGCGGCAATGGAGCAGCTGGGCCGCTCGCTATACACGGAGCGCCGTCGAAAATTTTGGGCTGGGGTGCTTTTATCGATAAGGCCGGACCGCCAGCTGCCTAGGCTCCTGGCGGTTCTCGCATAGGGCCCTGGGGGGCTTCCAGGTTGGTTAGTGGGGGCGGGGAAGACTCTCATATGAGGCGGGGCATCACACTGTTCCTGCCATCGTCACCTACTTCGTCGCTGGTGTCAGGAAATGGAAGTGACAGGTTTCGCAACAACATTCAGATAGCTACGATGGAATAGTAAGGATGCCTCTACGAATTTGGCTCGTCCGCATATTGGGGGCGCACGTCCGGCTAGGAAAACCCTGAGCATGTTTGTGTGAGACGACAGAGTCGTCGCCGGTGTGCTGAACTTTGTTATGCAATTGACTCTCGCGTCGCCATCCCGGTCAGTGTTTGGAGCTGGAAGTTACAGACGCAGAGATGAATGAACTCTATGCAGCAGTTATTTTCGGGTAGCACGAGAAGGCTGCGACGCAGCGAGCGCTTGCAGGGACGAACCCTCGGAGAACTCTAGGTCAGAGCACGGGCTGCAGTGCAGCCGGGCGATGGGTCATGAATTCATGACGCCCAAATCGTGGCATGATGACTCGATGAGGCCTGGCCCCTGGAGAAACTCAGAGCAGACCAAGCAGTCAACTATCCAAGCCTGCCCGTTTTGGCTCTTCTGCTATATAAAGTCCTGTCCAAGCTTTCTCGCCCCCCTTTGAAACAAGATCAAGCACGCGCCATGCCTCCCAATGCGATCCAACGCCGCGCACGGCAATACCCGAGGTACGTCCTCAGAACATATTGTTGCTTCGACATTCGCTCACAGGAGTAGCGAGCACGGGACATCAATGACTAGACGTCAATTGACCTCGGGCGCACCACCGTGATGAAGTTGCCGCGCGTCAGCAGCAGCAGCAAGGTGACTGCCACGGCACGAAACGTTGGTGCGCTGTGAGGCTGAGCGTCCGCGCCTGTACCAGTCCGCAGCACAGGCCGTATCAGACACTAACAAAAGACGACAGTGTATACAGCACGAGCCCGCTTTGGAGACTCGCGGCGGTTCAAACCAGGAGAGGCTACGTCAGACTGATACGCGCCGCTGGCTGACTGCACCATGAGTTTCATGGGGGCAGCTGAATCCTCTCTCGCGCCTCGCACTCAGTAAAGTAAAAGCAGCATATATAACTCGCACAGGGGATTCCCCTTGTCTAGACGAGGATGCTGGCCAAGGTCTCCGGAATCACACCATCGAAGCGCACACGCTACAGGCTACAGCCATGAAATTCGCCGCGGGTCTCGCCCTATCCGTAGCCCTCGCCGGGAAGGTAAAGCGCCGCCCTCGCTCCTCGTACCTCGAGCTACCACATCCGCTGACGACGAGCGACTTCAACCTAATCAGGTCCTCGGCCTTGCCGCCCCCACGAGTGACAGCGAATCCTTGGGTCTAACCGGTGGTGGCCTCGAGCCACGGGGCGGAGACAAGTCGCCGCCACCACTCTCCGACTATAAGAAAATCGACTGCTCGGCATACGCAACCTCGAGATCACTTGAGGGCATCTTTTTCGAGAGTCTTACCAAAAACATAGAGTACTTCGCCAGCACAACGAAAACCAAGGTAACGGTACCGCCGAACAAGTGTTTCCAAGTCGGCTGCTGGGAGGACGTCGGCGTGTGGTGGTGCAATGACGTGAGGACGCCCCCCCTCTGGATGCTGTCATCTGACCGTCAAGACCGCATGGCCAAGTGTGGCAGACGAGAAGACAACTAACGATATACGTGCCTGTGTAGAACAACAAGGAACAAACCCTGAGGTCCTGGCAGGACGTCAAGTGGGCACTTACTGCCGTGCCGACCCTCGGCCTTCAGAGATGTTCCCTTAACAAGTGGTGGGACCTGTCGTTCCGGGTTTTTCACAAGGACGGGTGGAGCGTCACCATCAGCCGCAAGAACCACTTCACTTGCTGAGTGCCCGTGTTGCGCCTGCGATGCCAACGTAGCCGCGCGCGCGAGCATAAGGGAGTCAGGGACTCAGGGCTCTCGCGTTTGGCCCTCTTCGGCCGGCTTACCCAGCGAAGGAGTCTGGTTAGGTGGAGGTGGGTGCCGAGCACAGTACCTCGGAACGCTTGGTAGCTACCAAGGTACACACCTACAACTTTGGTGCTATTTCGAGTTGTCTTGCGCTTCCTCTCCAATATATATCGTGCTTCAAAACTTGACAGGCGCTTGCTTCTTCAGGGAAGCGACATAACCTGAGCCAGTGATTTGCGGTACCGTACGCTAGACAGCACCACCAGTCACTATTCTCAGCGCCACGTGACTGTCGGTAGGCCTGCGAGCCAAGTCCAGCGCGTTGTGGTCTCAGTGGATGCCCTGGGCAGCGGGCATTTATAACGCTCTTGTCAGCGGCGGCCGTTATTAGTGCCGCATTTACGGCCTGCAGCGACGACGAGTCCCGCAGGCCTCACCTCACCCTCAGCAGCCCGCCGTGCCTGTCTGCCGAGAACCGAGATCCCGACGTCGCAGTCACAAGTCGTAGCCTCGCACCCGCTCTCTTCGGTGTCGGATGAATTACTTGTACGACCGCCGCACCCTCGCAGTGGCCCCGAGGCCGAACCGGAACCAAAAATTCCTCATCGTCTTCGGGCGCCGCATCTCACTCCTCATCAGTCACATTTGAACGGACAAGAAAGCTGAAGCCCCCCACTTTGCAGGTCCTCTCATCTTCACATCCCGGCCGCCCTCACCCGGCAGACTCATCGCCATCCTCACCACCACCGCTTCTCACTGAGTCGCCTCCGCAACACCGTTCACGCAGACCCAGTTGCCGCTGCAGCCACCACCACCATGTTCACCGGCATCGTCGAGGACGTTGGAGGCAAGTCCACCACCATCACCTTCACCTTCACCACCATGCCCTGACTCATCATCGCCTTGCTCTGGTCAATGCTCGTCCAAAACGCTGACTTCTGCAGTCGTCTCCCACCTCGACACCAACGACGCCACCGGCGGCACCACCATCACCTTCTCCATCCCGCACGGCTCCGAGCTCCTCAAGGACTGCCACGAGGGCGACTCCATCGCCATCAACGGCTGCTGCCTCACCGTCACCTCCTTCACCCCCTCGTCCTTCAAGGTCGGCGTCGCCCCCGAGACCCTCCGCGTCACCAACCTCGGCGACCTCAAGGAGGCCAGCCGCGTCAACCTCGAGCGCGCCGTCCGCGCCGACACCCGCATGGGCGGCCACTTCGTCCAGGGCCACGTCGACTCCATCGCTGAGATCCTCTCCGTCACGCCCGACGGCAACGCCCTCACTTTCCGCTTCCGCCCCCGTGACCGCGCCACCTTGCGGTACATCATCTACAAGGGCTTCATCGCCATCGACGGCACCAGCCTGACCATCACAAAGGTCGACGACGCAGAGGGCTTCTTCGAGATCATGCTCATCGCCTACTCCCAGGAGCGCGTCGTCCTCGCCCAGAAGAAGCAGGGCGACACCGTCAACATCGAGGTCGACATGATGGCCAAGTACGCCGAGAAGTCGCTGCTCGGCATCCTCGGCGTCGAGGGCAGCGCCGCCATGCCGCTGTTGGAGAAGATGGTCGAGCGCATCGTCGCGCAGGGCATGGGCGCCAAGGCGTGAGCATTGGGTCTAATTGAGAAAAAGAAATGTGCAAAATAAGAGCAGCGTCGCGCCATGTCTTGTCCATGTATTGGGTATCATATAATCTCATCTCAAGCCATAAAGCCGTTGAACATCTGCACCGTTCAAGCATCTTCCCAGACTTCCATCTTACGCCATCTAACGGTCGAACAGCTGCACCGTTCAAGCATCCCCCCAGACCTCGGCAATCTTCTGCCCCAGCTGCTTGCTGATCTTGGTCCGGCCGACTAGATGGTCAAGCTCCGTCGACACGAGCTCCCGTTTCCTCTTCCTGCCCAGCTCGCCCGACCCGCATGCCTCAAACGCCTTGACGAACGCGTGCGGCGTCTTCCATCTCTTTTGTATCTCAAGCGCACGCTCGCCCGTCACGCCGCGTGTGGTCATGAGCATCTTGAGGAACACGTCCCTGAGCGTCATCATCTCCGACTTGGACGCCAACGATGCAAAAGCGGGATAGCTGATGTAATAGCCAAGCAAGGGATCCCTTTCCCGCAGCTTGCTTAGTAGGGGCAGGTAGTTTTGCGCCGTCAAGACATGAGTGGGGATGACGTTGAGCGTCTTCCTCTCATAGTCCCTCTTGAGCATCCCCGTCAGTTTGGCCAAGTACTTGATGGTATCGTCCATCTTTGCCGTCCGCTTGACAAAGTAGCCATTGACCACCTGTGTGGATGCAATGGCCGACTGGACCGACTCTTCGTACCTTTGCAACGTGGCTGGGTCGATCGAAATGTCCTCGATGATGTAAATGACCTTTTTCACCCCAGATCGCCTGAGCCGGAATTTCTGCTCATGGAAGCGACCATCCTTGATGCTGCCAATCAAGTCGTCGAGGCGTTTTCTCTCGACGATCCAGTCCAGGACAATCTCGTCCCCCTCCGCGCCGTGCCTGGCCAGCAGGTCCGGATCATGGAGCTTGGCGATCCACTGAGCATCGCCCACCGCTAGGCTCCTCATAATGGGCTTGACGCCCTGCTTGGCCAGCTCGTCCTGCATGTAGTCGCGGTCCGTCTTGGCCCGGACCTCGCGAACATCCAGGACAAGATGGACGGTGAATGAGCCGGGGCTTAGACGAACAGGGGTAAAGTCAGGAAGCGATCCGTCTCCGGCGACGAGGGGACCCTCGGCAACGACATTTTGGTACGGCGAGGGCTGTTCCCGTGGCAGTTCTGCTTGTGGAGGTGGAGACTCAAGACGAGGCGCTGGTCCGGGCTGCGGATCCGGAACATGCGTCGAGGCTGGTCGCGTCGCGTCGTCGCCTTTGTTCTCACACTGCCACTCGCGCGTATCCTTGATGCGCTTCGCCACGTCCCAGCCGTCGTCAGTCAGCGCATATCGCTTCAATGGCACGCCCCTCTCATAAACGAGCTCCTTCTGGACCAACGTCTTCATCGAGTTCCAGGCAGTGTAGAACTTTGTGGGATCGGGCGGGGCGGTAAAGGACGCGTCGCAGTGTGGCTGGGACACCTCGATGAGCTCGGCCTTTGTCATGCCCGTGTTCGAATCCTCGGGTTGGGTGGACAGTCCGAGCACGAGGGCGTAGGCTCCGGACCGAAAGGCCGGGACGTATGGCTTGGGCTTCCTGGCCGTCTTCTTCTTCTTCTTGCCGGCGCCTTCTCCTGCAGCGTCCTCGTCCTCGGCCTGCTGCGCCCGTTCGGCAGCCTTCCTAACCTGAGGGTGCTCGGGCATGGGCTGTCCATGCTGCTGGCAGTGCTTCTGCAGTTGCGCCGTGAGCCGCTCGCACAGTTTCGGGCCGAAGCCCTTGAGCTGCTGGAGCTCGGCGGGGTGCTGGAAGACGAGGGGGCATGCCTTGAGGGATTCGTAGGCGTTTCTGTAGACGGTCGCGCCCTTGGAGTTGCGTTCGCGGGCGACATCGTACCACTCCTTGACCCAGGCGAGGAGCTGGGGGTTCGCACACTCGGCATCGTCGGGCATGACGACGTCGGTCAATGAGGGTGCAAGCTCGGCGTCTGGTCTGGTGCCAGCCACAGTCGCAACTCCATGCGGCAGGGTGCTGGGCAAATCGCAGCGAGTCCAAAGTATTGAGCAAAGGGAAACCAAAATTGAAATGACGGTGCCGCACACGCAGCACAGAAGCAAGAAATGAGGCGTGAATGAAGTCGCGTCTGGCTGGGCTGCGGTGACGTGTTTGGCAAGGACGGCGCTGGCCCTACAGCACGAAAACACGTGCCACAGTGGGGACATTAACACCCAGACTGCAGGCGTTCCACGCCGCTACAGGCACCGCCCAGCGATGGCGCTGGTCCCTACTCCCTAGGTGGAACTCGGGCAGGCTTACCTGGGGGTGCGGGAGTCATCTGCCGACCTACGGAGCCCGATCACCCCAAGCTCAACCGCCCTGGGGCTTGTAAACGTTGTCTGTAGTAACTGCAAGGCAAACTTGGATAGTAAAGCCCAAATTCTCAACTACCAGACACTATGAACCTCGAAGAATATCTCAGTTCCGCTTGCAAAAAAGCACGGGAAAACTGGTTTCGAAATTCACACGTTACGCATTCATGTTGATAAAGACTGTCTTGGGCTCGGTGTACGACCGGATGGCATGGATTCCATTTTCCCGACCGATGCCACTCTGCTTCGTGCCACCAAAAGGTGTCTGCAAGAAGCTGGTGCTGACGGCGTTGACGCCGACCATGGCGCTGTCCAGCTCCGCAGCAAGACGCATCGCCCGCGTCACGTCTTTTGTGAAGACGCCCGCCATGAGGCCATACGGAGTATCGTTTGCGAGCCTGAGCACCTCCTCCTCCGATTCGAACCTGTTGATGATTGCCACAGGGCCGAAAATCTCTTGACGGATAATCTCGGCGTCTTCGGCAACGTCGAGGAAGACCGTCGGAGCAATGTAAAAGCCCTAAGAGTCTCTTGTCAGTGAAAGCTCACGGGTACCGCAGTCGTTCCACCACTCTGCAGAGGACGCGCCTTGTCTTGCAGCCTGTTGCCGCCGACGAGGAGTCCCCGTTGTCGATGGACCGGAGAACTACAAAGCCGGTTGTTAACAATTTGTAGCATAAGAGAGATCCATGACCAGAGTGAGAGCTCTGTTAAGGCCGGGACACAATCCAACACAGCATAGGGCACTGCCAAATCGACAGTCATTGCTGTGGTGTCACAGTGTCAACCAAGCCTCAAACTTTCGGCAGTTCTGGACAATGGCCCAAGTGCGCCAATCCACGGCTAGAGCCGTGTGGCGAGCTTTTCGGATTGAGCGGAAATGTCGGTCCGAAGACTGCCATTGGATGGATTTGTTCGACCAAAGCTGCCTCTGCCGGGCGCCATCGTGAACCCCGAGACTCCTGGAGTCCTGTTGGTGCGGGACGTTAGTCGAGTCCAGAGGTTGGCCATTATCCTCGCGCGACCACCCAGATACTTCCAGGCCTTCCGAAGAAGCCTCTCTCTAGGTTCAACTTGGCAGCCGTGAGCTTCTCATACATTCAGCCGAGGAAGATAGACCGAGGCTCATGATTACAAGAGAGCGCGGGGCTGCGGCCTGGGGCCTGCTCCTTTGCCGTCCACGGACCAGCACTGCCATATAAGCCGTCGTCTCTTCATTCAATACTGCCGTCTCTCAGCACTGCCCCGGACATCTTGGGTAGGCCCATTGGAAGTCTGATGACTTTGGATGGACGATTGAACGTGAGGTCTGTGGACTTCCTTGAGAAGTAAATTCTTGGTTGCCTGGGGACGGTGATCTTGTAGCGCGGAGATGTGCCGTTGCATTGAATTTCGATGGAAAAGGTCTTTTGATTCGGCCTCGCTCGGGCTGATATCGCAACACACCCGTCTTACCTGATGCAGAAGCAACACGTCCGCCCCGAGCACAGCTGCGTGTTAGGTTAAGGTGGGCACCCCGACTACTGTACAGTTTACAGCGCCAAAACACGTGCCCCAGGGGGGTCATTGATGCTGCCCTGCAGACAGTACGAGGTCCCGTCCCTCGAGGGCTTCAGCTCCAGTTCCATGGATCGGACTTGCACGTCCAGTGGGGCACAAAGCGGTGGGGCGTCGGCCAACTCGGCCAGCGCAGCAACCTATGGAACATTCAAGTACGACGAGCCGTCGTACGGAGTAGCAGCGGTTACGTATCTGCATCTATCATCTACCGACTCGCCTGCCCCTGGCGTCAATTGGGAGCCGGGCGATGGTGACAGCATCAGGTAAAATGTACAGCCTGTGTTGTATGGATGCACGAGTGCATAAAGCGTCTCACCGTTCTTCTGGCACCCTGCCGACGGTGCCGTCCGCGGAGCTGCATCTCCGTCCGAATCGAGGCATCCATGGATCCAACGGCGCTGCAGGAGGCTGGCTCGACCTGCCGGTGAAGAGCGGTCACCGTCTCGGTTTGGCTGGCCCCTGGCCGCGACGGCAAAAGGGCGGTCGGGGGGGGGGGTTGCTTGCTGGCCGTGGGCAGGGACGAGGGGGAGGGGAGGAAAGCTTCTGGTACGCATTGTTACAACAACGCGGCACGGCGCTGGACGGAGTACGGAGTACGGAGTACCTCAGGTTGGCTTTGAATACGGTGCCCCGCTGTTGGCCGCCTCCACCGACGCCGACGACAGGGCTGCGGTGCGCACTTGGCAGCACCAGAGGCTGTTAGGGCTGTTGGGCGGGCAGGCACCCGACGGTTCATTGATGGCGGGGTTCGTATCGCGGGCCAGGGGCCCCCAAGAGTGACGTGAGAGCGCGCCGCCTGGCAGCCCAGTGTTCCTTGCGTGGGGTCCGTAGGTAGCAAAGCCCCTCCATCCATCCCACCAGCGAGCGCCAGCAGACGGGACCCTCCACTGCATCACAACCTACCCACCAGGTGAGGGATGCCCCTCCCCCCTTCGTTTCCAGGGCCACGAGGCCGCCGCCCCTCCCGCCGCTGCATCTGCCCATCGACTTGCATCTGCCAAAGTACTACTCGACCTCTCTTCTCCTCCACACCTTCCCCTCCTCGCCGCCTTTCTGCTTCTTCTACCTCCTCCTCCTCTTCCTCATCGCATCGCGTTCTAATTATAAATCCAGACAAAGCGAGGCGGGCCACCTAGTCGACTGTCTCTGCTAGTGCTGCCCCGTCGCCCCTGGCCGGACCGAGCTGAGCTGAGCTGAGCTGAGCTTCCTTCCTCCCGCTTGCCCCCCCATTAGACGTTAAAAGCCCTCAACGACCACCCAGCTTAGCACGCACACGATTCCATTCGTCGCCGTCGTCATTCGTCGTCGTCGTCGCCGCCACAACTTCACATCCTACCGAAACTCCAACCATCCGTCGCCATGGATGACAAGCTGCTCGCCGCCTCGGCCAAGTACGCCATCGTCCCCGGCCAGACGTACAAGTATGGCACCGCCGGCTTCCGCATGAAGGCCGACCTCCTCCCCGTCGTCTCCTTCCGCGTCGGCCTCCTCGCCGGCCTCCGCAGCCGCAAGCTCAACGGCCAGGCCATTGGTGTCATGATCACCGCCAGCCACAACCCTGCCGCCGACAATGGCGTCAAGATCGTCGACCCCATGGGCGAGATGCTCGAGCAGGACTGGGAGGCCTTTGCGACCCGCCTCGTCAACGCCCCCTCCGACCAGAAGCTGCTCGAGGACTACAAGGCCCTGGCCGCCCAGCTCGGCATCGATCTCAACGCCCCCGGCCGCGTCGTCTACGGCCGCGACACCCGTCCTTCGGGCCATGGCCTGGTCGTCGCCCTCGCCGCCGCCCTCGACGCCACTGGCATCGAGCACACCGACTACAAGATCCTCACCACTCCTCAGCTCCACTACCTGACGCGCTGCGTCAACACCGAGGGCACTCCCAAGTCGTACGGCCAGACGAGCGAGGCCGGCTACTACCAAAAGTTCTCTGACGCCTTTGTCCGCGCGTTGCGGGGCAGAAAGGTCCAGGGCCAGCTGCAGGTCGACTGCGCCAACGGCGTTGGCGGGCCCAAGTTTTCCGAGATGCTCAAGGTCATTCCCAAGGACGTCACCGGCTTCGATGTCAAGGTTGTCAACGATGACGTCCTCCGACCCGAGGTGCTCAACCTCGAGGTATGCCCCGCTGATCCCCAGTTCCTTCCCAAAGTGACCGTGCTGACCGAGCCAGTGCGGTGCCGACTACGTCAAGACCAAGCAGCGAGCCCCCCAGAACCCGAAGCCCGTCCCCGGCCTGCGTTGCTGCTCCTTCGACGGCGACGCTGACCGCCTCATGTACTACTGGGTCGACCCTGACACCGGCTTCTTCATGCTCGACGGCGACCGCATCTCGTCTCTCAACGCCTCCTTCATCGGCGACCTTGTCCGCTCAGCTGGCCTCGAGGACGACCTGCGCATCGGCGTTGTCCAGACCGCATATGCCAACGGCGCCAGCACGACGTACATCGAGAAGCACCTGCAGCTCCCCGTCGTGTTCACCCCGACCGGCGTCAAGCACCTGCACCACGCCGCCTGCCAGTTCGACATTGGCGTGTACTTCGAGGCCAACGGCCACGGCACCGTCGTCTTCTCCCAGGAGGCGATGCGCACCTTCCGTGAGAAGGAGCCCCAGTCGCCCGCGCAAAAAGATGCCCTTGAGACGCTGGCTGCCGTCGGTGACCTCATCAACCAGACGGTCGGCGACGCCATCACCGACATGCTCATGGTCGAGGTCATCCTCGCCCACAAGGGATGGTCCCTCAAGGACTGGGCCATGACGTACACGGACCTGCCGAACCGCCTGGTTCGCGTCGAGGTGGGCGACAAGGACCTCTTCCAGGCCACCGACGCCGAGCGCCGCCTCAGCCACCCGCCGGGCGCCCAGGACGAGATCGACCAGGTCGTGAGGAAATACTCGAGCGCCCGCTCCTTTGCACGGGCTAGCGGCACCGAGAACGCCTGCCGCGTGTACGCCGAGGCGGCGACCCGCTCCGAGGCCGACGAGTTGGCGAACAAGGTCGCTCAGATCGTCAAGCAGTTCGGCTCGTAGAACGACTAGTTGTGGCGCGAGGTGGACGACGCTCCGGCGGCGCGCGACGACCTTGTGCAGCTGTACCACGACTGGCGGAAGCGCTGAGTAAAGGGCATCGGCCAGGCGGAGGCGCTGCGTGTCTCTCCACGCCCGTGAGCGTGAAGACACGTGGAAGGACATGCAGGAAACCTGAAACAAAACGGTGAAGAAGAGAAGAGACGCATGACGAGCTGTGAGCAAGCAGCAGTCTAAAAAGGGAAGACTACGGGTCAGAGGCTGCGGCGACAAGACGGCTCGGTCGGCATGGACAGACAGACAGACAGGTGGACTCGGGGGCGCGCTTCGTTGGCATATTCAGACCATCATCTTCCTCCTCTCGATTCTTCACCACACTCACCCACCACTGCTCTCATACCACCATATTGCGAAAAAGCTCCCGGCGGAAGAAAAAGTCTTGCGGGGTGGGCTCTTTTTTGCTCGGAGATAGTTAGACTGCATATTTTACTAGCTGAGGCGGCTGGAAAGTCTTTTCTTTCCGCTTTGAATACAAACACCTTATATTGGTGATTGGCATGAGTCTCAAACGTATAGCGTATAGTACTATCCACTTGTCGTTCGTTATAAAGCAAGCTAGCCAAGCCCGGCGCCGGCAGCCAGATTATCTCAACTAGGAGCAGCAATTAGCAACGCGGAAACGGACAGTTGGAGAAAACGTCGTAGATGGATAGGTGGTGGTCTATAGACTGGTATCTGGTATCACCCCCGACACGCCGCCGGTCGCCTTTCGTCAGCAACCGTGACATGCCGTCGTTCCGCCTCGTTCGACCCAGCCCATCCCGCTGGCGTTTTTGTCTCGTCGCGTGTTTTTTATACCCCTTGATGCCGTCATTACAGACCCAGCAGAAAAGCGCCTCTATCAGTGGAAAACCATGGAGAAAAATGCAACCATCCCAGCTCCTCTCTCCTCCCTGGGTCACTAACCCATCATCTTCCTTCCCGTCCCTGGACTCATTTCGTCCTTGACATGCCTTCTTCGCCTTCCAAGACTTCAAAGCCTTGAACCAGAGATAATCCCAAAATGTCGTGCCGCGCGCTACCCAATTAGCACATGCGGTAGGTGCACTTGCCGGCGCTGGTCCGGGTGGCGTCGTCCGTCTCGAGCTCGTAGTCGACCTCGATGTCGAGGTCGCGGCGGTTCTTGTCATTGGGCTTGACGAGGAGCTTGCAGGTGATCTCCTCACCCTCCTGGACGGTGAGGACGTCCTTGAAGTAGAAGACGGTCTGCTTCCAGTGGGTGTACTTGGTGTGGGGGCCGGTCGAGAAGCGGATCGGCTTGTGGCACGCGGTGAAGTCGATGTCAAACCACGAGACCAGGGCGTGGATGAAGTCGTCGCGCTTGACCGACAGCTTGAAAGGAGTGGTAAAGGCCAGGTCGGCCGTGGTGCAGGTGTAGAGATCGAGGGTGAGGACCGACGTCGGGTCCGTAACAACCGTCTTCAGGTCGACGGTGTCGACGAGAGGCTCGGACAGGGCCGTCTCCTTGAGGGGCGTGTAGTCGAAGCCGTAGACGTTGTCCCAGACTGAGTCGGCCGTGTCAGTGCGCGGGGAACGGACAAATTGAAACGGGAACTTGACTTACATCCAATCTTCTCCTCCTTGTAGTCGCCATCCTCAATGCCGGCAAAGAAGATGGTGGCCTTGTCGGGGAAGATGAGGCCGTCCTTCTCGAGGTAGGTGTCGCGGGCGTACAGGACGGTGTCGAGCATGGATTCGTAAAGCAGGAAGTAGCCCATCCACTCCGAGATGATGATGTCGACCTTGGGGAAGGGCAGCTTGACCTCCTCCATCTTGCCCTGGATGAGGGTGATCTTGTCCGACAGGCCGTTGGCCTTGACGATCTCGCGCGCCTTGAAGATGATGGACGACATGTCGACGCCAATGACGTGCTTCGCGCCGGCCTTGACGGCGAACCTATGGATCAATCATGTTAGGCCGCTTCGGGCGGTTGCGTCGGGCGGCAAAGTGCGCGTGCGGGAAACGTACATGGACAGGATGGCGGTGCCGCATCCGACGTCGAGGACGACCTTGTCCTTGAAGAGGTGCTTGTTCTGGAGGATGGCGTTCATGTACGACCGCGTGCGGACCTCGTCTTTCTGCGCAGGGGTACAGCGTCAGTCTCTGCTGTCGCCTTGTCGCAGGCGCTGCACGGTCTCGTGAGGCCGGAAGGTGCATCGCGGGGGCGGGGCAGCGGGCGCGCGCAAACTTACCAGCATTTCCTCGTGGATGCCTGCCGGATGGCAGAACAACTATAGTCAGCAAGAGTCCAAGCAAAAGAGGGAGTCTCTGATTTCTCCGTCGAGGGTAATCGTACCATGGTGGTCGTAGCTGTAGTTGTTCAATCCAGCGGTCAGCCAAAACTTGCTCTCACTGAATGCTGTAGCGCCGGGTCATGTCGCCAACGACACATCGGCGCATCGTATGCAACCTCCCAAGACAACAAGGGGGAGGAGCGCAGTCCCCGCTGAGGGTGCAGACATACCTCTTGAAGTAGTGCTGCTCGCTGTGCGCGAGCTCATTCATCTTCTGCTCGGCCATTTCGACCTCCATCTTGTCGCCGTTGCTCATGATGGGTGGTTGTTGGCGCCGGTGCGAAACGTATCAACGCAAAGAGAAATCCGTTTGGTATAACGAGGCTGGTAGAAGAGTTTGGAGGACCCGAGAGAACCTTTGATGGAACCGGGGACGGGCGAAGCAGCGACGAAGGCGGACAGGGAGGACTGCGAGAGAGGCACGGGTACGGGTATGAGACTGAACTCTGAAGGGACGGCGGCGGGCTGCAGGTTTTGTCGGGCAGAAAATAATTCAGGGTCGTCACCGCCTTGCGCAGTGGGGTGAGCGGCTTGGGTAGTGAGGGGCTGCCGCTGGGCTGGACTGCGGCGGGCGAGGTGGGCTGGGCTGGCGGCACCCGACTGCCTTTTGGACCCTGCCCGCCATGGGATTCATGAGGTCGACGCCCGCCAGCCACGGCCCGCTCCAGTGACTACTAGCAGCGCTAGGCTTGGAAAGGTCAGCGCTGGGCAGGCTCTGACACTGACGGCGAGTCACGGCATACGCTGGAAGTCTTGAAAGTCACAGTGGCTCGCCATCGCCGGGCAGACTCGTATGCACAATCGGCATCAGCGAAAGCAAAATATGAAGGTATTCTTGCGCTAGTGCCTTGTCCATGTCGTGAGGGAGACGGGCCGCAAGGCATCCAACAAGAAGCATAAAATGTTCACCGAACGAAAAAATAGATCGAGAAGTCGTGCACGGGAAGCATTCTCTATGGTATATTCAGATCCGACTGCTCTCAGTCGTGTATGCCTCTGCCCAGTATATGTCATCCGACCCGTCTGCCCAGCCAAGCAAGCAAAAGCACAGAGCAAGAAGCTCGTTGTTTTGGAAAATCGACCCAACGCCGCCAACGCCCAGTACAATGAGGTGACAACACCGCCGCCGCCGCTCGCCATCCCCCCTGACCCTACTCGCGGCCTCACACCAGCAGCACGCTGTTGATGCAGCCCTCGTTCTCCGGGTTGTTGGTGACCTGGGCGTAGCGGCCCCAGACGACCTTGCCGCCGGCCGTGACCAGCCCCAGCTCGCTGACGTTGACCTCGATGACGGTTCCCTTGGTCAGGACGCCGAGCTGCGTGTACAGCGGGTTCTGGGGGTTCTTCTTGACGCTGATGATGGGCAGCTGGACGGTGACGCCGAGCTCCGGGTGCGTGACGTTTGCCTTTTTGTAGCGCAGGCCCATGGGCCGGATGAAGCGCTCGTACTTGGGGTTGCGGCGCGTGAAATCCTGCCCCACGAACGTCGGCTTCGTCACCATGCGCTTCCACGCCTTCTTCTGCACCTTCTTGCCCGTCTTGACCACCTTGAACATCTCCTCCTCGCTGATGCCGCGCACCTTGGGCAGCGGCACGCTGAACTTGGCCGCCTTCTCGGCGCGCTTGTTCTTGATGGCGCTGCTGAGCGCCTTGGCCGTCGTCGGGTTCGTCCGGTCCAGCAGGTACGACGGCATCGGCGTCGACGGCTCCTTCTCGTCCGCCGTCTTGACGTTGCGCTCCTCGTGCGCCTTGATGGCCTTCTTCATCTGGATCTTCTCGTTGTGCCGCTTCTTCTGGTACAGCTTGGCCCGCAGGCCGCGCAGGTTCTGCGCATCCTGCGACGCCTTGTGGCCCTCGCGGGCGGTGCGCTTCCGGACGCGCTCTTCGTGGTCGAGGCGGCGGCCGTGCAGCTTGCGCCACCTCTCCATGTACTCGTTCTGAGGCTATACGGGGATTACAGTTAGCATCATGATTCGTCGACCTTGCAGTGCGAATTGAGGCTCTCTGGCGTACCATATTGACGGTTGTTGCTGTCCAGCCGGCGGCGGACTCTCAATCGTCGGTGTGTCTGGTTTGGTGGTTGTGTTGGTATGCGGTGGGGATTCTGCCGCCTGCTCTGAGGTTGAAATTTCGCCCGCCGCCCACGCCAGAAAAAAAAAAGGCGGGCGGTTGGCGGGAGGTTCTCCATCGGCGCCCGGAGCCACGCTTATCCGGGGCGAACGGCCAGGCGCTGCACGGGCGGCCCAGCGTCTCCACTCGTCCCAATGGATCGCTTCACCTAAACTTTTTGGCAGCAGCAGCAGCAAGTCGGCCCATCCCCCATCTCAAGCTGCAGTGCATCAACCGCCCGCCCGCCGTCGACTCCCCGCGGGCACAATTGCGGTCCAGGATGAGCAGAGCACTGTTGCGCTCCGTGCTGGAGCTCCGGGCGGCGGCGCAGACGACGCCTCGCCGCCTCGCGCCGGCTTTCGTCACGTCGTCCTCGCCTTCGTCCTCGCCAATCCTCAGTAGCCAGCCGCCGAGCAGCTGCTCAAGACGCGGCTTCAACTCGACGACGCCCATCGTCGAGCCCGTCAACCAGCCTCACGTCAACAACGCGCCCAACCCCACCGAGAACCAGGTCCCCCCCCTCGCCTTCAAGAAGAGCCACCCCTCGCCGCCGCCCGCCGCCCCCGTCACCGGCGACTCGGTCCGCGCGCTCCTCCCGCTCCTCGCCGCCCAGCCCGGCGGCCACTACATCACGGTGCACATCCACGGCTTCCCCTACCTCGTGCAGGAGGGCGACCAGGTGCGCCTGCCGTTCCGCATGCCCGGCGTGCTGCCCGGCGACGTGCTGCGCCTCAACCGCGCCAGCGTCCTCGGCAGCCGCGACTACACCCTCAAGGGCGCGCCGCACGTCGACGAGAGCCTCTTCGAGTGCCGCGCCACCGTCCTCGGCGTCGAGTCGGAGCCCCTTCGCATCAAGGTCAAGACGAAGCGGAGGCAGCGCCGGAAGAAGCAGGCCAAGAGCAAGCACCGCTACACGATACTGCGTATCTCGGAGCTCACAATTAAGACGGCCGAGGAGGTCGACGAGCCGAGCGTATAGCGACGAGTGATTGGGACGAAGTCAAAGGATTTGCTCTGGAGCGAAGGGAAGGGCGGGGGAACCATGTATACCGACATCACTTTTGCAGTCAACCGCCTCGAACGCGGTGTAACACCTACCAGCCACGTGCTAGTTGTACAATAAATCAGTCATAACGTCACGCAGACAAGCCATTGAGTTTTTAAGCGATCATGTTGAGACCCCATCTCGAAGCCATTAAACATGTATGTGTGTTGACGCTAGTCTATGCTGGCTCCGGTGGGCATATGAGCGAGTGAAGAAGAGTAAGAAAAGTATTGATCTGTGTGCACTCATACACAAAATACGTCAAGTGGTATATGCAAGCGACAGTGAAGAAAACCCGCCGTCCAAACTCCTCAACTCCAAGCCAAAGAGATTGACGCCCCGCCGTCCCATCCGCCGTGAGAAAATATGTAAAGCGCCAGTGGTCAGCCACGCTCAATCCTCAAGCAATGTGCCTTTGAGGAGTGAATTAGAGGCAGCGCCATGTCCCAATCAGTGCCTGCTCGCCATGGCCTTTCTGATGCTCGCCCAGTACGCCTGCGGCCAGACGCTCATGCTCTCCGCCTCGGTGGGCATGCGCTCGCGACACCTCGTGACGACGCTCTGGATGATCCTACCAAGCAGCTCCTCGTCAATGGGTAGCGCCTTGTCGGTGAGCTCGGCCGGGTACAGGAAAGGGTCCGTCTCGTGCAGCAGCTCCTCGCACGTCGGACGCATGTGGATGTCGCGGTTGAGGCAGCGCCTCATGGTGCGCAGCAGCGACGGCGGCACGGGCACGCCGCCCATGGCGCGCGAGGGAAAGTCGATGTGGTGGTCCCAGTTGATGATGGCCTGGCACCGCGCCATCTGGTTGGCGATGTGGCCAAAGGGCGGCAGCCCGTACACCATCTGGTACAGGATGCAGCCGAGCGACCAGATATCGCTCGGCTTGCCCAGCTTCATAAGCTTGGGCCGGCCGGGCAACCGTCCGCCACGCGGGTTGTTGGAGTCCATGAGCGACTCGGGCGACATGTAGTTGGGCGTGCCAATCTGCGTCTCTCGGTGGACGTTGACCGTCTCGTCCGTCTGGATGGCGTTGGCGATACCAAAGTCGATGAGCTTCAGCCGGCCGCGGACCAGCACAAAGTTGGCGGGCTTCAGATCTGAGTGCACAATGTCGTACTGGTGCACCGACTGAAGGCACTCGAGCATCTCCTTCCAGTAGCAGCGCACAAAGACGGGGTCGAACTTGGCGGCTTCGGGGTTCTGCCGCGACGTGAGGAGCTTGTTGAGGTCCAGCTCACCCATCTCCATAAGCTGCACATGGTGTTAGTCAGAGCTCATCAAGCAAGAAGCGCTTTCATATCATCCAACTCACCAAGGTAAGCACCTGCTTTTCCGAATTCATTTCGTGGTCAAAGAGCTTGATGACACGGTCCACGCTCGACAGCTTGCCCAGCAGGTCGATCTCGCCCTTGTATCCCTTGATGGTCGTCTCATCGGCGTTCTCCAGGGACACGCGCTTGAGGGCAAACATGTTGCCGTTCTCGGCCGTTACGCGATACACCTTGGCGCTGCCGCCGCGGCCGAGGCAGTCGAGCCTCGTGTAGCATTTGCCGTTGACCCTCAGCACGTTCCTCCGCTGCTTAGCCTGCGTGGTAGTGGCCGCGGCGCCGGCAGTCGACGTCGCGGCCTCCAGGACGGACATCTTGGGCGGTGGCGGCGGAGCCGCTCGATGGGGCGTGTTGTTGGTGATGGCGGCGAGCGGCTTCCTCGGCGGCGAGGCGGCCTTGAGCACGTTGAGGTTGATGTCGACGCTCAGCGGTCGAGGGTTCTTCTCCAACGGGTGGTCGACGGAAATCTTGGACCGCTTGTAGCTCGCGGGGACTTCATTCTCCTGATCGTGCGCCGACGGCATCTCGATGCGCATGGGCAGCATATGCTCTGGGATCTCATCCGCGCGCTTGGGCGGCAGGGGAAGGCCGCGCGGCGAAGGACGAGCCGATGCGGGCTCCTGGAGGTCAGCGTTAGAGGCATATCTCCGGTGAATAGCGCGCGCCGCAGCATTTCCACTAACGGGACTGCCCGAGTTGAAGTCGCGGATGCCGTCGGCGTAGTAGGACGCCTCGGCCTGGTGCTCGGGCTCTTGGCTGGCGATGAGCTCGCCGTTCTCGTCGGCGTCCTCCTCGCTTTGCCGTCTGCGGCCACGCCGCGCGGGGCCGCTGAGGAAGCTGCCGGGGATCTTGCCGACGCGCTTGACACGCATCGAGCTCTGCGGGTTCGGGATGTCATCAGCCCGGCCTCTGGAGGAAGGATGTCGCGACACGCTGCCATGACTAACATTTGCCGAGTTGCGCGCGACCGTCTCGGGCGCCTCGGGTTGCTCGAGCTCAGCCCCCTCAAGCGCTGACCTGTCGACGGCTGACCTGTCGACGACTGACTTGTCCACGGCCGACCGGTCGTAGTTGGAGCGTCCTGATCCCGACGACGGGCCCGAAGAGCCGACGCGGCTGCGGTTGCCCGACGAGCCTGTCACGATGCGCACGACACGTTCGCCGCGCGCAGGCGTGTTGACGTCGGGCCGCTGCTCCTCCTGCCGGGACTCGGGCCTCTCCTCGGGCGCCGCCGACCGCTCTCTCGCACCGCCCGTCCTGCTCGGCGGACGCGCCGGGGCGGCAGCCGTGCGCGCTGCCGCGGCGCCGGTGGATCTAGACATGGACGTCGAGCGGCGCTTCGAGGGCTGAATCTGGTTGAGGCTCTGGGGCGTGTTGCTGAGCCGCACCACTCGCTTCCTAACGGGGCTCGCCTCGCGGCTCGTGGGTTTCGACGACCGCGCAGGTTCAGCGGCCTGCACGCTGCCAGACCTCAGGTGCCTGCGGTCGGTGGGCGCAGCCGAGGCGGCGGACGAGTTCAAATGACTGGCGCGTCGTCGAGTCCTCGGCGGCGATGGCGGTCTCGTCGCAGCGGCGACCGCGGCCGCCTCGGGGACACCGTCGTTGAGCAGCGCCTTTGTGAGGGCGCTGAGCTTCATAGGCACAGGGATCTCGTCTTCGGAGCTGTCATCGTGGTGGTGGTATTGTTGCTGCTGCTGGTTGTGCTGTTGTTGTGATTGCTGGCCGTGGTGTTGAGGCTGCGAGTGTGATGGGCCCTCGGGCGCGGCGGGCGCGGGCTGGCTCTCGCTCCTGCTGAGCATCGGTCGCGACGGAGGACGCCTCAGTGCCTGACGCTGCGAGGTCCTCCGGACGGGGCCGCCGGCGGCGGTGGTGGCCATGAGCGTTGGTGAAGCCGTCGCCATTTGCGACAGTGCAGACGCGTCGGGGGCGGTGTAAGCAACAAGGCGATGGAGGCTATCTCCCCCCTACGCAAAGTGGATTGCCGTTCCGGAAGACTCCTCCCCCAGGAAAAAAAAGAATGAGGTGATGCACTGAGGAACAAGCTATAGGCCGATAATCACGGCGCGGCCATGGTCCGTAGCGAAGGGAGCTTTTGTCGAGAAATTATTTCGCTGGGTGGTGGTGGTGTGTGTGAGGCGCGTCTGATGGCATCGTCGTCAAAGGAATGGGGGCGGGCGGCTACGAGCGCCTGGATGATTTTGGCTGGCTTTGTCGGGCGGCCAATGAGAGCGCGGCGGGTTGCCGTGGGCAACGGGAGCTTTTGGGGGGCGGTGGCCTGTGGCCTGTGGCGGCCGCTGCGTTACGGTGGCTGCAAGGCACGGTGGAGTGCGCTCGCGGGCGGGCAGCAGTGGAGGTGGCCAACAGGCGATGGCGCTTTGCAGGTTTCCAATGCAGATGATGGCGAGCCGAGCCGCCGACGGAGCCCAGTTGTCAGTGCATGTATGTTTGTCCCCGACGCTGGGCCTGCTCAGGTACGGCGCCGTAGCCGTATTTTCCACTGCACGTCCCGATCCGGCAGTTTGTGTACTATTATGCCTGGCCGTTCCTCCACAAGCGATCAATACAGCGCACCGAGGCAATGGACCGCATCCGGCAAGTAGATAAAATTGAAGAAATTTGTGCAATTACAATTCGCCAGTTCCTCCGCACGTCGCAGATACGTGCATCTCGACTTACAGACAACAAAACTCGGAGACGTGACTTACAGGACCACAGCGCCGCCCCAAGTCCAGCGCCCCACACACGCCGCCACGCCCTGCAAAGCCCGCCCTTCCGGGCAGTTGAAGCTCCCGTGCTTCCCTCGCTCGCCTCCCCACCTCGGGGCCCGTCCGGGGTCCGATTCGCCCGGACCAGCCCTGCGGACACCTACAGCTAAGGTACCTACCACCAGCTACCAGGGCAGCTAATAAATCCTCACAAATCAAACCTCCCGCGACAACCCCCATAGTCACCCAAGTCACCACCACCACCACCGCCGCCGTCGAAACGCAAGCCCGCACCTCCGCGCATGGCCAGCGCAACAGTCCCATCGTCGCCTTGGCTCTAGCGCTCCCTTCTTTTCGTCCTTCACTTATTTCTTCCCTTTCGCGTCGGCCCCATCTGCGTATTCTCTTGCGGCCGCGAAGCGCTCGTTTTCATCCCCCCACGCCATACACTCCTTTTCTTCGACCCGTCCGTTGTTGGCCCGTCATGGCGTCCGACAGGAGGGCGCGGCCGTGGACCCGCGTCCTCTCCCTCGCGCTCGTCCTCGTCCTCCTCTGCGGCGCCGCCCACGCCTCGGTCGGCGACCGCCTCCCCGAGTTTAAGCAATGCCTCGAGGCAAGTCCCCTTTCGCGTCCTCCGTGGCTTGGGGTCCGCTCGCCCGCTAACGTCCGTCGCTCGACGCAGGTCTGCAAGGCTGAGAACTGCGGTCCCGGCAAAGACCACACCCCGATCCGTACGTCGACGCTGTCCTCCCCGCCGAGCATCCCTGCGCGTGCATACCCGTCGAAGATGACCGTGTGGTCGTGCTGCCGCTGCCACTGCCGCTGCTGGACTCATACCGGGCATTCTGCTAATCGCGACTGCACGACATAGCCCTCCGCCGCCGCCTCCTCTTCTGGACCTGCGCCTCCGAGTGCGACTACACGTGCCAGCACATCGTGACCAACGCCCGCGTCTCCTCCGGCCAGCCCGTCGTCCAGTTCCACGGCAAGTGGCCCTTCCACCGCCTCCTCGGCATGCAGGAGCCCTTCTCGGTGCTCTTCTCCCTCGGCAACCTCGCCGCCCACTGGGACGGCCTCGGCAAGGTCCGCGCCCGCATCCCCGCCTCGTACCCGCTCCGCCCCTGGTACGTCTGGCTCGCCCGCGTCGGCATCGCCTCGTGGGTCTTCTCCGCCGTCTTCCACACCCGCGACTTCCAGGCCACCGAGGAGCTCGACTACTTCGCCGCCGGAGCCAACGTCCTCTACGGCATGTACTATACCCCGATTCGCGTCTTCCGCCTCGATCGCAACACCCCGCGGAGGCGCTCTCTCCTCCGCGTGTGGTCCCTCCTCTGCGCATCGCTCTACCTCTGCCACGTCGCCTACCTCAAGCTCGTCCGCTGGGACTACACCTACAACATGGCCGCCAACGTCGCCGCCGGCGTCGTCCAGAACATCCTCTGGAGCTGGTTCAGCTACAACCGCTACCGCACCTCGCGCCGCACCTGGGCCATCTGGCCGGGTCTCGTCGTCGCGTGGGTCATGTTCGCCATGAGCATGGAGCTCTTTGACTTTCCGCCCTGGCTCGGGTGCATCGATGCGCACAGCCTGTGGCACCTCATGACCATTGGGCCCACGTTGCTGTGGTACAAGTACGTGACCTCTCTAGCCCGCCTTCTTCTCCCCTGACCCCCTTGTCTCGCTAACGCGCACCAGCTTCCTTGTCAAGGACGCCAACGACGACATTGCCGGAACGGAGCGCCTCAAAGCATGATGAGATCGGATGATTCGTGTATATACCAAGCACAGCTGATCACACAGAGCGCCATTTTTTGCCCCCTGGGCCACGACTGCCATGCGGTCTCTCTACATTTTGACACCGCTTCAGACATCGTCCAGCAGATACATTGATAACTCGCAGCGAATTCCAAGCATCCGTCCCAGCCTTCACGCCGCAGCGACATGTTCGCCAACAAACAGCCAAACGCCGCATCAGTAAGCCAGAGGTTCTCGCGCCGCGCACAGAAAAAGTCATTATTCGCCGAGTCCATTGAAGCAAATACATGGCATCGCCCTAGTCTATGTAGGAAGAATCGTTTCATCGCGTCGTCTCCGCATCGGAAAAGGTCGGGGAAAGGTGGTGTCGCGTCGACCCGTGGCCGTGGCCTGCCAGGGGTCATTCCGCCCTCTCCCATAAAGGGTTGGCGTATTGAGGCACACCGCTCGCCGCGGCGGCGGTACTCGGCCAGGGCGAGTGCGGTATCACAGGACGTGAGCACGTCGTGGCTGCTCCAACGGGGGCAGTCGTCTGTCACGTCGGGTCAGCCAGCGCCTCACGTGCTGAGCAGGTCGCGAACGGACAGGCCACGCCCACTGGCGTTTGTGCCTCGCCTATCGTTGTTGAGCATCAACAACGCCGCCGTCGCCTCCTGGTCGAGGTCGCTCTGGGGGTTCAAGGCGGGGCTCGTCAGCGTCGACCCCGAGGCCGACATGTTGCCCTGGGAATAGAGGCCGTTGTGTTGGGGCCCGAAGGCGGGCGAGGCGCCGGCGGACGCACTGTAGCTGTAGTGGCGCTGGTCCGTCGAGACGGACGAGTACGAGTGCTGGCGGTGGCGCGAGTCCTGGGCGTGCAGGGCCGGTGAGACCGACGACTGGTGCGAACGCTCAGGGTTGCCTGCGAATCGGGGCGAGGCCGTGTCCGAGTCTGTCATCTCGACGTCCCCCGCGGGATCCTCGTGGAACGTCGGGTGGAACTCGCGGATGGGCGGGAGCGGGTTGTGCGACGACTCGGCGCGACTTTGCGCCTCACCGTGCTGGGCCTTGAGCTTGGACACGCAGTCTTCGAGGTATCGGACATAGTCGATTGAGGCCTAAGGGCGAATTTGGATGAGCATCGCATCGGGGAATGAGGGCATCACACTCTGATGGGTCATGCATTGCGCAAGGGGGGGTTACCACGAACCTGTAGGATGGCCAGTTTGTGCATCTCGCCCGTGCACGCGGGAATCATGTTCTTGAGCACGGCGAACTCCTCGTTCATCTTGCTGCGTCGCCTCCTCTCGATAAGACTGTGGGCCGTCTTCCTGGCAATCTTGCGACCGGCGGCGCTCGTGGCGCTCGGCTGCTTCTTCTTGCCCTTGTCTGTCGCGGCTCCGGAGCCCGCAGACTTGCCAGCGTTGGCGGCCCCTTTGGCGCCGGACTTTCCAGAGTCCTTGGCGGAGGGGGCCTCGGCGGCCTCTTCCTGGGCGCGAGGCTTCATTTGGATAATCTTCCTCGACCTGGTCGGCGGGGGCGGGAGGGCAAATGACGTATCCTTGGTCTCTTTGGCGGTGGAAGACCTCCGGCGGGATTTAACAGTCTCGGCGGCCTGCAACGGATACGGGCCTTGGGGGGAGCTCAAGGGCGGCGGTGCGTAGGCAGAGTGTGTGGGGGTCGTGTGCTTCGCATCTGTAGGAGAGACGCGAGCACCATCGTGTAGGGCGGGCGGAGGGAGCTCAAAGGAAAGGTGTAGGGACGATAACTGTTGAACGCCGTCCTTGCCCTTGATATCCGTGGAGGAACCAGGGGTAGGGGGAAGGGCAGGGCGCGGCATGGCGGAGACTGATGGTTAAAAAGGCCTCTTGGCTCGGCAGCAACGGCTCAGCTGGGTTAAACCAGGTCACGGCATGCAGTAGCTTGCACGCTGCGATTTGCTGGGCGTCGAGGTCCAGGGACTCGAGGCACGCGGCCAAGTACCGAGGACTGCGAGCTACGCAGTCACCTGTCCGGGACGAGCAGTGCCGTACGTACCCACGGGCGTGTAAGTGACCAGACACGCGATATTTCGATGGGCCGTTCCAGCGGACGGGGGGGCCGTGCCGCAGGTACTGGCTAGCTAGTTTCGATGAGGGCCCGAACGGGACAGACGGGGGCAGGACGGGGGGCCCACGGGCAGACGTGCGTGCGGTATGCGGCGACTGCGGCGAGGGAACCTTTGGGTGCTGTGCCCAGTGTTGTGCTGTGTCGGAAGGGGTGGGCGCGGCTGTGGGCTGCGCGGCAATGGGGATCCGGGCTGCGCTGCGGCGGCGACGGCGGGCGGGCGGGTCGTAACGTACGTAGTCACGCCGGACGACTCACACGAGCTGGAGACTGGGCGAGCGTACGGGTAGAGTCAAGCGAACACGGGCCAGCTGTTCTTTGTATGGCGGCGATCCGTCGGCTGTCCCCTATCTCGGTCCTTATCTAAAGGCGCTCTCTGTCGGTTGATTGCGGACCCGTGAAAGCGAGGGAACGGGCTCGAAGAGGGTGGTGGTTTTTGGGCGCGTGGCACACAGGTGGCGGCCCAGGCGGTCGAGATAGCAGGCGGCCGGTGTAAGTGGGACTTGCGCGACGGTCGACTCGAGAGGGTGGTCGGCAGCGTGGAAGTTCCAAAACGAGGGGATCACAGGCGAGCAGCAGCGTCGGCGAGCGTCGAAGGGGTTTGCGAGAAGGGGGAAGAGGAAGAGGAAGAAGAGAGGAAGGGGAGATGGGGGATGGGAAGGAGATGGGTAGGTTGGAAAGATAGGTAAGGCAGTTACGGCACGGCGAGACAGTCTTTCCTTCCACAACAACCGACCGACCACCTGTTGGTACTTGTATCCGGCACTGTGCCTACTGAAGATACGCCTTGGGCTGGGGGCATGGATGGGCACGAGCATGGGCAGCAGCATCCCTCCCCCGTGGATGGACGAGTGGATTGATGGATGGATGGCTGGCTGGCTGGCTGGCTCAATCCATTCCCTCTCCTCGATTGGGGCTCCCGGCCCGCACCCCGTGGGCAGCAGAAAAACAAGCCGAGCCGACCAAAAGGCGCCGGACGGAGGCAAGCCAAACCCACGGGGCGGGCGATTTGCAGCGTCCGCGTGCATCCACGACGTGCGGCGGGCGGGCGGGCGAGCGAACGGCCTCGACGCTCGACGACAGATTGACCAAGCATCATCGAGAAAATGGTCGCGTGCTCGCCGAGGCGCTGCGTGCCGGCCCGCGAATCACAGCGCCGCCCTCGCCCATGTGGGCAGACTCCCGTCTGGCGGTGGGGGGGGGGCCTTGCGGCTTGGTGCCTCCCGGGCCCCCAAGCTCCTGTCGCTAGGTCGCTGTGTTGAACAACCGTGGAAGACACACCTTCAAGACGGATTTGCCGTCAGGGTCCCGCCCGCGCCCACGCCCACGCCCGCCGTCCCCGAGTTCATGTTGCATGCGCATGAGCATGGCATGGCATTGGGGCATGGCATGCCTCTACGAGCACACAACAGTACAGTACCCAACTGTACCTCGACCCGGCGGCGCCGCAGAGCGAGCACTCAGCAGCACAGCACAGCACCGACCCTCACCGTAAACGATGCACATCACGACGACGACGACACCCGTCAACCGACCACTGCTAAAAGCAAACTGCGCCTCCGTCCTCCACCCCCAGCAAGCAAGCATCCATCCAAGCATCCAAGCACCGGCAAATGGCAGCCTCTCTCCACCCGCACGGGGCTCCGGCGCCCCAAGCCAGCCAAACTCCTCCCGCCCCCCTTGCCCTCCCCCCCGGTTGCAGTCGTGATCGTGTGAGGGTTCCCTGAGCGAGCACGTGTCCACCTTGCCACCCCGTTCGCGAGCGAGCGACGACAACGGGCTGCGCTTGGAACGCCAGGCACGCACGCGTCCGGGACTGCGGCACCCGCGATGGCTTGCCCGCCCACCGTGCGAAGCCGAACGAAGAGGGGAAAAGATCACTGAGTCGAGAGAAAACGGGGCTCGATGCAAACCCGAGGCTGTACGACGACATTGATGAAGAGCGGTAGTGACACTCCCCCCGGGAGTGACGTGAGTCCCCCAGTAAGTGGCCTGTGCTCCTCTCGCGAGGCACAGCATCGGATCGCGTGTCACGCATATAACCGCAGAAAACCATCAACAACAAGTACATAATAACGGTACATATGCCGCGCGTCCAACAACAGGCGCGTGAGGGAAATGTCCCCCTTCGTCCCCGCGGATACGGAACCCGATGAAGAACGTTCTGCAAGGTAGAAACCACCCTTCGCATCCTGGGCTTTTTGACACCGGACAGCGCCCTCCCCGTCTCCCGTCGAGCCCGAGAGCTGAGACGTCCCCGGCAAGTTCCAGCCCCATCTCACGCACGACAACCCTTCCCTCCCCCCCCTTGGCACCTCGTGTGAATGCATGCACAGTATTCGGTACACCCTCTGGTCCAGTAGGTACAACGTTCTCACAGTACGTTCGTCCCGAGTAGTAAAAGCTCCCCCCGGGCAAGAATTGCGTGAGCCCGCCCCAAAAAGGGGGACGACGCAGGACAACAACCCAAGGTTTTCCGGGGTTTCATCGACGACACACCCAGGCGACGCAACCTTCATCATCTGTCGCATGGACAATGCCACCCACGCAGCACAGCACAGCAAAAGCACATGCCTACCTCCTCCTCCCTCACCTTGTGAGGTGAGGTCCCAGTCTTCCCCCCCTCCCCAATCATGTTAAATCCAGACCCCATCGAAAGAAGGGCCAAGCTTTCTTGGCCCCCCTGTTAGAACCTCCTCTGCGCGAGCGCTTGTGCAACCCCAACCTTACTCGTACGACGCCAGCGCCATCCGGCTCCACCGAACATGGAGAGAAATGCCTGCCTGCTCTTTCGCAAGGTGACCCCCCTCCCCCCTGGCAAGCACTCCCTCCCTCCTCCACAGGCGGGCATGTGCTTCGTACTATGCCCCCCCGGACGGGTTCACCGCGCCGCCGAGCTGAAGGTTCATCAGTGACGGAGTGCTACGTACTATTTGCTTGGCCTTGTTTTTTTTGTGCCAGCCATGCATGGGTGGCTGGCTGCCTGTTGCCATGCTCCCTTTACCCTTTTTGTGACGGCATGCGCAGCAAGGACCACCCCTTGCGACGATACGACCCTCTCTCTTACAAAGTAAACGCGCGCTGTCAATGCCAAGTCATTTGTCAGATGGGGCGGCCACACAGGCAGCTTTCATTAAGTCGTAAGAGCCCTCCCTCTGCAGCTACGTTTTGAAATGTGCTTCCCACGCGGAAGCGTCCTAGATGGTGTTTACATGCGCCGCCGTCGATGCCAGTCGGCTCGAATGAATGGGCCAGGCACTGAGCCTCTGTCCTCCTCTCCTCGACGGAATGATCCAATTACATCAACCAACCGACCCCTCTCTCCCTTTTAAACCTCGTTGCTCGGGTACTCGACCTTGGTGGTCGCGTTAAACTCCTCCTTGATGGCGCGCATGTTGACGAAGCGCGTCAGCAGGTTGGGGCTGCCGGCCTTGTCGTCGGTGCCGCTGGCGCGCGAGCCGCCAAAGGCCTGCTGGCCCACGACGGCGCCGGTGCTCTTGCAGTTGATGTAGAAGTTGCCGGCGGCGTTGCGCAGCTTCTCCTCGGCGAACCGCACGGCCTCGCGGTCCGCGGCGAAGATGGATCCCGTCAGGCCGTAGTCGGAGGTGCCGTCGACCAGCTCGCACGCCTTGGCGAAGCTGTCCGGGGCGGCGTCGTCGTAGACGTAGACGGTCAGGATGGGGCCGAAGAACTCGGTCGACAGGAACTTGTGGGCGGGGTTGGAGGTCTGGTAGATGGTGGGCTGCACAAAGTAGCCCTTGGAAGAGTCGTAGGCGCCGCCCGTCAGCAGCTCCATCTCCTTATCGGCGTTGGCCTCGTCGATGGCGCCCGACAGCTTCTTGAAGGAGGCGGCGTGGATGACGGGGCCCATGAAGTTGGAGTGGTCCCAGGGCTGGCCGACGGTGAGCTTCTTGGTCTCGGCGACGAGCTTGTCCTTGTACGCGGGCCAGATCGACTTGGGGACGTAGACGCGCGAGGTGGCGCTGCACTTCTGGCCCTGGAACTCGAAAGCGCCGCGAACGGTGTGGATGGCGGCATTGTCCACGTCGGCCGACTTGTGGATCAGGTGGAAGTTCTTGCCGCCAGTCTCGCCGACGATGCGCGGGTACGACTTGTAGCGGCCCTCAGCGACACCCTGGCCGATGGCACCGTACAGCTTGCGGAAGACGGCCGTGCTGCCGGTGTAGTGCAGCGCGGCGAACTCCTTGTGGCCGAGAGCGACCTTTGTGATCTCCTCGGGGTTGCCGGGGACGAACTGGATAACGTCCTTGGGCAGGCCGGCCTCGACCAGGATCTTGTAGACGAGGTAGTTGGAGGCGATGGCGAAGTCGCTGGGCTTCCAGACGACGACGTTGCCCATGAGGGCGGGGGCGCCGGGGAGGTTGCCGGCGATGGCGGTGAAGTTGAAGGGGCTGACGGCGTAGACGAAGCCCTCAAGCGGGCGGTACTCGAGGCGGTTCCAGACGCCGGCGGCGTTGTGCTCGGGCTGCTGGTTGAGCAGCTCCTGGGCGTAGTGGACGTTGAAGCGGAAGAAGTCGGCGAGCTCGGCGGCGGCGTCGATCTCGGCCTGCCAGGCGTTCTTGCCCTGGCCGAGCACCGTGGTGGCCATGATCTCGTAGCGGTACTTGCCAGCGACCAGGTCGGCGGCCTTGAGGAAGACGGCGGCGCGGTCGGCGAAGGGGAGCGCCTCCCAGGCGGGCTTGGCGGCGAGGGCGGCATCGATGGCCTTGGACACGTCGGCGGGCGTGGCCGTGTGGTAGTTGGCCACCTTGGTCGCGTGGTCCGACGGGTTGAGCTGGTGGGAGAGCGACGACGTCTTGATCTGGGGGCAAGGGTCAGCGGCGGCGGTCACTCGCAGGCATCCAGCGTTGGCAGTGCTCGACCAGCGATGGCGGGACTTACCTCCTTGCCGCCGACGACGACGGGAACCTCGAGGGGCAGCTTCTGCTGGAGCTGCTCGATGGCGGCCGTGAGGCCCTGGCGCTGGGCGCTGCCCTTGGCGTAGTGGTGCTATTTCCAGTCCTCCCGTCAGCGATGCCGATCCACAAAGGCAGAAGATATCCGGAGAGGCCATCCCCAGAGTCGTCAACGAGGTAAACTCACGTTGGGCTCGTTGGCCACCTTGGGGGTCCTCCAGGTGGCGAGGGTGCCCATGCTCATGCGCTGGGCGGGCGCGCGGCTGCCGGCGCACCGCAGGCCCTGGGCGCTGGCCCTGCTGAACATGACCGACTTCATCGTGGAGCGCTGGTGCTGTCTGTGCTTGACAAACGGTCCAGAGGAATCGAGACGACGAGGGCGATGACGAGGACGAGGAGGGATGAAGATGGTCGACGTCCGGGGCGTGGTGGTGGAGGGAGGCTCGCCGATTCGGTGGGTTAAAGGCGACGAACACCACTTTTCCTCACCACCACCGCAACCGCACAGCTTATGTGTCGCGTCGAGGAAAGCTCCCTTCGGCTTATCGCGGTTTAAATGCACCAGGGCGGGGCCTGCAGTGGGTCAGGGCCCCATGACGTTCGCCGCTACAGGCGCATCTGGGCTTCCCCGGCTTCCATGTTCCAGGGGCCTGCTGGGCTCAACCCACGCAGTGCTGGGGGGGGAACCCGAGCCGGCGCTCCGCCATTGGCCAATCGCCCACTATCCGCCACCGGCACCTGCGCCGACAGGACGGGGGGGCGGTTGGGCGTCCCCCCGACTTCGGCCTCCCGCCCTCACCGTCCCACACCTTGGTTCCCGTGTCGAGCCGTTCGTGCGCCTTCGCCTCTGATGCAGATTGATATCACACGACTAATGGAAACTGTACGTATGGCGCACGATTGCTCAAACGTGTGTCTCCGTGACCGCCCCAAAATTTTAGAGCCCACCCGCGCGTGCGCGAGCCGTGCCTTGCCGCGCCCCCGGATTCTCCGACTCTGTCTTCCCCCAGACGAGACAAGACCCAGCTTGGAACGCTGTCTCTCCGCCAACCGGACCTGACAAGGGGCAGTCAGTCGGACACGGGCACGCAACGACAACGCCACCGCTGCGACCATCACGGCAGAAAAAGGAACATTCATATCAAATACTCGATTGACAGGCTCTACACACATAGTAGTCACACACTGCCCGACACCCAGCCTACTTCACCACTGGACAAGAGCAAGCTAGGCTCACAGTCTCCCGCAGTGCATTTCCATCCGTGTCTCCTCCTCGATCTTCTTCTAGGAGCAAGTGGCGGGATCCTGCTGATCGATCGGCTTCCGACGGTTGATCTTGACCGTGCACTTGTTGAAAAACTTATGGCACTGCGATCCGCAAAGTCAGCGCCGGTCACACGCCAACAACATCTCATATGCGAGAACCCTCGTAGAAAGGGGCGGGAGGGGGGCGATCACTCACCTGTGCGTTTGCCTTGCACGGCACCTCGTACTTGACATTTTGATAGTAGTATTCGCAGTGGTTTGTATACTTGGTGAAGCATTGCTGTTGGATGGAAAGGGACCTGGTCAGCCCATCTTGCTCTCTCTCTCTCTCTGTCTCTCTGTCTCTCTTTACTGGATATCAAATATCATGAAGGGCAATTATTCGTTACGTACCCCTTCGATGCTGGCAGGCATGGATTCGTCCTTGGGGGGCCTGGACATGGCGCTCCCGGCATTGACCCCGGAGATGGCCATGACTGCGAGTCCAAGAGTCCACTTCATATTGACGTGTGCGAAAATTGCAACAAGAATATTGTAGCGGTAATAGTAAAAGGGCGTAAATGTAAATTGTAAACTGAGGCTGGATGTTGGCTGTGAGCAACAGACTCTTCAACGAGGCGACAACCGTCATCATTTATACACGACATGTTGCTCTATAAGTTGACGCATCCCAGTGTCCAAGCGAACAAGTTGAGCTCTACTCAGAATAGCATTCAACGCGTTCCCACGCCTGAATATAGTTCGTCGCGAAAAAAGTGGCATGGAGCGACGCGTGCGAGCACTTTGTGAAATTTCACGGACGCATACGTAATTCGGGGTAGGGCCCGAAACGAAACGCATAAAAAGGCTGATACAAGTGTTTGTTGCCAAATGTTCAACTACGTGTCGGAGTGTGTCGCGCAGTCTCCCCTCCGAACCACGGACCCGAATCTCAGCTCGGCAACACGGACCCCGCGACGTCCAGCCAGCACTGGCAATGCACGGAACTAAGCATTACTATGCGAGGTAGAAAATACGAGGTGCCAACTAAGGTAGATGTGACAATACTTGTACAGCAAGCACAGGATACTCCAGCAAGCCCGTTGCACCCAACTACAAAAACTATCCAACTTTTCGTCTGCATCTCGAAATCCAAAGCATCTTCATCTTGGTATCTCGCGTCGTCGTCATCCTTGCGCAATAGGTATCCCATCAAAACACATCCTCGTGTCGGCTCACACAGCACGAGCCCACCAACTGTCACAAGGCCCTCGCTGTGACACGCATGGCCGTTAACGCGTCGACCCCGGTGTCGCCCGCCCGGACGCCGGTCGTTTCTCGTACCGTAGCGAAGGCACGGTGAAGCCATAGCCCTGGGTCTTGCCCTCGGGGTCGTGTTGGTCAATCTCGACATTGATGCAAATGTCCAGACTGCCATCGTTGCCGCGTCCGTGCGTCTCCGGACTCGCGGCCTTGTGCTTCGTACCGGCATCCACCTCTCCGCGGTGCATCTGCGCGTGTCCGTCTCTCCCCAAGAACGACTCGATAGAGCTTCCGTTCTGCGCCAGTCCGTCGACATTGTCTCCCGGTGCCGTTGGCGAATTCTCCGTCAGCATGGCAAAGTTACGGCTAGGCATCGTGCAATGGTTGCCGTTGGCCGTCTTTGACGAGTCGCCAGGGTCCTTGTCGAAAAAGTCGAGCAGCGTCTCATCTGTGTCGCGGTTCAAGTGGTGGATCTTGTTCCTTTTAGCCAGAAGATTTGCAACCGCCGCAGGCGGCGGTTTGTTGACAATAGCCGACGACACGACGTTGGCCATGTACCGGTTGTCCTGCTCGACCGGCACCTTGAGCTTTGGGTTGGAGTAGAACCGTCCCAGGGCGGCCAAGTGCACGTCGCCTCCGAGAATCGTAACGCGAACAGAGTACTCTGCAGCAATCGCCTGCATCTGCTCAATGAGCTGAGCGCGTTCAACCTTGTGCGTCTTTGCCGTGTAATGGTCGTCCAAGTCGTCCAGCAAATCTACGCTGCCATCAAAGTGGTTGAAGAGACCCCCGCCGAGGCCAAAGCGGCGGTTTAGAAACTTGATGGGCCCGATGATGGGGCTGCGTAGAACGTTTTCGAGCCACGTGAGGCGCTACTTCACCGTCAGCAACCTTCTGTCTTGCTGTGGAACATGGAGCTCATACCGGATACGCAATGGGAATGCCGAGGAGTAGGATCAGGTGCTTGATGGGCTGCGACGAGCCTGCCGCAGCGTTCAGCTCGCTCCGCACGCGCTCGAAGATGAGCTGATATGTTTCGGGATAATTGACTTGATGTCGAGTTCGCTGTGTCATACCGTAAGCAATTTCGTCCGCATACAGCATGGCGTGCATCGTCTCACCTCAGTTCTTGCGTCGAGCCCCACGAGGGCGATGCGAGCCCCGAGTCGGGTGAACATGTTGAACGAGTGCTCGGCGACATATGGCCCGGGCTTCTTGCCGACAATGTACTGCTTGTCCGACCTTTGCGGCGCGACAAAGGTGTCGATGAGCTGGTTCGGGTCGGGGCCCGGAGACTCGCCGTCAGAGTCGAGATGATCTGGTCAGGTCAGTTCGGCCGCGCCTCCATACGTCGTCCAACTGAGACTCACCCGAGGTGTACGTCGACGCCGGCGGAGGCAGGTGGTGCTGAAACAGCATGTAGTACTTGTGCGCAGTGCCACCGATTCCGCGGAACACGTCACATCGCATGAAGTGGTCGGTGTATGAGCCGAACCCATCGATAATCTGCCCGCACTGTCAGCAAGCGTCACTCCGGCCCGGCAAAATGCTAGTGACTGACGTCGTGGTCGTCCCAAATGTTGAGCTGGGGGATCTGTCCATTGGCCGAGGCAAAAGGCTTCGAGCTGTACCAGCGAATGTAGTTCTTGAGATAGTAGTCGTCGCATTCGGCCCGGAGCGTCTCGGGGAACGGGAAGTCGCGCCGCTTCTTGGGATTTCCAATGTCGGTCCACGGGCGCAGCGGGCCGTTGACTCGAATGCCGTCGTTGTAGATCTGGTCGCCGCCGCCAACCATGACGTGGAAAGGGGCGCGCTCGTGCTTGCGCATCACGTCGTTCCACAGCGGCGCGCCGCTGAAAGCTTCCTCGTCGGTGCCGACGCTGAAGCCGTTGCACGAGTGAAACATGATTCGCATGGACTCGCTGGCTGCGGGGACGAAGAAGCTGTTGACCTGGGGCTTGTACTTGCTGGCGAAGCGCACGTCGGGTATCTCATACTCGTACTTGGTCTCAGCGGATTCAATTGGCACGTCAATGGGGAACGCCCAGAATGTGTTGCGCTTGTCGGAATACAGGCGCTCTGCCTCGAAACGCCTGTCGGCGGAGGTGCCATTGACAGCCCCGTTGGCGCCGTTGAGGCCGTTGGCGGCGGCGGGAGAGGGCTGCCTGGCGCTGTCAACCCGTCGCAAGATCAGCGTCGGCTGATAAAGAACGTCTTTGCCGCCGCCATTCATGACAATCAGTACGCTTCCGTACCACCGCCCTTCTTCCATGCGGCGATAGTTGAGCAGCGGGCCGCAGGCGACCTCCCGGCCGTCATGCGCCTCGCTTGGCGCTTGCTGACCGGCGGCTTGCGGAGCCTGTCCCGCGGCGACCGTGATGGGTTGATGATTGCCACTGCTGGCTCCATCGCCCTTGGGCTCAACGCGAGACGAGTTCAGGAAGTCGGCAAGGGGCTCTGTCGTGCCGCTATTGACGGGATCGCGCGCCTGGGAACCTGCATGCTTGTGAAAGGCCGCCGACTCCTGGTGTCGCCATCGACTCGCGGAAGAGTACGGGTTATGCTCAAGCTCCGGGCGGAGGTTGCCATTGTCGTCCTGCGATGCCATATTCGTCGCCGGCTCGTCTGAGATGTGCTCTGTCGGATTGGAAGCTGCCGTGAGTGCTTAGTGTTGGGCCACAGGTGGGCGAGGCGACGTATTTACGCCGGAACGCCTACAGTGTCTCAGAGAGAGGTGCCCGATGTTGTGGTCGCCTCAAGCTACCAGACAATATGCGCCCGCTTGCCTTGTACGAATACCGTCTCGTGGGGCCTCGTCGCGATTGCCTTGCTGGACGGAGGTTTGAACCGAGGCGTTGAGGCAAGGAGAGATTGGCGATGGGTGCTTGCAGCGACAGCAGAGAGCTCGAGGGAGCTTGGGAGGATGCGCTGAGCCGCCGTGTGTGACGCCATGGGCTGGGCGCAACCTGCTCAGGCGGACCAGGATGGCTTGCCTTGGCGCAAGCCGTCCGAGCTACTGCTCACAAGCTAGGTCGAGGCAGGCCAATTGCAGGGCATCTTGGGCAAATCTTGGGCAAACCGAGGCCTGTGGTTGGCCTGCAATCTGCAGCAAGCCGTGGCATGACATGGGCGTTTCCGCGTGCTCATCTCGTCGCCCTGCCAGCCGGATGCTGGGCCGCGGGCATGCGCGCGAGCGCGTGGACAGAGCACGGGTGCCAGGTATTCCATCCACCTCGCCCCATCGACGAGCCGAGCCTGCGTGCTTGGCGCGTGCTGCCTGAAGTTTCTGTGTCTGCAAGCGAGCCGCGAGGTGCCGCACATCGTTGGGTTCTCGTAGGAGTTGAATTGCCACGAAGCACATGCACATGCAACGAACATCGACGACCTCGTTCGCAGACGATCGTCGCGTTGGCCCTAGGGTTCGATCCGCAGCGCTCGTCGTTGACTTCTCCATTGGAGAATTAGGATCGGCAAACTGTTGGCAGTCAGCTGCCGCTACACAATCACCAGCGCCAGTCGCTGCATGCCCTCGACGTCACTGACTGGAATCGATACCCATAATGCCTTTCTGCCTGCCATATCCCGAGAGACGAGGATTAGCATGCTGCTCAACTTGTGTGGAGCGCCAGAACAAGCTCTGGTAGCGTGGCGCCGCACAGGGCTGATGTAGGGTAACGATCTGCGAACCACAATGCTCCCAAGATGGTTGACGACGACATGGCATCTTCGTTCTACTCGGTCCGGTGAACCTTGGCAATAGCGTCTTTCCCGCGGTCTGGTCACCGTTTGGCATGATCTCGATCACGGTGCTTGACCGCATTTCCCATGCTGCCCGTGATCCAGGGGCGACGCGGGGGAATGCAATGGTCTCGCCTCAAAGACAAGCGTGCAACGGGTTCGTACTAAGCATAATAAAGAAGGTGGGTGTCATGTGTGGGAAAAACCATAACGATCTGCTTCAGAGAGCATTTGAAACAATGCCGAAGCACTTCGGGACGTTGGTTGCAAAAGAAACGATGAGCCTCCATTTGATTCATGATTGCACTCGAGCCATGAGCCCAGCCTCGACTGGCGTGGAAGGCACGATGGGCTGGCTCCATGCACCCACCATGCCATGCGTGTCTAACACCCCTGCCATTCGGATGACATAAGCACAACGCAACGGATTCCAATCGCGCACGAAATTTTCCGCCGTCGTCCGCCAGCTTGCTCTTTTCATCACATTCACTCACAGTCTCTGCCGAGCGTCATTCTCGCCGCGACAGCCGGGCGAAGTCGACGTGGCGAGGGCCATGACGGGTACTCGAGTACTTGCTTACTTGCTTTGACAAGGCAGCTGTCATGGACCTGTCCGTTCCACGCCGACAACAGCCTCTGCGCACGCGACAAGCGTCGTTCCGCCCTGCCTGGCATGCACCGCATCTTCGATGACCTTCGCCAAGTAGCGGTCAAATGATGCGCAGCGCTACCAAGACGTTAGTCGCGAGGTGTCAGACGAGTTGCTCCGGCCTTTTCGTGGCCGTCGGAGCTTGATGCGTGCCGGCTCGAGACAGTGATCCAGAATTTCCTTTGCTCGCCATGACGGAGGCAGCAACGACGGCATATGTGTGTACAGCAATGGGCTTCTCTCCGTACCCGAACTGCTGAAGGATTTACCAACGTGCCAAGACGAATACTTCCTCATCATTACCAAACACCTCTGCTCTGCTTTCCACAGACCCTGGTGCATGAAGATGGGGATACATACATGCATGCCATTCTGTGCATAATAGGATCGACGGCCACTAGTGCCGATGGACAACAAGTGCTGCGTGTTGTTGCTGCCAGAAGGGGGACGAGGCTTGGCAGTAAGGCACGCCATTCCGTCTGAGACAGGCCCGGGCATGCTAGAAATGGCGGCGAAAATGCGCCGTGCTAGATGTGGAAATGGGATGTCTACCAATTCGTATTGAAGGCGTCGTTGCTTTGTATGCCGGCCACACGCAGAGAGCGTCGGGCTACCGAGGCACCAGACGGTCAAGACTTGGCCTGTCAATCCGGGGCGTGGTGTCCTCGTACGGATAACCTTGACTGGAAATCCGACGCACCCAGCCAGCCCGCACCGAACCAGTCTGTAAATGAGCCAAGCAGGCTGATGGGCTTACAAGCAACTTGCGCATCTCCAGCCGAGCCTGGGCTGACGACGACATTCTCGTACCACACCAAAAGGGGAGTGTACGTCGGCATCGATTCATGCCCAACGTGCATGCAGCAGCTCGCGGATGACGAACAGGCTAATGCAAGGACAGCTGCCTCAGCTGAGCGCTAGGAAGGCGACGTGCAACGTGCCTCTTCACAATTCGACGACAAGTGTGGCTGGAGCGCAGGGCGAAGTTCGCCTTGTGAGGACAGTCGCGGTTCGCCGATGGTGGTTGGGTCCGCGGTGAGAGTCGGTTGAGGTGAGTTGAAGGCTACTCAGGTGAGATTCGTCGATGCGGTGTGAGATGTGCTCCGCGCTCCACAGTGAGACGGCAGGCGTTGAAAGCGGGAGCAGCTGTTTTGCATGCATGAACAGCAAGGCACATTGTCGTCGTCAGCCAACTCATGGCAACATTGGGCTTTGTCTCGGGCTTCTCTGTACCCGTATGTCCTCGCTGGAAGCAATACTCCGTGGCAGCGAATCCTCCGTGGCGGCCACGGCAATAGCTGAGGTCTCAAACAAGCGAACGCAATTTACAGTTCTTGTGTCATACGGCGAGGGTTCGCCTCCAAGACTGGCGGTCAAACCTTTACAACACGTCAGTTATACAGCACTTGGACTTGATAAACGACGTTGAGGAGCGGCCGGAACAAAGTGGGAACAGGCGCCACCAAGGACCGTAAACGCGGCAAGGAGCCAGCCACATCTTGCCACTCTGTGCGTTGCTTCTGTCTGTAAGCGCGAGCCGCAGGCAAGAAGCCGTTGCGGTCGTGGCCACTGTCGTCGTCGTCGTTGTCGTCGATGAATCAGACCGGGACCAGGGCCAGGAGTCCCAGAACCAAGGCACCTGCCAGGGGGGCTCAGACGGGACAGTGATGAATGATGAGAGGAAAAAAAGAAGTGCTTGGCAAGCCGACGTGAGACAAGGCGGGACCCAGGAGACCGGGGCCGCGGCCCTGTTGCGCGCTGGAGAAGGCAAGGAAGGGACTGGGGGGCATGTGGTCGCACAGCGGCATGCAGACATGTAACTGGGGGGGTGGCTGCGGGTGCTTGGTTCTGTGCGACGCCCCCGAAGAGATGCATGCAGTGCGACACCATGCACGATGTCGCTGGTACGACAGTGAACGGGCAGACGGGAGGGCGGCCATGGCCGGCCGGGGAGGTGACGATGCGTGGCGGCGGGCGGAGACATTGGCCACGGCTCGATTGAGGCGGTCTGAGGGCGGGCCGTCGATCTGGCCAGTCGGCCGTGTTTCAAGGGCATTGGCGCATTGCCAGTCATTCAATCACTCATTGCAACAGGAGGGAACGGGCAAGACGGGGTGGTGCGATGCGATGCGCTGCCCGAGCACGTAGCGCGTGATGCCTCGACGACCGTGGTCCTTGATACTGCGCCTCTGGTACGGAGTACAACGGGCGCGGGCTTTTAAAAGGCCCGGCGTTGTGCCACGTTCCATGGCGGGTGCCATAAGGTAGGTATTGCATCATCGCCCGTGTCCCAGAGACGGCATCAGGCATTGCAAGGTCGCGCCCGGCTCGGGGAGACAGGACCGGGCAGCCGCTGCCATCACACGACAATGGGGTGCACCCACATGGGCTGGGCTGGGCTCATCGCGCTGGCGCAATCTCGGTGCCGTGATGCGAAAGGCAGATATATTAGGTTTCCCGGGTAATAACATTGCGCGGGCAATGCGCATCTGGTAAGGCGACGGCGGCGATATTTGGCGCGGGCTATTGATCTCGGGAAAGCCCACCGTCATCACTGCACGTCCAGCCCCAGCCAGCTCCGGCGCCCCGGCGGGCGGGCACTCGCCGACGGGATGGATGGGGTCCAAAAAAAACCCCCCCGGCGGGCCTCCTCCCCAGTGGTAAATCCGTCCCAGCGCTGGAGCGCGGCGCCACACCGCGCCAGAACCTTTCCAGGGGCGCCGTTTGGGGCGGGCCCATGCCGTTTCCAGCAGCCCCAGCGCCAGGAACGGGGGGCCCGGGGGACGGTGCGCCTCGCTTGGCTCAAGATGGAGGGGCGGCGAGCGGCAGCCGCACTGGATCCCTTCCCCCCCCCCGAACGCCACCACAAGCAGCGTCACCTCCCCACTCCAGCTTTTTTTTTTCTTCCATTCTCTTCCCAAGGGCTCGGGGCCTGTTGGTACCTACGAAGCGTGTGTGTGCGCCGTCCGTACCGACGACGTCTGGGACTGGAATCCGCGCGGTGCCAGCACCAGAGACACGCAAGACACGGCCGGCAAAGCAACGGGCAAAGAAGGAAAGAATGCAACAAGCGAGAGCACGCACGCACGCCGGTTTCTCAGCGGCGTGTCTGGCCACACACCCCTCGGACGGAACGCGTGAGCGACGTCTGGTGCACTCCGCAGCGTGTGTCTGGGACTCTGCGGGCGGGGCGGCCATGAGGGTGCAGCAGCGCGCAGGCGGCGCATGTGCACGCAGTGTTGGTACCGATGCGGGCGAGCTGAAGCCGTTTTGCCTCAGAACCCCCATGGGTTGGTCGAGTTCGTGGGCTGTTGAAACCGCGCCGCGACGACACGGCGGCGGATTACTCCGTTGCACGTCTTCCCCCCCCTCCTCCCTCCCTCCGTCCAGCGGCGTGCCCGCCCGAGGCAGACTTGGCGGGACGAGCGCATCGCCGCGGGCGCGCGCTCAGCAATGGAACCTGAAGGAGGGGAAAGGGGGGGGGGGGGGGCCCGGCTGTGAAAGTTGTTCGCGGGCCCGGCCCAGCTGAAAGCCAGCGTGATGCAGCATAATGCGGTGCGCGCGGAGGCTGAAGAGCTCGACGACGACCCAGCAAGGTCCCGCATGTTCTAACCTGAACGGACCTGGACATGCATCGCCCCCCCGGCCGCCAGGGTGCGCTCGCCGCCGGCACATGAGGCGAGGGTCGAATGAAGGGTCCAAGCAAGGCCCACCCGGCCACCAAAACCTTGGGCGGCCCGGCCTGCTGCTGCTTGGCCTTGAAAGTTTGGCCTTGCCTCGCGCCGTACGCGCCGCGTGGGCTGGTCGGCAGGCCGCTTATTATTCACCACGGCCGGCGTTTGAGGGATGCCAAGCCGCCCGCCTGTTTCCTGAGGTGTTTGTCTGCCTGTCTGCCCTGAGCTCGCCGACCAAATGCGAACCCGTTTCGGCCGGCACCTGTACCTGTACTTTGTGCTCGCAAATGCAGGAGCACCCGCCGGCCAACTCAGGCGTCCAAACCAGGTACTGGAACACCGCCCTGGGCCAACCTGGAACCCCTTGCCCGATGCATCAACGTCCATCAATGGATCCCTCCTGCCTGCCTCGTTCTGCCCGTGCTGCTCCTTCTGCTGCCCACACACCTGCCGTAGGGAGTCGCCCGCTGTCTAGAAGTCCGTCCACTCTGCACTCCAGGGCCGTACCTCAGGCAGCTCGGGGCATGTACCTATCTCCAGGGCTGGCAAGTGGCTGCGGGATGCCGCTGTACTGCTGTCCTGCCCTAACGCCAGGCCGCCCTCCCCCCCAGTCCCTCTTCACCTTACCCGAGCTGGTAGCACCTCGAACATCATTCTTTTTGATCGCTCCCCCAGCCCGTGCCTCCGGTCCGTCCTCAGACTCGCCCTCCCCTGCAGTCCAACCCATCAAATCTCCTTGTCTGACTCGTCGCCCTGGCCCCAGGGAGACCAGCGCGCCCCCGGAGCGCTTCTCTCAATCTCCGGCCTTCCGATCGGGAAGCGACGTAATCGACAGCCGGCTTTTGCGCCTCGCCTGAGCTACCCTTGCCGCTGGTCTCGTCTCGTCTCCTCATCTAAAGGGCACCCCGTCCCCTCCCTCCGGCCCATCTCGTGGTTCATCTCGCGTTCCCATGTGGAGGATCAGGATCCAGCCCCCGTTGCCGCCGCGTCCAGCCTCTGTCCCCGTCCCCGTCTCCGTCTCGTCGGCGACCTCACATCAGCAGCAGCAGCAGCAGCAGCCGCCGGCACTGTCGCCCTTGTCATCCTCGTCGTCACCGTTTGCGCGCACCTCGAGCGCCTGACGCGACCAACGGCGGCAATCTCCTACGCCTCAGCCTGCGCCGTTCCCTTTTGCCCGCGCTGCCTTTGGTTGGTTGGTCACCTAAGCGGGTGCTCTGCCGGCCAGAGCACGGCAGTCAGTCGACCGACCTCACCAATGTTGCATTAACCTCTCCCATCCGTCACACGGCTCGGCACGGCACGGACGTCGTCTCGCGAGCAGCACCGACGTCGCTTTCGCTGACGCGCCCTCACATCGGGGCTTGCCCTGCACACCGACCGCCCGCTCGCAACCCTCATTCCGGCAGCAACCAGTCTCACGGTCGTGAGCTCTCTGTCCGCCGTTCACATCACCATGGCTGCGCCAGCCGTCGAACGCTCTCGATCTCAGTCGAGCCCCGACATCTTCGGACTGCCATTGTTCGGCGCCGAGTCTCCTGCAAGCGCCCCAGCGACCTCTCATGGCGAGGGAGCCATTGACTGGAAGAGCTGGGGCGACCTGCCTGCGTTTGAGGTGCCTTCATTCAACACCGATTTCCATCTGGATACCACTGTCTTCACCAATAAGAAGCAGAGCCAATCTGCGCTGGATGCTGAGCCACAACCAACGCCCCAGACTAAGCCAGTGGTGTCACAGCCGGCATCAAGACCAGCGCCCAAGGACCACCCCAAGGAACAGGCCGCCGCGAAGCAACTTCCAAAGCCAGGGGCTTTGGCGCGGTCAAAGACGGGTTCGCTGATTCACCGACCGCGCTCATGGCTCTCGTCTAGTTCCAAGTCGTCGAGGAAATCAGCAAAAGAGGAGCGCCTGAACAATCAGCCCACGGCCAAAGCTGAGCCTGTCCCACCCAACCCGACGCCATCCGAGGCAGCGCCACAACCGCGACCGCAGCCGCGCGGTCTGCCCAATTCTTCAACGTTCGCCAGCTTCTCGAGGTGGTCCTGGGCAGCATCGTCGCGCTCACCGTCGCCCAAGAATGCTCCCGAACCGCCGCCGCCGCCGCCGAAGCCATCGGTGACAGCTGCCGCAACCACCAAGGCGGCCAAGATACCGCCAGAACGCCTTCAGCTCATCACAGACACTGGTTTCAAGCAGGTTGAGACGCCCGAGCTCTTGAAGCCATCGGCGCCGAAACAGCCCGCCCGGGCCAACTCATACTTCGCCAAGATCAAACAAAAGCCACCGGCCTTCATGAGCAAGCCACAAGAGCCCCTGGGTTACAACCACAGCTGCGCGTCTTCGTCAACCACGCTTGGCGGCAACCGTGCATCAAACAGCGACAAGTCGAGTGTTTCACAATCGACTTGCAGCGACGGAAACACCAACACGCCCGCCACTGACGAGTCGTCAAACGACATGACGCCCCATCTGCGAGACCCGCTGTGGTCCTCGTTCAAGACGCTTGAGGTGGAGATCAAGGGCCACGGCGCCAAGAATGCCGCGCAGCGCGTTGGCCAGGTGAAGAATATGCTATTGCCATTTCTGCGAAGTACCATGGATCACCACTCGACCAAGAGCCTGAGCCTGGAGGACGTGGATCGTCGGGCGACCGTCCTGAACAAGTGGTGGATGTCAATCCTCGAGATGCTCGATGACAGAGGGCAAAACCCCGTTCCGGGTGTGGATCGCCCAATACTCCTCGAGGCTGCGACCCTTCTCATGATGAGGTCCGAGTGGCGCCTGGCGACATCCAGTTTCATGCCCCTCGCCGAGCGCTCGCCCTCTGAGCGCGTCCGCTCGCGGTCGTGGACAAATGCCTCCGGGTCGACCGAAGACTCCCAACAGTCCGCCATGTTGGCCGAATCCGCGGAGCACAATGTCAGGACAATGTTTGTGACTAACCTTGTGAGGCAGATGAGCTACGTTGTGGACAGGATGTCGATGCGCCACGCCCCGCTGAGCTTGGTCAACTTTTCGGGCAAGGCGTGCGCTTACGCCTTCTTTTTCGCCCCGGGCGTCGCCGACATCTTGGTCCGGCTCTGGGGACTCACGCCGGAACTGATTCGAAGAACGGCGGACGAGCTCGGGCTGCCTCGAAAGGACACCGGCGAGAGCGGGGACATCACAGCGCTGTTCCCACCAAAGTTGGGCACTTTTGGCTGGAGGTCGGCCCGGACAACGTGGGACACCCTCAAGCAGATCCCCAGGATGTCTTTGCTCGTGGCCAGGATTGCCTGGACTGGACCGTGGGTATCGAGATGGAAGGGACGAGATACCGATCTCTTCTTCATCTTTTGCAAGTACTTTCACGTCCTGTCTAATCAGTTCATTCCGCCCGGACTGCCACTGATGGAGAAGGCGCGGTCGCCGGCTTTCGTCCTGGTGCACTCGCAGCTGCTCTCGATTCTCGATACCACGGTTCACCGCCAAACGGCCATCGAACACGCCTACGGCCCGCCGTTGATTGACCAAGTGAACGGAGCGGACGCGACGGTCCTGGCCATGCCACTACCGCCAACCAATCTGATGAAGGGCATGTCGGAGAACCGGCTGGTGATTCTGCTCCGAGACGTGCTCACCGACGATGCGCCCGAGCTGGGTGACGCGCGCAACACCTTTGCAGAGACCTTTACCGCACTCATGAAGGGCGCGACCTGTCGGACCTCGCAGTTTGACAGTGCGGCCTGCTTCACTCTGTGCGACTTTCTGGAAGAGGCCATCATGATCTTCCACGAGGCCGAGTCCCGTGGCTTGTCCGCACGCTACGTCGACTGGGGCTTTTGGCTTGATGTGTGCAAGCGCATTATGGATTCTCTCAACACGATGTCTGAGGTTCGCATGCTATCGTTCTTGTTCACTGTGTGGGACGCAATAACGAAGGACCCGCGACGAAAAGCGACGCTCTGCCTTGACTGGCTCCTCACCGAGGACACCTTCAACACCTTCTTCAACAACTGGTGTCCGATGGTCCGCGCCTACTACCACCGTCTCCTGTGCTGGAGGATCTGCCGCGACGACGGCAGCGCGAACGAGACTGATCTGTAAGTTGGAGTTGATGTACCTCCGTGACGACACAGCATGCTGACTGAGGTACAGGAAGATCATGTCTGTCGCGGCAGCCAGGCTCAAAACCGTCTGGTCGCATTACCTCTACCTCAAGCGGACCGCAGAGGAGTCTGGCCGTGTCCCACTGTCTACCGTCCCCATGTGCCCTGCCTTGGGCAAGAAGTTTATGATCATCCGCCAGGAAGCGGGCCCTCCTCAAGCAGGGCTGTTTATGGGGTTCGATACGTTCGCGCGCACCAACAGCAGCGAGACGTCGTCGTGGGCTGGGTTCCCCGACACGGGGCTAGTCGGTAAAGGCGACTCGAAGAAGCGTTGGTCCCTCTTGGGCAAGGTGCTCTCCATGACTGCCGGCAACGGGATTGACCAGACACCGGCGTCTGATTTCTCCGCAAGACACTCTTTCCTTGAAAATCAGTCGTACGGCGCGAAGGGAGATTCGGGCGAGATTCCGGGTCGGTTGATTGGGTCGACGTCGAGCAGCGCCAAAGTGCAGGGACCGGCAAGCGAGCCAGATGCAGAATCTCCTTCCGAGGTGGACGAGCAAAAGTACGTGTTTAGGTTCATTCTGGGATGGATGCAACACCACAATGTGGGCCGCGACCTCACACGCCCGAGGCTGCCAGCGCCCGCGCAGGCACATGTCAGCGCGAGAGCTCGGAACAGCAGCGTCTCGTCGCCGACGCCGACAACCCTGGCGGGTATGCGTCGCGTGTCCGACACTCGACCGACTGGATCGACCCAGAGTTCCAGGAGAAGCTCCGTCAACGCGTCTGTCGAAGAGTGGCTTCGGGGCACGCCAACGGCGGTGGCCGCGCCGACAAAGAATGGCTGGAACGGCGCCTCGAGCGCCGGCAGCGAGAGGCGCAGGAGCTTGGCCGGAGAGTGGTCGCCGGCCACATCGGAGCTGCTGGACTTGCAAGACTCACCGCGCGAGCCCCTGACCAAGGCGGTGAAGCCGGTGGGCATGTACGCCAGGAACGCCATCTACTCGGGACGTGCGCTGGCGGAGTGGTCGCAGGTGGTCAACGAGTGCAACAGCTTTATGGACCGACGCAAGGAAGAGGGCGTCGCCCGGCTAGCGGACGTGGAGGTGCCGCAGCTGGGCGTCGAGGGGTTCCGAAAAGCCGGCTAGAAGCCGGCAAGGCGGTAATGATCGACGCATCCGGAGAGGCAAAAGTAAAGTACACAACGAGATGTTTGGAAAACAGTATGAGATATCCCGCGGCTGGCACGCCGCACTGCGTTTTGCATCTACCATGTTATGCCCGTCCTACGGGATGGGGCTGCTCGAGAATTTGGAACTTGTTACTTTCGAGGCGTTGGAGAGGTGGCAATAATTGGCTGCATCCGAGACGAGACGCTTTTAGGGAGATGAGGAATTGGAGAAACCCGAGGGGACGGATGCATGTCCCCGCCACTCGTTGGCTAGCTACGACAGATGCTGCGTGGAGAGACGAATACAGGGAACAGCACTGCCGTCGCAAGCACGCACATGATGCACTGGTGATGACGATGGCGATACGGGAGAGTGTGTGATTGTTGGCAGTCTGTTTGCCGAGTGACGCCGAGATACTTGAATCATCCAACTTGCGATGCTCATTGACCGAGGGCGGCCTTGAGGCTGGCCCTGTAGGCGGCCTTCCTCTCCTCGAGGGCGGCGACCCTCTCCAGCACGTCGGGGCGGTAGAAGGCGGCGCGGTCCTCGTAGTAGTCCTCGAACTGGGGCTTCCCGTCGGCGAGGGCGACGAAGGCGCGGCGGCTACGGGTGAAGATGTGCACGTCCGGGTCGACGTCGGCAGCGCGGTCGAGGGTGCCGACGCGGAGGTAGGCGAGGCAGGGCCCGGCGTCGGCGTAGTGGTTCCAGAGGCCCGTGTGGCAGCGCGGGCAGCAGGCGATGGTCTGGCCGATGTGCGACGCGGTGGGCACGGTGACGAGGGAGGGGCGGCCGATGGGCGGGCTGGCACCACAAGTATCGCCATCTTCCTCCTGGAGCTTCTCGGCGGGCTTGTCGCCCTGCTCGTGGGTGTGAGTGCTGGCAGTTGTCCCGGTCTCGGTGCCGTGGCAGGGCGTCGCGAGGGTGAGGCGCGCAAAGTCAGGGAGCAGGCCGGCGGGCTGGGCCTGCGGGGGCTCGGGGTCCTCCGCCGTCTTGTTGTTGCCGTCGCCACCGCCGCGGCCGCGCGGGGCGGAGACGGGGTCGGAAACGAGGACGAGGGCGTCGGTCTCGACAATGGCGTTGATGGCAAAGGCGCTGCCGAGCTGGCGCTGGCAGTCGGTGCAGTGGCAGCAGTGCACGAGGATGGGCGGGAGGCGCAGCTCGTAGCGGACGTGGCCGCACGCGCAGCCGCCGTGCATGGGGAAGAGGTCGTCCTTTTTGTCCGCGTAGGAGGACGAGGGTGAAGGTTGAGAGGGGGGCGAGGAGGGCGACATGGTTGCTGTTGAAGCCAGAGAGAGACTCAGTTCAGGGGTGAGAGTGACGAAGGGGAATGGGGACGGAGTTTGTTCGAAGAGAGAGAGGAAAAGGGGAGTAACGAGGAGTGATGATAATAATTCACGGTGGGACTTTATGCGTTCACGGAACGGTATGCTAAAGCGGAGGAGCACGGTGACAGGATGATGTTGACGAGAAGGGCGTGCGGCGTGAATGGCGGCTGCGCGCTGAGAGAAGCCCGTCCCATGAGAGGAGGCTTTTTGCGCCGCCTGCCCGCCCACCTGCACGCTGCGAGGGAATGATCAACGGCGAAGACAAGTTAGGGAAAAGCGGGGGTCGGTGGGATGCTGGCCACTGAGCGGCGGCGACATGGCCGAATTGGGAAATATGGTCAATACTGCGCGGGACAGCTCAGAGTGCTATTTGCAGCTTCAACGTAATTTGACGCTGCAATGCATTCGGAGCTGAAACCGTCTATGAAAGTGACATGAGCGAGAAGAGAATTATTGCGTTGCCTGAATGGACCTTTTGATTCTCTCATGGTAGATTTATTCTTGGCGTTTTGGTTGCAAGGCTGCCTGACTCAATTGGACAAAATTGCTTGGGGGTGCTGCTGTCCTGCCATGCCTACTGCACACGTACCACACAGCGGCGAATAGAGTTTCTAGTCCTTCCAAACGGTACGCAGTATCTTCCCCTAGAAAGCGTACGGATGCGCACTTGGTAAACTGCCTCGCTCTTACCAAGGCCCGGAATGGGGTCTCTCTTCGTTCGAGCACTCTCGGTCAGGGAGGTCGTGCTGTTGTTCTGGAAAAGGGCTGTGAAAGACTGACTGCGGCCCTGCAATGTTGCTCGTGCTGTGCGCGATGGCACCATTGCGTGTGTATGTTCTGGGGAGGGGAGGGCTGGGGTCGGTAGGCAGGGTTGTCAGTCCCCCGATGCCGGGCGAGCAGGTTAATGGAAACTAGAAGTCATGCTGTTCTCTTGCATTGATTGTGTCTCGCGAAATTGCTCGAGCCGCCTTGTCGTATAGCCGGGTGGGTGCTGTGAGGCGTCAACAGGCCTGGCGCTGAAAAGCGTTGCACCAGACACGCGTCGTCAGCGGTGTAATGACCCGTTGGAGGCCTATCGATGCTTCACGCATTGCGCAATGTGGTAATTTCTCTGCGATTTTTCATTCCTCGGCCGCGTCAGTCAGGCTGCGCACGCGTCGATTTTAACGTCGAGGGAAGAGGTGAGGTACCTTGACTCCAAGTGGTTCAAGTATATGGCGTACGAGTACTCGGCCCAAGGTGCTGACGGGGCGCTACGCCGATTGTGGCGTCGACGGGCCGGCTGACGTCGCCCGCCCGCTCCGCTTCTTCCTTCCTCCAGCTCCAACTGCCCAGCTCCCCAGCTCGAATGCCTTGCCCTTTTCAACCCGGCCCCTCCCCCGCCTCCGCCCAGCTCATCCCATCTCGCTCGCAACTCACCCGCCCGCCACGAGCGACCATTTCTCCAGCGGCCCGGTTCACCACGTCTCGTCGACCACACCTCGGCCATTGACGAGCGAGCCGACTATCGCCCGGCCGACCCCCCGGCCCGACCCTGGCGCCTTTCTAGAGCCAGCTGCAGCGGCGGCGCTGCGCGTCCCCCCAAGGAGCCCGACGACCAGCCTGACACACGCCCAGGCGCGAGAGCTCGCACACCAGCATGCCCAACACTGGCAAGCCCAGCCAGGACTGCCACCTCTGTCGCAAGCGACGGGTCAAGGTGTGCCCACTGCCCATACCCGCCCGCTGCTGCACCCGCCCCGCGGCAGCGACAGGACTCCAAGCAGCTAACATGCCCGCCCGCAGTGCGACCTCGCCCGCCCCGGCTGCCAGCGCTGCGTCAAGTACGGCGTCGAGTGCCCCGGCTACCGTGACCAGGCCGAGCTCGTCTTCCGCAATGCCGACCCCTCCACCGTGAGGAAGCGCAAGAAGCGCGCCGCCGAGCACGACGACGCCCAGTCGAGCCGCTCCGCCTCACCCGGCTCCGTCTCCGCCACGGGCTCCGGCGCCGGCTCCCGCCCCGAGTCCGGGTCTTCGACGCCCTCCTTCTCCGCCTCGGCCGACGACCTCGACACCCCCTTCATCTTCTCCGCCGAATGCAAGGACCTCGTCCCGACCTCCAAGTCCGCGCCCTGGCCGTCCTATCAGGTCGCCGTGCCCAAGTCCATGGCCGAGCACTGGACTTCGCATTCGGTGCCCATCCTGCTCAACGTCTACTCGACCCTCGACTTCCTCAACAACACGTACCAGCAGAACCCCCGCGACGGGCCCCTGGTCTGGGCCGCGCACCTCTTCTCCCGCACCTACGTCACCAACATTCGCTATCCGACTGCCATATACCGAAGCTCCGAGCTGGAGACGCAGCGCGAGCTCGGCACATATCTGGGAAAGACATTGAGCTCCGTCGCGGCCGCCCTCAAGGACCCCAAAGGCGCCTTTCGCGACGATGTCCTCGCCACCGTCTGGATCTTGTCCAACTACGAGGTAGGCTCTGCCTTTTTGCCAACGCTGGTCGTGCCCCTGCTGACGCTTTATGGCAGCTACTCGTGGGGTCGTTGAGCCGCATGGAACCGCTGAGCCCGTGGCATCTGCACGCCCGAGGCCTATACAGCATCCTCAAAACCAGGGGCACGGCACCGCTGTACACCAGCGACGGGCGCACCGCGTTCTGGCCGAGCTACAACATGGTGGTAAGTCGATGTGATGGGAAGGGTCTGTAATTCTCAGCGCTGACCCGCCATAGCAAGTCCAAGCGCTCGTCAGCAACACCGAGTGCCCACCCGAGTCGGACGAGTGGCTGGGTATCGTCCGAGATAACCTGTATGAGGGGGAGGCTTCCACGTTATGCGTGTCCGTCTTCGTCGTCAAGTGCGCGCACGTCCAGGCGCGCATCTTCACCATTCTCAGCACGCGAGACTTTGGCGCCGCCGAGGCCGAGTATCGGGAGCTCGTGGACGAGATGGACCTCGCCGATGCCGAGTTCGTGCAGTCGGCAGCCGGGCTGCACGACACGGCGCACGAGCTGGACGCATACATGCGCAACCTGTACCACTCGGCCGTGGTCAAGGGCTACCACTACATACAGCTCATGGCCAACTTCTTGACGCACTACGCGCCGAGCACGCTGACGCTGGAGGAGCTGCGGGCGCGGCGGGACGCGTGCCTGGAGAAGACGCAGCTGGCGGCGCAGGAGATCCTCGACAGCGTGCCGTGGATCCTGGGCCCGCTGGCGTCGGGCAAGGACAAGTCGCCCAAGGTGTTGTTCGACGCCCTCAAGATGGTGTGGCCGCTGACGAGCGTCTACGTGGTGTCGACGACGTTGCCGGAGCAGCGGGTGCAGGCCGAGGTGGCGCTCGTCTTCATCGGCAAGGAGGTGGGCGTGCGGCAGGCGCTCAAGACGTATCCGGCAGGACTCGCGCTGCCACCGGAGTCGCAGCGGCCGCTGGAGACGGCGGCGTACGACGGGGCGTCGTGGGCGGCAGCGGGTTGAGCGATACGCAGTGGACTCGGTTTGCGGAGTGCGAGAGTGTTGACACGCAGCGCACTCCCTACGTCCAAGTACCGTTGTCGACATCGCAGCCGAGCGAGGGTGACGTCAAAGCACGGCACGACAAAGACGAACCAACGAAGCGCGCGGATCGTCGCTCAGCTGATGGGACGGCAGTTGGCAAACAGATACGAACAGGGAGAGAGATCGTCCGTGCTTGATGCAGTTGGCGACGGCGCATCCGCAGGCTCGGCTTTGATGAGGCCACGACGGCCTCTAAACACGAGGGTGCCAGAACAATGGCGAAACTCGCGTCCTGTATCGGCTTGGTCGCTTGAACCAAGACCATGTGTCGTCGGCCTAAAACGCGGGTCGAAAGTTGTCGCCGGTTTCGACCATGGCGTTTGAGGCAGGCAGTGGGCGCGGCGTGTGCCGCGTGTATACGAGATGTCGCGCATACAGGCCGACGACGGCTCCGGTGAGGCGGCGCGTATCTGCACTGGTGCAGGGACCAGCGTCGCTCATGCGGGCCCTTGACACATGCACATACACTTTCACACTCTCAACGCTTTCACACACATGCACGTACTCGTGCGCATTGTTCGAACCCCTTTGCTGGGATTTCTCCCTGGGAACCCCCAAAAGCCCCCCCGTCGGCGCGTCTTGGCTTGTTCGCCACCGGGTGCTGGAGGCCGTCCGAAGCGCGCCGTCTTGGCCGGCTTGGGCGCCAGTTTTGTTTCTTGGCGCGGCGCCGGCGCCGAGGACTTTTTACCACTATGCTGCCGCTACCACGGCCGTGGAGATGCAAGACGACGGGCGAGCGCTTAGCATCATCGTGGGGAATACGGGGGGAGGCGAGGCGAGGCGACAGGAGGAAGGATGGAGCGTTGCAGTCGGGGAGTCCGCATCGCCCGTAGCTCCTTGGCGCCGGAGCCATGCCATGCCATGTTATGCCAGGTCGTCGGACACGGCAAATCGCGTGGGGGAGGGGAGGCAGCATTCGCGCTGTCAAAGGCGGCTCGAGTCGGGTTGTGGGATGTGCATCACTGGACCCTTGCGGCTCGAGAGCGCGCGCAGGTGCACCCTTGTCCCCTGCAAGGCACTGGCACTTGCTGCGACTCAGCCCAGCCCCAGGTGCTTAGCGCCTCGTGTTGGGTTTGCGCGTGAGAGAGGCCAAGAGCATGAGGGCGAGAGAGAAAAACGGAGAGAGGCTGTGGGTAGCCCCAAAGGTTTCCAGTCGCCCTTGTAGTGTTGCCTCTTGCAGCCTGCGACTTGCATTAGACGATGGGACGAGAAGATTGAGGCGTTTGAAGACAATTGCAAGTTATAGGTATGTGCATCCGCGAGCGTCTACCGCAAACGACTGCATCTCTGTTGAACAGGGTTAGCAGGGTCTCAGTTTTACAGGGAGTTCCATCGCTGTTGGCTCAGCGCTGGAAGCCCTGAACCTGCACCCTCAGCACAGTGGAGGGCTTGTTGGCTAGCTTATCGGCGGGCCTCTGTTTCAGCCTGTGCCCCAGTTTTGCTCTGCGGCGCTGCCCCAGGCGCGGCGGGCTGCCGCTCGCCATCAATCGGCACACTGTCCTCTCGCACGGTCCAGGCATGGGAATCTGCACGCCCAACACCACGCGTCGAGCGGTGATCAACACAGTGTGAATTGTTCCACAGGGCAGGGGTCCATCCCGCGCGCGGGAACACTCTGACGTCAGCGAGACCCGAACACGAACATGGGGGTGCCGGCCATGCCTGCCCACGAAAGCGGCGGAGGAAACGCCGACCGACACGCTCGGGGCAGAAGCTCACGCCCGTGGGCTCGCTCGCTCTCTTTCTTGTTAGCTTCTCACCTTCACCGGCGCGGGCGCGACGTTTTTTTTCCCTCGTCGTGGGGTTGCGCCAAGGCTCCTGGCGGCGCCCTTCTTTGTTTTTCAATGGGGAGTTGTGCCACTGAGAATCCGCTTCGGCGGCGGCCCGCCGGGTTTCTGGCGGTGCTTTTGGTTGTGGTTCTTGCTTCTCAGGGTCCATCCATCCATCCATCCATCCATCCATCCACTCTCGTCGCTGCGAAGGTAGCTAGCTAGCTAGCTGCGTAAAAGTAAAACTCTCTCTGTCTCTTGGCTCCCTCTTTTTGAGTTGGCCATTGAAACCGCGCGCAACGGGTCAGGGCCAATGCCTGAGCCTCGAAGAGGGGGAGACGTTCCTATTCCTTAGCTGCGTTGCATGTAAAATCATGGGAGTTCAATGTGAACAAAACGGCAGATCCCAGATCAGATCGAAAACGGCAGCCACCTGCGTCCTCCCCCGTCATCATGACTGCAGCAGGCCATGTACTCCGTAGCCAGCAGTGCCAGGGCATGGATCCGCGCGCACACAAACAGCCCAGGAATCGTCCCAGTCAAGCCAGTCCCCCCAAGTTCCAAAGCTCCACCTCCCGACACAGACGACCGCCGCACGGCGATCCGTGGGCCTGCTCAAAGGAAACGGCGCCGTTTCCTTGTCCGCCCTCCCTTGCTGCTTGCGGGATAGTAACTAACCCTCCCCCCACCCCAATCGCCGCTCAAGACATACCCTCGAGACCCAGGCAGGCATCCAGGGCGGGATCCCCATTGCAGGTGGGTGGACGGACGGAGGGACGGGCGGCGGCATGGGCGGGAGCATGGGAAACCCTTTGTGCGTGATGTGTGGCCTGACCTTGCATGCTTGCCTGGAGCCGTCGCCTGCTGCTGCTGCAGCCCTTATCTGAGACGGCTTGGACCGGGACACCACGCGATGGGGACGACTACTACTCGTATGGGGGATCCTTTTTTGTTCGATACATGCTTTGTGACTGGTTCACAAGGGTAGGCGGAGGGGCGGGGGGTCCCCAGTCTCGGGACACTGCAGGGCTTGGCCTTTTTGTCCCGGGTTGATGCTGCCTCGCCGGCTGGCTGGCTGTCGCTGTCGCTGTCGCTGTCGCTGGTGCTAGCTATAGCTGCGCTGAGCTATTAGTTAGCTACTGGCTAGCTGGCCGGGTGGTGGTATTTAGACAATTGCATGCCTCCTTCCTTGCCCTCGCTCCCTCCCCCTCACCTCACCTCAACCTGCTTGCGGCCGTGACACCATCCATCCCTCCCCCCTTCCACCACCTTTACTTACCTTGATCTTCGTTGATTCT